AAATGTGGCGAAATGTTGAAAGGTTCAAGGGGGCCGAATACTTTCGCAGGCACTGTAGGTGCATGATTACTCTTGTTCGCTTTTCATTTTCTTTTTCTGGTGGTTTGGTGACCATTTCCACCACTGCATAACTTGGAGTTTTAGTTTAAGGACCTTCATGCTCAAACGTAGAAGGTGCAAATACTCAAACAATAAGGACTCAGACACACACAGGTCTGTTAATACTAAATCAAACATTTACAAAATGAGTTTACAAAAACCAAACAAAGATTCCTCACAGCACAGTACCACACACCGATGGCCCCCTCTTCAGCTTTGTGGATGTGTGTTGTAAAGACCATTCCATGTATAATGTCCATAAATGTTTTAACTCACAGTCGGTGAAACAGAGTGAGGAGGCTAACCCTGTGAACCCCCCTGGTGACCTTAAAACGTGGATGACTCTTAACTTCCTACTTCTCAACCCGGAGAAGACAGAAGTGATCCTACTCGGTCCGAAGCGCCTGCGTGCGTGACTCCCTCACTAACCAGATAGTTACTCTCGATAATGTCAGTATTATACCCAGTAACACTGTGAGGAATCTTGGAGTCATTTTTGACAAAGAACTCTCCTTCAAGGCTTATATAAGCAAGGCAACTAAAACGGCGTACTTCCACTTACGGAACATCGCTAAAATTAGGAATTTCCTTCCTAAAAGTGACGCGGAAAAACTTATTCACGCGTTTGTCACCTCAAGGCTCGACTACTGTAACGCTTTACTGGCAGCGTGCCCTAAAGCCTCTTTGAAGAGCTTCCAGCTCGTTCAGAATACAGCAGCTAGGATCTTAACAGGTACCAAAAGGAGGAAGCACATGACTCCGGTGTTAAAATCACTCCACTGGCTCCCTGTGGAGTACAGAATAAAGTTTAACATCCTTCTCTTAACATATAAAGCCATAAATGGCTTGGCTCCTTCTTATCTCCAAGACACGTTAGTGTCGTATCAACCAAGTCGAGCGTTGCGCTCACAAAACGCCAGACGTCTGGTGGTTCCTAAGGTCTCAAAGGTCACTGTTGGTGGCAGAGCATTTAGCTCCAAGCTCCTTTACTGTGGAATCAGCTTCCCATTTATGTTAAGGAAATGTCTTCTTCCATTCTTATTATTGTTGTGTACAAGCCGCCACAGTCATGCCATAGTTTCACTGATCATTTCACTGAGTTGCTTTCAGTTGTGTGCACAGATTTTGATGGTTTAGTCATTATAGGTGATTTCAATAAACATGTAGATAATGCTAATGATAGATATGCAATAGAGCTGAGCTCTGTGCTGGAAACCTTTGGTCTCACTCAGCATGTGAGTGGCCCCACCCACAGCAGAGGACACACTCTCGATCTGTTAATTACCAAGGGGGTTAATATTTCAAATGTAAATGTGGTCAATGTTGCTCTGTCTGATCATTTCTGTGTATTTTTTGACATGTGTCTTGATTGTAAACCACCAGCTGAATCTTCGGTTGTTAGAAGAAGACACATAAATGATAATACAGGCGAACTGTTCATGGGGAGGGTAAACTTTGAGAACACGTTGTGTGTTACTGTAGATGAATTACTTGACTCTGTCACCACCACTGTTTTGAATGTTCTGGATACAATTGTTCCTGTAAAGGTTAAAATAGTTACAAACAAGCAAAAAGCGCCATGGACTAAAGCAGACTCGGTCAGGGCACAGAAGAGAGAGTGCCGGAAGGCCGAGCGGAAGTGGCGAAAGTCAAATCTCAAAGTTGACCATGAGATCTTCAAAGATGCGTTGTGCAATTTTAACAGGGAACTACGTAGAACGAGGGAAATGTACTTTTCTGAAACTATTGAAGGCTGTAGCAACAATCTACGTGTTCTGTTTTCAACAGTAAATAGATTGACGAATCCCCCTGTTAAGATGCCATCAGAACTTACTTCCAAATCTAAATGTAATGAGTTTGCTCAGTTCTTTAATGACAAAGTCCAAGGTATCAAAAACGCCATCACCTCCACGATAGAAATAATAATCCAACCGCCAGTGAGGCTTTTTGGGCTGACGCACTTTACACCAGTACAAATTGAAACTGTCCAGGAGATAATCACTAGTCTGAGTTCCTCCACATGCAGCCTGGATGTATTACCTCCTAGATTTCTCAAGTCAGTTCTGAGCAGTCTTTTACCTTCACTTACACAAATAGTTAATATGTCTCTTGAATCTGGAACATTCCCAATGGCCTTGAAAACGGCGGTCATCAGGCCCCTCCTAAAAAAGAGGAGTCTGGAAGCCCTGGCACTCAAAAATTATCGGCCCATTTCAAATCTCCCTTTCATGGGAAAAATTCTAAAAAAAGTTGCCTATCAACAACTTACAGAATTTTTAATAATCAATAACGCTTATGATATGTTCCAGTCAGGGTTTAGACCCCACCACAGCACTGAGACCGCGCTAATAAAGGTAACAAATGACATCAAACTAAACACTGACGCAGGAAAAGTCTCAGTCCTTTTTCTGTTAGATTTAAGTGCTGCTTTTGACACTATTGATCATGGCATCCTCATTCAGAGACTTGAGGACTGGGTTGGTGTTGCTGGCACCGCCCTAAGCTGGTTTAGGTCCTATTTACAAGACAGAAAGTTTTTTGTGGAGATCGAAAACTGTACCTCAGACCACTTGGCCCTGACCTGCGGAGTGCCACAGGGGTCAATCCTGGGTCCTCTTCTGTTTAATATTTACATGTTGCCTCTAGGTCAGTTTATTCACAGTAATAATGTCTCTTATCACAATTACGCTGACGATACTCAGGTCTATGTGTCCCTGACAGCAGGAGAGCATGAACCAGTGGACTCGCTCCTTCACTGTGTCCAGCAAATCGGTGATTGGATGCAAAATAACTTTCTCCAACTAAACACCGACAAAACTGAAATAATTGTTTTCGGACCCCAGAAACAAAGAGAGAGCGTTATTTGTCACCTCCAGGCTCTCTCTCTACAACCCTCAAATCAGGTCAGAAATCTAGGAGTGATAATGGACTCAGACTTAAATTTCAAAAGCCACATAAAATCTGTAACATCAGCAGCTTATTACCACCTAAAAAACATTGCTAAAATTAAAAACATAGTGTCTAAGGCAGACTTGGAGACTCTTATACACGCTTTTGTCTCCAGTCGGTTAGACTATTGCAATGGCCTGCTCACAGGTCTGTCCAAACAGGCTGTAAAACAGCTGCAGTACATTCAACATGCAGCAGCTAGAGTCCTGACCAGAACTAGGAAGTACGACCACATTAGTCCAGTTCTCAGGTCTCTGCACTGGCTTCCTGTTCCTCAGAGAATAGACTTCAAAGCAGCTTTACTTGTGTACAAGTCTCTCCATGGTCTCGCGCCAAGGTACATCCACGACATGTTTGTGCCATATGAACCGACCCGGACTTTGAGGAGCACAGGGACTGGACTCCTGTTAGTGCCCAGAGTCGGTACTAGACATGGGCAAACTGCATTTCAGATTCATGCGGCTAGAGTCTGGAACCGTCTTCCTGAGAATGTGAGACAGGCGTCTACTCTGCCATCTTTTAAATCTAGGCTCAAAACAATTCTGTTTAGCTGCGCATATACAACTGAATGATTTTATCTTTTCATCTTTGTTTTTATCTTTAATCTTTTTAATGCACTGTGACTATTTATGATTTTAGTCCCATCTGTGATTTTAATGTTTAAAGGTTTTTACTTTTTGTGATTTTATTTTTAATGTTTTTAATATATCTTGTGCTCTTAATGTGTTTGATTTATGCATGATGTGATAGGGGATGTGAAGCGCTTTGCGTTGCCTTGTGTAGGAAAGGCGCTCTACAAATAAACGTTGATTGATTGATTGAAGGAAGCAGATACGGTCTCCACATTCAAGGCCAGGCTTAAAGCACTCTACTTTAATTTAGCATATAATTAGGTCATATATAATATATGGTGTATATATTATATATATATATATATATATATATGCTGTATTATGTTATATATTATGTTATATATTATACAATATATGTATTATGTTATGTATTGTGTTATGTTGTATATTATGTTATATATTATGCTGTATGTTATGTTGTCTATTACATATGATATATATGGTATGTATGGTATATATGATGTATGATATATAATATATAATTAGGTTTGCCTGGATCGGTTTGCACACCTGGTGTGCAATCCATGAATCTTGGTGCTGTGACCTGGGCTAGCCTAGCCGTGGCTGCTGCTGTCTCGCCTCCTTTCAGATACGCTCTCTTTATTCAAGGCTAGGTTTAAAACAGTCCTCTTTAGTTTAGCATACGGCTAAGGTAAGACTCAGGGAAGGCTAAACTCCTCAGACTGTCAGTCAAGCTGCATAGGGCGCCCCCTGCTGGAGAAGTATGGTAACAGCACTATCCTCTCCTCCTTCCTACTTTATCTGTTTAGCATTTTTAGGATTTTGACTGTAGTTTGTTCATTGCTATTCACCCGTTGTCCCATTGTCTGTTTCATGGTACGATGACGGGATCTCTGAGCCTGGCCTCTTCCATCTACACCTGCGGACTGCCCCGCCCGACCCGCCTGGGAGTGCTTCGGTCCTGCACCGGACCTGTCCACGTTCAGCGTCCACTGGTCCACGTCCTGTAGCTAGCTTAGGTCCTAGATCATTAGTCTGTCCGTCCGGAGGAGCGGATCCCTTTCTCATATGGGTCTCCCTCCCTGTGGGTTTCCCTAGTTCTCCCCAAGGTTTCTCACTTTTTCCCACTGGGATTTTTAAGAGTTTTTCCTTGTCGATGCAGGAGGGTCTTGTTGGACAGTTAGTGTCCAACAGAAAGGATTGGTGATGATCAGGACACTTTAGCATTCTACAACATGTATGGACATTTTCTTCTGTGTGTGCTTTATATTCTTCATGTGTTTTAACTGTTGATTCTCTGACCTGTGTTGGTGATTTCAATGGTTTTGTTAAGTCCTCTGAGATGACTTCTGTTGTGACCTAGGGCTATACAAGAATAAATTGTATTGTGTTGTATTGTATGAAAAAAAAGTTTGCATAAAATACAAAAACGATTAAATAAATTATTCCTTTTCTTTTCCTGTTTTATACAGATTGTAATGTTGATTTATTCCTATGTCCTGGTCCTGGATGAGTATGTGAACATATTCTTTTGTTGAAAGCAAACAAAACCTTGTGCTTGAAATTAAACTGAACTACTAAACCTAGATTAATATTTCACCAGTGAAGACAAGTACCTTATATTTGGTTAGCACCTCTTTCGTGAAGCCGTATCTGTGAGAGGGATGTAAACCGTACGTTACAACACTAATAAAAGCACCACATCCTTGTTTGTGCGTGTGCAGTTGATACCTGAGGTTGACGATGTGGTCCTCGTGGTTCCCGCGGTTCAAATAAACGTCGCTGGGATAAAGCAGCTGGAACGCAAACAGAATGAGCAGGATCTCGATGGAGTCGTTCCCTCGATCCACAAAGTCTCCGTTAAACACATAAGGCTTCTCCAAGGACGGCATCCCATTCTGCAACATTTTTACACTTTTATAATAATAATACATTTTATTTATAGTGCACCTTACATAACCAGGAAACCTCAAACTGCTACAGATTTTAATATATTTCCAAAACAAGCAATGCTTTTTTTAAACTTTTGTATTAATTTTTTTTTTTTTATTTCTGATCAGAAACATCCAAAGTTTGATTCAAACCAAAAATGTCAGCGCAAAATAATTATGTTTTTAACACTTTTTGTGGGACCTCTTTTCATTACTTCATTACTTTATTTTATGAAGTAGAAGATGCATGAGGTGAGGATTAAACAACATTTATGGACACTGTTTAACGCCTTTTCAAATGGACCAATAATTTTTAAGTTATTTTAATGTTGTATGTGTTCTAAATGTTTAATTGTCTAATCTGTCTCTGAACAATTTAAGTCGGTCCTGAAGACCGTTGGGATAATCATTTTATTGTGGAGTCATTAAACAAAAGTCCACAGTTCCATAAGATTATAAAAGTAAAATATGAAAATTCCTTAAGTATTCCTCATCCGTCATAAGAGAGCACAGTCCATTTGAAAACAGTTACAGCTATTCAAAATAGTGGGGCGTCATCACACATTATCATCTTGGATCTATGTCAAAAAATAGGCTGATATTTGCAGTAAATTCTCAGTAAATCAGAATTTTTTTTTTAAATGAAGTGAACATGGAAATAAAAGACTAAAATATAACATACTAAAATATAGTCACACAGACAATGGTTTTTATTACAAATGAAAACAATTACTGCAAAAGAAATGGTTATGAGCCAAAATAAAAAGACAATCCTCAAATACCAGCTCAAAGAATACAATATTTGACCATTTACACACTGCTCTGTCTATAAAGTCTGGCTTTACTGACATGATGCTGACTCACCTTGTAGAAAATAAGTAGGAGGTCTTCCAACTGACCGTGCAAGTCCCCTGTCACACAAAAAATAATTATTACAGTGAAATTCTTAAGAAGCTGCTATGATGAAATTTATATTTTAGTTAGGTTGGCTATTTTGTAAAAGTCCAACGTTTTTTTTCAAGTAAAGGTATCAAATGAATAAATCTTAAGTGATAACAAACTTATATATGTAATTAATCAAATCAAATTGTTTTTACAGCTCAAAAGCCTGAAGTCTTACAATTGGTCTGACTTGAACCTTAGTCTGGTGAAGTCTCTAAAGTAGACAAAAGATGTAATGCAAAATCTAAAAGTGAAATTGTTTTCTTTAATCATTGTAAATAATGACGTACCACAAATTGTGATCTGTTTGCTGTGACAAGTGGAAATGCGGTTGATATTTGGAAACTTCCGCAGAAGCCTCCATGTCTCGAGCAGCAGCTGGAGCACGTAGCGAGAATGCAATTGCTACAAAGAGGAAAGAAAATACTGACTTCTCTAAGGGCGCATTCACACTTGTCGGCCTGGTTCACTTTAACTAGGCCGGTTGTAGTTTACTTCGGGCAAAAGATAAGTTGTGGATGTAACACGATTCCACTGGCCAGTCTTTTGGAACACTTCTGTGGAGCTTTTTATCCCCTGGTTCCTTTACAGTGAACCAGACAAACAAGTGTGAGTGTGCCCTAATAATATGTACACATTTGAGAAACTGAGGTCCTGTAGATGACTGATATGTAAGTGGTTACAGTTTTTGCACAGAGAAAATTTGGGAATTGTAACTAAAAAGTTGCAGATGGAATTCTTTTGCAAAACTGTACTTTTATCTCAGAAAACAATGGAAAGATTGAAAGCCTTAAAACATGTCAAACTCTCCAAGGCGAGAGTCAGGCTAATATTCAACACACTGTAAATCTCAGCTCTGGGAAGTGTCTTCTTAAAATGAGTCATTAGACTTTATGTTTCTTTGTGGTCTTTTAAATTGTCTTTTATTTGCACCTTGAGTCTGGAATAAAGATGTAAATCATATCGTTATTTGTGCCATAACACTATATGGTCTCTCTGACCTACATGACTAGACTCTCGGGCCCTGACTAAGCGGGCCAGGGGGGACAAAGGTTGGGAACATCTTGTAGACAGTACCTTCTTGTTTCTGAAGGCCTCCACCAGCCCCACGGCCTGCTCCACCGTCAGGGGGAAAGTCAAGTGTGGTCCTGAGTAAATCTCTGGAACCTCAATGTTCTTGTAGCTAAAATACCTCTCCCACTCTGCATCGCGAACCATGTCGTTCTCTCTGAAGATGTGCGAGATTAATTTACCTGCAGGAAATGAGAATACAACCTGATACATACAGGGACTCTGGAACACACATACATACATAATATTACTTTTTGTCATGTTTACAACCAAAACATAAAGATGGTATTTTAACTGAAAGTATAAGCAAGAGAAATGCAAAGTTAAATCAAAATGATACACGATTCTGTTATTTTTAAAAATCCCATCTTCAGCAGATTTTCTTCAAATAATGTCCTGACATTTGCTCCATCCACCTTCCCATCACTGACCTGCAGTTGGACTAAAGAACTACATGTTGTTCTCATCTGACCACAGTATTTTCTTACACATATTGATTGTGCCCCCTGCTTCACTGCTCCCCTGCTCTATTTCAACTCTGGCTTTCCATTTATCACTCGTCCATAAAGGCCAGATCTGTGTATGACTGTAGTGGATGTCAGCTCCTCCAGAGAAGCTTGTTGGAGCTGTGAATTTTGGCAGACAGCAGAGTCTGGGTAGATTTACCGTTTTCCACACCCAGATAATGTGCTCTGTGAAATGTTTATAACCTAATCATGCTTCAAACTTCTCCACAACATCCTCCCTGACCTCTCTGGTGCGTGCCTTGGCCTTCATGATGCTGTTTAGTGACCAATACACTCCTCTCACAGCTGTGGTTATTCTGAGAGTAGATTACACACAGCAGACCTCTATTCAATTGTTAGGGTAAAGTGTGAACTTTAAAAGGCTATTTAATGCCAGATTGCACAAGCAAACATCATTTTGCTTTCTCTTTCACAGTTCCTTCAGTCAAGGTATCGCTTTCAATATGTTTATAGTTATGTTTCAAGGTTAAATATGACAAAATGTGCAAATTAGTGCTTTTGAGAGGCACTGTTATATATTTATAATATATATACAGTGCCTTGCGAAAGTATTCGGCCCCCTTGAACCTTTCAACATTTTGCTTTTTTTTTGCATTTTGCTGATTTCAGGCTTCAAACATAAAGATATAAAAATTACATTTTTTGTCAAGAATCAACAACAAGTGGGACACAATCGTCAAGTGGAACAAAATTTATTGGATCATTTACACTTTTTTAACAAATAAAAAACTGAGAAGTGGGGCGTGCAATATTATTCGGCCCCCTTGCGCTAATACTTTGTAGCGCCACCTTTTGCTGCAATTACAGCTGCAAGTCGCTTGGGGTATGTCTCTATCAGTTTTGCACATCGAGAGACTGGAATTCTTGCCTATTCTTCCTTGAAAATCAGCTCGAGCTCAGTGAGGTTGGATGGAGAGCGTTTGTGAACAGCAGTCTTCAGCTCTTTCCACAGATTCTCGATTGGATTCAGGTCTGGACTTTGACTTGGCCATTCTAACACCTGGATACGTCTATTTGTGAACCATTCCATTGTAGATTTGGCTTTATGTTTTGGATCATTGTCCTGTTGGAAGATAAATCTCCGTCCCAGTCTCAGGTCTTTTGCAGATTCCAACAGGTTTTCTTCCAGAATGGTCCTGTATTTGGCTCCATCCATCTTCCCATCAATTTTAGCCATCTTCCCTGTCCCTGCTGAAGAAAAGCAGGCCCAAAGCATGATGCTGCCACCACCATGTTTGACAGTGGGGATGGTGTGTTCAGGGTGATGAGCTGTGTTGCTTTTACGCTAAACATCGTTTTGCATTGTGGCCAAAAAGTTCGATTTTGGTTTCATCTGACCAGAGCACCTTCTTCCACATGTTTGGTGTGTCTCCCAGGTGGCTTGTGGCAAACTTTAAACGAGACTTTTTATGGATATTTTTGAGAAATGGCTTTCTTCTTGCCACTCTTCCATAAAGGCCAGATTTGTGCAGTGCACGACTGATTGTTGTCCTATGGACAGACTCTCCCACCTCAGCTGTAGTTATCTGCAGTTCATCCAGAGTGATCATGGGCCTCTTGGCTGCATCTCTGATCAGTCTTCTCCTTGTTTGAGATGAAAGTTTGGAGGGACGACCGGGTCTTGGTAGATTTGCAGTGGTCTGATACTCCTTCCATTTCAATATTTTTGCTTGCACAGTGCTCCTTGAGATGTTTAAAGCTTGGGAAATTTTTTTGTATCCAGATTCGGCTTTAAACTTCTCCACAACAGTATCTCGGACCTGCCTGGTGTGTTCCTTTGTCTTCATGGTTCTCTCTGCGCTTTAAACAGAACCCTGAGACTATCAAAGAGCAGGTGCATTTATACGGAGACTTGATTACACACAGGTGCGTTCTATTTATCATCATCAGTCATTTAGGACAACATTGGATCATTCAAAGATCCTCACTGAACTTCTGAAGTGAGTTTGCTGCACTGAAAGTAAAGGAGCCGAATAATATTGCACACCCCACTTTTCAGTTTTTTATTTGTTAAAAAGTTTAAATTATCCAATACATTTTGTTCCACTTCACGATTGTGTCCCACTTGTTGTTGATTCATGACAAAAAATTTAAATTTTATATCTTTATGTTTGAAGCCTGAAATGTGGCGAAATGTTGACAGGTTCAAGGGGGCCGAATACTTTCGAAAGGCACTGTAATGTGTATACTCTTGTAGAGGCGGGGAACAGCATCTTACGTTCGTTGCTTGATGGCGTAAAGTTGTCCATGAGATATCCAAGGAAATTGTAAAGCTGAAAAGAGCAGAATTTTGATTAAAAATGTATTTAATCAGAAGTCAAAAACTAAGCAAGACAGGCCATGGTTTGTGCTCAGATGGGAGACCACTGGAATATTAGACTATAATTAATGACCAAAGAACAGTAAAAACTTCAATGTTCTTGAATTTAACATGTTGTAATTCCTATTCCATGTTTATGAAAGCTTGAATGGTAAATTACAGTTTTTCATGGATCAAATGTGTTTAAAATGTAAAGCATTAAACATAAATTGTAATATAACTTTACAATATAACTTTAATATAAGATAGTAGATGTAGTTTTCTCTTATATTCAAGCAATTCTCACATAATTATAATTCTTTAATTTGCCATATTTTACGTAGTATTTTGTTTTTAATCTTTGGGTTTTGATTATTAGGTTAATTATTAGGTTACCCCTATAAGTGATGATGGTACCTTGATCTGTGCCTGTTCCCCTGAATACTCGATGGACTGGAAGATGTACCACGTGCACCTCCGCCTCATTTCTGTGCGAGCGAGGTACTGACGATACCATCTCTGGATCAGGATGGCGGCTCGGATGGCTGAAAGTATAAAAAGTACCTCTACACATTGAATAGGAAAGCTGGGGTACCTACAATTCTTTTTTTACTAACAATTTTGGGTTAGTAAAATGTTACAAACCAATCCTATCACAACATGCTGTCTTCAGGAGAAAACATATTCTCTTTTGTAAGGAAGAGCCTTGTGAGTCACTATCTGACGCTTTAGGCTGAGAACTGATGCCCAGCTTTAACACTATGTCAGATTACTTACTTGTGACAGCTGGGTGTTGCAAAAAAGAAAAAAAGAATTAGAATCAATAAAATACTTGAAATACAATGTTAGTTACCTTTCCCTGGATGTTTATTAAACTGGGCAGACTTGGTGACACCACATCCCATGTCTGTCTCTGAGGAAAGGGCAGAGAAACACACTCTTGTCATATTTCTTTAACATACTTCTGTACTTGCATAAAGATACACATACAATGAATGTGTTTCACTGATAAATGTTGAATATCAGAAACAAGAGCATATGTGTTTGTTTTCATTACGCCACTTTTCCTGTGACGCCGGGAGCTTTAGCGTGGCTCAGTCACAGAAAAGCAGGGCTTTTTAATCTCTTTATCTGGATTCACTCCTAACCTTCAGTCCTGCATGACCTAAATCCCAAAGTTTCAGGCTAAATTCAACGGATTCCAGGCCTAAATAAGTAGTTAATGAACTTAAAATAAGTAATATGATTTATTTAAAATGGTAATTCATCAAAATATGCATCAAAGATAATTCATGTTTTTCATTTACTTAATCGTAATCAATGCATGAAATTCATTCCAAAAATACAATATAATCAACATTTTCAGCAGAAATATCACTGCCAAGTTGGCTAGTCTGCAAAGTATGACTGCACGATTATTTATTATTATTATTATTATATATATTAATCTAGCAATCTAGCAACACTGACATGTGTTGGAATCTGTAAAGTGGAGAAGTTACTGATTAATCAATTACTAGTTAGTTACTCAGTCAGTTATTTACAATTCATGGATTAATTATTTCAGCACAATTTAAAAGTAAAGGTTGCACACCTCATTGGAGTATTGACACAGTGATATGGTCTTGAGTACTTACTTATATTCTGGCCGTCACCAGGTCTTAAGCTGTTCCCCTGTCACATCCCTCTGTCCTGTGCCATCTTCTACAAGTCCCTGCAGACCATCACTGGAGGAGGAATGGACCAGCACTCGACATGTCTCCTCATGGGTCCTGGTCCTGTTCAGTCTGTGTCCAGAGGCTGTTGACGATCGGAGCACGTTTAGAAGCTTGGTGTGATGCATGAGCTACAAGTGGATTACACTAATGACTTGATGAGTCCAGACTGCTCTTACAACACTCTTCAGCAGACCTACACCAAGGGGCAAAGATTGAATATTCCAATGAATTAAAAATATATATGACATGTATGATTTTCCATGTTTTGTAATTGCACTGATAAGGTACACTATGCCTACTTTCTCTACTATCTCTCTACTATCTCTACTATCCATTTCTGGGTCAGGGGGGTGGCAGTCAGAGATGCCACCCAAGTCTCATAGCACCAGCCCCTCACTGACCCTCTGCAGGTGGTGAGTCCACAGGAGGACGGCTGCTCTGAGTGTGAGCATAGCCTTGATCTTTCAGTGGGGGCTTTGGGCAAAGTGGGGTTAAGTGTCTTGCCCAAGGACACAACGACAGCAGTCATCAATGGGAGTCGGTGGAGAAGGTGCAGAGGTGCGAATTGAACCCACGACCTTCTGGCCTTAAGGCCAATGCTCTACCAACTGAGCTACTGTCGCCCCATCTATATCCATGGAATCACGTGAAACAACTAACAAAGTTACTTATTAGTGTTTTAATTTGATAAGATGTAAATAATGTAAATAATATCACCATAATGTTAACAGTAAAGAGGTGGCAGCAGGTTGCCAGGTCTTTACACTTCTTTGGCTCCTTTACTCGTAACATTTAAACATGGATCTATAATAATAACGTTTAAAATACTGTAATTCAAAACATCAGTATAAGTTAGATCGCCCACAATGCATGGCTACAGTACTTAATTGTTTAGTTCTAAAATGCTATTTTGGCTACAAGTTCAGTGAAATGTGTTACAGTCAGAGGCGGCTTATGTTCAAGGAAGTTTATATAACCTATTAATTTTCCTGGTTTTTTGTCTTTGATCTTTATCGCTTGGGAAATTTGGGAGTGAATAAACTAGAAATATACTTCTAAATCTATGAAATATCATGTATATTAAACTGTATATGAGACAGATAATAAATAAAAATGAATAAAATACAAATATGTCAGAAATGTACAACAATGTTCGTGGGAGGCCAAGGTGCTGAACAGAAAGTTTCCTGGATTAATTACAAACCATATCTTAATGAGAAAGCGTTCAGATAAGTGTGACTTAAACTGTAACCAAAACATTACACAACTAAACAAAACAAAACAACAGAACCATAATTTAGAAAGTTATTGGATCCGTAAGCAGAACACGGCAGAACGCAGCGCTCTTGAACGCTGCTCTAGTTACATACCGGTGGGCGGCGCTGTTACGTACTTGCACCATAGACATAACATTTACAGTCTATGGTCATAACATTGAATTACTCAGAATTGCTTCTATTTACCGTCGTTACGTTATCCTTAAAAATCTAATGCATCACGAGTTGGTTCCATCTGTGGCTGTTTCGACCACTGTTTTGACCTTCTCGTTTCGGTAAGGCTTCGTTGAGTTTGGCTACACACAGGCTGCATCCGAATTCCCAAAAATACTTTCGTCCTTACCATAGACTCCTCACCCTTCGCTGCCCTTACTTCTAGTATTGACCATTGTGGCATTAAAACAACATATAAAGTTTTCAAGTTTGACGTGGCCAAATGTTAAACTTCCCCGTCTCTCAATTGTTTGATTTCAAAGCACAAGGAAAGACACGGAAGGAGGTATGTTTTGCTGAATTTTGGAGTAGTCACAGCACATTTGACACTAGGTTTTTGTTTATATCTTGGTATTCATTTGATCACTCTCGCACGCTTTATGTATGTCATCTGATCTGTTCGACTAAAGAGGCTCTTTTCTTTCACCATTATAATCTCATTTTACACTTCTCAAACAGAAAATAAGACTTCAGTCGTGAAAGGAAGGGAGCAGAGCGGAGATGAAGATCGCGGTGCTGGGAGCCACTGGTCAGACTGGACAGCAGCTGGTCCAACAGGCTCTGCAGCAGGGCCACTGCGTCACTGCTGTGGTCAGGAACCCCGCCAAACTCACCGTGCATCATGACAACCTCAAGGTAATTTAAATCACCATTATTATTTATTTGTCCAAAGTTCAGCATGGTCTGGCGGTGGTGGGACCAGCTGGAGGCTCAAAGTTCAGACCCAAGACCAGACTCAAACCAAAACCAGACCTTGACTAAGACCAGAACCAGAACCAGACCTGGACCAACCCAGAACGAGGATCAGGTAAAACAAAGTTTAGCGTCAAAAAGTGTTTATCAGGTGATAGATACTTTTTGACACTTCTGATACTGATTGATAAGAGTAGGTATCTGGTGTATTTTTATTTAATAATTTAATAATTTATTATTTTTTGTTTAAACGTTTGATAATTGATTTTACTCCTATGCATTGTGGCCACACATGCCACGTCTGCAATCTAAAGGGATTAACAACGCCAAAGGTGTTGTTAATCCTATTAAATCTATTAAAATCCAATGCAATCTATTAAATACTAATGGTAAACAGATTCATCACATTTGGGCATGACCTGGCGATCCTGAGATAATTTCAAGATATAATTTTAAAATGATGACTCTTCATTTAACCTTTTCTTTCATTAAGTTAATCTTTATCTTAAATAAACTTCCCTTATATGGAATACATGTTTTCATGATTAAACCTAGCACTGACAATTAAGGAACTTTCCCACAAACAATTATCAGACTCTTTTCCTACATATTCTTTTCACTATATGTTTGGCGACAGTGGCTCAGTTGGTAGAGCCTTTGGCTCCCACTCCCACTCATATCTGCTGTCTTTGTGTCCTTGGGCAAGACACTTAACCCCACGTTGCCCGAAAAAAAGCCCGCTGAAAGAACAAGGCTGTGTCATTGCTGACGGAGATGCCATCTTCCTGCGGACACACCATCTACAGGAGGATCAGTGAGGGTCTGGTGCTATGAGCATTGGGTGGCAGCTCTGATTGTCAACCCCCTGATCCATAAATGGACTAATAAAGGGGCAGAAAATGAATGAATGAATGAAAGGGTTTACATGATTTCCTAATTCAACTTTTGTTTTTGGTTTAGAGTGGGGGTTTCATGCCAGTTTCAAGATCTCGATCTTAAAAGTTTGGGAAACCCTAGTATAGGGCCAGATTACTCTTGTATTATTTAAATCATAGAAAAACAATTAAATTTTTTGATTTTATTAATGTGTTAACATTATTTTTTCACAACACCAAGCTCTAAGAAAGGGTGTAATAACCATTTTGAAGTCCACAGAAACTAATGAATGTTTCCCCTTTTCTCTCAAAGGTGGTGGAGGCAAACATATTCTCCGCTGACAGCCTTAAGGAGCCTCTGACAGGGCAGGATGTGGTCATGTCGTGCCTCGGCTTCCCCACCTCCTTCATGTCTGCAGTGACCGGGTACACTCTGTCCATGCACGCCACGGTCAGGGCCATGAGGGACGCCAAGGTCAGCAGACTCATCACCATGACGTCCTGGTACACCGAGCGTAAGCCTCACTCCTACTATACACATGACCAGGGCACAGAACACATTCTGACTCATCTCTGAGTTTACATCTCATTTATGGAAGTTGTGTTTCATGAATTACAAAGTTAGTATGGGAAGGGGAAATGAGGTTCATTATTAGTAATCTTTATCGGGCGGCACGGTGGCTGAGTGGATAGCACTCTCGCCTCTCAGCAAGAAGGTCCTGGGTTCGAATCCCAGTCGGACCAGGGCCTTTCTGAGTGGAGTTTGCATGTTCTCCCCGTGTCTGCGTAGGTTTCCTCCGGGTACTCCGGTTTCCCCTACCACTAAAAATGTGTCCAATAGTTCTAGCATGCGCCTCCTGTACTGGCGACCCCGCTCCCATCTCTGTGTGGAGTGAGAGACAAATGCCCAAAAATTAACAATTGTAAACCGCTTTGAGACTCAGATCTGCAGTGAAAAGGCGGTATATAAATAAAGATTACTTACTTACTACATTATTACAAGTTTATAACTTTTTAAATTGTGTTTGTCCCAACAGAAATATTTACTATACAAATATTACTTATATTCCCACTTTTTCATGTGAATGGGACAGTGTGTAATGAGGAGCATCTCCTGTTGTACTGCACATGTTTTAGTGGTAGGGGAAAGAGAAGGACTCAGAGGAAACCTATGCCAACACAAGGAGAACATGCAAACTTTACTTAGAAATCTGCCAGGAAGTCAAACCCAGGACTTTCTTGTTGAGAAGCGACAGCTCTAACCACTATGTTTGTAGCCCTAAACCAGACTAATATTTGTGCTTTTCAACAGCGACCTCTGGGGCTCAGTCGTCGTACATGATCCGCTTTCTGTTGTTGCCGATGATTCGCAGTGTTCTCACCAACATGTTCCAGATGGAGCAGTTTCTGCAAAAGAACAATGACATTGACTGGACTGTGGTTCGTCCACCTGGGCTGAAAAACCAGCCCGCTTCAGGTCAGTGATGAACGATGTGAGATCTTCTTATAGAGAAATGCAATAAGACAGGGTTTTCCAAACCTTTCAGATCAACAGCTTTGTGCTGAAAAACAAACAGTAACATAAAAAAGCTATTTTAGCCACTCATAGACACATGCACCAGATCTTTATTCTCTCTTTACTTGATCCAAGAGGACGCAAAATGTAGTTTGTATGTGCAGTATGTATTTTGTTGTGATGAACAAATGGTGCTTCATGAGCCACTTTCAGCCAATTGTGCCGATACACGTGTGAACAAAGAAAATACAGCACCAAAAGCAATGCCGTTTTACAAAACAAAGTGTTTTATTGAGCAAAAAGTGGATTAAAAATAAGCATAATAAACCATATACAGGGGCGACAGTGGCTCAGTTGGTAGAGCATTGGCCTTTGGGCCTGAAGGTCGTGGGTTCAAGCCCACCATAAGACCTACTTCACGACTCCCACTAATGACTGCTGTCGTTGTGTCCTTGGGCAAGACACTTAACCCCACTTTGCCTGAAGCTCCCACTGAAAGATCTCAGCTCCTGTGGACTCACCACCTGCAGGACGATCAGTGAGGGGCTGGTGCTAAGTGTCCTGGGTGCAGCTCTGACTGCCACCCCCCCGACCCAGAAATGGATTAAGGGGAAGAAAATGGATGGATGGATGGACAATAAACCATATATTGATCAGAATCTTAAAATCCCCCTACACATGATTCAAACCCATGCCCCAGTGCAGAAGCTCAAGTTACAAGAATTCAAATAGCGATTATAATTTGATTTCAAATGTGAATAATTACACCGCCCTAAACTACAGATATGACGTCAAGGCCACATGTTGAGATGAACTATTCTTTCAAACTTTTAAAGTGCCATTTCCAAAACGGATCAGGCCAAACGTCTGCTCAAATACAGGCCTTGTTTAGTCAGAGTGTGACTGTGATGCTGTGTCCTCAGCGCTGGAGTTCCTGACCCATGAAGGCTACTTTGTACCAGACGGCAGTGGGGCCCCTGTGGGCAGCTCGGTGGCCCGAGGGGACGTGGCCCGGTTCATGCTCTCACTGCTTAATAATAACGCCTGGATCAAGAAGGGAGTGGCCATCACCACCAAATAACATGCTCTGATCACTCGTGTGTTGTATGGAGGATTTTGAGTTGCCAATTTATTTATTTTACCACTGTTTTCAATGAGATACCTTTGGCGTTTTTAATCTAATGAATACTTTACCGGAAACAGAAGCTCGGTCTCTGATGTTGCATTACTGCATTGATCCTAATTAAAAGCTTCCACTCGGTCTTTTGGTATTGTGCCTGCATTACTACTGCTCAGCCACATGGTGCCGCTATACTTCTACTCAATGGTGTAGGTTTGGTTCCAATCTTGGTGGGGACATTCACTACGACCTGAGTCTACACCCATTGACACGGGGTCCAGAGTTTCTCCCCCAGAATTTGTTGTGTAATCACACACTATATTTGCAATAGTGTGTTGCCTTCTATACTAAACTCAGCTGTAGACTGAATGAGAAGCAGTTAAGGATTTGTTCTAATAGTCAGAGGAGAAAATATTGAATTAGAATCTACAGTGAGTAGCTCACTACATTGTTTGACATATACGATCAATCTCTAAAAACGATTCATAGTCCCATGCATACCTACAAAATTCCAACCTCACCTGATGCACTGAAGGGCCTGTTGCTTCTACCTCAACATTCCCTATATTGTTCTCTCTTGTTGGTTGAGTTTCCTATGTATGTTAACAGAAGATTAATCATCACAATTCATAATTTGCTATTACTTGTGCTTTCTCTTACTTACTTTCCAACTGTTAAAAAAGCTCCTGATATCTTTTATCTTTTTTTGTGGAGGTGGCATTTTTTCTAAATTATATAAGAAGGTATAGAAAATCAAAAACAGACATTCATATACATGAACTGCAGAATCATTTATATAACTTGGCCAATGTCAAAAGTTACATAGTATTTCTCAATACAATGAGTTAACAAGAGTTTGGCAATAAGTAACAGTGTGGATTTGTCTATATTTTCTTTTTTTTATTCCACTCTCAACCCAAAAAGGCAAGTAATGACTCACAGGGCTCTCAAGCAAAATAAAAACTTAAATGACCTGTTGTGGTGTGTTTTGCGCACAACCAGCATGCATCGTTAACACAATGGAAAATTTAGGTATCCGAGCTTTAATTTCGGGAGCGCTGGTTGCGCTTTGGGAAGAGTCAGGGGAGAGACATGTCAGAGACACAGGGGAGAAACGCGGGAGATACGAGGGAGACCCGCACTTGCAACATGGTTCTGTCTGCATATGGTCCGAGCTCGGTACCATGTTAGAGCTGTGCTTTCACTGAGCGCCGCGGCTGTCATTACAAAGCGGCAGCAGCTGCACCAGGACGTGCACATTCGAGTGCATCGCTTGAATGTGCTTAGAGCAAATAACAGCAAGTGCCCGCTGTCACACATTTCACAGAAATTACATTATCAGCAGATAAAGGTTGTAAATCGTGGATCCGTGGAATATTTTCATCCCTAGTTTATCCTGATTCACACAACACACCCACTTATACATTTTGGATAGTAAGAGCACAATAAGTATTTTTTCAGCCTTTCAACCAACCTGTTTCTTTATTGGAGCCAGTTCTGTTCTGTCTCTGTGCCGTGTGAGCTCCTCGGAACATTAAACAGTGCGCTGACAGATTAGAAATAACGTAAGTACTTTGAATGGTGATAGATCTACAGTACTTTCCTCTGATTACTCACGTGCTACAACGCTCAGGGAACGAAAAAAAACACTTGCTTCACGCTGGCTAACTTTTAAAAATTAAACAGTCGCTCAGTGCTTCAGTTTGGCGCTGAAGAAGACAGCCAATCACTGCAGAGAACGGAACGGGTCACGTGCTGCTGCTGCTGCTGTTGCTCTGGAGGCGAGGAGGAGGCGCGACGTGTGCACAAACGGAAGACATGTGTCCCGGACCGTCCGGGTCCCGGGACATCATGTCATTTTGGTGGGGACTTATTAGTCCTCACCAAATATTGGTGGGGACATGTCCCCATGGTCCCCACGCAAACCTACGCCCTTGCTTCTACTAAACCCCTGCTTCAGTTGTAAAGTCCATTCACAGCCTAATGTCTCCCTGTGTGCGGTCTATTAAAGGGACTGTGATGGTCCCAGAGTGACACAAATTAAACTCACATGTTTGTTGTTATTGTCCGTTTGAAGCTTGTACTCCCAAGCACCGTACTGTTACACATTGAAGATACAGAGAGATAATGTTTTTTTGTTGTTGCTTATTCCACTTTAAATGTGTTTCTATATTTATCATGTGAACCTTTTGGGAATGGAGTGAAAAGTAAAATTCATTTCTTATGCTTCTATAGGCCTGAAATGACAAATACAACACTGTCAGAACAGTTTTTTAGTATTTTCACCAAATTGATTTTATTTTCTTATAATCTTTTAATGATTAAACTGAAAGATAAAGACAAAGGATGAATACAGGAGTGACTACATGAACTAAATACCTGTCTTCTTCTCAAGCACACACTGCTGCGAAGGACACACATAATACAGTCACAACGTATACAATACAATTTGGGCATCGGGACAATGGCCTTGGATCAGAAAAAACATTGAAGTGGAAGAAACTGAATATATAACTACATGTTATCTTTGCTCATGTTTTTCTGAGGCTTGGACAGAGAAGACATGCTCCTACTCTGGAACTTGTTGTCCAAGAGGGAAACATGATATGTGCGAGATTGTCTTTTTAAAACCACATTTTCTCTTCTGTTTATCTTGTCTTTTCTCAATTATCAGATCTAATGTCACGAGAGCTGCTTTGGTTACATGTTTTCTGTCATTTTCCAAATTGGCCCTCTTCTTACAGCTTTGTAATGAGGTCTTTAATAATTCAAAAGTAAAACCGTTGCTTTTCCAAAACATCAATGGACATACACTTGGCTGTATATGACTAGCATTTGAATATGACAAATGGGCTGTCACTGGTTTAGTCGACCACCAGCGAATATTTTACTCGTTGACAATTAAAATCATTCTTTCATTTCGCTCACCATTGGTTGAAAAGGATGATTGACTTCTGAAAATGTTTAATACAAATCGTAAGTAATCTTTATTTATATAGAGCTTTTAACCGGGTAGGTTTCCTCCAGGGGCTCCGGTTTCCCCTACCACTTAAAACATGCACAATAGGTATGAATGTAAATGAGAGAGTGAATGGATGGTGTTGATTGGAGCTGATGGTCCAGTGTGTTCGGCGACTCGCTTCCGTCATCACCGTGTGTGGAGAGATGGGAACAATATCTGAACTCTAAACATTGTAAAGCTCTTTGGGTGACCTTGGTCTGTAAAATGCACTATATAAATAAACATTACTTACTTAAAAAATGTTTTACAATTGTTGAATTGTTGTTATATCTTTTATCAGTTGAAATAACAAGTATATAAAGAAACCCACATATACTTTTTCATAATTTATTGACATAACTGACAAACATGAACTGTAAAACTCTAAAACTGTGCATGGAGAGCAGCGCAAGAGCAATTCAAATATTACTATTAAATACAAACTGTCCACGAGGCATTCTTTAATATGAAGATTCTCAGTTCATCAAAGCAACATAACATTCAAACTTCTTCTTTAAACACAAATACCATTGTGTTAATGAGCGTTACATTTACTTGAAGTAACAAAGAATGTTTATTTCATAAAAGCATTTGGCTTTGAGTGATTATTTACAAATGGTACAACCCTAAAACAGAGTGTGCGCATTTACATGAATTACATAGCAGCATTTGAGCTCCGTCATGTCCCTCAGACACTTCCTTAAGCTGGAGTACCTAACTGTCAGCTCTCAGTATGTATAATATAATATATTTAGGATGAAGCAGGTGTCTCATTTCTCAATTTACATGTAAAAACATTTTAATCAGACAATACTCTTCCTGTTGGGACAAACAAAATGTATTAACTCATTGCCTGGCAGCCTATTTCAGAACAGGTACTCCCATATTGCCAGCAGTTTCAGATGATTTGTATTGATTTTTCAAGACCCACAGAATATTGTGTACTATGACTATCTGAAATCCGATTCTGAAAGAATGGACTGTTACTTATCAGCAAAAATAGTTTTGTTTCTAGCTGTAATCCCCAGTCGAGTAGAGGGAAGTTTCACTGAAATCACCAGTCTCAGATAAAAAGCTGAGAAAAAGAGGATGCAACAAGTGCATCCCGTTTTCAAAACATCCAGAGCCAGCGCTGGTGCCACCTGCTGGCTCTATAAAAAATGCTCTCAAGCTAATCCCCATACATCCATCCATTTTCTTCCCCTTAATCCATTTCTGGGTCGGGGGGGTGGCCAGAGATGCCACCCAGTTCACAGAGCACCAGCCTCTCACTGATCCTCCTGCAGGTGGTGAGTCCACAGGAGCTGAGATCTTTCAGTGGGGGCTTCATTCTTCCCCATACATATTAGATATAATAGACATCTGGGAACACGAAAATAGAGGAAAACGCAATTGACGTATTAATGCGTCAATGACACACAACGGGACTATTTGCTTTGACGTATTAGTACATAGAAACAAAATACAAGTTGGGTACACCAGCTTTAGTGAAGTTGAAAGATCATCTAAAAATATATAATGAATGTGCACGTTGGGCTATGGTTTGCTTCCAACTCCGTACATTTCATTAATTTGATCCTGGTACATCTTGACCACAACAGGTCTTTTGAGTTTCATGGTGGGACCTGCAGAAACAAAATGAGTGGTTAATTATGAATCATGTAGAGTTCATAATTAGAATTGTGTGAGTTTGTCACATCAAGACAAAAGGAACACTTAGTGTGTCATGTCTCAAGTGTCAACTTGGAATAAACTGAACAGCAAACTAGATTTAAAGTTCAAAGTTTTTTACTTTATTTTAGTTTTTTACTTTAGTTTTCCAGATTGTACGTCTATTTGTATATATTATATTATAAATAGTTTTGTTTGGAACTGTGTATGTCATGACGCACTCACACCGTGCACTCGTCTATGTGAGATGAATATGATCTGAATCTCTTACATCAGCCTTCAGTCTAAACATACCTGAGCATTGGAGACATCAGACCATGGGATCAATCGGGCATTAAGCCGTGATAATGCAACAATTTGTTTGGATGAATCGTATGAGTTAACAAGTTCACTTTGACAGCCTTCGAATATTCTTTCAAATAAAAATAATAGTAATACTTTGTTTTTTATTTCTCTTAACCAATTTTTACCCTTTTCAAGAAAGGGTAAAAAATTAAAGAAGGAAAATAGTTTTCTGAACTAGGTGAGATATCATGTTCTGAACATGATGGTTCTCCCTTTCTCACCAGCAAAAATAGAAACATGTATTCTTGCCTTAGTCTTAATAATTCAAATTTCAAGAAAACTTTGATATATTTATTATGGCACATGTGTGGAAATGTGTTGGCTCGTCCCATGTAAGCAATAAACGTCTTCATTTTAAAACACAATGTGCGCCTATTAGTCCAGAAAAAACTAGAAAAGTTGCATTTACAAAAATGGCTGTTAGAGTTTGCTGCTGATGACAGTTATAACTGTGCTGCTATCATAGTGTTCTGAGACCGTGGCCTCGACTAAAGGCCTATTCAACATTGGTGACATATTAACAGAAAACACTCTTGTGCGTGGAACTCACCCAACTCTCCCCCAGGTATGGAGAAGTCTCGCTCTAGGATCACCCACTTCTGCACATTCTGGGCTCTGGACGTGGCTTTGGCATTGACGCGTTCAAAGGCTTCTTGAATGGCCTGATAAATTGCTGGCTCCTTGTTGGCGACAATCTGAGAGACTTTAGTTGCAGTGACGTTGTTTCTTCTGCAGAAGTCCAACGCCTCTAAACTCAGATCATCAGTCGGTTCTCCGTTTTCATCTACGACACACTATAGAAGGAAGATAAAATAAGAGAACCTTTATTACATGTCTGTCTTTGATGTGTGTAAGCAGTGGTCTTAAAACCAGTCCGCTCAGGGACAGTTGGCTGCAGGTTTTCATTCCAACCGAACAGGAGCATCCCCAGACTTCACCCATATCCTGTAGTCTCCCCGACTCCACTGGCCGCGTAAAACATACTATGTATCCGTCCAAACGTGTCCATTTCATCTCCGTTTCCGTCATCTCCATGAGGGTGAATGGAAGTGGCTCCACTGCCTGCGACATGCCTCCGTCTGACGCGCGTAGGGAGCAGTCCGTCCACGCAGGGTGCAACGGACGCGGACGAACGAAACAGAAACAATCCTATATTTACGTACGTCGACGCGTGTCTGGTTTGTTCTCCATTGGAAATACAATGGAAAAATATATTTACCACATTATTATACTTGTATTGATATATGCTGTAGTCCTTGGTTATAAGTGTTTGTTATTAACAAATGTGTGTAATTTAGAATCAGAATCATTTTTATTGCCACGTAAGTAACAAACTTGGAAATTGCTTTGGCTCGGTGCAACGGTCAGAGAGACAGAATAAATCTACCATTTATTTTTTGCGTAATGTTAATATTGACTCGCTTTCAAAAAAGCCCCCAAAAAGAGAGCGGCGCAGGGGAGATTCGTTGCTCCAGGGCCGAAGGGATGCGTTCCTCCGAGCCGCAACTCCCTTCGGTTTACCCTCACTGTCAAAAACGTGGTGCGGATTCAAGGACACTCCGGACTGTTGCTCAAGAGTGGGGCTTTTTTGTTTATCCCAAAAACAACATACCATACACTCTTTCCCTGTCTTGCTCCAGTCGCACTCGCTCTCGTGCTAAACTTTACATACACCTCGCTCTGTCCCAGTCTACCTCCGAGGCGCGCTCTTGTCACCGCCGTGCGCTCCCCCACACACACACACATTACCCACAGAGCTACTGCACTTATGAGAGACAGATCTCACAATACTGGATATGTTGGAGTTCTTTTCTCTTTTCTCTCTCCCATCCATCCATTTTCTTCCCCTTAATCCATTTCTGGGTCGGGGGGGTGGCAGTCAGAGCTGCACCCAGTACACAGAGCACCAGCCCCTCACTGATCCTCCTGCAGGTGGTGAGTCCACAGGAGCTGAGATCTTTCTTTTCTCTCTCCCCTTTTTCCAATTGCTTTCAATACGTTTTGTCTCATCCATCGCAACGTCCTTGATGCTTCAATATACCGTGCTTTGCATAGATCATAGCCACAGCTCATGCAAATCACACACCGCTTCTTCTATTTAAAACAAAGCCTCACGGGGCTGATAAACGCACAGCCAGAGCTGCGTGCTGCTGAAGCGGGTGTGGCCACTATTCCGTTTTACGGACGTCTAACGGGCAGCAGCCTACGCGCGTAAATGGAGACGTGGCCGGTGGAGTCCAGCACTAAGACTGAGCTCACTTGCTTGGAATGAAAACCAAAAGCCAGACCAATTCTTTGTGGAACGGTTTGAAGACCACTGGACGGTACACGGTTTTATTCAGGAAAAGATCTGCTTACTTTGAGTGTGAGAAGCATGGACAGGAACTTGAGCTTGTCTCCGATCAACATGGCGTTACTGATGATGGGCACCTCAGCCTTCAGCGCGTCCTCGATGGGCACCGGAGGAATGTTCTCCCCACCGGCAGTTATGATCAGCTCTGTAGGCCAGAATGAAAGCAGAAATAATCAGAGAAGGTGGACACAATAAACAAACGACATGACAACATGAATCATTTGATATGCTGTTTATAGCAATATTTGAAAAGGAAAACTTGAATTTTCCTTGAATTTGAACGCATTTATATTTGTGACTTTACAGAATGCAATTTTATCTTAAGTCAGATATTGTTACATGTCTGTCTTGGTGCTTGATTGTATTGTCTACAGGTTAGTTCTGAGCCTGGAGCAGTGCTTGACACAATGGCCATGTGACAGATGGATTCATACGGGTCTTACTGGTCGGATCGCAACTCAACAGCAACAGGATCGCAAATATTTACAACTGACTGATTGTAAGATAGACAAGTGTCATGTGTAATGAAGGACGGCAGGTTAAACATTTTAATGCTCTGTTAGGACAAATGCAGGAAGTTGTAATTTCTCATGAAAATGTGAAGAGTGGTTGAAAACAGTGGATCCTATTTGTTTGCACTCCTCACATTCACCTACCCCAGGGGCTTTACTGTTATACCAAGATCTCCTTCATATTCTTCATGGAATACTAAGTTTAGGGACTGTGTGAATTGTGAATAAACCAAACTAAAAGTTTGTTTTTAGCTCATCTTTTGGATCTGGTGGCACGCTTTCTTTCTGCCAAAACAATTTCCAAGTGGTGACTTTTGTTACTTACGTGGCAATAAAAAATATTCTGATTCATTGATTAACTGATTTTTCATTGTCTACTTTATTCATTATGTAGATATTTTGGCTACATATTAAACCTTATTTTTATCTCGAACTGAACCAAGAAATAAGAAAGGCTTCTTTTTGCAGACCGACTAAATATTATTCTTTCTTCTATCATTTCCTTAAATATAACTTTTTCATTACATGCTCTAGGCACTACATTGACCCTACTCTCTGACATACAGGTAATATATAATAGTAACAGTAATGGCACAGAATAATAAAGATAAATGGAACAATTAATTTAACCCTGATCTGTGGTCTCACCCATAAAACACATGCAACATTTAATTGGATCGTATCATAATTAATAATAATAGTCTCTGAGCAGCAGTGGTCGTGTGACTGCATCTTACCCTTGATTCTTCCCGTGATGAACAAAAAATCTTGCTGATCGTGTCGCCCCATGTCTCCGGATAGCAGCCATCCTTCCTCGTCCAGCGCCTGCATGGTTTTCTCGGGCATGTTCAGGTACCCCATGAACACATGTCGCCCCCAGAAACACACTTCTAGATTTCCATCTTCATCCGGCTTCAGTTTAGTCTTGCAGCCTGGCATCACCTTTCCACAACTAACCACAGAACACACAGACAAAACAATATATATTTATATTACACACATATCGCTCTACAAAAAAATGCATCGTAAGAGAGCAGAAGACCTTGATAGCCTGAAGGCGTTGGGCACAGAGACGGTGTGTGGTCCAGAGCTCTCACTCATGCCGTACAACTCCATCAGCGGCATGTTGAGGCTCATGAAGTATTCCAGTGTCTCCTTGGTGATGGGGGCGGCTCCCGTCATACACATTTTACAGCGGTCCAGACCCAGTGCCGCTTGGACTTTTTTAAACACCAGATTATTGGCCAATGTGAACCCCCATGGCACGGCGTTCTCCCTGGAAGACAGTATAGAATGATAGTAGATGGAGGGGCCACATAAAACAATGAGACTAACTCATTGTTTAACTCTGAGGGGGACATGGTTGGACAGACTTCAATACTGCTAAGATCAAAATGCGGTTTGCATGTTGCTCTTCGTTACATTGGATTAATGTAGTAGCTCACACAATACAATATAAAATTCTGTTCATAAAATGTTTCATTCAATTGGGCATTTGAGTTCACGTCATTTCTGTCCCAAAAGGCAAACAAATCACTGATGTAGATTGAACAGTAATGTTTGAGGAACAGCGTACGAGTCATCCAACTAAAACTGCAATGCGACGAAATGAAAAGATATATTAAGACATATCAGCTTCACCTGGAAGCACTGGGGATTCATCACACTACAAAACAAGCAGTGAAAAGTTTAAAAAAACTGAAGCAGGACTTTCTGATTCTCTGAGCTGTTGTTACGGAATCAACAATTTTGTAAAGTCCTTCGACACAGCCGCTTTTGTGATTTAGGGTTACACAAAGATAAGAATAAAGCAACAAACCTAATTGAGTCCTTTTCTCTCTTACCCGTTCATGGCACTGTAGTTGTACTGCAGCCCGATGGACTTGGCCCAGTCTGCCACTCGTCTCCTCATGGGGGAAGCTTTGAGACCAGCCTCTCTCATTTTCTCCTGCATTTTTTCCCAAACTCGAGGAACTCCGAGGAAGGATGTGGGCCGCACCTGTTTTAATGTTGTTGCTAGCGACCCCTTGAATACGAAAAAAAAGTAAATGTGATTTTTTTGGTTGAATTAATCGAAAGAATCCATAAATACAATTTGAAAATAAATAATAAATTGACTTTACCTGAAGAACATCTGGTTCTGCAAAGTAGGTGGTCCCTGCGTATCTCATACAAAGCCAAATGTCATACATTTGTGCGGCAGCGTGGCTCAGAGGCAGGTAACTGATAATAACCTCCTCTGTGTAATTTAGGCCGGCGGTTTTACCAGCAGTGAGCGTGGTCCATGTGATCTGAGAGAGTAAAGCAGTTGAGTTGAAAGTAAGATCAGTATTGAAAAAAAAAAGCTAGATTGAAGAGATGATGGTTTACATTGTTTAATTTCTACACTACAGGATCACATAGGCTGGAGTCACGAGGGTCTGAGTATAACAACATTTAATAACAGCACTTATTGGAAAACCCTTTGTGTAAGTGCAATTGCGAGGATAAACGTACATTGTCGTGGCTGAGCATGACGCCTTTGGGATTCCCTGTGGTGCCTGACGTGTAGATGAGGGTGCAGCACTCGTTAGCTCGAAGACTGCTAATTATGGCGTTGAGCTGCTCTTCAGGAACCTCCTCTCCAAGCTTCATGAACTCGTCCCACTGAAATCACAGGCATTTAGAAATATGTTCAGATACCATTTACAGAACTATGTACTATATGTGTGGTTTAATGGAGTCAAATGCAATGACATCAAAACACTGTAAGTGTAATTAAGCCCACACTGAAACAAGTGTCAAAACTGAAAGCACGTGACTGAATTTGACCGAGTTATATCTGCAGAGAGAAGAGCTAATGTAAGTTTAGGTTTTCCAGCAGTATTAACATCTGCAATTAAATCCTTTCTACACATCAGCAATTGTTCAATTGGTGGAAGATTATAAATGTTTCCATTGTGAGATCAATAAACTTTGATCTCATCTTATTATATTATTATAAAATTAGTATAAAATAGTTGCCCGCTCTCCAACATTTCTCATAAGATAAGAAGGTTGTGGTCTGATTTGTGCACAACATTTTACTTTCATTTTATTTACAGTAACAACACTTGGTTCTATGTTGTGAGGTTTCACAAAAGAGTGTATAACAGGTCAGATGTTTATCTCTGAGACATAGTTTGATTTGCAGACATCTTATCTGTTCAGCCGATATGTTTAGTATGTGCACTCTCACCGTGTACAGGTTTGGCGCTTTCTGATGCAGTTCTCCCTTGTATTGAATAATGGCTTTCAGGTGCGGGAGATGATCTTTAACCTGGAGAAACAGATCCTTATTCAGGTTTATATCTTGAAACAAAAACATTACAGTGAACTTGAATAAACCAGGAACCTGGAGGATCTTGTCAAGCTGTTTCTTGTTCTCCACCACCAGGACGTTGGCCTCGCAGTTTTCAGCCACATACTGACACGCTTCAGGTGTGTTGGTGGGGTAGATGCCCGTAGCTAGACCACTACACACAGGACAAAACTCTCAATGGAACATACGAGCTACATAACAAAGATTGCTAATGTACAATCACAGGAGAGTGTACAGTATGCCTCCATTGTGTGCATCTGTGTGTGAGCATTTCAAGGTCTTAGAGAAGTCAAGCCAGTTTCCAAGTCTGTGTTGCCCAGCAACAGCCCTAAAAAATAACTGCTCTAGAAGAGATCTACAGGGAGGAATGGGGCCAAATACCAGCAACAGTGTGTGAACACCTTGTGAAGAATTGCTAAAAACCTTTGAGCTCTGTCAGTGCCAACAAAGGGTAGATAACAAACTATTGAGATTTCCTTTTGCTATTGACAAAATACTTTTCTTTCTGGATCTTTTTTCTATGTCTCTCATAGAATAAAAAAATAATATTTTAGAGGGGGAGGAAATGCACAATTGTTGGCTGACTAAATACTTTTTTGCCCAAATGTACTTACCCTGCAAAGATGCAGCCAATGTCTGCTATAAACCATTCTGGTGAGTTGAATCCCAGTATTCCCACTCCACGGAAGCGTTCCAGGCCCAGCTAAAGACAAAGATAAACAAAGCAGATAAATGGATGTTTCTGGATGAAGATTATTTGAAAGTTTTTGGGCTTCATTTACTTTTGACCTACATCTCATTTCAAAAGCTTTGCACAGACGTGATAGTGAAACAGGAGCCGTAACACAAGAGGTATATTTCACACACCCAAGTGTTGGTTTACAGATAACAAGGCGCCTGCTCTGAAATGTGCATCAAACTTGGTCAAGGTATTTACCAACTGGGCACCAGACACTACGCTCTTTCTTAGATCAGCAAATAAAGAAGTCATCATACTATTACAGGAGAGGGGAGCTTTAAGATAAAGGCAGAATTTGGGCCAGAAGTTGGTGATATTTAGAGTGGGTTTCTTTAAAAAATCTCTCCAGACAAGTTTTTGATGAGGGCGCAATGTTGTAACATGGTTAAAATCTCAAAAAAAGTTGTTTTGCAGTTAGTTTACATTTATTGAAACAAATCTGTGATGCAGTTTTCCTGAAGTCAAACAGACTTGGTCCAGTGAATGTGTAACAAACAAATACTGTGAAACAAAAGAATAGGATATAAGGAGACCTTTTCTGTGCAGTCGGAAAACTATCTTATAACTTCAATTACATGATTTATTTAAGGAGAGTTCTATTGAGATTTCAAGAGGGTCCTTTGTTTCAAAGATGGCTGACATGCTCGACATTACACTACAATCAAACAAATATAGTTCAAATAGACAAAACTACAATTATACTTAAACATACATAAAAACGTAATAGTTGTCTTGCCACACATACCTTTTCATTATAGAATTGTTCATGTTTTATCACCGTTTTACTGTATATTTTATAGTCATTGTGACGCACTTATAGGTCCTGATCTGTAAACAGAACAAAGTTTACTAATATAACTTAAATAAGAGTGTTTGGGCCTCCTCAAGCGCAGCTCACTATTTTACATTGTTCCAAAGTAAATTAGATGTCCTAACCCTAACCCTATGTAAATTATGTTGTTAAATAAGAAAACAACTAAAACTTAAATGACTGTAAATACATCCAGTCAGATGGAGCTTTTTAAATGTATACAAAAATTAACCACCTCTTGTTTTGTATACGGCCTCTTCTCTTTGTTTAAAATGTTGGCTATAGCAACTAAGCAAACTCCACTCACAGAAGCTGAACGTAAACATTTGTCACAAGCACACATACCTTCAGGAAACTCTTTGCGGCAGCACGGCACTGCTCGTAGTACTGCCTGTAGGTCAATGTCACCCACTGCTCATCCCTTCGAAAGGCCAGCGCTGCGTGGTCCCCACAGCGTTCCACTGTCTCCAGGAACAACTGGTGAGTGGTGATGGGGGTCTCGGCAGCCAGCCCGGACCCTTCCATCCTCAGCCTCACCGCGTGGTCTCTGCCCGTGGTCCATAGGCTTTCTGCCTCGGTCAAAGTTGTTGCCAAACTCTTCGAGGACAAAGCCACAGCTCTGGGCTCGTCTGTGTTAGGACAACAAGGAAAGCCACGTTTAGCTGCCATGGATGGAGCAGGCTGTTGCACTGAGACACGCTGCACTCCCAGGTGACTTTTAATGATGCACTCTACTTAAGGGGCGTGGCTGTAAGTGCATAGAACGAGGAAGGGATACCTGATACAAATGAGAAAGCCATGGAATGTAAAACCAACCACAGAACAGGTTTGTTCAGAAGTAGTCTCATAAAATGCACACAGATGGATTTGACTGTAATGAATAAGGAAATGACATGAGACCCTTCAAATCTTTTTCTCCAAAAAGAAATATATGAAGAATGATACAAATCCTCCACAATTGTTTGTAGTATTATTCAAATCATTATTATATAACACAACATTTGTTTATTATATTCAAAATTACTAAAAAAGGTATCCCATAAAAACGTACAGAAATACTTAGAAAAATAGTAACAGTAAAAATACAATACAATTGTCTGTGCTGAGTGTCTATAGAAAATGTATGATTGGTAGTTCCTCACATCACATACTTTATTTTCTTTAATACTTTTATTATTTTAATGCAGCACTTTTTGTCCATGCAACACCTAATTACCCTTTTGTGAAACAACACATGGTGTCTCAGGTCAGATACTTAGGTCATTCAGGAATGTTTACGATTTAGGATTGTTTCACATTGGAGATTCTTATCTATGCATTTGTCTCCAGTAGGTTCTTGTTTTTCAACGAGTTTGCCATGGCCGGGTGGAGTGCTTTGAGGTTTTGTCTGGTGTGCATTTGGAAATGATCCACATATTTGGCAATTCAAAACACTGGATGATAACTACTTTGCATAGTTAATCAAAGCCTTTCTGAGTGGAGTTTGCATGTTCTCCCTGTGTCTGCATAGGTTTCCTCCGGGTGCACGGTTTCCCCTACCACTAAAAACATGGACAATAGATGTGAATGGATGGTGTTGATTGGAGCTGATGGTCCAGTGTGTTCGGCGACTCGCTTCCATCATCACCGTGTGTGGAATGATTGGAACAATATCTGAACTCTGAACATTGTAAAGCGCTTTGGGCGATCTTGGTCTGTAAAATGCGCTATATAAATAAACATTACTTACTAAAGTTGTGAAGTTTCATTTTTGCAAATTTTTCAGCTGCCAGTGTGCTACATAATTTCTTTCAATTAAAAAGGTATGCTACTGTTCTTCAAACGAGCTGTAAAACAGGTACAGTATATTCAAAACACTGCAGCTTGGCTCGTGACTAGAACCGAGAATTCAGATCACAATGTTCCTGTTCCCAGGTCTCTGCTCAGAATAGAATAAAAAAGAGAATAAAACAGAGAGCAGTTTGGCTTTGTTCGTGTACAAGTCTCTCCGTGACCTCTGTGACATGTTAGTGCCATATGAACAACTCAAACTCTGAGGTGCCCAGAGTCAGGACTAAACATGGGGAGGTAGCACTTCAGAATTATGCAGCTAAAATCTGAAACAGTCTTCCTGAAAATGTGAGACAGGTTCTTCTCTGACAATGTTTAAATCCAGGATAAAACTCTTCTCTTTAGCTGTGCTGCAACTGCAGGTCTGTATCCACACTCTTTTCTTGTAATGCGATTATTTATGCTTTTAAAGTCTTTTAAGTGCCTCTGTGGACTCACCACCTGCAGGAGGATCAGTGAGGGGCAGGTGTTAAGAACTGGGTGCAGCTCTGACTGCCACCCCCCCTGACCCAGAAATGGATTAAGGGGAAGAAAATGGATGGATGGAAGTCTAAGCACTTTGAGTTGTCTTGTGTGTATAACTGTATGTGCTATACAAATAAACTTGCCCTGCCTATCCACATTGTTTAGTTGTTTATTGTTATTATTGTTCTATTCCTCACATTCATTTAGTTAACATGTACTTCACACCATATAAGAAATAACGCTGTTTCTAAACTCGTATAAATTAAAAGGTAAGGTACATGACTTGAAAGAAAAGAATAATTATGCTTTCCCCATAAGAAAAAGGTTTTTAACTATTCCGACCAAATCAGACCACAAGATGCTGTGTTCACCTAAATATAAACACTTAAATATTTGTTGCATACTCTGTGAGTCACTAAGATAACAAGTGATAGAACCAAACTGAATTTTTTTAACAGCTGTAGTTATTTTTGTGGATTCAAAGCTAGGTACCCAAGCTTTAAGGAAAAATTAGCTCAAACAAGAAACAAATCAGGACTATTATTACTGCTCCCCTAGTGTTTTACCTGCTGGGTTTCCCTGATTGGTCTCTTCTGCATGCACTGGTGTTCTGGGAGGCTTGGGAGGAGCTGGGATGTTGCTGCTTGTCTCTGTCTCTGGAGATGATGTGAGACAGCCCCCATTTTCCACAATAGCACTAGGTTTGTCTGTCAAAGAATCCGCCGTGATTTTAGGCTCTTCTCCCACAGCAGAGTCGGGGAGAGCAGGACTGAGAACATAAATAGTTACAGATGTTAGAGATAGCAGGAATAGGATGCCAGATACACAACTTTTTAATCTGGGGCTGGTTGTGGAATACTAAATTATTCTCATTCTCTCAAGTGCTAGAGCTACTACTAAAAATGTGGAACGTAAGAATGCATACCCATCATTTGCGATGTCCATGACAGCCACACCATTGCTTATTTCTAATTCCTCGCTCATCCTTGTTTAACCTAGGAATACAAATTTGGATTAATATGCATTTGTGACATTTCAGTTCAGGGGTGAAAACATAATTGCTTTTAGAAAGTCTACACAACATACAGTATCTAGTGCAATTGCCAAACTATGATAAATAGATAGATAACTTTATTTGCAGACTGAAGATCCAGATCAACACAGACAAAAAAACAAACAAAAAAAAGACAATAAAAACCTCTAAACTTTCATGAGCTGCAACTTTTATCAACTTTTTAGTGGCCTATATAGTTAGGTATTTTTGCATGTATTTTTTGTGTGTGAACAGTCCAGAGAGAGTTTATGAACTTTAATTTTGACTCAAGATCTAGTAGCTTAGGGACGCACTTTTTTGTCAAAATAGATTGCAAAATGAAGCAATAATCAAGATAAGCATGCTTACGTAAGGTGATGTTTGCCTCCTCCTCGCCTTGTTATTAAATCATGTTGTGATGCAGCCTGCCTGTCCTGTAACTTATACTTCATGTGTACACAATTTTCCCATTTTAGCTGGCATGGTTTGTATACAGGTGTGCTTATTAGTCCAGTAGGTACTATACATAATAAAGGTGAGCCGAAAAACTAAACAATTCAATCTGAATTGAAAAGCTGTATTTATTCTGCTGTCTGTGTCCTGTTTCCTTTGACCTAGATAAAGCAGGAGCATTTACAAACAAAGTGCCATGAGTAATCACACACTTTATCGACTGGTAAAACAGTGCCACCCAGTGTCAAACAAAGCAGTAACTCATAATTTGCCCAACTACAAATGAGAAGCTGTCATATTGTTTACATAATATCAACACAGTACTCAAAGTGAGTCTCCCACAGGATTAAAGTCTGTCCACTCAGCACTATGACCTAACATGACTCTGACCCTTCAGATAACAAGATTCCTTAAGCACAAAGTTCACATCACTTACAAAACTGAAAAAGAATTAACAGAAGCAAGAACCAGATGAAAACACATACCAGTGATGCTGCTAGTGAACGCACAAGATGAAGTATCAATAATTCAAGCAAAATTTTTTGCAAAAGATTGACTTTATCAGGCTCAAATAACTAACATAACCTAAAATGTGTCTTCATAAGTCCATGAGATGATTTTCAGTGGTGTGGCTGATACTGTTGCAAGGTGGGAAGATCAAAGCATGACCAGGTTTTTTTCCGTCAACAAACAGAAAAATGTGGCTACACAAAACAGAGAGCAGTGTCTTGAAGTCATGTGTTACTTGCCACGTCTGCCCCGGGGCAACCGATGGTAAAGGCTGCTTCAGTGTGAGAATAAAGGCGCACTCACTCTCTAAATTGCCCCATCTAATTTGCTCATCCATAAGTTTGAGGGAAAATACGTATAAAGACTTCCCTGGAATTGACGAGTTAAAACCCAACACGAGCCTGAGGATAAGGACGCTATATAATGTATAGAAGGGATTGAAGCGGCTGATTACATGAAAATGTCAATAATTGTTATTTTGGAGCAGGACTGAAAGACGTTCAGGCAACAATACAGGGTTTTAACAAAAACATTCACTGAATCTTTCTAGACTCTACAGACTCCAAAGTCATCAGTTCTAAGAAGAAGTTTTACAGCTTAGATAGAGAATGTAGGATTTGCCTTCACAATTGCCCGTTTAAAATATCTGTAACAAATGTTTTAGTATGTGTCGTGCACATGGGACTGAAATTCATCTGAGAAAAATGACACAATTCTTCAAAATAAATTGATGATGGGGTAAAACTTAGATTCAAGCTGGGGGACCTAACTTTCAAACCACACAGAGACACGTAGGTTAATAGCAAGTATTCAAATGTATGTATTATATCAGTTTTTCAGACAAAGAAGTGGAAAAGACCGCCCTCACTCAGCCAATCTGCCCTCAGGTAAAAGCACTAAATGTGGCTCTTTCTTACTGTATGCAAAAGATTGTATGTTTTCTAACAAGATCAAGGCAGTATGCTGTGGTCTGATTTGCTCAAAAGATTTTACATTTACAAGACTCTTTCTGTTGGGACAAACAACATTTATTGTTCTGTGGGATTGAAATGTGGTGACTGAAAACTTCTAGTACTAATCATGTTTTAAATCTAGTAATGTGCGAGAAACAACAAACAAGAAGAAACAGCTGTCTCAACGTATTGCATTGTCAAGAAAGTCCCACGACATCATTGAAAATGTATCTCTCTTTCATTACTTGATTACCAAGGTTTTTATTGCCACAAATTGTTTTATCACAGGTCATGTTATTCTTTTGCTAAGAATTGCGTCAAAACCGGTTTTTACCAGAGTCCACTATGACACAAAGTGCAATCTTAAACCATTCAAAAGTGATTTGCGTAACAATTAACAAGTGTGGAGGAAATAATTGAAATAATACTTACACAAAAGGGAAAAATAAAAAAATTGGGCAAAACGTTGTATGTGTATGTAACTATGGGCAAGTTGCTATACATACACACATCTACTGTTCTGTGAAACACTCTTCATAGCATTTGAAAAAAAACCCTCAACCCTGGAGAAAAAAAAAAAACCCATGTATAATCCGAGAATTAGTGCAGCCTAAACACAGAACGTGATCAGAGTGCACCCAGATCTACAGCTTCATGTAATAAAGTATCAAAAGTGCGTCTGAGTGAATGAATGGAAGCTCACCTCTTCAGTTTTCTCGTAGTAACAACATCAACTGACGCTGGTTGGTGGGAGACAGGCCTTAGCTCAATGCAGGTGAAGCTGAAATGAATCACCTATTGGAGGCTTGTGTGGATATCAGCCACTTATGCAACGGTCCGAACACCTGCAGCCAGTGTGAAGGCCGCTCTGACCCGGGCTCTGTGCGCCGCGAAGAGAAAAGGACCTGAAACTTTCACAGACACACAGCACTTGTTATGAGTGTACACAGGACAATGACAGGATGTGCATGTGTGTGTTTGTGGCTCATATCTGTAATTGACTTATGAAGCAAGGTTTATCAGAGAGGCATGATGTCAATAAAGTGATAAGAAATATATATATTCAGTACATATCAATGCATGGACTTTGGCAAACAAACATTTGGGGTCATAAACACAAATATCATTTCATTGTGTAATGTTAGTAACTTTTACATTTCAGTTTTTAATGTGCAGTAAAAGTGTTTTTTTTTTTTTTTTTTTGCACCAGCATCAATTCTCTAAAGTATTCCCTACATTTATATTGAGGATAGACTCGAGGCTCGTAGCATTATACAAGTATTAAGTATTTGGGCTCAAAGTGGCAAATCTAAATGATTCAAAATAAACAATTATAAAACGCACATTGTGGTGTAAAAACGATCTGCGATAAAGATACAAATAAGAACAACACATAGAATACAGTTCTGTTGGGCCATATTTACAAAGACAGACAAGATTTTAGCTAGAAACTTCCGGTTGCAATGTTAGTATATATCGCTTTAATTGTGCATTTGCAATAAAGAGATGATTTAGAAAAAATAAATAAACATATACACACAGTATATATATATATATATATATATATATATATATATATATATATATATATATATATATATATATATATATATATATATATATATATATATATATATATATACACACACACACAGTATATTATAACAAAAATAATGTTTGTAATGTATTTAATGTTTCATTATTATTTTTAATATTATATGTAACCAATTATTTCCTGAGCAGGTCTACTCGAATGTTTTACTGGAAATGTAAATATTGTGTCAACCTTTTTAATGGGAGTTTAAAATGCGCTGTTCTTAAAATTTCCAGTAAGTAACAATAACTTCCTTATTCTGGCGCCGCAGTCTGTGCCCACGTTAGGGCGGCCCACATAAGGGTTTTAATAGGGAGCAAAGTTCAGCACACATATCAACTGACACACAATAACCCCAGCGCTGGACAGGAGGGTTGAACTATGACACCACCCAGTCACACCACATCTGCCCCCACCACACCCCTCCCATAGTGTGCGGGGGTTTGTCACTAGTCATCTCATGACAACAAATGTCAAAATGAAACAGAGCACTGCTCATTTGTTCTTAAGCAAAAGTTCTGCACTGTATGTTTCTCAGTGAGAGCAGATAACGCCCCGAGACAATACTGTTGCATTCATGTGACATCACAACATTCCAAAGCTGTAGCTTAAAATTCATAGTTTTGGTCTTAGTTTTTTTTTTTTTTTTAAATCTAGTTCTTCTGTAATCTGGGCCTTCCTCATGAAACATCTTCTTTGCCAGTCACAAATCTAATCAATGTGAAATGATGAGATGGAAAAACATTGGAAATGTTCTGTTTAAAAAACAAAATTTAATAGTTGTTTTATTATAATTATTTGGCAATTGGAATAATCTTAAGTATTTTGGGAATTCATGGACTGATAGATCCTGAATAAAAGGTTGGTAAACAAGGTAACAAGGTAACATTATAATTTTAAGTTAAATGTCTCCATAATCCTTCACTATGATATTGGCATCTTGTGTTACAGGTGTTATACTGTATAAGGGGCATTCCTCAGTATGATTACTGTGCATAACTCTTCACCAAACAGTTATGATTGTTACTAAATGTAGATTCATTTCTTTCATGTGTAGACTTAAAACTACACAGCGTAAACATTTGATATTTTTCTAACTTTTATTCAAACACTTGGTTGTCTTCAAATGAAATTAAACATGTTTACATGTTATATTTATTATTTATTCACATAAAACATAACTGAGGGACATAATTGTAGAGCAATACCCACCAGATTTTAAGATTTATATATTTTGTTCTTTACAATTAAATGGGAAAAATGTCATCCTGGTGGCCATGTCAGTTGTCTTCCTCCCAGAACGTGGATGTGAAGGTGATAAACAGATTGGGCGCCATGCTTTCCATCATTTATAACTGTGAATAAAACAAAACTCAATGTATAGAAATGATAATTGATCAAATTAGTATTTGTATTACATGTCAACAATGTCTCATCTCACCTATTCTGTATCCCTCCTGCAAACCTTCCTTCTTTGCAACATTTTTGGCCACAACCAGCAAATGCCCAAGTAGCTAAAGAAAAAGAAAAAAAAACATAATTCAGTGCTTTATTAATTTGGAATTGTCTTAAATGTATGCAGTGCTTTGGAATGTTGTTTGTGGTAACATTACCTCACTGTCATCATCTTTGGCTTCACTTATCCTGGGAATAGGGACTCTAGGAATGACCAGGAAATGGACCGGAGCCTGAGGACTTATATCTCTGAAAGCCAAACACTGAAATAGACATGGGACATAAGATAAGATCAACTTTATTGATCTCACATGATTGTGTATTTACTATTATGTATTGAGCTTGAAATTGGGTTTGATGGAATTTCCTTGCCGATGTAGGAGGGACTATATACAGTTCATGGGTCTAACATAAGGACAGTGGCGATGATCCAGGACACTCTCAATATGGTCATGGTCATTTATGGCCATTTATCAACATGTATGGACACAGGTCATTTGCCCCTTATGGACGGTTGTGTACATCCTACGAGATAAATACTGTTGCGATTTAGGCCTATACAAGAATATATTGAATTGAAATGAAATGAAATTGAAAAAAAGAAAAATCCATAGTATCCCAAACTGTGGTCAACTGTGCACCTTCTTATCTTCATAAATAATGTCAGCAGGCAGGCTTTTGTCGATGACTTTGGAGAAGATGGTTGGAGCAGAGGTGTACTTCTTACTGGCCTCTTGAGCCAGTCGCACCTCGTCACTTTTGGAGCAAAGTTGTCGCTGCAGAGACAACACACAATAACAGATAGCTACAAACGGAGGATATGTTTGTCTTAATATAAAAGTAATGCATTTGCAACGTTATGGTGAAGGAAAGTAACTCAAACTATTCCACGTGTTTTCATACTAAATACCTCGACTTGACGGGGGCAGTTGAATTGTGCTGATTTTGTTCTTCCAGCTCGAGAAATTCTTAAAATCTGCCGATACATCGTGTGTAAGTTCATTCCAGAACTTGTTGTTTTGTGTCGAAAAATGTTTTGTGTCCTCCAGCTTCTTCGCTGCACGATCTTCTAATGTTTACGTTCTATGATGCTTCCTCCAAGTGGGAAAACAGAAAAGTATCAGTGAAATAATATCCTTTTTTATCCATCCTTATTTAATGTATTGTTAACATTCAGGTATCTTACTTTGTGCTTTTCATGGCAGATATGGTTTCTGTCAAAACAACTTACAATGGGTAATAATGTCATTAGTAATGCTTGAATTCATTTAAAAAGCATGAAATACGACACCTGAACGTGTTCTTAAATGCACCACAAAGCTCTATTCAAAAAACTTAACGTTCGCGCTCGTTAAGCATTGTAATGTAGTGCAGTTAGAAGCATTCGTGTAGAAAATTGCTCCAAAAAAATTCTCGTTTTAATATTTGGTACAAAAAAAAAAACAGGGTGTTAAAAATATTTTTTTCTCAAACCAGTATGAAGTCCATCTGATCCGCAAGGGGGCGCTCTGGCAAACGCGTGTGTAATCTCTTCTTCTCTACAAAGCACAGTTGCCATGTCCGCTCTTTTTGACGACTTTGGGATCAAACTTTTTTTTCAACAAATTGGACTGAACCATAACTGAACCGAAAAAAAACATCGCAAATGTAAAGTCTGGTATGGCTACATTTCCTTGCCGCATATTGTTGAAAAATATATTCATAATAGTTTCAAAATCGTATTATACTTGTCTAGTGGGGTGAGATAGCATAGACCTTTGAAGTTGGATTCTTGATATTGTTTAGAAACAGTTTATAGTATAGTTAATACAATATTAGTGTCATATAAAATATTCACAAACAAAACCACACCGTCATACTTGGCAACCGCAGAGCAGCTCTTACATCCAACATGGCGGCGCGCGCACGGCTGTCCTTGCTTCTCATCCAAAACTCTCCCCGTTTGACAAACCACAGACTTGTCCACAGCGAAGCAGTCCTAAAGGAGCCCGTGTACCCGCCAGTGGTTGCGTCCCTCACGGCTAAAAGCAAATCAGCACAACGCAGAAGAGAGGAGGAGAGAATAAAGCAAAAATGTGCTGCGAGTGTGGAGGACAAGCTCAAACTAATCACATCCGTGCAGCGCATGAAATATGTGATTTATCCACAAACATTTTCCCGCGGCGCAGATAGATGGTACCAGACCTACACCAAGACCGCGTACATCCCTGGTTTACCGGATAAATTCACCGCGAACCAAGAGGACACACCCGGGATCAGTGAGGATGTCCTGGCCGAAGCGCGTTCTCTCATTTCGAATGTGATTTTGCAAGAGCGCTGGTTTCATATCACCAAGCGCCGTCCTTTTCTCTACAGGAACCAGGAGCTTGTTTTTGGGCCATTGCTGAGGAATTTAGTGTCTGGTCTGACGCACAGTTTGGCCAAATGCAACCCACTGCTGCTCCACTCCAGTCTAGGTAATGCCATGGAAGTTACTCTGAGATTAAAGACCTTATGACGGGTTTTTAAAAAAAAAATAGTGGATATCAAAATTGCATGACAATGTCAATTTGAAAGAGATTCCGGAAAAAAAAATCCTATATTTTATAAAAAGAACGTGTTTTTCATGAATTTAAGATGTCTATGCTCTAACCTGTGTGTGACGTCATAGCGGGTTACGCCCATGCATTGAAAACCATGGATCTATGCCACAGGACTGCCTTTTCTCTCTTCTCTCCAATGATGCCCAACACAATACTGCCCTCTACAGGTGACAATTGCTCACTACACATAAATTGCCCTTTTGAGTGTGAAAAAGTGTCCGAGGTGGGATTTGAACCCAAGTATCTGGATTGGCAGGGCATCGACACAACCACTGGACTATCTCAGTGACAACAAAATGTCATATTCTAGTAGTTATCTTAGACTTGCTGTACACGGCCTTGTCCTCTTGAATATCCGCGAAAAAAGAACGAATACCAAATTGTAAACTACTTACAGCGTTGAAACGTACCCGTTCTGACGTCACCAAGGACTGTGAAGTTTTTTCGTTTCTAAGGGCGTTGCTATGGGGTTATTTCGATTTGGGGGGATCAGATAAAAAAAACAACTGATTTTGAAACCTTTAGTAGTTCTCTTCTAATATAAAATGGTATCAAAACTGTATTTCTAAATAAATCAAACCCGTCATAAGGTCTTTAATGAGCAATGTTGACTCCAAACGTGTTGAAATGTACCAATGATCAATTATGTGCACAATAAAGGGTGTCAGAAGTCTCTATTTACCTGTGTCCCAGCAGATAAATCATTCTAACCCAATTGATTGCATTGAAGTTATTTTTAAACTGAACGTGTTTGGTTATTTGGACTCTTGTTTTTTCATTTGCACATGAAAAATAAGAATGCTTTTGACTTTCAGTAATACAATTTACAGGGATTTGTCAATCTGATCTTGATTTAAGTTGCGGTACCTCCCTTTATTTTAATTTAGTTTGTAGTTATGTTTGCCACAACAGAAAGAGCTATCCTGTCTGCATCTATTAGAAAAAAATGGTGAGCCCTGTAAGTCATTATTTGACGCTGGGCGAGCTCATTGGCCGACTGATAGTGGTCCTTTTGCCACTTTTCTTTAGGAAATTAGCTTAATCTGTGTGACAGTGTAAATTAATGATGGCATTTTTGAGAGCAAGCCCTAGTTAGATGAATTTTGTTTTCCTCCATTGGATATCTACAGTTCTTCTTTCTTGACTCTACCATGACAGTATTTGCTCTATAATGTGTCCCTCTGTGTTATGTCAGACCTGGGTCCACAGGTGAACTTCTACTGGAGGAGAGGAGAGCGCATCATCCCTAGAGGACACAGAAACGGACGAGTGGAGCCGCACCGGTTCCAGATCGATGACCAGCCGCACAGTCAGATCCGCGTCACACAACCACTGCCACAGGTACAACTACTGTTACACATGACTGCAAAAGGACTACATACATTTCATTTACACAATAACCATTACATGTGCCTTTTGACCTTTTAATTGCAAATAAGAGTTGCAGATAAAAGTTTGTCTTACTATTTTGATCGAAATATTATACAGTTCAGATGTCTGATCATTTTCTTTTTACAAGCATATTATTGGCAGAGTTTCCATATCAAATTGACGGTATGAGCTGCATTTTGTGCATTTGTGACATTCTCAAACAAGCCCTGGGTATCATTGACAATTATACAGTTTAAGAAAAAACATTGGATTATTTTTGTATGTTTTAATTGAGCAATAGAAATACTTGATGTTATTTATTTGTATCTGTGTTTGATGTAGTTCGCTCCGATGGAAGACTCATTTGCAACAGAAGTCCCAGAGATCAACTGTGCTCCTGACATGATGCCTATGTTCAAAAGACAGTATGAGAACCACATTCACACAGGTGAACCACCGAGGCTCAAACACTCTTTCATATCCAATTGTTGGGAATTGTCACTTTTGGAATATTGTGCAAATCCATTTATTGTTGTAGTTTCCACCACAGATAGTCGTATTCATCTGCTGTTTTCTAATTAATGTAATGATAGAACTAAAAACAAAAGCTGCAATAAATAACAACACTGATTATTTTTTTTTATGATGATTATTGTAGTATTTCAGCTATATTAATATATTACAATCTATTCAACCTAATGCGCTGCAGCAATAAGGTGGTTGTGGGCCATTTCATGATTTTGTTTACATTAATTAAATGATTAAAGGGAACCTGTCTTTTGCCCACACTGGGGAAATGTTAGTGTTGTCATTCACGTTACAAAACGGGAAAACAAGAGAATAAGCCAATGTCAAAGATTGAAAAGCTTAACTGAGTGTAAAAAGTATTTATGGTATATAACAATGCTGTTAGCAGTATGAATTTCAGATTAGTACATGACTACAACACTGTACTGTGTATTTGCTTCTCTAAAAATATTTGTTCTATGATAAGTTTAAGATAAATTGAATTTAAATCAAGATGGCGTACAAATCTCCTTGTTTCTCTTTATTCAGGGGCCAAACTCCCAGACCCTTGTTGCTATGGCCACACGCAGTTTCACCTGGTTCCAGACCGTTACCACAGAGACCGCATGAGTCGCAGACAAGAGTGGGACCAGATTGAGGTGTTTCTGTGCGCGAATGCTATGGCCAGTCTGTTTGCCTGGACTGGGGCTCAGGCCATGTACCAAGGTGAGAGAGGGTTCATACCGGGATATGTAGAAACAAAGACATTCATCTCGTCGTTTAACCCTTGAGCTATCCTTGGGTTAAATAGACCCGCCAAAGCGATTTAAAAAATATCAAGTTTTATTTAGGGTGCATTTTGATGATTTTCCCAAACCAGCCCTGTGTCATTTAGACGTCAACTCATGACTCATAGGAACCTCACCATGCTGATGTGGTCTAATTCATTCACACAATGTTGCCACTTTCTGACTCTTTCTGTTAGCAGTTAGATTCCATCGCTGTAAAAAATATTATTAATGTTAAATATTATACTTTCCCACAAGTGTATAAACTTTCTGCAGCTTTGAGTCAACAATAAGACTTCCTTAACTAAAACTGCAAAAAATGACATAACAAATATAGAGTTCAATTTAAGACATTGAAAGACTAAACTAAAAATAAAAGACTAACTCTAAAAAAATTAAGCAGGTAAAATATCCAGAAACTGAGCATTGACAATCTATTGTCAATTATTTGTCTATAATTTGTAATTACTTTGTATTCATGTTGGTTTGATACTTCCCAGGTTTTTGGAGCCATCAGGACGTGACCCGCCCGTTTGTGTCGCAGGCCGTGATCACAGATGGAAAGTTCTTCTCTTTCTTCTGTTACCAGCTCAACACTGTGGCCTTGTGCGCTCAGACCGATGTGGACAATCCCAGAAAGAACCTGCTCTGGGGCACGGACAGCCTGCAACTGTACGACGACATACAGGACGGACAAGTGGTCGGCATGAACGATGAAGTCATTAAGCTCCTCATTCAATTTCTGACAAACAGAACGTAGGAAATCCGAAATTAGTTTGCAGAACCCTCTTTGCAATGTATTTATATCTGTATTTAAACAGATAATAAATTAAAATCAAACATTTTTGTGATGTCAAATGTAATGTGTTTTGTATGCATATTTACGATTCAAAAACAAGCGTGTCTATCCAGAGCTTTGTAGTTTCAGTATCTCTTTTAAACGCTCCAAACATCTGTAAGTGAACGTTCTAACCCCCTAAAAAGTGAAACTTTCTTGAATCCATTCTCCTCCACCTTAAATAGCGAGGAACAAAATGTCAAGATGGCAGTTTAGACTAAAATAAATTAAAATACAGTTTTAAAGAAATAGAACATAGCCTACGGTCATTGATAGTTTAATTTGTTTGAAGTGCATTTTAAAGAAATTATCAAAAGCAAAGCAAAATTATTAAGTTGATAGACGCACAACAACACAAAGCATCGACACAGGTGCACAGTACTGGTCCATACGCTGAATACGAGCAGCAATACTTTTACTCTAAGGCACTGCTTTCAATGAGCTTTTGGAAACACATTCTTTGAGGCTTTGTACTACGGATTTTTGGGCAAAAATAATTACAGTAAAGATTAAAAAAAACATCTATTTCCCCTGTAAAAATGCATGTATTTATTATTACTCAGTGTTTTGTTCTAAGATATTGCTTCAGTTTTATTGCTCATAGTCCTTTTCCACCGCTTGGTTTGGTTCCCAGATACTGTGTGTGGTTTTCTTCAGTGCCGATGAAAATGCCCCAAAACATTGGAGTAGAGTAGGGCCAAGCAGAGCTGTCTAAAATAACTAAAAATATATAACGTCTATTTAAACTTTTCTCTGTCTTGTTGTTGCTCCTCCGTCTACCTCCGCGTTCTCTTCATGTGACCTGTTTGTGACAAAAACATTTTGTTGTTACACAGCCACTGAACACAAGATTTCAAGGTTCATCAAATCTAGTTCTAGTGTAGTATATTTTAATTTGAGCATGGTTGCAATGGTTGCAATATATACTAATTATTAATCTAATCTGAGAGGGTAAAAGCATCACATACAAAAGAAAATTAGTGTTTTTCCACATTGAGCCTTGATCTAAGATTAGGTAACTCATGCGTGACATTTTAGTCCAGTAATATTATACTATATATTTACTAGTTACTTACGGAATGGTAGGTTGGTAGTTGTTCCCTTCGTCTCCTGCAAACAAGACTTGAGTTCAGGTAAATGGTTCCAGGTGCAAGTAGGAACATTAAACGCAATTTATTTGACATATTTTTAAAGATCTAATCCAAAAACTTTATTTTTATAGCACATTTAAACAACAATCAAGTCTCAAGTGCTGCACGAAAGTATATTATATGCTCTTATCCTTAGCTCCACCAAGTATAAAACAATAAAACAACTACTAAAGCCAACTAACATAATAGTTAAAGTTAAAGTCAAAACTGGACTGCATCAATTCTGGATCTGGATACACAACGTTATTCCTAATTATGACTTTATGTTTATGTTTGAAGTTGATCTGAATGTGTTAATTCCATGTGCACCTGACTGGGGCTGTTTCTTGGAGCCAGTCTTCTCGTACAGAAGGATCACCACCACCAGCAGCAGCACCTCCACCACGAACCCCGAATGACTGCACCGAGTTACTAAAGTAAGTGAAGACCAAAGCTCGTATCATGTGACCCGCCATGCCTTGCCCCCACCGTACCCCTCCACGTACTCCCCAGCGTCTACGACTCTGTACACTTTCTGTCCTCCACCCCTTTGTAACATATACTATCTCCTCCAGGCTGTAATTTTATAGCGCATGACCATCAGTGATCATATGAACCCTACTATTCTCTGCCTGTCCAATCAAGTCCAATACAACCAAAAAACTAAAAACGACATCTGCTAAGAGCAAAGTATACCATACATGACAGATGAGTAGTTAATCCCTAAAAGATTCCTCTGCATCTTCCCCACCATATAGCCGCATTTTTAAAAACATAATCTACAAAACGCCTCTCACCACAAAATATACACAATCACCACCCCCTACATACCATCCCCCCCCATATTGTTCACTCTACATCCTCATTAACACCTCCTATCATCCCCTAACAACCCACATACCTATACCTAAAAACCAAAATAACATAAACAACCCCCAATACCATCGCAATACTACATTGCTAACCCACCCCCCCCCTCCCCCCCCCCCCATTCTTACCATTAAATTGCACCCACACCATTAGAATCCCCCACCATCACCAACATAAAGAAACCCCCCCTGTCCCCTCACCAACATTCTACAAACTCCCAACAACTAACTCCCCTCACAAATCACAAATTCATCAATCCTCCCTTTCACAAACTATCCTTTTCTCTTATTTACCAATTATTTCTCATACATACACAATCCCCAAAATACATACTTTCCCCCCCAATAACCCTCATCATCGAAATTCAACCACACCCACACCCCAACACCCCACCCCTTCACCATACCCCCACACACCACTTATATTACTCAACTCTACAACACCCCCCTCAATACCCACAACCAATCCCCCTAAACAACATAAACCCAAAACTAATACCCCTACCCACCCCCTTCCTTCAAACTAAACTACCAAAACCTCACATCCCCCTCTACCCCCTCACTCACCACCTTTCAATGTATGACCTCTACCCCCTCACATTCTCATCCATCTCCACCCCCATATTAAATTCCCTATACATCCCCCACCCTCTTTAAACCACCACCATAACAACTATTTAAAATATCTATCCCACAACTCCCCCCCCGTACCCCCAACCATACCCACATCCCACCACCACATTCAAATTTACCCCCCCATCCTATATCCTTACCCCCTAATCAACCGCCAGCCATCATCCCATCAACACGCCTTCTCACAATATAACCCAACCCAAATCCCCACAACAATCCCCCATCAATCATCCTCATCCATCACACACACCACCACCATACCTTACTCCCGCAAACTCTTAATTCACACCCTACCTCTCATAACACTCAACTAACAACCACCAAAAGTCCGCCTTCATAAATACTCACCTTAAACTTAAATCCCTCAAACCTAAGTAAAACCCTACCCTTCCCACCACACAATAAAATATACCCCATTACCCCACCTACAAACATACCAAAAAACATCCACCACCCTCCCCACAATAATCCCTATTCTACCAAAGACGACCAACAATACGCCCTACCCCCCAATTATTAACCACAATTCCCATATTTTCCCCGCCCCTACCCCCATATACAATATATTTTTGTGTTATTATAACACCACAGCACAACCTTATATTCATCCACATCTACCACCCCTTACCCCACACCTACTATTTTAACCCACACTTACCTCCCACCCCCACAAAACCAAACCCACCTCAAAACTAATCCACCCCTCCTCCCACAAAAATACACAACATCCACCATTCAAACACTCTCCTTTTCTATCTCTCTCTTCCCATCAACACAATACAAACAAACACCATAAAAAGCCAACACCATCATATAAATAAGTCCCTAATATCTCCCTTTTCCACCATCAACAAACCCCAACCTCACCCACCCCCTACTACACACACCCCCCAAATAAAAACAATCCATACGCGCTACCCCACCCTCAAACCATCTTTACCCCCACATCAAAACCATTGCCACCAAGCCCCCCCCAAATCCAAACCACACCTTTTCTCAATCCAAGACCTCCAAACAACCACAACACCCTATCCCCAAACATTGACATTGTAACCACTCTCCCCCCCCCACCCACCAAACACAAAAACCCCCCCATCCCACCCCCCCAAACCCTACTACCACAAACACCAAAAATACTTAAGCACCAATAAACCACCCATCTTCACCCCTACACCTAACCAACCCCCCCACCCATTCCATAACCCCCTCCACACACCCCATCCCCCCCCAAAATAAATTTCAACCCCCCTCAACCTTTATCAAACAGCCATACCCCCTCTCCCCCAAAACATAACTCATCCCCTTTATCTCTTTCTCCCCTCTGTTTCCTAACTTTTACCTTCTTTTACAATTCCCCTTCTTCCACCCCCCCAGCCAACCTCCCCCCCCCCCAACCCCTCACATTTCACCACCAAAACACCCACCATCAACACCCCTTCCCCTGTTAACGTTATGATACCACTACCCAAACCACCCCCACCCACCACATCCACACCATACAACTCAATCACATAACCCTAATAATCATACAAACCCAAAACCCCCTCCCCAAACCAACACACTAAAACCCCATCCTACACCCCCCCCTAAATCACCATCCCAACACTACCATCCCATAAACCCACTTACAACCCCTACAATCATACTCATCACACCCCTAAAATTATGTGCTTCAAAACACCCATACTCCCCCCCACATACATAACTACCATACATCCCTTCTCCTATTCATTCTCCCCTATTTTCTTTCCAATTTTCCTTTCTAAACATCCCCTTCTCCCCCCCCCCACCAAACATCTCCCCCCCCCCCACCCCCATAAAATTTCACCCTAACCCAATATTTACCCCATCTTACAACCCCCCATTATTACCTATCACTCCCTATTATAACCACCCCCCCCCCCTCACATACCCACCCCCAAAACACCCAAATCCAATACAAACCAACCCACCCCCCCTTCACAACACCCCCCCCCACTACACACCCCATCCCTTAATCTCCACCACAACAAACCACCAAACAACTACAACCCCTCCCTATTCATCCCCCCCCCAAATTCCCCCCAATAATACCATACTTCTCAAACCTTAAAAAAATCAACACCACATTACCCATCTCCCAACCCCAATTCTACGCTCCTTCCCCAATCCCCCAGACAAACAACCCACAACACCCATCCACTCCCCAACCCCACCCCCCCAATAACAATATCAACAATCATTAAAACCCACACAAACAATTAATCTCCCCCCCCCCATACATTCCATACCTCCAAACAATCACCTGCCCCTCATAGAATCGCTCCCCAAATACAACATAACCCTCCCTCTCACCCTCCCTATCCGCCATCCCCCTAAACTAAAACCTATCCCTCAGCAAAGTAAAACCTCGCCCTCATTACATCTATTACACTAAACCCCAACGCCTACTTCCGTACAAAATTTCTTCCCTCACTCCACACCAAAAATCACCCCCCCCCAATTAAACCAATCCTCTTTCCCCTAAAACCCCCCCTCCATCAATTTCCCCACTTCTCCCCCCACTACCATCATCACCCCCCACCACAACCCATAACCACTCCCACACCAACCCCCTCCAATCCTATCCCCCCCCCCCAAAAACCTCCACAATATTATCCCCCAGCACCTCCCAACACACACCCTTCCCCCCCCCACACCCCCCTTCCCTATCCCTCAATAAATAACCTTATTAAAACACAACACACTCAACAAATTAAATACCCCCCCCCACCCACCCCACCCCCCCACCCCCAATTCAAAAACCAATACAACCCCTATACATCTGCACCCCCTCCTCCCCCTCCTTATCATTCCCCCATCTATATATCCACTTACCACAAATCTTCTAATTTATTAACTACTTATTATCCTTATACACATACCCCCCTTTATCAAATCATTACCCATACAATCATATTATCACTAAAATCACCACCCCCCCACACCCCACCCACCCAATCATATACCCATATCCTCCATCCTCCCTCTCACTTTATCCCCCCTAAACCCAAACAACACCAACCCCAGATCCTCCCACCCCCTCCCCATGTCTCTCTCTGCCACCACATACCCCCTCCTTCCCCCCCAACCCCCCCAACCCCTAATAAACCCTCCCCACCCTACCTAAATCTCCTTCTAATCTCATCTCTTCATATAAGAATCTTAATCACCCTCCCCCCCTTCCTGCATCCAACCACTTACAAAACAACCCCTCCCCCCCTCCACCCCACCTCTCAATAACAATCCCACCAACCACCCTCCCCTCCCAAAAATAACACCAAAACCTCACACCACCTATACAATACTCACCCTACCTTTTCCCCCACCCCAAAACTAAATTCTCTCCCATACCCCTAAATCATCCTCCCCCCCCAATAATCCCATCCCCACCCTCCCCTATACCCCTACTAAACCCCCACCCAACCCTCACCAACAAATAACTCCTCCCTCAACACAACCATAACCCTCCATGTTCGAAACTACTCCCCAACACCCCTTAATAGGTTACCTAATCACCCAACCCCCACACACCTCACTCACACCCACCTCACTTTTAACCCCCCCACCCCCCCCCAATCAATACCCCTCTTCTCTTCCACTCCCCAATATCTGTCCCCCAACCAACAAAAAACCACCAATACATTCACCCTCATACACATGACTCTATAACCATCCTCCCCCCCACACATCCACATCACCACTATGTGTTTCCCCCACCTCCTAAAAACTCTTCCACCCCCCCTGTCTAAAAATAAAAACTACTAACCTTCTCTAAACCGTCTAATTACCACACCAGTCCTACATTACCCCTACATACAAATCTCCTAAACCTCACAACATAACACGCCCATAGATTCCCAATATTTACTACCCCCCCACCCCCAATCAATACCCAAATAACCTACAACAGACAACAAAAATACCGCATCACTACCCACTACCAAAAGTATAACACCACCCAATTCCCCCCACAATTTATGTCCTTATTTTGTCAACTTCCACTAACCCTAACCCAAACACACAAAAACCTAAATAACTAAAAACCCCCTCTGAAAAGTATCATTAGAACAAATCTACCCTTCACCCCCCAATATATTCCCCATCCTCAATCACCTCACGTCACCTCTCATCCCAAACCTCCCAGACAAAATATTCAACCCGACCAATCCAACAACTCCACCCCCCCCAACCAACCACTTTCTCCCTCACACACACCCCCCCCATTTACCCCCCACCCACCCCCCCCTCCTTACCACCCCCCACCCCATACATAAACATCACCCCCCCAATCATCTCTTCTAATCCCACAAAAACAAACACCCATTCATCCCCCCCCCCCCTCCACCCAAAACCCATAACAAACAAACCACATCCCCCAGTATTACCCTCCCACCCCTCTCCACACTATATCAACACAACCGAATACCTTCTCCCTGCTCCACAAACTTCACTCTAGAACCGCTAAGTATATTCTTTCCTACCATCACTTCATATATAATTCACCCACCCCCCAATCAAATCCCACACATAAAACCGAACCTTATACCTAAAACCATACCTATCACCCCCCCCCTACCCACCAAACTCCACAACCCACAACCCCAATCTCCACCCTTAAACCCTTTCCCCTCCCTCCCCCCCTCCGATATTACCCATAATCATACTATTCTTCATATATCCTCTAAAGAAAACAATTTTTTCCCCTCACTTATATTACCGCTACATTTAACCAACATTTTCACATCACACCTATTCTCTCATTTCCTTTCTCTTACCATAAAACCAACACCTCCCAGCCCCACCAACTTATCCTCCAATACCCATCCCCCCCATTCATCCCGTCTACTCCTCTTCTCCCCTTCCTAAAAATTACTTCTACATTATAAATTTATTCCCTACTATTCTTACTATTACTTTTATTTTCACTATTCCTTTTCAAGTCATTTTCCTTACTTACCGACATTACTTCCTCATAACGACATCAGTATACCCCTATTGATGAATCTTATACATTTTCTATCCTGATCTCACCCTATTCATCACCATAACCCCAACTACCCCTACTCATTTCACCACACCGTATCTTAACTCCCCCTATCCCATCCTTCCCCAACCCAACCTATATGCCCCCCCCTACCACCATACACCACACACACCCAAAAACCCACACCCACCTAATAAATAATAATCTCTTCACAAACCTACTCTCAATAAAAAACCTACCCTCAACTTTCCCAACACCCCCCCAATCTCCATACCCCAACACAATTTTTAACCTCTATAATACCAATCCCCCCCATCACTCACATCATTCCCATCCCCTTTTCACATCCCCCCTCATTTACACCCTCATCACCCTCCCAATACCACCATACCCCCCTCCCATCCCCCTCCCCCTCTTCCCACAGCCACCTCCATTCTTCCCCCCCCCCTTACCATCCCCCCCCCTCCCATACTCCAGACATCACTCATTCCTTATCCTACTTTATCCTTCTCCCATCTCACCTAACTACTAAATCTACCAAACCAACCCCCCATCACAACCATTATCCTCCACCACCAACTATCTCCAACACCCCCCACACCACCCCCCTAGACCTCCCACCCCATACTCAACCACCTACCCCCACACCCACACACCCACCAAACCCCCCCCCTCACAACATATCCAACATAATCCCTTACCCATATTCCATACAAAAACCCCATTACCCTCCCCTACCACAAAATCAATCACCTCATCCACCCCCCCTCCCCCCCATCCTTCTCACAAAATCCCCACCTAATAAACAAGTTTGTCACCCCCCACCCCCCCTCCACTTACCAACCCCCCACCCCCCCCCCCCTAACCTCCACCACACAAGACCTAAATAACATGACCTTCACTCCACCCTTCAACCATCCCCCCATACCCCCAAAAACTCAACTCCCACCCCCCCAAACCCCATTCATTATATAAATAAATCTCCCTCACACCCTCCCACTAACCCACACCCACCCTAGTTACTCCACCTCCCCTAACCCCTTTTAATTAAACAACCATACAACAACACCAACAAAAAACCAAAAGTCATCCTCAAAACCATACCCCCCCACAACCATACAAAAATAAAACCACCGTAATCCCCCCAAAACACCCCCCCCCACCTACAACCCTATCCAAAATTAAAACACAACACCTTAATAAATACAATTACCCCAATAAACTCAAACCACCCCTTCCCCCTCCCCCAGAATATTTCCCCCCCAGTCCCCAACACCACCGCCACCCATACGCCATTATAATACCCACATCAATCCTCTCTCCCCTATCCCCACCTATCCTACTCCCCCCCGACCCATCACAACACCACCCATACACCTCTCAACCCCACCACATCCCCCCCCCATATCCCCACACATACAAAAAAACTACCACTCCCCCCCAATCTCCCTACCACTCAACACAACTACCCCCACCACCCCCAAACCCATACTCATTCTACTCAATCCCCCCCTCACCACTTCCCCATGTATAACTCCACACACCCCCCCAACCCTCCTTTTACACCCCCCACCCCCATACATTTAACATACCCCTAAAACTCATCCACACAAAAATTAACCCTACCACAAAACTCACTCAAAAACCTCTCATCATACCCCCACTCTTCCTAATACCTCCCCCTTAACCAGTTAAAAATCCTATTCCCACCCTATAAACCTAATTTACCCCACCAAACCACAACCAACACAAACTCAAAAACCCCAACTCCTCCAACCACCCCCCATAAACTTAAAACACCTTAAACCAACCACACCTCAATCCCCCCCCCTCTTAACAAACTCCCAAATCAAAACCCACACATCAACCCCAAATACAACTACAACACCCCTCCAAACCCCCCCTATCTATATACCCCCCCCCCAATCCTCAATATACGACCCCCTACACCCCACTGTGTCAATTAAACCCCCATCCTAACCCCACCTCATTAAACCACAAAACCCCTCTCCCCCCCACCATTCAACAAATCACCCACTCTATCCACCACAATCTCTCCTAATTATCTACATTCCCACCAACCCCAAATCCTCCTACCTTCCAACTAAATACTCCATCTCAACCCCCCCCCCCCCATCCAATCCTCTACCCCCCCCCCTCAATACACAATCAACCCCCCCCCTCCATCCTTATAAACCAACTGCAAACCACTTTAACACCACCAATATTCAATCATATTTCAATTATATTTCCCTTAATCCAACACTCATTCCTATTCCCCATCCTCCCTCACTCCCCTTACAATACCCTATCCCTCTCCACTAATACAAATCAAATCTCAAAACAGACAAATCACCCCCTCCCTCAACCCCCCTCTATACCTCTTTACCCCCCCCCCCCCCCCTACCCCCCCCCCCCCCCCCCCCCCCCCCCCCCCATACCATCTATTTCACACCACCTCTTCATCCCCCCCACACCCCTTCACAACCACCCCCTCCAAATACCCCCACACCCCCATCAATATATTCATAATCAAATCCCCCCACCTAATCCACCCAACCACCACCTCAAATACCACTAATACATAAACAAACCATATCTTATCCCTCCCACAACACTCAGTTACACTACCCACATTCCCTCCCCACTCTCATACCCTATCAAATTAAACACAATTCTATACATACACTCACTTAACCACAATACCCCTCCCCCACCAACAAAAATCCAACCATAATTTCATCACAAAACACCCCAAACACATCAAATTCACCCCACCCATCAACAATTACACCCCATACCCAAAAATTTATCCCTATCACTACCCCTGACCTCCCATCTCTCAAAATAACCCCTAATCTCTTTCTTAACAACCCCCCATAAACCAAAACCTTAACCCACACCCCCACCACCACTCTCATACTATTCCCCCCCACACATTACCAATCCCCACCCCAAATTCCATACAACCCATTTTCAATCACAAACCCTCCTGTTTCCCCCCCCAAATCACCCCAACTTATAATCACCCCTTCCCACACAACCCATCCCACCAAATACCCCCCCACACACACAACCCCCACCCACAACCCCCACCCCAATACAATCTAAACCAATACACCAATTCGTGACCTATTTTCCACCAACCTGTCCACAATCCCATTTTCACCCCACACCTACCTTCTACCCATCCAATAACCACCACCCCCCCAACCCACACAAACCAACTCCCTCCCATATACCCCATATAAACTTTCCCAAAATACATCCAACCATTCCAAGACACATCAACCCTCATCATTCTAACCCCTAATATTCCACACCATAAATATAAACCCATCCCAAAATACAATCCAACCCACCCCAACCCCCCTATCACCACATAATCCAACCCTCACAAAATTAAAATTCTCCCCCCATCCAACCATCTCCCCCTACATTACCTCCCACCAAAACCCCTCCACAATCCATACTCCCAACCTATAATCCAATACAATAATATAATCCAACAATAAAAATCAAACCAATACCCCTCCCCATTCCCCCCCCTACCACCCCCCATTCACACCCCCACCCTCATCCTCCCATTCTCCCTCCCCCCTCCCCTTATATTACTATCCTTACTCCCAACCCCCCCCCCCCTTAAACTCACAAACCACCCCCATCCAAAATCCAAACTATACCCCCAATCTTTCCACAACCGTCAACATCCACCCCATAATTATTTCACCAACCTTATACCCCACACACTTCCCCTAAAACAAAACCCCATAACTCCTTCCCCCACCCCATTTCCCTCCCAACCCACCTCTAACACTGTCATCAAATACTTTCATAATCTACCATATCACTTCCACCCCCTGTACCAATCCAAATCAACTCCTACTACACCCTACTACGTGTCCCATCACATGAAATACCATTAAAATATCTACCAACAATAAAAACAACCACCAATACCCCTCTCTTCCCCCTCAACAATTCAAACACCTCCAAATTCCACTCCCTCCCTAATATTATCATGTCCTTACACCCAACCTCCAACTAATATAAAACTACCCCTCCCCCCTCTCCAAATCTCACATAACACACCTTACTAAAATCATCCAACACATAATCATCAGTGTGCACCCCCCAACATCCCCTCTCCAATTCACGCCCATCACACCATACCCTTAAAACCTATCAAATTTCCCCATCCATCAATCAAATTAAATTCTAAACTTCCCCTCCCTCCCATAATCTTTCTTACCAATACCCTCTCACATCTCTTCCCAACACCTTTTCATTCTCTAAGCCCTAATAAAACCAATTTTCTACACCCTCCATAACTTATCCTAATCCCATAAAACCATCCCAATCCTCCCCCCACTCAATTACTTCAACAACAAACACCTCAAATCCAACCACCCAATAAAAAACATCAACTACCAATCACCCCAACCCCCCCCCCTCCCCCTCTTCACAAACCCCCCCATCAACTCCACTCCTCTCCTTCCAAACCCACACACACCCCAAATCACACCCTATCATCACCTTCCCCCCCCTCTAAATAACAATTCTCCCCACCCCCTACCTCAACCCCACTAAAACATAACACCTTGTTAACGTATCCGCCCCACTTCCTCACAAAACCATTACAACACCAACCATACCCCATCCCATCCAACAATCCCCCCCCCACCCCCCCCCTCCCAACAATCATATACCAATCCCCCCAACCCTCTTCCCCCCAAATATACTCATATCCCAACCCACCCCGCCCCCTCTCCCCCATCCCAATCCACACCAATAAAATAGACATCCCTTCTCCCCACAACTCCCTCCCCTATCCTATTATTCACATATTCCCCCACCCAACTTATATCCATCATTCCCCCCCCCTACCTCCAAACCCCCACCTTTCCCATTTCCTGGTCATTTCTCTCCCCTCTCACCTCAAAATCACACCCCCCCACCATTCCTCACAAAATCTTCCTCTCTACCCTACCTATCCTCCCAACACCAATACCACCATCAAACCCATTCCAACCCCCCCACACACCCAAACCCCCCACCCTATAACCATCAACATTATCCTTCCCAATTTCCAAACACTCTCAAAACTATCCCCCCTCCCCCTCTATTCCCCCACAACCCTTTAGCCCATAATACACATATATAACAAATCCCCCCACCCTCCAACCACCCCTACAACAACCCCCAAGTACAATATAACTCCTAAACCCCCCATAAACAAACAACCTAGTCAACACATTTATCTTAATCTTTCGTCCTCCACTATCTCACATCTTTATGCCAATAATACCCATCACCATACCCTTCCCCTTCCTCCACAACCATAATTTCATTTAAAACACTCCCATTACCTCCCCCCATTTCATTCATCCTATACCACAAATGACATCCTACTCACAAACCCACATTTACACACAACCACCCCCTTAGCTACATACATCACAAAACCCTACCCTCATAAACTTTAACACCATAACACAGAATAAACTCCCCCCCCCCTCCCAACAATTCACCCCACATAAAACCTCCCTCCCTCCTATTCCCCAACCTTCTTCTCCCACAATCCCCCAACCCGTCAACCCCCTATCTCCCTGTCTCCCAAAACATCCTACCTCCCCCACACCCCCCCCAACTTAAACAACCACAACCAAACCCCACTAACCCCAAAACAAAACATAATACCCCCCCCATCACAACAAACTGTTGCACCCCCCCAAAATTACCCTCTCCCCCCCCAAACACAAAATAATAAAATAAATAAATCAATACACCCTCAATCCTCCAAAATCTCATCTCCCCCTCCCCTCCCCTCCACCCACATCCCTTCCACAATTATTAACCCCATTTCCATTCTAATCCCAAAAACCTCCACAACCCAAAATTACCATCCCACCAAATACATCCCCACCCTCCCACCCTACTCACATAAAATCTCCACCTCCCCACCCCTATCTCCCCAACATTCCACTACCCATCCACATACATACAAACCTCCCCCCCTGCCAACCATTACTTACCAATAACACCAACTCGTCATCATAAACAACTCACATCAACAACTACAACAACCAACCATTCTCACCACTCATACCCAACATCCTTACCACTCCCCACCACCAACTCCATTCATCTCCTCCTCCCCTATTAATTATCCACCCATCCCTCTACTTCCTGTTATATACCAATTTTTTTATATACCTTCTATTTCCCTCCCATTACCTCATCTTCACCCTTTACCACCCCAACCACCTCTGAATCCTCCTACCCACTATCACTATTATTCTTATCATCATCATTTATAATTATACACCCCCAACATACCTCCTCCATCACTCCTCCCCCCCCCCCCCCCCCCCCATTCCCCCTCCCCCCCTTATCCCCATTCACAACCCCCCAAACCTCACCACCAACCCCACCCCCCTCCCTACACCAACTCCACCCTCCCATATATACACCTCACCCTCCAATCATCCTTACATAAAGTCAAACCACAACCCACCACATCATAACTAATTCAAACTACTAATAAAACAATCAAACAACCAATTATTCTCACCTTTCACCTCTCTCCACACACCACACCAAACTATCCTCCAATCTCAATATTAATAAACCAATATACACCCCCACCCTAAAAATTCAACTTTCACAAACCCCCACATACCCACCCAATCTAAACCATAACCACCATTCCCATTCCCCAAACTATCCCCCCTAACATAAATCCTTCTCCTCCTTTCCCCCCACCCCCCACCCAACTACCCTACCCACTACCCCCACTCTACACCACAACCATTCCACCCTTACCTCATCTAACCACCAAACTCACCTTCACCATATTCCCCCCCACCAAAACAAAATACATATATACTCATATCACACCTCATACTCAACCACCTCAACTACAAACAATCTCCCCATCACCCATCACCCCCAACCCACACACCACTCCCCACTCAAATCATCCCTAATCCCGTCAATAAAAACCGATTTATGTGATACCCCTACCCCCCATAAAATACCCTCCACCTTCCCATCATCTCCTCCTTCTTACTACTGTCTTCTACCCCCACCCCTCCCTACTCCTAAACCCACTCCCTTAAACACAAAAACTACAAAACTCCCTCCAATCATTCCCACCACACCAACCCCAATAAATTTTTCAAGTAAACACTTCCATCCTCCCCCCCCTGCCCCCACCTAAAGAATTTCACACCCCCCCCCCCCTCTCTTATTTCTCCCTCTTCACATCTCCCACCCCATCCTTCACACAACTCCCCCATCTACACCCCCACCACATCCAAAAACCTTTCCCTTCTCATAAAAAAAACCATCTAAACCCATACCAAACAATCCCCCCAAACTACTACCCCCCTCACCCCTCCATATAACCCCCCCTTGTCACCAATCCCGCTGACTCTATCAACTCTACCCCTACTAATATCACTTCTACCTTACCTTCCTACATATCCCATTTACCTCATCAAATAAATAATATCTTATCAAACCCCAACTAGCATCTCTCTCAAACTCAAAATCACCAAAATAACCCCATCCCAACCCCCCCCCAACCCACACCCATCTACTTCAACATAAAAAACAAACCCCCATACAACACCAAACAAATATACACCACCATCCAATCCCAAAAGAACCACTCACAAACCTTATTTCTTCTCCATTCAACCCTGTCCTAACCCAAAAACTTTTTAACTCCCTAACCCAACACCTATAAATTCTCTAAAGACCATCTACATCCCCACCCCCTCAATTCACTCCCTCTCAATGCAAGTAATCATACCCACATCCACCCCCCCCCAACCCTCACAATCCACCCCCCCCATAAAATCAAAACAAACAACAAGAAACCTAACCTCACACACCACCCAATCCCCTCTTTAACATCCCCCACCAAATTCAAAACATTATCTGATAAATAACTCCCAATCCATCTTCTTCATATAACAACCTTAACCATTCCTTCTCCCATACCTACCATAGTCTTGATCTTCTACCCCTAAATCTTCATAGTATCCTCTCCTTAACAAAATTTCTCAATTACCCCCACTTACTCGTTTCCCCCCTTCTCCACCTATAATCTTCATTACACCTCCTCCTCTCTCTCCCAAACCAATATAATCCCTTCCATCCGACCCCCACTTTCTTATACTACTATCATTACCCCACCACTTTCATACACCCCCCCCCCAATCCACCCCTACCAACCCCCCAACACTCCAAACCAATCCCCTCTACAATTACACATCACCTAAACATCATATCGTTAACTACCATTTCTCACAATAACCCTCAACTCAAGAATATACCTCTAACTTCAAAACAAAAACTATACTACAAACCCATTACCAATCCCCAATCCCCACACACAAAGAACATACATAAATTTATCCGAAAACTAACCTTCTCTACAACAATAATCCGCACCCTCCTCATCCTCCCTAAACATACCCCAATTGGCTACATTCTTACACAAACCCCACACCACAAAATACCCGCTGTCATTCCACACTAGCCCTCACCTCTACCTACATGTCCCGCCAATTGTATCGGACAACTCCCCCACCCCTCCCATTTTTATGTAACCACATCTACATCTAATCTACATACAATCCCCTTTTTTAATTCCCCACCACCCTTCACCCTCAAATAGACCCTCCAAATCGACAAAAACCCATTCGAAAATTTATACACAAAACCACTGTCACTCACCCTTAAAACCCCTCCTCTCTTCCCTTTACAATATAAACAGTCAACCGTAATATACCCACTATCACCTATTGTCAAGATCCATCTCCCATTCCATGCTCACCACCATCCATGGTCCTCAACTCCATTTTCTCTCATCATATACCCACCAACACAAGTTACCCAAGATCTTCGACATTGTCCACATCGGACACATATTGTACAACTGACATTCAGTCCCTGTTAGTTCCCTTCGATATTCCCACTCCGCCAGTTTAATTCGAAATGGCACAACCCTCTCCCCCATTCCTGAAGTATGAACTATCAATATCAATACCCAACACAACAATCACCTCATATCCCACGCACCCCACATATGAAAATCTCATCCCCACAGCGCCTAACCCTATTTATTCCATAAACACCACATGTCCACGTAACAACCATCTCCATCCTCAATTATACACAGAGTGACCACCACCAAATCACCCTCCTAACGCTATACTCCAGTAGAAGATGCCATTCAACAAACAATATAAACCCTAAATATACCTAGCCTGCCCCCAACCCCAAACCCCGTCCCATCCCATTAACCAGATACTACAAATACCTTACAGACTCTACCACCCCCCCTCATGCACCAGGCTGCCTCAACACCCACCTTAGATTGCTTCCGAGCGCAAACGGTAGCCAATGCTTGTACCGACTATTCATCTTCTGATGCACTACTACACATAATCAACTGCAATCAAGAATCAGCTTCCTTCCCGTGTATGTTATTTAGATGGCAGCATATGTAATTAGAATCTATCTTAATTAAATCGAAAACAGCCCGCTGATATCCGACTGCTCTGTGTGTGGTGCTAACTCCAACAATAAATGGAATAGCCAAATCTTCCTCACAAGTGAAATCCCAACACTAGGATAGAACGCGTTGAATTGCGCCACTGATGTTCCCCTGTGTGCCTGATGTTCTCTATCTGACATTGAAACCACGCCACATGACCGTAGGCCCTAAGAATGCTCTGTGTACTTCTTCTAGAAAGAAGAGTATTCCATGCGCGCCCTTCATCTGACCCACAGCATCAGAAATTCACGTTCGACAATTACGTGTATTTCACAGTGCTCCACATTAATGACCATAGCAAAAAATCATCACTGATATATTTCTTGTAAACTGTATATCATGTCAATGTATACCCGGGCTGTTTGAGGACTGACCACAGCCCCCAAGAAGTCAGTACCGAGCTGCATAATCGTGTCCTTTGTGCCATTCCGTACAAACAGCCCAGGGTATATCATTGACAATACTCAGTTTAAGGAAAACACATAGAGATTATTTATTTATGTATAATTGAGCCATAGCAAGTAGCATTGGCTGTTATTTCTTTGACTCAGTGTATTGATGTATTTCGCTCGATGGAAGCGCTCTTAGCACCAACGACCAGAGAATGTCAACAGTTGCTCCAGGACTATGATGCCTCTTTTATCACACCAATACGTGAAGAGAACACATTCACACGTGTGAACCCGCTGCGTCTACGCCACTCATTTCATATGCAATAGTTTGTGGTCCAATGTCACTTTTGGAAGTACTGTGCAATCCATTTATTGTAGTGTTTCCACCAAGATAGTTGTATTCATCGGCTTCGATTTTCAATTTACTAGTCATGACGAAGAACTTAAACATCAAAAGTGCAATAATAAACATGCTTATTTTTTTTAATGCAGATTATTGAGTATATCGTATAGCATATATTACAATAAATACAGACTATGACGCATGCAGACAATAAGGAGGTTGTGGGGCCATTTCCTGATTTTGTTTTGACGCTTTACTGCGCTTAATATGAATTAAGTGACCCAGCATTGTTAGCCACACTGGGGAAATGTTCGTGTTGTCATTCACGTTCCACACGAGGGAAACGCCAGAGAATAAGCAATGACAAAGATTGAAAGCTAGTTAACAGTAGTGGTAACACGGTCTAATACTGGTATTATACAATGCTGGTTGCGCAGTATGAATTTCAGATTTAGTACATGACTACAACACTGTTACGGTGTATTTGCTTCTCTTAAAAATATTGTGTTCTCATGATAATTTTAAGATTACAAATTGGAATTTAAAATCAATGATGGTCGTAAAATCTCCTTGATAATCTCTAGTCTTCAGTGGGCCAAAACTCCCAGACCCTTGTTGCTGATGGCCACACGCGTTTCACCTTGGTTCCAGACCGCGTTACCCACCGAACGCAAGCGTCTCATACAAGAGTGGGACCAGTTGGAGGTGTTTCTGTGCGGCGAATTGCTTGGCCAGGTTGTTTGTGGACTGGGGCACAGGCCATGTACCAAGGTCGAAGGAGGGGTACATACCGGTGGTCTGTAGAACCAAAGACATTATCTCGTCGTTTTAACCTTGAGCTATCCTTGGGTTGTTAATAGACCCGCCAAGCGATTTTAAAAAATATCAAGTTTGTTTTTTTAGGGTGCATTTTGATGGTATTTTCCCAAACCCGCCCGGTGTCATTTAGACTTCACTATCCTTATGACACATAGGAACCTCACCCATGCTGATGTGGGTCCTCATTCATATCACACATATGTATGCCACCTTTCATCGACTCTTATCTGTTAGCCAGATAGATTGTCCAGCGCAGCTGTAACAAACTACTAAATGTCATTACATTATTTATACTTACCCACAAGTGTAATACAACTGTTCTGCAGCTTTGAGTCCACAATCAGGGACATTCCTTAAACAGTAAAACTGGCCAACAATGACACAAAACCAAATATAGAGGTCAATTAAAGACATAGAACGCCCTCACACTAACAATAACAAGACCTAACATCTCAAACAAAACTTAAGCAGGTACAAGCTCACCAGAACCGAGCGCGCTTGCCAATCTGATTGGCTCAATTATTCGCTCTATAATATGTCTAATTCCGTATGTATTCATGGTAGTGTGTTGAATACTTTCCTCCAGGGCGTATTTGGAGTCATCAGGAGCTGACCCGCCCGTTAGGTGTCGCCAGGCCGGGGACTCACAGATGGGAAAGTGTCTTCTCTTTCCTTCTTGTTACTCAGCTACACCACTGTGGCCTTGGTGCGTGCTACAGGACCGATGTGGACAGATCCCAGAAAGAAACCTCCTCTGGGCTCGGCCAGCCTGCAAATCTAGTTCACGGACGACTCTACAGGACGGACAACGTGGGCGGCCCTTTATTATGACGATGCATAGCAGTCATTAAGAACCTCCATTACAAATTCTGACAAACCAGAACGTAGGAAAATCGCAAATCGAGTGTCAGAACCTCTCTTTGCCAAGGAGTTATAGCTGTCTTGTAAACACGATAATAAGATTAAAATCAGTGACATTTTTGTGATGTCAACCTGTCTCATGTGTATTAGTATGCCAAATTTACGCAAGTCAAAAACAAGCGGGCCTATCCGCCGCTTGTGTTGAGTTTTACTAGTAACTCATTAAAACGCACCCAATGCGTCGGATACAGTGAGAGCCCGTTGCTCTAGACCCCCTAAAAAGTATGAAACTTTTCTGTGAATCCATTCTCCTCCACCTTAAAATAGCGACGAACCAAAATGTCAGAAGGACGGCAGTTTAAGACTAAAAATAAAATTTAAAACTACAGTTTTAAAGAAATACGCACATAGCTACGTTTACAGGTCAAATTTGATAGTTTCACGTGCATTCGAGATGGGCATTTTTTAAAGAAATGTATCAAACAAGCCAAAGCCCAAAATTAGTAACGTTGATGAGGACGCACACAACACAAAGCAACGCGACACACAGGTGCTCAGTACTCAGGAGCCATACGCTTGACCTTACGAAGCAGCAATTACTTAATTACTACGAAAGGCACTGAATCTTCAATGGAGCTTTTTTGGGAAACGACATTCGTTCTGGGATGCCTTTGTACGACGGCAATATTGGGCACAACAAATAATACAGTAAAAGCTTAACAAAACAACCATCTATTTCCCTGTTACAAAAAGCATGTATTTAGTATTCACTCAGGGTTATTGTTCTAGAGATAATGCTCTGCGCGGGTGGTTGAGGGCTCCAGAGCTCCGTGTCCACACGATTGGTTTGGTATCCCCGGCTACTGGTGTGGGTTTTCTTCTAGTGCCGAATACAAAATGCCCGCAAAACTAGGATGATAGAGGTAGGGCCAAGCCACAGCTGTTCGTAAAATAACCTAGAAAACCTATAATATCGTCCATTGAAACGTTTCTCTGTCGTGTCTTGTTGGTTGACTCCCTCCGTCTCCCTCCGCGGATTCTCTTCATGGTGACCTGTTTGGTGACAAAAACCTTTAGGGTTGGTACACAGCCACAGATCAGAACACCGAGAATTTCTCACGGATGCATCAAATCCTCGTGTCTAGAGTAGTAATAGTTTATATGAGATGCATGCTGAAATGGGTTTGCAAGTATAGACGAAGTATCCTAAACCGGATTCACTGATGAGGTAAAAGCAGCTACATACTCAAATGATCAAATTAGTGTTATGTCCACATGCGACCATTCGACGCTGAAAGATTATGGCTAACTCCTGCGTGACATATATAGTTCCAGAAATATAATACTAAATATTAACTAGGTTACTTACGCGAAATGGTAGGTTCGGGAGTATGTACCCTTTCGTCTCTGCTGCACACCATGACTAGCGTTCAGGTAAAATGGTTCCCAGGGTGCACAGTCGGACCATGAAACCGCACATTATATTGTTGACAGATTTTCTTAAAGAGCTAATCCACGAAACACTTCTAGTTTTAATAGCACAGTTTCCCCAACGACTCCAGGCTACTAGAGCTGCCCGACAAGTAAATGGTGTGGATGCGATGCGTCGTAACCTTAGCTCCAACCAAGTATAAAACAATAAAACACACATACTAGACTGCCAAGCGACTAACCTTAAATCGTTAAAGTGATAGTCACAATCTGGAATGCTGCAGCACTTTAGCTGGAATCTGGATTCACGAACGGGTATTCCTCATAATGACTATAATGTGTCATGTTTGAAAGGTGATACGGAATGTGTTAATCCATGTGCACCTGAACTAGAGTCTGTTTTCTTTGGAGCCAGTCTGCTCGTACAGAAGGATCACCACACGAACCAGCAAGCAAAGCACCTCTCACCCACGAGTCCCTGCATTGAACAGGCTCTCATGTGCAGAGGCCAATCGTAGTGAAGATGGAAGACCTCTGAGCGTTCATGCTGACGCCTGAATCGACGCCTGGACCGCACTCCGGTACACTAGCCCCACACGTACATACACTCCGGGAGTCCGACTCGGTCGCACGTTAAGCACCAACACAATCTTGTCCTCTGCTCATCCAGGCTACATTTTTAAAGTCCGATCGACCGGCGACTTGACAAACTCTTAAGCGCCAGGGGAGACGATCATATAATGCATAACAATAACTAAATATAGACCTCTGCTAATGAGCACATAATAGTCGCTGACCATACCACAGACGATCGTTGTTGAGAATACAGTAAAGATCTACACGTTGCATGAGGGCCAGAATCTGTGAGGCAATCGGGTATATCTGACTGAGATAAACGAAGCTCATTTGATGTGTATATGCTACAACAGGTCATGTCATGACCAAAGTGGGAAGAGTCTGCACCTGTACAGACGCCTGCCCAGTTATCAAGAATAATGCCGTGTAGTTTTTTCCGCTTTTGTTCCGTCTTTCTTCAAAGGGTCTGCGCGCATCTGGCGTCCGATCCCAAACAAACGCTCGCGAACACAAAAGGACAAAGTATTGATGGTACCTAAATTCGGTATACCCCAGAATAATAGATTCCGATGTTTGTAATTCAAACGCGAAGCAAGTACAAAGATGTGCGACTATTGCTAGAGAAATAATACACTTAGGACACACGCTTCAATTTTCGACTATCGTTGCGTGACTTGCAGAAAAAAGGCTCCTGTTCTGAGGTCGACCGGCTGGAGTAGCAGACGGGCGTCAAGTGACCCCCTCGTGAGACGGCCCGGCCTGTATGATCGCCCTTTGTCTGCGATCGGAAAATATTGAAATTCGATGCCAATGAAGAAGTTTTAGGCTTCAGTTACCAAGTGATCGAACTGTATAATCCTAACCAGTGATACACGGATTAACATATCATGACATACGCGGCCATGGTTTATGTAGAGATAAGTACCCCAGATGGAAATCCTCCCATGAAAAGAATTACCATGATCCAGGTCCACTTGTGTCTGTACCCAGGTGCCAAGCTCACTCGGCCAGGATTTTCTTCTTCGGCCAGTTTACAGATCATGACCACCGTCAGCTCACCACGCATAGCGCATCTCGGTGTGGCCGTCCCCGCTCCACGCCCATTATGGAGCTTGGAAAATAGAAAGTAAACATGTGGTTTAGTACACCGCCGTTGAACAGAGCATACAGAGGGTTCAATATATAACCTGGTATGTATGGGGCGTGCGTCAGCACGATAGAGACACACAAATTACAACAGTTTCCCTGTAAGTATGAAATCCACTCCTGGCTTTGGGTCCATAAAAGGCACGTGAAGTGAAAAGTTCCCACGTAGCCTTCACCCAGTAAGGCTCGCGCAACCTTAAAGGGAATATTTCTCGAGTGTAAATTCCGATTTGAAATCAGTATTGACTCAATGATGTGCGTGCAGCGACAGAGCTCGACTCCTCCTACAAGGTAGCGGTCCAGGTACGCGGTTGGATATCATGAATAGCTGGTCTCGGATGGACTCGCCATACGTTTGTGCCCGATCCTCGTGCTGGCGGGTGATGAAAGCAGTTGACGTTGGTTCCTGTCACAGCGCACACGCAACAGGTCTTAGTACGTCACAGGATCCACCACGTCACCCTGTTGCGTGAAGATTTTCTCTCTGCATGTAACACAAAACAAAGTGATCGCTGAACCGTGGGTTCGAATTCTTCAGTCTATTGTCATCAGTACACAAATTATGTGGTGGTGCCTCTTGGAAGGTTGGCAGAAAGACATCAGCAAAAATGTCGTTCTTGTGCTGGGGCTTGTCGTTCAAATATGCACATTCCAGGTCTGTGGACTGAATGGGGAGTCTAATGACCAGGATAACGATGTCGTCCGTGGGTTCCACTACCCGTGCTATAACATAGAAAGACGAATTATAAGTCGGACTTATGAGAGGCAGGCAAGAACAGAACGCTTATGGTCCCTTCGGCCAGCAGGCGTTGTAGCGAAAGGTCGAGGGCATGAGAGAGGGGAAAATGACATTCTGCCGCTATTTCGTAAGCAGTGGTTTATCAGTATCCTGCTGTGTGTTTGTTTGAATGCTGAGCAAAGGGCACCAATGCACAATTTCCTTCGAGAGATCATATAATATTATATCATCTACCTTAATGACTGGGGATGGTCTTGTACTGTCAGAGCCTGAAACACTCACGCCTTCATCCGGAAACAGCTGCGTTCATACTGGCACACGAATTAAAAACAACATTGAACTCTTCCAGTCCCCGGGGAGATAAGTGCACTCTCAGAACTCTATTTCAGATTGACCTCCTGCAACATTTCTCTGTCTGGGGCTCTCTAATCGGCCAAAACGACAAATCCAATCATTCATTTTCCCAAATGCACTTAAACATTTACCTTTACAGTAGTCATCATATATCAATCGTGGCTGGTTCTAAATGTTTAATCCATGCTAGCATCCACCGTCTAACATTCCTCTCTACAAACTTAGCTCTGCCTAAACATATCTCAAAATCGCCATCTTGATTGACTTGGGGGACTACAACCACAGATAAGGCGAGAATTATAACCTGTCAGCAACCACAATCTTGTCTGTCTAGGTCTGCTAAAGGAGTTCCGTGAGAGGAGCCAGAGGGGAAGTCTTGGGGCCCGCGGGGTCTCTGAGCAAGGGAAATAACGACATATAATTTACAGCACCAACACATTACGCAACCAGATCGATGTGGCTACTACTTTTATACTACTGCTAATCAAAGTCAAGGGTTAGTGTGAGTCCTATCCACATTACTCAAACTCCCTACAATATGTATATACCTGTATTAGAATGATCCTGTTCCCATGTTGTTGAGTGCTATACCATTTGAAGAAAGAAAACTTTCACTATTATATGTGGTTTCACCTATGAAGTATCCACCAACGAGTTTAGCATAACGCTTAATCGACTCCTAGCTCGAATGTTAACATCTAGGTATATCATAAAGTCATGTGATGAATGTAGATGAGATAATAAACCGTACTTTGGTGAGATGACTACCTGTCAGAACCACACTCTGTCTGTTCTGTCCTGTCTGCATCGGAGTGTGAGGAGCCAGTGGGGAGGACTTGGGGCCAGGGGTTTCTGACAAGGAGAACAAAAACAATAATTTCAAGCACAACAATACAATACAACAGCTTATGGGCTACAAGTCAATAGTGTAAAATGAGGTCTTACCAACTGGTGGCTCAGTGATAGCAGTGGTGTTCTCCAAAACCAAAAGATCTGTAATTCAACATTTTATCACATTTGAATTGTATTTAATTCAATACAAAGGCATTTATACACAAAATAGTATATACACAACGGTTGACAGCATCATCTTTTAATCCATTATTCTTATTAAACAGAAAGTGGCTCGAAACACATTTGGACACTATTGTTGCTAATGAATAGGTTTTAAGGTTTTTATGATTATACTAATGGTAACTGCCTTACAATAGAGTTGAGGCCACATGCAACATTATTTATTCCCACTTAATCCAATGAATGACAATTAAACTCAATACAATTGTATTGTGATTATTGATGTTTAATATATATATTGGATTGAGCAAAGTATGGCATTTAAGAAATTCCTTTGATCAGACCACTGTTCAAATTTGTCCATTACTGTAAAGATCAGAGCTCCCAGAAGTGACCATGCCAAAGTTTATTTTCAAGTGACCAGATATTTTTTTCCGACACGATGGCTGAGTGGATAGTTAACTTAAAAGTAGAACATTTTGGGAAAGAACCGCCCTCTCCACTGTTTGAACAAAACTCTCTGGTCTTACTTGACGAGCACGTGTCACCAGAATGATTGACAATTGGGAGAACCAATAGTCATGATGATCCCAAATACATATTAAATTTTATAGAAATACATTCAAGCATGAAGTGCAAAAAGTTAAATTATTGTGGCTGACAATTATAAGCCCTATCTATACAGGACACACAATATAAACAAGTGCACTGACAGCTCTGTTTGTTCCAGAGGTTACTATAATCTAGAATATTGGTGTAACACACAATAAATAAACATACAACAATAACAAACTTGGATATTTACTTGTATTCACGTGTCTGCAGATCAACAGCAGCACAAGCAGGTGATGGGACAAATGCGTGTGTGAAGCGGTCATATTTGCGGCGTCCTCTGGTAGGTATATGTCCCACAGGCTGATGTCCTGGTCCCTCTTGCTGCTGGTGCATCGTCTGATCACCTCCCCCCCTCTCCCTCCCTCCCCCTCTGCTGCTGCACTGTGACGCATGCCGCGAGATCGGGCTGCAGTTCTCCTTCCATCTATAATTCAACCTGCCAGCCCCATCCCAGCAACTGAAGCCACAATATATAACCGATGCAACACATTAAACACATTCAAGTTGTTAAAGCAAATACACGTCTGTTTGAGCGGCGTGAATGCGAGTTGTGTGTGAGAGTTCAGATACAAGACAAGGCCGACTGCTTCAAGGTCATTTATTCCCAGACTCCACAAGCTCCTCACTATTATTGCACTCATTAATCAAAGAAGCCATTTTTGTTCTCTTTTAAGCTATAACCAGTGTATTGAGCCATCAGGGAAACATCAATATTTTAGTTTGGAGCAGCACTGTCAAGGTTTGTGTACCGCCACAACTTGTTGAAACTGAAAACTAATGACACAGTGTAAAAGTAGTTTAACTCAATTTAAAGAACCTTCTTTGTTCAAAAGCTTATATTAATGTACAGCCGATAGTAGAAACTCTAAACAGGTTGTGTAGTAAGTTGCTACTTTTAACCATCTATAAGATAATTATATATTAAAGCTAGGGGTACCCAACTTAAACACATTGATTGTCCCAACAGAGAGAACCTTGTAACCTTGTGAGAAACTTCCTCTCTTTTTTACTCATCTGTCTGAGAAAAGCTGATCTAAAGATGTTACTGAAGCCAAAAATATATGCATCTGAAAACTAGTGACAGAACCCAGACAGTTTTTAGAGGAATTACCCCAGCTTTATTGTTTTTAGTAGTAACAGCAGTTTCAGTAGTTGTAATCTACTAGTACTGGTAAATGTATTGTATTTGACTAAGTATTAAGCAATTACTGTTCTCAATGTTGGCGAGGGTAGTAAAAAAATACCAAATGATTGTCACATTTGTTCAGTATTATTTTAATCTTTGTACATGATTAGTAAATATCATTTTTGTTCTACCTTGGCAACTTAGGGGCAGGTGGGCGCTTCAGCATAGTTACACCAGTTACATTTATTTATTATTAATTTGTAGTTTTTCCCACAGATTTTGTGCTGGTTTCCTTTGAGTAAAGGCTAAACAATTGTGGACCAAGAAACATCTGATAAGATAAAATAAGATGCACTTTAAGAACCTTATTTTGTGGATAAAATTGACTTATTAAAACAAAAAAATCATTAATATGGGACAATATATCTTTCAAAAAAATGGTAAAAAAATAAATAAAATAAGACGAGTAATAAACCAACCCCATGTAACTGCTTATGCTACCACTTGAGGGAGGAGTTGAACTATTTTTCTTTATAACTGGCTGCAAACAAACACAGCCATCCAATTTTAAATGTTATTTATTTAATCTGAAAAATGTTACAGCAGAAAACCGTGATTCTATTCCTGTACTGAGACCGGAGCTTTAAGATAGGAGTTACACGTTTGTGCTGGAAGTACCTGATTGGCGTGGTTGGATCCAAATAAACAACTTGATTTTGCAAAATATGTCTCCTTCAGGTCAGTTTTAATGTCAGTTGATCACACAAAAGTAAATACTTATAGCATATACATATTAACATAGCATTCCACAGTTACCTGGCAACCACAGCCCAACAGCATTGGTCACTGTTGCTGTAGCTGGAGGCTGTTGATGAAGACAGTCTGCAGCTCGGTGATGTCGTCACTGGCTTCTATGGGGATACTGCTCCTAAGTGGAGAGCTGGGGCAGGGCAGGCTCATGTTTTCATTATAAGACTCCCCTCCTCCGAGTGCGCATGCTCCCTGCACACAACTGCCCTGCCAGCGTAGCAGAGGCGACAGGCAGTTTTGGTCGAGTACCTGGTGTTGGGGGCCGCAGTGGAGGTAGTGGTCCGGGCTGGGGCTGTGGCAGGGGCTGTGGGGCATAGGACAGGTCTGTAGGCAGCTGTTCCTCTGCATGTCCCGGTGCAGGTCCAGGCGAGCGATCAGTGGTTTGCTAATGTTAACACTCTTAGTCCAGTAGATGGGCTCATCCTCCATTGTGGTAAAAGTGCCCTGAAGACATACGGTAAAAACAAGCTCCTCCTGTAGAATAAATAAAAATGTTTTACAGGTGCTTTTTGTGAGCCATAAATACTGATTCTAAAACATATTTATTTTTACTTTGTTTCTTTTTTCAACATCAAAGGCCAAATATCCACACCAAATAAAATCTGTTCAACAACAGAAGTTGTCTTCTATATTGTCCCATAAGAATGATTTTATGGTATGGCATTATTTCAGACACACATTGTCCATATACATAAAAAGACAGGGCAGGAAAGTACAAAATGTAAAATAAATGCGATTAGTAATTGTAAATGTTCTAAATTTAAACATTTTTAGTCACAATCCTATACCACACACACCAAAACACTCAAAAGAGTCCATTATAAACTGTCTTGGCGATTTAGGATTAGCAACAAAAAAATAAGATGAATACAAATTCAATAATGTACAAAACATAAACATTACATACAGCAGCCTGTATTAAAATAATAATAATAATAATAATAATACATTGGTTTTATATTATAATGCTAATTAGGAATCATGCAGTGATGATTTCCTAGTAATCTCAAACACTTTTTTAAAACAAAAGTCAACAAGAGGTGGGTTTACCACAACAAAGAATATAATCATTCTGTTCACATGTTGACATCATGAGAACAAGGCAACCCGTTTTAAACTGTAATTGAACCGGGAAATCTATTAGGTCTTGTCAAAACTTTGTAACATAACAGCTCTTTATGCGGTTGAACGCACATGTGATTATCTGCATTCAAATATTTCGCAAAGGTCACATTAAGTTTACCAGTGAAGGAGTGCATTTAAGGCTCATCCTAAACCCTGAAACCAAATATCCCTAACTTGTTGTGAGTAATTTAATAAATGTCAATACAGCCATTACAAATTGCTGCACTGATTCTATTGTGATACTGAATCTTGTGTAGTACCTTGAGCTTCTGCAAGGAGCTTATCCTTGTGTACAAGCAATGCTCCGGAAGACTGCTCGACAGAAGGTAGATGCCCGTTTCCTCTGGAGTCTCACGGTTCATCTCTTTGGGATCAACATCTAGATTCTGAAAAGGATGAAAAATAATTTAATATTGCTGAGGAACTGAAAAACAAAGAACAACAGCCCATTAGTAGTCTTTTCATATTCGCTTTAGGCGGACAGGAGACAAAAAGAGATCAATTTATTGCTCTATTTGTCACGAGGTGGGAAGGAGGAGGACTCAAAATGCGAAAATGCCAAAATAAAGATTTAATAAAATAAAGTCCAAGGTAAAAACAAAACTCAAAATACGGAACCAGGAGCACAAAATCAGGAACAGGACGGAACAGAAGTAGACAATACAATGGACCAGCAACAAGAGGAGAGGAGCACAGGGTAATTATAGACAGAGACAAAGGTGAAACACATTAGGGCGGGGTAGACAATCAAGACAGGGGGAAACAGGACGTCAAAGTCAAACTAAAATCAAAGCACAGGGAACAGATATCGAAATAAAGCTAAAGTCCAAAATAAAATCCACACCATGACACTATTCACATAAAATCTTAACCATATGTAACCAACTAATTATTGATGGCCTCAGGGCCGGAGTGGGACAACATTTCAGGCCGGGAGATTTTCATCCATTCAGGCCAAACAAGGTTCTAAATTTGGGTTTTTGTCATTGTATTTTGATGTTCTTTTAATAGTTTTAAGATTGACTGTCAAAACTTTTTTCTTTATTTTTTTTTATATTGACTGTTTGTATAATCTCGGACGTTTAAGGATTGTTGTTCGTTGCTTAGCAACGTAACGTTTATGGAGTTTAGTGAGAATAAAGACACACACACACACAATGAACTAAGTGTTCATTAGTGTATAACTATAACAAGCTAATCAATTATTGTTAAAAAAGTAGTAAGGTAAAATCACATCGTTACAGCTCATATAAAAGGAAAAATAAAAACGTGTATGAACCATCAGTTGGAGAGACCACTCATTTCAACCGGGGAAGCTACACTGGGTGCACTGCTAGGCCTGGCTGTGTAGCCGACGTGTGACGTCACATTTGTTTAATTTTGCTCTGGCCCAATGACAGTAAAGCTTTGGCCAGTGTTGTGCCAGTTCACAGCTTTTCTGAACTAGTTCAAGTTCAGTTCATTGATGCTCAAAGTGAACAGTTCACGTTCGAAGTTCTCAATTTTAATTCTGAACTAGTTCAAATTTCAGTTCATTTTACTTTTTGCGAGATATTCAAATAAATATTTTTTTTCACTACGAGCTAGAAATCACAATACGTGGTATATATATTTATATATATATATATATATATATATATAATATATATATATATATATATATATATATAATCTCTATATAATATATTTATATATAATTATAAATATATAATCACAATACGTGGTATATATATTATATATATATATATATTATATATATATATATATATATATATATATATATATATATATATATATATATATATATATATATATATATATATATATATATATATATATATATATATATATATATATATATATATATATATATATATATATATATATATATATATATATATATATATAATCTCTATATAATATATTTATATATAATTATAAATATATAATCACAATACGTGGTATATATATATATATATATATATATATATATATTTATATATATATATATATATATTTATATATATATATATATATATATATATATATATATATATATATACCACGTATTGTGATTTCTAGCTCGTAGTGAAAAAAAATATTTATTTGAATATCTCGCAAAAAGTAAAATGAACTGAACTTTGAACTAGTTCAGAATTAAAATTGAGAACTTCGAACGTGAACTGTTCACTTTCGGCGGAAACAGTGCGGAGAATACAGGAGGGAGGAACTTTCTCTCGTTGCGTTTCAAAAGAGAAAACAGATTTCACTCAGTTTTAAATGGAAAACAAATTGTCTGCCGTTCATGACACATAATATGAACTAATTCACGTTCAAGTTCTTTATTAAAAAATGTGTTGCGTTCAGTTCAACGTTCACGAAAAAATGAGCGTGTTCAATGAACGCGTTCTTTTGAACTCGTTCACGCACAACACTGGCTTTGGCCTGGGCCTTGCTCATTGGACCAGGCCACCAGGCAGGGTAGGAGTTTGCAAAGACCGTGAGGATGAAATTAAATTAAAAGAAAAAAAAAAAGAAAAAAGACCGTGATGACAGGGCAGGCCCAGGCCACTTTGACACGCAGGCCACCGGGAGATCTCCCGATGCTCCCGATGGCCAGTCCGGGCCAGGATGGCCTCTTTCTGGTATACAATAGATAGAATGTGCTCATTTTCTCTATAGAATAGCACAAATGAGCCGAACAGTCACTTAAACATATACTCACGGGTGAAAAGTCAGTAACATGGGCCTGGCAGAGGGATACGTCTTCTGGTTTCTTGATAATGTGAGTGTAAATGACAAGCACATTAGAAAACTCTGCAGCAAAACCCAACTTGATCCGAGCTCCGCAGTCAAAATTCAGACACATGCTCTCAGGAAGCTCTGCAACAAGGGTAATGCAACTACATGACTTCAAACACATACATAATTATGGGGGGAAGATGCACCAGACAAAGTATAGAGGGAACTCACCGTGAGCTTTGGCCCAGTGCTGGCTGTGGTGGTGCAGCGCGTCACTCTCAAACGGTAGGATGGGGTCAGTCAGAGCCCTCCTCTCAGACAGACTGCTGCGAATCTCCAGAGCCTGCTTCCCCTTTGTGGCATCAAACTGACCCATATCTGGATACAAAGCACACTTAAGCAGCTTTTGACAGAACTACATGATACATACTCTCACAAAGAATTCTTCCCCCACAAAGAACAGCAAAACCCGCACTCAGCTACAGTACTGCCACATTTGTTTTTACCTTCTGCCACTCTGTCAAGCACCACAGTGATCTTCTCATCGTCAAGCAGCCGCTTTTTTAGGAACTTCACGAACACACCATTTATCAACCCATGAGAGCTTAACTCAAAGGCCTCTGCATCTTGACAACTGTTTTGAACAACCAACACAAGTGAATTACAATGTGAGGATAAGTAAACGTGTTATAAACCGTCAAAAGCTTGATTTACGTTGCGTATCCAAACACAATGTTGGCCGTGACTCTCAATACAACGTTTGGAGTGCTGTCGTCGTGGATATTCCTAACAAACAAGTAATAAATGCAATCAAAGGTAATGTGATAGCAATAAGCATGTATCGTTTTACAGACCTTTTTCTGCACATATCCAGCAGAAATACATTAAGCCCAGTCTCCTTCTCTTGCATCAGTTTAAGAATGCTTTGCACACAGAGGCAGTTTTCCGAATGGTAAGGGTTAGGTGCATCCACTGGAACCATGAAGCTGTTTCCATAGTTCTCATAACCATGCCCCGCATAGTACAGCAGACCTTATATACATAAATATAAAATATATATATAAATACAAACAAACAAAAGAAATGTCTGTTCCTAGACTCTGCATTACTGGGGTACCTTTATATTTCAAACTACATAAAAGGTATTTATGTATAAAATGCAGAAACAGTATGGATCTCACATGCATGTATTCTAGGCCTACCTTCCTTAACCAATTTTTTCACAGCCCAAAGCGTTAAATAGTGACTCTCAGGGTTCTTTCTTGCTATACAATTTTTTTATTTTTTTTTTATAAAATAATCCTCTGGTTGGATCTTCACATTTTACATTATGGAAAAAATAAGGTACCCCAGATTTAAACATATCCAAACCAACCATAGACTCCTTTATGTAGTAGTAGGAGGAACTCATCCACAGCGTTCCTCATTTCTGACTCGGTGAGGTCCAACAGAGAAACCACCTTAAAGTTGAGCTGCCGTAACAGGTTTGTGAGGTCGTACACATCCACCATGGGAGCTTTCAGCTGAGGGTGATTCTGATAGGACAGGTTCCCAATCAGCAGGGCCACTTTGTCAGTTGCTGGAATCGACAAGTTTGATTTTTCGTCATCTAGAATCATGTTTGATCAAAGAACTGACAGTACGTTGTTCATGTATGCTTTTGTTAGCTCAACGAGACATACTTGACAGTGTTTCTGTGTGCGCTCCATAAAAATGAAGATTCTCACTTTTTCACCAACGCACACAGACATTAGCATCATCATCATCAGGCTTTCCAGGCTTTTTTTTCTCTGAGTATTTGTTTTTAAAGCTCTTAATAGCCTTGCACCTTCTTAATTAACTGAGCTTGAGTGTCCAAAAACTTAAGAATGTTGGAAGTAAAAAAATTATGGTCTTGGTCTGTTGTTTACGGGGCTAGGTCTGGTTCACTTGAGGAAAAAATCCTTCACTGATCTGTTTCGAAAGATGTAAACTTGACATATGTTCACGTGGTGTGTTGATTTCAAGAATCCATGGTTTATTTCCACTAATAATGAATGTTTTGCCCTAGATGAACCAGGTTGGGCAAGTTGAAGTGAACCACATCAACAAGTTTGAACGCACACTAAATTTCTGCTAGAAGGCCCAACAGTCAGAGTGAAAGATGATTGGCCCTTCTTCTAGCTCCAGGCTCTACCCTACACACCTATATAATCTTTTTGCATATTATAACATTCAAATCAGTATCTATCTAGTACTCATACTCCGCATGTAGGTCATTCATGCAAACTGATCTTGCTTTTTGGAGGTGGAACACTTACCATTAAGCTTTTCCGGAACAGTATTCATAAATAATCCGCTGGAATCTAACAAAAAAAAAAAAAAAAAAAAAATGAAAGTACAGAATACAAATACTAGCACAATAACCACAATCTTACCGTCTTCAATTGCATACATGTCATCTGAAAGAAAAAAAAAGAAAATTCATGATTAAATAAATAAAACAATTAAATCAATATCATTCATTGAAAGTAAAATGATAATCTTGTTAGTGTGATTTCTCCCCAGGCAACATGCAGTTACACCAGTTTAATTGTACCACTCTCCTCTAGTTCAATCATTGGCATGCACTAAAACCCAAAAGTAATATTTTGAGAAGTTAAAACTATTTAAATTTAGAGTAATGATTTAATTTGCCAATCACCTAATGTATTGTTATAATACATTAGATGTAGTCATTCATTTTAACTTCCAGATATCACTTAATGTGAAGCTTCCTGGGGGCTGTACCTTCAGAACACTCCATTGCCCCTGAAATCTGGACTGAAATCCTGGGAGCTTACATCAGAAACAGATATAAAATATAAAGAATATGTTATGGTGAAAAAGCTATGATTAAAAAACAAAAACTTACATATTATTACATCAACTTCATTGGTGTATAGTTTGTCATTTCCACTTCTGATCTCACAGCTGTACTTCCCATGATGCTCCAACATGACTTGGGAAATCTAGAATATTAATGCAAAGTTGAAACGTTATTTATAAAAATAAAAGGAATGTACAAGCTCTAGAAAGAAATTTGACTCAAAAGTAGGTTATTTGTCCGTATGCTGTCCATCTACCTGATCTAAACTGTACTTAGACTGTACAACTGTACTTAAACTGTACAACTGGTATATATATAAAAGTATTTTTTTTAATAATTGAATGAAATATCTGGGCGTCCCTGCTTAGACTGCTGCCCCCGCGACCCGGCAACGGATGAAATGCCAAAATAAATTCAATAAAAATTTTGGTCGACAGCCCTTGTATGCCACATTCGGGTGATAGATCATTCATATATGGCTCCACTGTCAAATGTAAGTGTGTAATAGATGATTGGAAAATGTCCAACTCAATTTGGTTTTTCACCCAAGCATTTCTATTTGATTTGTACAATAAATCATCAATTGAGGTACATTTTAATAAATATTCAGGATCCCTTTTAGTCTCCAGCAATGCATAGAGCATTCATCCTTAATATCTAAAGAAGGACCTTCCTTCTGTGGGTCTCTCCCTAAAATGCTTTGTTTAAACTCACCACGAATGTTCTTTTGTTGGCGTTAGGGATTGGCACTCTGTTTCGACACCACTGATAGAGGGGGATCGGTTTCCCCACAGCACCACATTCGAGCTGAAGAGTTTCTCCGATGTGCAGCTGCTGTGGCTGAGGCTGGATCACCACTCTGGTCCGGCCTTCCAAACAACTCAAACTTTGCCCTGATGATAAGAAATGTTGTTTTGTTTTAACATGCAACAATTAGTCAAATAATTATTTTACGGCCAGGTCAACACAAATATTTTACTTTAATTTAGTTCAGATAAAACGCCTTACTGTATACTGTTGCAAAATGTAAGACATCCACCTGTGCCCACTGGCTAAATTCAAAGGCATCTCCACAGTTGACCCTACAAATGTAAAATCCTGCATCTGCTGGATGGACAGGCCCAATGATAAGATCTGGAAAAGAGCTGTTGGGGACCTGTTTACATAAAAGCACAATAAATGCAATGATAAATAAAACATTTTTGAACAAAATATGTCTAAAAAAAGAAGCCCAAACTGTCTTAAAGCAACAAGTTTGTCAATTTTAGAAATAGTTTATTTTGTTTTAAAATGTCAAAGCCATTTCTTATGTGGTAGACCCAGCAGTATTATGTAAAATATGTAAAACTGTGCAATTTCCCATAAGAGTTAAAAAATCAGGAGTCATGTAGAAGACTACTTTTTATATTGTGAAGTGAATAGAGTCCATGTTCAGGATGTAAGAAATGTGAGGTACTAACAATATCTCACCTCATCTTTGGACTTAAACCACTGGTACTCCACTGGACCTTTGGCCACAGCCAGACAGCTCAGGAGCAGGTTGTTCCCAGACACAAGAGCCACAGACTGGGGCTGAATGACAATCTGCAATGCTGAATGAAGACATTTTATAAAAAAAAATGTCTTACTGCAACCAAGACAGACCAGCAATAAGTAACTAGTACTGGTTTGGTACTATTGAATAGTACCAAACATACATAGAATATAAAACAGGCACAAACTGACATATGCACAGGCCTTTCAAAATCTACCGGTATTGCGACTAACTCATAGATTTCCAAAAGAGTTATTCGATCACTTGTAGTGGCCAAAAATGCCCCCTGTAAGGTTCATTATGGCTGGGTGGTGTGCTGTGACAATGGGTGTGATGCACAAATACTGTGTTCCACGAATAGTTTATTGCTATTACCATAGACATCTAGCCATTTATAATACACAGCTGTCCAAAAGAACTATACAAATAGACCACAATAGATGACAGTAAAAAGACAGAAATCACGTCCCTCTCCTCAAGCAGAGCATGTAATTACCAGGGCATTTGCTGCATAATGGCAGCAGGAACATTTTACACAATGGACCAAAAAATTGTATAACATTTTAATAAACTACTTTTACAACAACTTTGTTATGATTGTCATAAATGTATTTTATTTATTTTCCAAATTCTACAACCTCTTCCTCCTTCTCGGCTGAGGTGGTACCTGGAGGTTTGAGGCAGTCCAGAGCCTCTGTGTTGTCCAGGGTTTGGAGGTACTCGGTCAGATGGGCCACGGTGCAGCCTCGCTCCCCAAGAAGCCTCAGCAGCATATGGCTTGGACTCCCCTCCACCTGCAGCACCCTCAGCGAGCACATCTCCATTTCGTCTGAGCTGAAAGAGCAAAAACATCCATTTATCCACAGCTCAATACAGAGATCTGTTTATTTGTGTCAGCATAAGGACATAGTTTGATCACAAAGATGGCTTACAATACACACAGACACCATCAATATTGCAGGTAATATTTTGTATACAGGATCCCCATTTTCAAGAACCAAAAAAGTGAAATAATAAAATGTGGGTCCATACTACTTACAATAGTCCTAACAAAACAAAACAATTGTAGTGCTCTTGCTTTGTTATTTCCCTCTATTAATAATAATAATAATAACAAAATCAATTATTAGTATTACACAATGTATTCCTCTGACGTTTCCATGAAAAATAAAGTGTAATAAGTACAAATGCATTATTATTAATATGCTAAAAAATAATAGTATCCTCGTTTGGAGGAGATGGGACAGAGGGCTCATCCAGTCACGCTACTGTTGACATGAGAAAAGTGAATGACTCACTAACTCCGTAACAGAGACCAAAGTCACGCACTCACCTGACTTTGAATCGCTTGTCATTGCCAACAATCTCTCCCAGTTTTCGCCATCCTTTATTATTGCTTGATTTATCCAAAACGTCGCACAGTGTCTTCAAAGTATGCTCCTTCAGCAGGTTGATCTTGGTGGAGCGGTCTGGAGGATCCGACATGGTAAACTTAAGCCAAACTTCACCATGAGCGGTGATCCTACAGATGATTTAGGACGTAAACTATCCTGTTTTAGAAGGAAACAAGTTTTACTTCCTGGAAGAAAGTGATACAAACACACCCACAAGTGCGCGCTTGGTTTTGGTATTCCCCTTTCGAGCGCACGGCTCACGGAAACTGACGCACGGAAACGCCACCCGCGGCCATTTTGGATCTTATTTTATTTCTGTAAATGTAAATGTAAATTTTTAGAATACACAACAATAGTTTAAAAACGAAAAAACAACATTAGTTTTGAACAGGTTTATTATTAGTGATAATTATTATATCAATAACCACAATAATAATGATAACTAGAAACTTGCAATGGCTGAAGCCATTGCGATTGACTGCGGAACAGATCTAATGTGGAAATCTGCTAAAAAAAATCCTTGAAATCCTTTAAAAGGCCTTGAAACTGTTAAAATACTTGATAGATATTTGAAACTCCTGAAGTCCTTGAAATTGTTGAAACCTTTAAACTCCTGAAATCCTTGAAACTGTTGAAACATTGAAACTCCTGAAATCCTTGAAACTTTTTTTAAACCTGGAAACTGTTGAAAGTGTGGAAACTCCTGAAATCCTTGAACCTCCTGATATCCTTGAAACTGGTTAAATTCTTAAACAGTTGAAATCCTTGAAACTACTGAATGTATTGAAAGTGTCCTTGAAACTGAAAAATCCCCTCACCGCTGAAACAATTTGGTTCCTGTAACTAAGGAAACCTGGTCTGTGGTCATTATCTGGTGGTGGTCTGAGTCTTCGTTTGGGTCTTGGTCTGGTGGTATAATGCAACCTATTAGGTTGCATTATACTGGTTTACATGGAAAAATCCCTATTAGGTTGCATTATACTGGTTTACATGGAAAAATCCCTATTAGGTTGCATTATACTGGTTTACATGGAAAAATCCCTATTAAGTTGCATTATACTGGTTTACATGGAAAAATCTCTATTAAGTTGCATTATACTGGTTTACATGGAAAAATCCCTATTAGGTTGCATTATACTGGTTTACATGTACAAATCCCTATTAAGTTGCTTTATACTGGTTTACATGTAAAAACCCCTATTAGGTTACATTATAGTGGTTTACATGTAAAAATCCTTATTAAGTTGCATTATACTGGTTTACATGTAAAAACCCCTATTAAGTTCCATTATACTGGTTTACATGTAAAAACCCCTATTAAGTTCCATTATACTGGTTTACATGTAAAAACCCTATTAAGTTGCATTATACTGGTTTACATGGAAAAATCCCTATTAAGTTGCATAATACTGGTTTACATGGAAAAATCCCCATTAAGTTGCATTATACTGGTTTACATGAAAAAAACCCTATTAAGTTGCATTATACTGGTTTACAAGGAAAAATCCCTATTAAGTTGCATTATACTGGTTTACATGGAAAAATCCCTATTAAGTTGCATAATACTGGTTTACATGGAAAAATCCCCATTAAGTTGCATTATACTGGTTTACATGTAAAAAACCCTATTAAGTTGCATTATACTGGTTTACATGGAAAAATCCCTATTAAGTTGCATTGTACTGGTTTACATGGAAAAAACCCTATTAAGTTGCATTATACTGGTTTACATGGAAAAAACCCTATTAAGTTGCATTATACTGGTTTACATGGAAAAAACCCTATTAAGTTGCATTATACTGGTTTACATGTAAAAACCCCTATTAAGTTGCATTATACTGGTTTACATGGAAAAATCCCCATTAAGTTGCATTATACTGGTTTACATGAAAAAAAACCCTATTAAGTTGCATTATACTGGTTTACATGAAAAAACCCTATTAAGTTGCATTATACTGGTTTACATGGAAAAAACCCTATTAAGTTGCATTATACTGGTTTACATGGAAAAATCCCTATTAAGTTGCATTATACTGGTTTACATGGAAAAATCCCTATTAGGTTGCATGATTACACTGAAGTCCTTGAAACTGCTGAAGTCCTTGAAACTGCTGAAGTCCTTGAAACTGCTGAAGTCCTTGAAACTGTTGAAGTCCTTGAAACTCTTGAAATCTTGAAACTGCTGAAATCCTTGAAACTGTTGAATCCTTGAAACTGTTGAATCATTGAAACTGTAGAAATGTCTGAAAGAGCTGAAGTCCTATTAAAATGCATGGGCCTATTAAAATGCATTGCAGAATTCTCAATGCAGATTTTTGTCCGATTGCGGAAAAACCGGAAATCGCTGAAGTCCCAAAAGTAATAGCAATAATCTCCCAAACATGTGGAACGTTTTGATGTATAACTTGTGGAAATTGTTGAAAATGTGAAAGCTGTGAAACGTGTCAAAAAAAATGACGGAATAAAGAAATACAAAACCAATGGTTGACTGCGGAAGGTTCCGCAGTCAATCAATAATAAAAAGTGAGGCCTGGATACAGAATCATATGTGCTCAGGGTTCAGGGTTCAAGCCTTTCACATCAGTCTTTCCCTCATGTATTTCAAGGATTGAAAGACATTGAAATATGTAAGGCATTTAATATCGATGTTTTCCCCGGATTGCTATGCAGTTTTTTTTTAATTCTTTAATCGTTCATAGTGGTCACTACAGTGGACAGCTATAGTCAATAGTCCATATGTGTGAGTTTTAAGTCACAGTTGCACTTTAGTCACTATAATGGACCATAGTGTGTCTGGCCATATGCACTACACACTGGTAAACATGCAAATGTAAAAAAAAACTCAAAAAAGAGAAAATGTGCTTAGTAGAGGAGGAAAATCTGTTCATACATTATATTCCAGGAATGTTTAACATATGCACGTCAATTAACATCTAAGGAGCCGTATAATTGTTGAAAAACCCAAGTATTGATTTTCTGTTTTGAGGAAATTGCAATGAATCATGTGTCCACTAAAGTGGACGTTGTGCAGGCTACATTTTGAATATAATGCATAGTGTTGCTGCAACTTTGTTGTTTCTAGAAATACTTCATTTTCAATAGTTTTGGCTGCAAATAATTTACATTAGATAGATAGATAGCTTTTATTACAGACTCGTAGTCCAGAACACAAAAAATAGATAAGACACAACACACTAAAAAACAGACAACATAAAACAATAAAAGTCCCCAAATCTCTTTAGAGGAGGCAACTATACCAGTGTTTCCACAGTGCAGAGGTATAACAAACATCACCGAAAGCTCTACTCGTCAACACTAAAATCCTCATATTTGCACTAGTGTTCAGGCGACACATAAACTTGAACATTAGGTTCCTCAAGTTGGCCTGCAGTGAGTTTACTCGAAAGGACACAAAAAGTTCAGAAGCGCTGCTCCATCTGGGCCTTTTTAGCAACATTATTTGACATATTCTTTACCTTGTGAATATTTGGTATATCATGAGAATAACGATCCTTTTCCATGTGTTTTGTAGCGGTCAGAGGCAGAGCAGAATAGAAAAGCCTACAGGACAGTCCAGGAACTACCATCTGACTCAAGTGAGGGTGATGTCAGTGGGAATGATAAATAATTTTACCAGACAAAAGACAGTTAGTAAATGGTAACAGCTGTGACAGTGCAGTTGAAGATGTAGAAGAAGAGGATGCTGAGGGATTTGAAGTGAATGAAGAGGATGAGGGAGATGGTGCTGTCCGACTTGACCAGGCTCAAAAACACAAAAATATAGATAACAGACATGTCTGCAAAGCCAAAGAATATAAGTTTGAGGGACAATCACTCTTTACTTTTAGAAGAGCGGTAGGTGAAGATTGAGGGAGGAGCCCCAATAGATTTCCCATTCATCAAATTCCGAAAGAGCTGATTGATGATATAATGGACAACTCAGACCTCTATGCTTTGCAAAATGGAGAATAACTACTGGGTATTGCAATGGGTGAACTGAAGAGGTTTTTTTAGGGATTCATTTGGTCACGTCAGTCATACTCTATGCTGATTAGTACCAGCCAACGTCACTACAGTAGTTCAGTCATTTAGTCAGTGCAACAAATGTGTTTTTCTTTGGTGTATGTTTCAGACAACATATTTTACAGTTTTGGAATGTATTAAAACAAGAACAATGCTATGCTAAAGATACAATCAAAATGTCAGGTGTTTACAGTATTCTTATTCCGTGACTCAAATGCACGTTGTCCACTCTAGTGGACATGTCACCAACTCCATGGAGAATTCATGTTTTTTCAAAATGATTATATTTTCGATCTTTTCATGCCTCAAGAGTATTTAAAACACTTGGGGAAAAAATCTTGAAGAAGCCTAAAATAATTCATGCCTGAAAGGGTTAAACATGGTAGGACCACATAGTTTCCTGATATTAGGGAGAAAAAAAACATTTATCCATGTTCCTCAACACCAGATCCATGCTCTACACAAAACCAAGAAGCGCTCAGGCGTATCTTTTCCAAGTAGACTCCTCCCTCTTGACTCTCTGTGCCCATTCTGACCGCGGTAAAGTGGCCCGGCTTTTCGTCGTAAAGTGGTCCGCACATTAAAATCGGGTGGCTCCTTTATGCTGTTACTTACGGTAGACGCGGAACGGGAATCCGCGGGGATGAGCGACCATAAAGGCATTTTTTTTCATTCATAAAAAAACAAACATTTAAAATAGTTTTGCTACTACATTCACTGCACACTTGTTCACTCTATATTTTGCAAAGTAAAATTTACTTTTACTGTGGAGATTTCAAGAAAATTGGGGTGCAATATTGGTCCAAAATGCACTTGTTGAGGTGGTTTGGTTTTAAAAATTAGGGATTGTATAGCCCAGGGATATGGGGCCTGCAACCCCAGACTCGTCTGGCACCGGGCCATGAGTGAGTACCAGGCCAGCCCCGCAGAGCTGACCGGGTTACACAACCTGGGGCTGCATAGAGATGAAGGCAATGCGCAGTGGCCCAGGCTTGAGCCCTTCTGCTCTGAAAGAGAGAGAACCATGGCCCTGTCTCTACTACCACCACCAGCAGCAGCAGCAGAGGTGCGCGGCTCCTCACTCCTGTGGCCCCAGGGGCCTGGGTTTCGATCCTCCACACCTCCAGCACAGGCCTAGCCACGGCCCTCCACACCCCCTGTGACAGGCCTCCGTGCTGTGGCAACACCATGGGCAACACACACCTCAAGCACAGGCCTGGCCATTGCCCTCTACAGCACGGGCCGGGTCCGGGTTAGACCTGTGCATGAATCAGACCAGAGTGCCTCAGAACCCCTCCTCGAACTTGCAAATCTCTTTCATATTTTTTAAAATGAATGTATAAAAACAGTGCAACAAGTGTGCTGTGGAAGTATGGTGAAAAATTAATTGATTTTGGATCAATATTTGACACTTGCGCACTTACTTTGCACCGCAGTAGGCCTCAAAGTGGACAAGTGTGCAGTGAAAGTAATCGCAAAACTCTATTATTTTAACGTGAAACACAAATTGCATTTTGGTTGCTCATCCCCGCAGCTTCCCCTTCTACGTTTACCGCATGGATCTAGGGTTTACCGTAAGTAATAGCAAAAAGGCACCACCCACTTTTTTTGTACGGATCACTTTACCGCGGATGGTGAAAAGCCGGGCCACTTCACCGCGGTCCATTACCGTCTCTAGGTTCTTCCTGTTCCATACCTGTGTTGCTGTGTCAGATGACACTTCTTTGTGAAAGATGTCCAGCTACTAACATGTGACTGGACCCTTTGGACTGGACTGCCGTTTATTTATTTATTTTTTATTTCGACTTCAAACTGCAGTCTTTAAAGTCGGTGAGTTGTGTCTGGAATACAGGATATTGGAAAGGGAGGTGTTTAAATGGAAATGCATTTTATTAGCTGCGTGCCATTACAGGTGGATTGGCTTTCCCTTTTACCTTACTTTTCCCTTATTTTTACTGACGTAGTAACTAAATTCCCTGTAAGTTATATAGTTAATTATTTAGTTAGTAATATAATCATTATTATTGTGTCATATATATATGTCTGCATTGACATCCCTAAAAGCACTGGTTACAAATAGAAATGTAAACGTTTTTGTGTTTCTTATGTTAGAACAAATCATATGGTTTGTTTTTATGAATTCATTCATAATTTAGTCTAAGGGTTTTCTAATTAGACTAGTGGAAAGAATGTTTAAAGAAATATTGAAGCACTTGGTTGATTTGGTATTACATCAATCATTTCAGCAAAAAAGTTTAGTTTCATTATTATTATTATTATTGCTACAGAAACTAATTGTACACTTTGTGATCATTTCTTCTACTCTCACCTATTGTGTAGTTCCTTTTAATTATAACTAGAAAAGCAATCATTTGGATCACCTACAAATCACCTACAAACCTTTTGAGTTTTGCATTGAGTATTGTTAAAATACAGAATTATAGAAATCAGAACAAGTTTTGTGGTTTGGAAGGTGGAGCAACAAAGATGTGCAAGATGGTAATGCAACTGTCGGGCACATGTGTGTAAATCCCAAATACTGTCAATCCAGACTCGAGGTTACGCAATAAAGTTGTAGACAGAATTGTGCCTTTATTTGTTGTTAGGGTTGCTTTTAAATCACTCTTAAATGGAAGCGTTGAATGACTGATGCGTATCTTTCTTTCTCTAACATGTGATTTATGTCCTTTATATTGTTGTAATGTTTTGTTGTTGTTCACAACATAATGACTCTGTTCTATCTTTTAAGATGGCGTGTCAAAGCTGGCTGCTCAGATGGGAACTGCTCATTCTGGTTTCTGCTGTCTCGGAGTGTTCTAGTAAGTCCTTGTTTTTGTACCTTTATTGCTTTTTTGTAACAGCCTTTCCTTTTTTTATCTTGTGACTTATTGTTTTGTTATTTTTTTTTCATTTTCTACTATTTTAAATAATAGATCATGTTTGATGTGTGCATTCTGAGTCCTCTTATTTCCTACCTTTTGTTCTGCATATACTTGCATGTATGAGAAAAGTATATCAAATTATAAATATTCCCGGCTCATAATTTGATTCTCTGGAACTTGCTTCCGCCTTCCGGATGAGGATTCAAGTTTACTCAGTTTTGACATTTCTTCATATGGTTTTGACACAGATTTTAATAATAATTATGAAAACTAAAAGCTTTGATTTGAGTTTTTTATAATTATTTTGTTATTGAATAGCTGTGTGAATCAGCAGTAGCCTGGGCCTTCCCATATCCTATTTCGTAGCAGAAAGACTGAGAAAGACTATTAGTATGGAAACCAGGCTACATCAGCAGTGCACCAGGCACAAAAGAAATACTTGATCTCTATCTACTTGAAGAATGAGTTTTCCATTACTGCCTGCTTTTTGTAGTCAATGTTTGACTTTTCTGCTTTCATTTGCAATCACAAACTGAACAGTGTTTGCTGTTTGTGTTGCCAGGTAATTCTCCTCCTGGGAAACCTACTTTTAATTCATGCCGTTCCCCTGACAAAGAGACGTTTACCTGCAGATGGGTCCCAAATGCTAGCGATGGAGAGGGCACCACCTACAGACTCTTTTACTCAAAAGAAAAGTGAGTGCTTGTTTTTGGTATTGGTGATGGCAACATTTATCGTAAGTTAAAACTTAATAAAGATAGTTACGTTTTTACTGACAGAAATGCTGCTTTCTTCTGGCTGTAATGTTCGACTATAGAGTGAAATTGTATCCATGTAGTTCCTATTTAATATCAATGTTTTCTATTTCCAAAATGACATGGATTTTAGGTAAGCAGTGGTGCTTTTTCTATGGAGATTTAAGTGTTACGCTACTTCAGTAGGAATCATAGAGAGTCAATAATCTGTATGAGGAATAGAATGTCGATTCCACTGAAAGCTACAGGCCAGAACCATTTAGACTGACGAGGGGAACACCTATAACAGAATTATTAATGCTTTTTTAATTAGCAAATATAGCTTTTAGAATTGTTTATCAACCTGGCTTGTGCAACCACAAATCCTATTATTTCCAAGCTGAACATATGTATAAGGCATATAACCAATTTCTCCCACATAGTTTACAGAAACTCTTAATCAAATATAATCAATCTTTTATTTGAAAAAAACAAGGTTAGTACAAAAAATGAGTTAGAGAAGTTAGTTGAAGTTAGTTGTAATTATGAATTACAAATCTGTCATTCAAAAATATCTTTAAAGACAATATATATATATATATATATGTATATATATATATATATATATCCCTGAATATGTCCCTGAATGAATTATTAACAGTTTCAAAACAGTTCCAAATGCATTTCTTGTTAATGAACAGTGAACGTTTGCTGGATTCTTGGAATCCTGCGTTCTTTTGTTTGTCATAATAATAGTTTTTATTGATGTGCTGTATTGTAACTGTGTATGACCAAATTAACTACTAATACGAATTCTACTACAAACAGTACATGTTCCAAAATTTATATACGGTAATGTATAGAACTATGTAAAAGCAATTGAGACACTTCCACCAACGTGATCACTGCAATGGAGACTTTTTTCATTTGCACTGTAGTAACACAACCAAGAGGGGCTGGGTGGTTTCTCTGCATTCCTAGGTATTGGGATTAAATCGAATAGATCTTGACACTGGTATGTACAAAAACAAGAAGCCTTGTTTAAATCTTACAGTCCCAGTTAATGTTTTCTTAAATGTTTTTAATAAGAGTCACATTGCTCTGCCCTTTATGTTTATATCAAAATATTTAGATGTTACATCACTTTGCTGATGGCGTGCCAGGCATCCTTGACATCTCATTTAACTTAGAAAAGTATTTAAAATAGTAAGCACTACACCATGAATAGACATTTCACTGCAAGTCTATCTTCATCAACTGTATTTTGTTTGGAATTATACACTAAACAAACAATGGCAATAACGTCTCTTGCCTCTTCTTGTAACTCATGTGAAGCACAGTTCGCCGAGTCCCCAGGAAGATTTCTGCTCTCGAACCACAGTGGAAAAGCAGCTTTGCTTTGTGTCTATGGACCTGTGTGCAAGCCTTTGTTGCCAAAGACATTAAAAATGAAATCACACTATTTGTTCATTTGATTTGGGAGTTTTATGGGAGATAGCACTCCAGCTGTATAGGAGCTGGTCTATTTATGTTAATGCAAGCAAGTTTAAAAATAGTGTAAAAATAGTACTCTTTAAAGTTGCTGTGACACATCTAATGAGCAGTGCAAAAAAAACCTTGTCATACTACTATTTGACAATAATTGTAACACAAATAATTGGTATAAGGTCACTGCACCTTCTTTGTTGTGTTATCTTTTTGATTATACAATATTTGTACATTGTTCTACAGACCAACTGGAGATAAGGAGTGTCCGGACTATCGCACGATGGGGCGCAACTCTTGCTTTTTTGACAAGAACCACACGTCTGTTTGGGTGTACTACTTTCTCAGGGTCGTAGCCTCCAATGCTTTTGGAAACACCTCCTCTGATGTCCTGAAGTTAGATGTGGCAAATATTGGTACGATTTATCCATATTTTCTTGAACCCAGCCTATTAAAAGGTCAAAACAATCAAATGCATATAATGTTGCTCTTTCGTTTCAATCTCTAAGTTTAAGGTATATAGAAGGATTTTCTACTTACGGGTAGATCATCAAGACTGTTGGTCCTCCCAATTGTCAGTCATTCTGGTCATACGTCCTTGTCAAATAAGACCAGAGAGTTTTGTTCAAAAAATGGAGCGGGCGGTTCTTTCCTAAAATTTGGGAAAGTCCTCCTATATACTTTGGAATATTGTTCAGCAGACTTTGAGCTTGAACAAAGCCAGCACTCACCAGTGTTGAATTATTATGTCTGACAATGTTTAACTTACCTTCATATTATGAGTACAGCAATAGAGAACTATCCAACCATGTATGACAATTAAACATACATATGGTTAGCTAAAGTACCACAACTCAGATAATAATCAACACTGAAACTAGTATCATAACTAGGACTGAGCAAAGAAAGACAAGCTCTTTTCTTTCCAGTTCCAGAAAGATAAAAAAAAAAAAAAGTATATCAGAACTAGTGTATGCAAGTATATTGTGTTGAAACATTACAGTTTGTTGTCCAAAAAACAGCATTGAATGGTGTTGAATTGGGGACGAAGTATAGATCTTAGTTTTGGGACAACACTAACATGCAGTGCGGCCAGTTTTACCAGTATGCTACAGTATGTGACCTAGTTAATATGTTCCTTCATATATGTTTTTACCAGAAGGCAGTTTGTGAATGTCAACCCTTTAATGTAAATGATGATCTTGTTTTGTGAAGCACTTTGAACTGCACTATACAAATAGACTGGCCCATATATTATATTGCTTTGCCTGAGAAGGGAAAGGTACTGACTGCCAGGCGGTGTTAAACCTGATCCAAATGAAGCTGAACTGGTTTGTGTGTGTTTTTAGTGTCAATGAAAGAATCATTGAACCTTGAAGTGCGTAGTGTTTATCATTTCCACCCGTTTCCACCATGATGAACGAGGTCTATAAAGCTGTTAGACCTCAGACAGGCCTGGGAATGAATTAGATTAGACTCCACTAAAATATTTGTTTTACAGTAATGGCCGATCCTCCGGAAAATGTAACTTTACAACTGGAGCTCAGCGAGGGCGGTCCTATCATTCATGTTGCCTGGAATCCTTACCAACCCCGGAGTAATTTTGGCTGGGTCACTCCTAGATATCAAGCCCGCTTTGAAAATGAAGACACTGACTGGATTGTGAGTGTGCATCCTTGTTAGAATGTATCCTCTTTAAGTTTATACATTTTCAACCTGAGAAAGAACAGAACGAACAATACTGTAGACTTTCACATAGTTGCCTATTTTACTCTAATTTCTTGTTTTTATAGCGGGATACCGGCACAGATACACATTATAGCTTTTACAGCACCCCTCCGGGAAAACAATACAAGGTCCAGGTGCGCTGTTCGCTTGACAATCGTCCATGGAGTGAATGGAGCAATGCCTCGTTCATTCAAGTCCCTAAGTGTAAGTTTATTGTTTAATTACATTCAGTACAATACAACACTATCCCCACATCACAATATGTACAGTATTTTACATCAATTAAAATAAACTATTTCTATATAGCACGAAAGGGGGCTTTATAAAGGTCCCTGTAGGGCTAGTCACCTACATGGACTAGCCCTCCTCCTAGCCCAGGAGACTGTGAGGTCCCCTTCAGAAGAACAACCTTTGGACAGAACACTCTCTCTGTGAAGGCCATGAACATCTGGAAAAGTCTCCCTCTGCACTTACGGGAGAGTTTTACACTGGTCAGCTTTAAAACAAACACTGGCTGAATAGAAACCAGTCATGTGACCACTTGACTCCTAAAGGTACACTGTGCAGTTTTTACTCCATCTGGCGTTGAGATCATATCTTGTAATTTACGGTACTACGGTAGCTTCGCAGGACAATATGTCGTCTTTGAAAGTGGTCCCCAACTCCCTGTCAAACTCATTTTTGTCCCTTATCAACCACTGTTTTTCAAGATGGAGCATTGACATTGACAGACCTCCAGTTTTCATGTACATTTTTAAGTCAATTTCTGAAAACAACTCAAAAACATGGTGGAGGTAAATATTCTTAAAAAGGTCACATTTGTTTTTGTTTAACATGTTTTTTTCAATTGGAGCAACTGTAAAAATTACACAGAGTACCTTTAACTTCTTCCTGTATTGTTTTGTGTTCTTTTGTTGTATTTCATTGTATTGTAGGTTGTCATTTCCTGTGTATTTTCCTGCCTAGGGACTACTGCGGATGACAAATCGCTCTGTAGCTATGATCTGGCATATTTACATTTGTTTTTTACATTAATGTGCATTGTCCCTCAAAAATAATTCCAATAGCAGTCATCTCAGTGGACTGCAGTATAAAACAACAATGCAATAATAAAACAAATACATAGGAGCCACTGGTCCATAGGGTAATATATAAAAAAAATAACGTATATACTGGTATATGACTTTAAACATGTCTTTTTGCACTTTCCCTGTCTTTTTACACCCCCTGAGTGATCTTATTGAAGCCAACTGTTATATGTGAGATCAATAAAGTAGTATCTTATCTCATCTGATATTTTCCCAGAAGATATCACAATACATTTCAAAGTAGAATCTATTTTATGTTTTAAGGACCAATAAAAGTGCACATAGTTTGTTGAGTTCCGTAGGGAAATATCATTAAAAAGAGGAGCTGCAATGAATCATTCAATGATAACAATGAATGACAAAAAAGTTTCAAAAGTAGTCGCCTGAACTTTTTTTCAGCATTTTACAGCTAACAGTAGGTGTCACATAATAGTCGATTCGCGATCAGCAAATACAATCAGAGAACATCAAACAATGATAAAACACTGAAGAGTTGTTGGTCCAAAGGATAACCAGGTAAACAATGGTCATAAATCTATCAGTTTATCTTTTGTCTGGGAATGAACAAACAAGAAACATTTATTTTGACATTTGGACTTAAAAAAAAGAAGAAAAAATTCAAATCCGAAGAAGGGCCACACCCACTTTGTGCCTGATCATTGAGTCATAGAGGTTGGTTATTACAGCCCCATCCGATTCAATTAAACAAACAAATCAAAGTAAGAAAACATCCATCTCTGTGCAGCACTTTTGTTAATGACATGTGCTACTGAAGTTAAGTGGATTTTGTATAATGTTATAATATGTTTTTTTCCCACTTTCTTCTTTTTCAAGCCGAAGCTAAACGATGGCCCTTCTGGATACTGGTCTTCATATGCTCGGCCATAATTTTTTTTCCAACCCTGTGCATAATGCTCATCAAGAGGAAATGGTATGTTCAAGCATTTGGTTGTGTGTTTAGTCTGATAAGAGCAATCAGGCTAACAGACTGGTGTCTCTATAGCATCAAACAGTGGCTTCTGCCTCCTGTTCCTGGACCAAAGATAAAAGGACTCGATGAGCATCTGCTTAAGGTAATGAATGCACGATATTGGATAAAATGTATCCTCTAAAGGTTTAAACTTTAAAGCATATTGTTATTCATGGTTTAATCATTTATGTAATATTTGTAATGTACTCTTCTTAGTTATTGGGAATTATTTGGGGTGATCAATATCAGTTGTGAGATTGTAGCGTATTATGACCAATACCAATACAAATGAGTAAGAATTCTCTATTTACTTGTAGCCCCTACTATAATTATGGATGTCGTTATATCAATAAAAAACATGATGACATCTGGAGGCTTGCATCGTCCTTAAGAATAGCCTCTTTCTGCTTGTTTCCATGTAAATATCGTTCTTTTGGCTATCAGAGTAGGGCAAAAAACACCTATCTCATTTATCTCTATTAAGAATACTCACCAACTTTATTTTTCCATGGAATCACGCAGCATCCCTATTGTTGCTGGCTGCTTGCAATTCATTCAAGGTTTCTTTTTGGTGCCTTCTAGGTACAGTAAATCTGTCCATGATGTTGTCTATAACTGACTGTGTATTTTTTCTATCATTTATATTAGAATGGACGATCTGAGGAGATCACGCGCGTTCTTGTCCTAAATCAGGCCTTTCCCCTCACAGCGCCCTGGAAAAACCAAATTGAGGATTACCTTGTTGTGTGTGACAACAACTTGCTGCTGGTAGAGGACCAGAAGTACCTAAACCGGATGGTAGTTACAAAGCAGTTTCCTTCTGATGCAAACATCGATAAAGAGAAGTTGATTTTGCAAAATGATGTCGACCCCAAAGCACAGACACAGGACACCCGTGAGTCTGTCGATGAATTAAACAGAGTAAACAAAGAAAAGGCTCAGTCAGTCCATCTGCCTTTGCAAAACGGCTATGTGGACATTCCCAAACTTGATGTGGACAGGAGACATATGGACTATAGCTCTGTGATAGACGTTACAGGAGAGCACACAATCGTTCTGGAGATGCAAAACAATGCCCCAAATTGTCAAAAAGTTCACTTGAACGAGAAAGAGGACAAGTGCCTGTCTGAAGACTACATCAGCATCAAAGAGGTCCAGAGCGAGCACATGAGTCTGCTGCAGGATCCGTGCAGTATAAACAACAAAGACTGTGGGAAACAGGAGGCAACGTATGCAAACTTTATCACTAATGGATATGTGGACAATACTTTTTAATGATGAAAAACATGTGCATTCAAAGTCTGATTCAAATCTTTTTCACTTGTAAGCTTAATCTTGAAATTGTCTGTTCTGTTATTTTATATTGTTTCAATATATAAAAAAAGTCTATTAAACTATCCTCTATTTAGCTATCATAAAAATGGGCTAAATATGTCCAACACATGATCACAGTAACCTTTTCTGTGTTTACTAATGCACCCTTTTAATCGGAGTGTAAATAAGGATGGAATTCATATTTTCTTCAAAGGAGACAATCAAACTTTTTGGTTTGGACCTTGATTTTATTTTTGAAAATACAAGCTCCTAATTTATTGATAAATAAAATAAAAATAACACTAACTCAAAATATAATCATATTTCTTAATTTAATAAAATAAAATAGATCATCAGCTTTACATTACAAAAGTCTTTTCTAACAATAATACAAAAGAAATGTTCATTGGTAACAATTAGTCAATGTTTCACAGAAACAATACACATCTAATGCACTCGTGGTTATGTCACTGGATTTAAAGGCTCATGATATATTTATATTTAACTACAGACAGAAGGTATTTTATTTGCATATACATTTTGACTATTTCAAATTTTTTAGATATTGTTTTGAAATAAACTTTTCCCATTAAGTATTTTACTGACCACTTGCACCATTGAGGTTTTTGCACATTCATGAAACATCTTTTAGATTTTACCATTTAGTTAACAATGTTCATCAATCAAAATAAAATGGAAAACTGCAAAACATAATTATCATTTCAATGATGTAATACATCATTTCATGTAGGATCTAAATGGTTCGCGGCTCGAAGTTTCAAGACCGTCAGCTCTTATCATTGTCACTGTCCAAGCACATGGAGTTCAACTGCTCCTCAAGGTTCACAAATGAATGATTAGATTCATTTTCCAACAATTTCTTCCATACCTTTACTGTAAAATAAAAATGGATAGGGAAAAAATAGTGCTATATTCTTTGTTGCATAATGCAGACAAACTGGCACTCACTGTATTCAGGTTCTTCCGAGTCATGAGGAGCACTTTGTGTCTGCTCTGTGTCAGCTGAGGCTTCAGACTCCAAATGCTCAAGGCTCAGCAACATTTCTTCATATGCTTTTCTGGCTTCAGACGATAATTCTATCATCTTATGATAAATGTCCTGTAAAACCAGACTAGAATTTATCCAAAATATCACGTTGCAGATTATCATTTAATGGCCTAATCAGACTGACCTGTGCTCCATCATAGTTAAAGATTCCGACAAGACTCACAGGAACAGCCTTATTAACACAGCGACCCAATGCTTTTCTGGACAAAGCAAAGATAAAGGGCACTTCCTGTTCCCGACAAATGTCAATAATTGTATGGAGAGCCTCATCCAATCCTCCTAAAAATACCAAGATCAGTGTAATGTTCCTTGGCATTCTGAAATACTTCAATATAAACAAAATAAAAACTCTTCAATTGAATAAGGCCAAACCTTTGGCCTTGCTGCGCTCACAATTGGGTGAAATGATGACACATTTAACTTTTCTGAGTTTGAGGTGTTTTAGAACTTCCCGTAGACCCATGACAATCCGCCTTTTCATTCGAGCCTTCATTGGGTCCTTTTGGTAGAGACGATCTTGGAAACGCACCAGCTCTTTTAGTAGTGTCGTCACACCTTCGTCCACATCTTTGCTGAGCATTTGAGTGCAGTACCTGTAAAACCAGAAGTTATAATACAAGGCAATCCCTGGCATTTGCATAACATTTGAAAGAGTTCGGGATATTTACTCTCTGAACTTTCTGCTGTGGATTTTAGGTTTCTCCAGGTGCGGTATTGTCAGTGATGAAGTGGTCAGTTCAGGGGAAGGTTCCTGAACTTTCTGCTCATTATTCTCCTCTATTTGTTTGACAAGTTCTTCTGCAGGAGTACCTACCTCTTCTGTGGGTGTATACAAAAATAAAACACATATAGCTTTTTCAATTGTTAAAAATTATGAAATGCTAAAGTTTGCGTGACCTGCATCACTTGTTTTACAGTTTTCTTCCTCTGCATGAATAGACTCGCATTCGGGCGGTTCACCTCGCTCCTCAACCAACCGATTTTGCTTCCTCTCCTCTCGCTCCTTCATAATAACCTATTATAATAAGTTAGTTATAGTGAGTGTAGTGCCAACAGTTTTCAAGTAGTGGGTGAAATACTTTTTTAAGGGCAGTAGGTTTCTTTGCTTTTGGCACTTCCCTCTGCTTGCCCTTCTTTACTAATGGGCTTGTGGAGTCCAGTGGATTGTGTGCCATCTTGTCCAGTAGCACAGGTTTCTTCTGAACAGGGTGTTGCTTAGGTACGAAAGGTAAACCTCCTCCAACTAAAACAAACATGCTCTAAGTGTGAAGCAATAGCCATGTGTTTGATGATGGAGATGAAGATATTACCTGAGAGAGTGAGTGGTTTCGAGTCCTGCTTGGCTTTCTGAGATTGTTTCTTTTCTAGAACCGCCAACATGTTTCCGATGTCGAGCTGAACCGGTACTTTGCTCTTCTTACCTGAAACCTTTTCCGCTTTCTGCACAAATGAGAACAATGCAATTAAATACATCAGCATATCGCAGTACGCCTAAGTAAATTGTGTACAAAACATTAATAAGCACTGCAATCAACTCAATCTTTGTTTAAGAACGGGGGCCAATAATCAGTTATAATAATAAATATCCCATACTTTTTCTTAACAATCTTCATGTATCATTCAATTTAACTGCTCAGTTTGATTTCTTACACTCAAACCTGTGCAGTTTGTTTTAACTGGAACCAATATTCATAGATATTAAATACAGTGCTAGGACATAATAGTTTAAACAGGTTTATCTGGTCTTCTTGGTATATCCAGTTATTGGTTCTTCTGTCCCAGACAAATTTAAGATAGCGATGTTGTTACCTTGACATGTATCAACGGCATACTTTCGTCTTCCTCAGTATGTGTGGTATACTGTACCTGTACTTTTGGAGGGTCTACATTCAGAGACTTTGCACTTTTGCTTCTGTCCTTATTCTGATCCATAGCCTGTTGTTGAATGCCCTTTCTTTGGTTTTCCTAAACAATAAGAATGGTATTATCAAATTACATAATAAGAGTAAAAGTAGCAGTAGTTGCGGTAGTAAAAGCTGTTGCTAACATGTCACAACTATACTATAGTACTACTAGACCAGGGGCCGTATGCCTAAAGATTCAGAGAGTCTTCTCAGAGAGCTCCTAACTTAACCTTATAACTCCTAGCTAGGAGTCTTAGCTTAAAAGTTATTCCAGAACAGAGCAAGGAATGGACAAAAACTATCTTAGTGAGGAGGCATGGCCGACCTTGTTGCTAGGTATGAGTCATCATTTCAGAAGCTGTGATTGGTTGATCCTATAAGTTGGAGAAAAAATACTTTTGGTGATAATGTGCAAAAAAAAAAAAGGACCCTCAAATGGACAGACTTAATCAATCTTAGGAAGACTGTAGTATATGGATATTTGGTGACAATGATGACGTTATGATTAGTAAAGGCTCTGATACTGAGAAGTATAAGGCATTAAGGAAACAATATTAATATGAACATATTATGCTTACTTAAATAGAGTTTAAAAAGTCTTAACTTTTTCCCACTCCTTTTTGTTAGTAAAACAAAACATACTGTATATTTGTATATTATCATGTATTGTTTCTTTTTCTATTCTGTTGTTGTTTTGGTTTTTTGTTATTCTTTGTTATTGTTTTCCATGGCTTGTAATAAAGTATTCATTCATTCATACAGAATGCGTGATAATTAGGCCCATTTATTTGCTTATACTAAGTGCCATGCTGGTCATATTTATCTCTTTCAACTTTTACCATTTCTACTCACTTTCATGTAACAAGGGTAAAATGGATCAGCTGTGATCGCTGATCAGCCTGTAAGGAGCTGGTCACATGGTTGACTTTTTAATAAACCACAAACATGATTCATGCCCGATGCAATCTGTAGTGTTTCACTATTTTACTGTTATTCAGTGTAGAATATCCGTCCGATATTTTGTCCTCTAATAGAACTATTAAGTCGTTAAAAGTCCTCCTCTCTACTTTTAAGAGATCTCACTTTAGGAGCTCTCTTAGGTGCTAGGATTCTTTAGGAATAGCTTTTTTCTTAAATATTAGGGGTGGCTGAGTGGATAGCACTTTCGCCTTTCAGCAAGAAGGTTCTGGGTTAAAATCCCGGTCCGAACAGGGCATTTCTGAGTGGAGTTTGCATGTTCTTCCAATGTCTGCGTAGGTTTCCTCCGGGTACTCCGGTTTCCCCTACCTCTAAAAACATGTACAATAGTTCAGGGTTAGGGTTAGGGTTAGGGTTATGAGGTGAATGAGTGTGTGTTTGTGAGAGTGAATGTGGGACAAAGGATGCAAGTTAGCCCATGGCTATAATCTGGAGTGATTTGTTCATTAACATGTACTGTCCCAACCAAATAAACAATAAAAATACATATTTACAAAAAGAATACTCTTAGAATTTGGGAGCAACTCTTAGCACAAAGAATCTTCAGGAATATGGCCCCAGGTTGATGGGAATGCTTGTGAATTGACTCGTCATGGCAATAAAATAAAAAAAGAGGAACAATAGGAATGTTACACAATACATGGTTGGAAACATACGTCATTGGACAGATGGGTTGTTTTGCTTCTGTTCATTAACCTTTCTCTCGCAGTAAAGGGATTTAAACCAGGAAACTCCTCCTCATCCTGTAATACAAACAATGAGCATATGGGAGCAGACCATCTTATGATCTGTGATTTCAGGAAAGTTACCTCAAACTTGGGAGGGTCTTGACACAAATTGTCATTATCCGAGACGGTCTCCATCTCTTCAGCGGCCCCTTTTGGCTTCTTTCTTTTCTTTTTTCGCTTTTTCTTCCCCACATTCTCTATATCTGTTTGCTCTACCACTTCATCAATCTACAACAACAGACAAGAAACAGGCTTTGTGAATAGTTTATGAAAGTGAAAAACTTTTTTTTTTAAAGCTACACTAATATAGAATTATTTTTTTTATAAATGGCATCACTGATACCTGAGCTGTTTTTTTGGGAGGTTGAGAGGCAATGTTGGCCCAGGAGCTTGTTACAGAGACATTTTTTGGATCTGCAAAACATCCACTTGTGCATTACATTTTTTACCATATATTTAGTTTTTAGACCTTCTGAATGATATTTACCCTTTTCATCTCCAAGTGAGTTAGAACTTAGATCAGTTTGTCGGGGCTTATAATTTGATATGGGTTCCTTTTTGTTCACCTGTAAGAATGAAAGCAACATCTTTTTGATGACATTGTAACAGCGACCATACAAACATCTGTATAGATTAAGAAGTAAAACCTTCCATGCTGTATCTGTATTTTCTTCAAAACTTTGAGGATTTCCCCAGCATTTTCTTGGGAAATGGGGTGCTTGGTCCACAAAGATGCCGCTCAGCTCTGGGAATTCATCCATTTTGACTTCGAATGAGACAGATTCTGCCATAACTCTTCCTTTAAAAATGGTAGCCAATATAATGTTATAAGGGATAGAACTTTGCTGCATATATTTCATACAGACCTCTTCCTTTCAATTCTTTTCTCCCATGTCCAGGACTTTTAGGATTTCCCATAGGTGCCTTAAAATGGACAAATAATGTATTGATCACCACACTTCCGCAGAATCATATACAATTCCATAAACAAACACTGACAAACCTTGGTTAAGGGATCGACAATGGTGTTTGTTTTATGTTGAATAGTGGTCACTCTAGTTAGTTTGCTGTATCCATGTCTTCCCAAACTTGAATTATCAGCAGCAGTCTTAGAGGAGCCATGCAATGATTCATTCCTGTACAATTAATGTACAATATGTATGGGTTAGTACATGATTGCCCCTTAGTTACAAAAACAATAACAGTCGACATACCCTTGTAGAATTGGAAGAGACTTGGATGGATTTGGTAAAGTTACAGCAGTGGCCAGTGGTTCCCTCCTTATTTTCTCTTGATGCCCATGTGCAGCAGGGGTCACATTACTCCCCTAAATTGAAATGTCAAAACGTCATAACGTCAAAACAGCAGCCTTTATCAGATTTCTGTTTGAAAGCGTGTGCAGACAAATCTATTATTCAAGGCCAACATCATCACCACGACTGGCCAAATAGAAAAATTCACGTCATTTCAAATATCAATAAAGTGAACTTAGTTAATGTAACCTACAGACTTACTAAACGTTTATTGATCGAAGATAAGCTTGGATAACTTTAATTACGTGCACTAGCGCAAATAATTAAATATATGAACGTTAATTTGGATCCTACTACAATGTTATACAAGCAGAAGTAAAACACAGTCCCTGACAGTGCTAGCTAGCATATTAGCTCGCATGAAGCGATCGTGCAAATGCTAAAAGATAAACAGATCTGTACCTTGTCCATCTTTAAGCGTGTGAGTGCACCGTCAGAACAGTATGCGCATTATGTCTATGAGGCGTATAGCTCTAACTCATTACCAAAACTTGAATTTACTCTAGAAACACGTTGGGTTAGCCTCTCCAACCTGTTACAGAACAAGCGATCCTAAAAGTCGCATGGTCACGTGGTCTGATGTTTACATCACAGAGACCAGAGCGACATCTGACGGACAAACTGCGAAACTTCTCTACAATATTATACAAATAAAAACAGAACAATCTATAAATGTTTTTATTATTACAAAATAAATACATGTGCAAATAAAACATGTACGAAAATAACATTTAGAAGTTACTTTACTACAATTATTGCACTGCTGCTTCCATTGCATTGTCAATGGTCATAATGTGTAGTAGGCTATTTGTCTTTATCATCCTTTACATCCCAGTCAGTACTGAGAAGTGCCAATGGAATAATGAAACCTGCAGATGAGAGCAAAAAACTAATCTTGGCTCCAGCGACCCAGTATACTGTGAAGCATAAATAACATTAGAGAAGACAACAATTTACAACTGCTTAGTGAATGATAGCTTACCAGCTGATGACACAATAGGCCCCATTGCTCTGGCAAGGGCACCTAGACTGCGCAAGATGCCCATCACTGTGCCTTTCTGACTAACAGAGCCTGAAAAAATGTAATATTGATAAGTAACAGACTCTAAAATGGGATATAGTACGTATAAGTAAAGTGGAAATTACCATAATCAGACACAAGAGTTGAGAGACATGGCACAACTATCGCAGCAGCTGAAAGGAAAAAATAAATTTAGAAAGGGAAAAAAAGTATTACAAGTATTCATTGAAATGCCCACTAACTCACCAAAGGAATACAAAGCAAGGCCGATGTACAACATGGTTACACTCCAGGAGAATCCAATGACAATAAAAGCTGGAATCAAAGTAACCATTGCCTGAGATAGAAAAGTTAATTAATCATCACATTAATAAACAGGTGTTAATTTGATCATACCATTTTTACATTCCTAATGTGTTTCCCAGGTTTGATTCGACGAGCATAACCTCCCTGGATCAAAGCCATGATGATACCAATGAAGAAAAACATTTTCCCCTGCTGCATGCTTTTTAAGACATAGGAATTAGGGACTTTTCCAGTAACTTTGGTACTCCATATACAATTATTAATAAAGTAGATAAAAACACCTTGTGAATTTGAAGCGCTGGTGCGTCAGGAAACTGAGTGTGAATTCCAGCCCAGAAAAGAGGAAAAGGTAGCAAAAATAAACAAGGCCCAATCTTCTTAATTTCTCCATTCCTTTGGGGATGAAGAATAAATTCATTCACACATTGTTCAGGACACCAAACAAAGGTTTACTCACTTTGTTTTGAAGGAGCTTCTTCAGAGTTACTTATAGCAGAGAAGCACAACAAAGCAAATGGGTTTAGGAGGTCCCTGCATTGACCAGAAAAAGTCGTCTGAAAACGAATGACGAAAAACATTTAGATTGCATTTACACTTATTGATCTGGTTCATTTTAACTGGTCCAGTTCTGGTTCACTGCGGAGTAAATTATTTATTCATGGGTACAAAACATGCTCCCATGAAATGTGTACTACCCAAATCAAACCAAAGCTGAACCTCAGTCACAACTCAACAAAGACACATTTGAAATGAACACAGTATCTTGTCATGTTTTGTTTACCTTCAGATCCTTTCTTAGTGTTTCGGGAAGCACAAGCCAAATAAACAGCAAGTCAGCCACACTAAAGGCCAAAGCCAGCAGAGCTGGGGTCTGGTGAAATGCATTTCCTTCACCTGATGCTCTGAAGCTCATTGCAAAGTAGGCCCCCATCAAAGGTCCAACTGTGAAGCCCAATGAAAACGCAATACCAATCATGGCCTGGTGACAGACACAAGAAAACTTTTAATAATAATGTATTCAGATTGTTATGGGAGACTTTCTTTAATTTTTCTCCATACCATTCCCCTGTTTCTTGCTTTTGGGGAGGGCAAGTCTGCTACAATGGCAGTACACAGACTGACATTTCCCTTACAAAGGCCCCCAATTATACGGAACAAAAGGAACATAGTGAAGCTTTTGGAAACAACCCACACAGCATACGAGGAGATGAGCCCTAACTAGAACAGAAGCACATAACTTAAGGTCAATTTAACGCAAACTTACTGCGAATTACTGCACAATAATACTCACTGTAGTGACCAAGAGCAGGAGCCGTCTGCCATAACGGTCAGACAGAGCCCCAGTGAGTGGTGATGACAAAAACTGGAGCAGAGAGAAAAGCGACCCAATCAAACCTAGAAATGAAAAAAATTTAAGTAATCACATTAGTATGGTCAATGTCATTTTAATATCTGAAGCAAACGGATTAAAATACCTCCAAATAAAACAGTGTTGTATTTTTTATCAAGAGGAATCCCAATAGACTCTCTGAACCAGTCCACAGCGCTTTGCATGAATAGGTAGACTTCATCCTGTGAGGAAATCCAGCCGAGGTTTGAAGAGTGGACAGAAAATGTGTTAAGAAACTTCAAGATAACATAACTCACGCAGAAGTAACAAGTGGTGATCAGGGAAGTAAAAATGTCACAAGCCAAGTTAAAAGAACAAATAAATAAATAAAAATCTGGTATTGTCAAAGGATAGTCGAAACATGAGAATTTTTTTTATAGCTGGGATACCCAACTTTAAAACACAAATAATTGTGCTGTTATAGAATCAATGTTGATTCTATAACAGCATTGATTGATTGATTAGGTCACTAGTTTTCACATACATGTATTTTTTGGTCTCCGTCACATCATATCAGCTTTATCGGACAGAAAAGTGGAAAAAGTGACTCACAAGGCTTTTTCCTTATCGTAAGTATCTAAAATTGTCTAGTGAGCCAAGAAATGATACGGTCTGATATGTTACTTTCATCAGACTGTTGGGACAAAACATGTAATAGTCACGGGAAAAATACATACCCCAGCTTTAATTTAGATTAGTTCATCCTCTTATGTCAAACAGGCCCATATACAGCAAACAAGTTCCACCACTCTTGGAAAAGTATTCTTTTTTTAGTCTGCATGACTGAGCTGGCATATCATCTCTACTGTCATGTGTGGTACTAAAATAATGTGAAAATAAAACCTCTTGTTTTTAAGTCACGCTCCATTTGTCTGTGATAAAGTAAATATTTATTCAAACGTATAACATACTTCCTCCTGTGAGTAGTGGTCCAAAATTGAAGGTAGAAGAGGAAGAATCAAGGTGAAACCCAGAAGATCCAGCACAAGGATGGTGAAGACTATGTTGATGATTTTTCGAGAGAAGGAGCCTTTATCTTCTTCAGAGCTGTTAATGTCCGACATGGTTTAGATTTCTGAATTGAAAGATATGTTATTTCACTGCTGAATGAATAACCAGAAAGAAACGCTTGGCTATAATAGTGCCGTAACAACACACCTCAGATCTCTCATTGTTGATTGGTTAGTGCTCATAAGGAACAAGGAAACAAGGTTAGTTAAACCGAACGCCCCCGCTTTAATAAAATGCCAACATACAGCCCATGCACCATCCTTTGACCAACAATAGTAAGCTGGGTACACGGCGTGGTATATTGCGTAGAAAACATTACACACATTATAGTGACAAAACCCACACAATGTAACGAGATGCACCAACCTTCCCGAAGCAGCTCTATCAATTGTTTATTTCTTTCTTCATCCCATTACTATGAACTCATACCAGGAAGCGGTGTCCTTTTACTTTTCTCAACTCAAGACAGTGCGTGTCCAAGCACCGCCCAGGAGGAGGAGGCCGTCCGTGAGAGCGGGGCGAGCCAACACTATGTATGGTTCATAATATCTCCTTGGCAAATGTTTTTGTGTCATAGTTGTGTTTTTTGTATGCATGATTTGAATTGTAGATGGAATAATTAGATGATGCCATTGTTTTTTTTATTTTGGTTACTGATGGTTCTATCACTAGTAGATTGTAACCATAGACTAACACGTGGAAGAAATCTTGTATCAAAAAAAATATTGGTGTGAAGACCATTCCCAATATGCTTTTATGACAATTTAGAATTTTGGATTTATGTCCATTTATGGACATAATTTATATAATTAATTATACATATTTTTCTATTTATTTAATTACAGAAATATTTATTTTCCACTTCCAGATGATGTTGTCTCCGTTACATAAGTTGAGTCCAGCAGCTAAGACCCCCAACATGAGGCCACTGTTCGTCATTGATTGTGATTGGAACAAAAACCTGAAAAATTTCCATTCAGTACCATTTATAAAAAGAAAAAATGAGGAGAGTTAGTTTATTTCAGTTATGAGTATTACAGGTATGAGTATTACAGGTGACTATACAACATAGTATACATCATTTAGTTTACTCTGGGTGTGTGCATGTGGAAAAAGTGATACACATGAAAAGCAAAAAACAGATTTGAAGGCATTTATAGATTGGAGTTGAGGTTCGTTTGGTTATTAAACTCAATACAATCTGAATTTACACCGTTAGTTTTATTTATAACACAAAAAAGGTCTAGAAAAAAAAACGACCTAAAATTACAAACCCTTATAAAACACATATGAAAAAAATTGAGTTTTAAATGATGACAACATAAAAATATTTACAAATTGTGAATCTAATACTGTTACATTCCATGTCTCATCATGTGACGCTGAAGTTCTGAGTTGTTTGCGAGACTTCTCCCACAATAGTCACAAGGGAACAGATTCGCTGTGACTGGAGAAGAAACAGCAACTCCGTCTGCCGCTGTAACAGGAAAAAATACATTTACTAAAAATCAAATGTGACCGATTTTACAATGGCTTGCACAAGTACCCATCGTGTTTTCAACCACAAAGAGATTTTTTATAAGATTACTTTTCCTGAAAGACCACAATAAAATAAAAACACAACTGAAGAGGAAGCTTAATGATAATTTGTTAAGTAAAAATCCAGTGTTAGGTTGAGTCAGTTAGGCATCATTCAGTGCCTCCTAAGCCTAGTCTCTTTACTTGCGCCCCCTACTGGTGTATAATGGTGTGAGTGAATAATGCTCTAAAATAGTTAGAAGTGCCATAAATGAATAAATCTGATGCCAACTTTCATATATCACACTTACCAAGCAATGCAGGAGGAGCATCATGGCCTTCCTGTAACTCATTCTCAGCGTTACACCCTTTAGAGCGGTTCTGGTTACATTCTTCCCTCGTCAGTGGACACGGTGACTTCTCCGATGTTTCCCCTTGTTGTGCAAAAACAAGACACTGCTCTTTGAAATATTTCTCCAGGATTGGCATTTCTTCATATGGATAAGTCTTCTCAGTTTCATTCATTTCGCGTTTGTCTTCATGAACCACTTGGATTAGTTCAGGTTCAGATAGAGTATTTTGAATGTTTGTCGAGTTGTGGTTTGAATTGACGGCCGCCATAGCGTTGACTTTCTCTGAATTGTCTGCGTTTCCAGTGGTTTGGCTTTTACCCTCCATCCTCACCTCCATGTTTTGAGGGCTGTTTTCACACTTATCTTTGCGCATAGGCGAGAGATCAGCGGCATCCTCTGTAGATTGTGTTAGGACTTGGCCATTTTGCATATTATCATTTGCACGATCATCTAAGTTACTAGGTAAGTTCTGGATTTCTAGATTACTGTCGTTCTCTTCTGTTTGATCTTCATTTTGTTGCTCATTTCTGTATATTAATCGCTCATTATTTACTGTGCCAAACATATCTTCCTCCTCATCATCTTGTGAAATACGGTCTTCTCTCGCCTCCAGCTGATCCAAACTGACCTGGCCCACGAGCTGATGGTTACGAACAACCTGTCAATCAAAGTATTGAATAACAAGTTACAATTTTATTCTTTAGTGGGGGGTTGCAAATCATTTTAAGTGTATTTTGACAGTTCCCATCCTGGAAAGTTGGGGAACAACCGGTAATAATTAAGCATTTTCAAATCATCACCCTAAGTCTCATCATAGGTACCAAAGTAGTTTGAAAAAGCATTTTGACAAGACTAGTTATAAAAAAGAAACATTTACTGTATTGGTTGAGATTGATTCGAGAAAAGCTGTGCATTTTAGGGGAAACATGTCATACAAATGTAACTAGCAAAGTAAAAATAAAAACCCTGTGATTTCCCACACTACCACTAACATACAAATGGCAGAATACATGAAATATTTGGATTTCCCCACCTGATGCTTATCCCACAGGTGTGCCTCCAGATCCTTCATTTGAGAGCAGTCAAAGTAGCAGAGTCGACACTTGAACGGCTTGAGGTCGTTGTGCTTGGCCACATGTGAATGCAGAGCGTCCGCACTTCCACTGCTGAACGTGCACTTGTGACACCGGAAGACCACCCCCTGAAGGTAACGCGACAGTTTCGATCGGCGCACTTCCATGGGAATAACTCGCTCTTCTGCAAATTAAAAGAAAATTAGAAAAAAATTGAGATTTGGAAAATACAAAACTTTCTTCTGAAAAGGAAACTTACCACGATGCAAAATAATGTGATCAATCATGTTGTTTTTGTTTTTCGATTGATAAAGACAAAAAGGGCAGCAGAGATTCTTTTGGTGCGTAGGCTCCGACTGAAGAGTAGAGTGACCCATTTGCTCATGTAGATCTAGGTTTCGTCTGCAAGAAAAGGTCAATGGTAAACGCCTGTCAGGCTATTTTGATACTTGTAATTGTTTCATTATTTTTATTGGTAATTTATATTTAGAATATGATCTCTGGTGCTCTGTGTACTGGGTGCAGCTCTGACTGCCATTGTTTTCTGATTTACAGGTTTGTAAGACAGCACCAGGCAAATTGCCAGATAAAAAAATGTATGAATTAGGAAATGCCTACTTAAAACAGCTGAAAAAGTTGCAGTCCTTGCAGCGGATGAGCTTTTTTCCATGACGCCTCAGGCAGTGACGTCTCATGGCGGAATAGTGTTTACAGTTAAAATTGCACATTTCACACGGCAGCATCCTGGGTTCCCTCAACCGGAGGTCTTGTGTTTTTGATGCTAGATCAATCCGAGCCATGACGTTGTAGTTCTTTAACTGCCGCTGTACATCTGGGGGCTCCAGGAAAGAATCTATTGATGAAAAATATTTGAATGCTGATTCTTTTCATAGACATTGAGTTTTGTTCACTTCGAACACCCACTTTGAAGTTCGTCGTCCTCAGCGTTCATGTCATCTGCATTGTTTGATGAAGCCTCCTCGTTATCCTTCTGTGTGGCCTCGTCGAAGAGTCTTTCAACTTTAGGGGTCAAAAGATCTGTTGGAAATTGAGAAATGTCAAGGTAGACAGTCAAGGAGCACAATACATCAAGGGTTTGAGTGTCCCAAAAAGCGCTATACAAGTGACATCAAAACTGTCAGCAACAAAGTAAATACTGGAAAAGCACTACCAGAGGCACAGTTCCATTTGAGGTAATTACTGTATTTTTTCAGTAACACATTTATTTATGTTTCCCTCCTGTGCTTTGGAGTAGTACTTCTGTGTTCCAGCAGTAAATACTGAAAATACACCAACTGGAGAATATCCTGACCCAGCCAAAAAATAGATGCGGCCAAGATCGAGGCAAGGGGACAGGGTAAAAAAAAAAAATGTTTTCAGTAATATCTCCCCTTTTTATTCAAAGATTGCTGGTGGCTTCCCCATTCATAATTTTTAAACTTGAATACTTACAGGTATGTTGTTTGACAACATGGCTTTTTGCCAAGCTGGACATAGTTGTGCGGTAGGAGCAGAGTGTGCACATAAATGGCCTTGTCGTCCCATTTCTGTAGGTTATGTATTGATCAACGCTGAGGGAAACAAAAAAAGTGTAAGTTATAAAATATTAAATTGTATAGGAAGATGTTTTACAGTATTCTTGGGTTTCATGACGTCGGGGCAGTGGCGAGAATGACATACGTGGGACAGGACCGGACTGGACGTCTGGCGGGTATATACACAGATATAGATATCTTTTTGTGCGCTGTACGGTTGTAGCAACCGCACGAATAGAGAGAAAGACAAAAGTTTCTTACGTGTTCCAACTGTGGTCTCATATAAAAGAGTACATTTTGAAAAAATCACTAATAAAGGCGGGCGAGGTGCTTAAAGGCTTGAGTGTCCCACTCCCCATTAAGACTGTTACAACAACTGTATACCACACAGGATGAAAGCCTTTTTACTCCAAAACAGACAAGATATACATCACTTTCAATGGGAGCAAAACCGAGTTGTCCCATCTCTGCTGATTCGCTCCCTACAGGCCAGGTTAATGAAACCCAAGAATACACAACTTAAAGGTGATAATGGTTAATTTATGGTGGGGGGGTCTGTAACCTGCAGGCCTACAGGAGAATAGCTTTGAATGCATTGCAGGTACATAACTTTTTTATCGCCTGTATTCAGTACAAGGCGCCGTTATTGGCCAGAAAATGAATAATACTCTTCGAGAAGTAGGATCAATTCTCCAACTTGTTACCTGCTTAACAAAGAGCAGCAAGTGATAGACCCTCCATCACAAAAGTTATATTTGCGTAAAACATTGAGCAGTGTCTATACAGTAAAAAGGGCGCTTACTTTTCATTGGATTCGGAGGTGGTTGCGTGGTCAAGAGCAGCTAGCGCGGCGTGGCTGCGTTCATGCGAGCGCAGACCTTTGAGGGACTTGAACAGCCTCTTACAACGTTGACAGATGTGGGCGTTGTCTCTGGACTCCGGCTTTTCGTTGGACAAAGAAGCGGCCGCAGGACTGACAACCGTCCCTTCATTACTAGCACTCACTGCATTTTCTGCAAGTGAATTCAAACTAGGGAGAGTCTGTTGCTCAGAAACCTACATACATAAAAGCACAGGTCAGGTATTAACTCAAATAGAATGAAAGGTAAATCAAAAATGACTTACTTTACGTTGTTTTTCCAGCAATCTTTTCCTGTGTGTGTCCAAGTGTTTGCAAATTTTTTTAATACCAAAAATCTTCTTTTTGCAGTAGTTACACTTGTAAATTCCTGTTGTTCTGTCTGTTCTTTTTGCTATTATTGAAAAGTCCATTTTCATCTCAGAAGTGTGAACTGTTTGGTAATGGGTCAGAAGTCTTCCCTTTGATTCAAACATAGACTTGCATTTCTTGCAGGGAAATTGACCACTTGGCAGTGTTGATTTATAATTCTTGTATTTCTCCAGTTGCTTGTACACAGCTTTGGAATCATACTTATGTCTGTTCTTGAAGTGCGCAATCAAGTATCTTCGATAGGGAGTGCAATAAGAGCAGGCATTACACTTGAAAAGTTGGTGCATGGTGGTCTTCACGCTTTCTGCTTGATTTGGCGTTAGGCCCGTTTCTACATGTTTGAAAGGAGTTTTTAGCTTTCTCATTTGATGTAAAAGTGGAGAATAATATTTGCTGTAAGAGTGTTTCCCATGTCTGGTCCTATAATGTCTTCCAAGTGTCTTGAGGATTGTTGTTGAATAAGAACACAAAGAGCAATTGAAGAAGTGGCGAAAAGTGCCAGCTGGTGTCGTTTGAGTCAAAGGCGCAGGTTCAGACATTGAAGACCCTGCGTCGTCTTGCACAGCTTGTTGTTTTGGAGGGGCTTGGGTACTTGGGTTATGATCAACGTCACAATGTTTTTTGAGTTTCCTCAGGGCACCATGAACCTGTGGGCATTTTCTGCACCGATACCCACCAAAGCTTGAGGCCTTTTCACATCCAACAAAATTAGCCGAATCTATAGCCATTATTTTAAGCTTGCCTGCTCTTGCGACAATATCATGGTGTTTCATCTGGCAGTGGGTCAGAACACCATGATAACTCGAATTAACATAACGGCAGCTTGGACATTTGTACATCTTCATCATACTGCTTTTTGTAGGAGCATTTGTCATCTGGGTTGGCTGATTATACAGAGGGGCATAGTGTTTTAAAAAAGCTTGTTTCCCATGTTTTCTGGTATAATGAATTCCAAGGCGGACTTTTGTAATAAAGGTGCATGGACAGAGTACACATGGGTACATACTTTTCTTTGGGCAAATGTGCAAATGGTCAGCATACGTCTTTTCTGAGGAGCAGTACAAACCACACTGTTTGCACCAAATATCTTTGATTGGGGCATTTTGACTTTGTACAGGTTGCTGCTTGTGAGTATCACGGTGATACTTCAGCCTTACTTTTGTAGTGAAAACCTGAGTACATTCTTTGCACATGAACCCACAAATTTTCCATGAGCCATTTTTTACTTTAATTTCCACATTTTTAAGATTTTCACTGTCAACATCGATGCTGTTGATAACCGATACATTGTCTGAATGCTTCCTTCGACAGTGCGAGGCAACACCGTGTTTAATGTTGTTGACATAACTACAGTATCGGCATTTAAACAATTGTGTGCGTTTGGCCATTTTTTGCGGGGGCTTTTCATCAACAAACTCACGGTGTTTCATTCCCATGTGAATAATAAGACCGCAGTTTTGTTCAAATGCTGCTGGACAGTAAGAACAATTAACAATTGTTTTCTTTTCACTGTTACCTTCAGCCTTTAAGTTGTCAAAATCCAAAGGCTCTTGGTAAATGTCAAAGGCTCCTTTTCCTTTATCTTTGTCTTGCATTTTGCTTGAAACTTTTTTCACTTTTGTGGTGTCACTGTGAAAAGAAGTGCCCCTGTTTGTCGGATCACATATGTCAGGGCTCAAATACAAGAAGTTGCTTAAAAAGTTTTCACTAAAGCCTCGTCCATGTCGGTCTGTGCCATGCCGTTTCATTTTATTTGAATCTTGGTCTGAGAAAGAACATAGTTCACAGTGATATCCGGGCTCAAATGTTTCTCCTGGGGCATAGAGCTTTATAATGTCTGAAAAGGACAGATTTTGTTTGTGAAATAAAAGATGTTTTCTCATGCGATACAAAAAATCTGTACTGTATGTACAATGTTTACACTTAAACTTTAGCTCCATCTCAGGCTGAGTTACAGGTTTCAAACAATTTGTTTGATCTATTTTCTGTTTGCTTGTGATCACCCTCTGGTTTTCATGAGTTGTTTTTATCTGACCGCTTGCATTTAACTGCTTGTGTACCATAGATGTATAGAGCGTAATTTGCTCTGTTGTAACCGCCACCCCTCTATGATTGCGGCTGTAGTGTCCACTGATTGTGTGCATGTCGCCATGTCTATAATTACACAAATGACAGAAAATTAATGAGGCGTCACCTGTGGTCACAGGAAGAGGCAGACCTGAAGGAAGGATCGAGTCATTTTGATGAGATTTAGCTTCTTCAATTTTTTCACGAATTGCGGCTGTGTGCTCAAGAATTCCATCTTTTCCTTCGCTGATCAAATGGGTTCTTTTCTGGTGGTTCATGACACCCAACAAAGCAGGATTTCCATAATTGCACACCGGGCAATAAAAGAGATTTTGTGGAAGTGTAAATAAATCAGTCTTTGAATCATGTGCAGGTACAGCAATTTTGCCCTCCTTCTCTGCAGTGTGAAGCAGGATTTCTTGAATGGTGGTAGTTAATCCATGTTTTGCATAATGGTGGGAGATGACACTTTTTACATTTGAGTTGGAAAAGTTGCAGCGCAGACAACAAAACATCTTCTCACTTGATGTTGATGTGGTTTTGTCCAACTGGGTTCTGAGGTCTGCATTATCACTGAGTGAGTCCTGCTGTTCTCGATCAGGGACTGGGCATATATCGTCATCCATTTTAATGACATGGGAAATATCCAGTTTCACGATGGATGGCTTCTCGTCTGCATTTTCATCAGGAGCCGAAACCAACTGTTTAATTTGATCGAGTGTGATTGGCTCTTTTGGGTGGCATTTTTTGTAGTGGACATGCAGGACGACAGCAGATTTGTGATTGAAGGGACACTGTCCGCAGTAATACAATGTCTCCTCCAATTTAGCAGCAGATTTAGTTATTTTCTCACTCTGGTTGGCAGCGATTTCAGTTCCATGCGTTTCAGGGCTCATGGCTTCTATGGATTTTTTTGAACAAACATCCTGTGGGTCAGAAGAGTATTTGCTGTACCACAATGGATTTTTTACATTTTGAAATGGATGCTGAGCCACGTAGTGCCCTTTTAAACTTTGTAGAATCTTTGATGTGAATGAACACACAAAACACCTATAAACCAAATCATTCAGTTTTATGTTGAATAATTCTGGGGCATCTGGATGATCCTCTTTATAGTGATTACAAAGATCAGCCTCACTTGAATATTCAACAGGACACTTAAGACAGCGAAACATGGCGGTCTGGTTACCTTTCTCCTCGATGTAAATAGAATCACAATTTATATAAGGATGATCGTCTTTGTAATGACTGACAAGAAGCATAAGGTCCGTGGTATTGAATTTACAATGCTTACAGAAGTAGTCCGTTACAGTTTCAGCCTCTTTATCAAATGAATCCTGGTTCTCTTCGTCATCACTAACCTCAAATGAAAGTTCACTTGCCGATGTTTTTAGTTTTGGGACTTCAATTTCCAGTTTCTTTTTTTTTAAAGGAGTAGATTCATCAACGTCATCTGCCATTCTTTTACCACCACTCATGGGTGGAACTTCCTTAAATGGATCCACAGGCTTTGCTAAAGTTGGGTCGGAGGTTAAATTCAAGTCATAGAGCAGGTGTGCGTTGGGTGTGCTGAATCTACGATTATTCAAATCTATTGACGTTGCAGTGACCTGAAAGACCCCTGTTGAGTTCACTGGAGATTCTTCCCTTTGTAAAGTTTTTGTGACACTTTTATTAGGTTCACAACCTGACTTCATTGTGGCTGCTGCTGGAAAGTAGTTGGTTATGGTTTGCGGGGACTTAGAATAGTTTTTGACATCTTTTGAGGTGCTTTGGTGCTTCGCTTTCTCACTTTTAGTTTCTTTTGAACCAGTTGAGATCTCAGGTTTACAAAGCACAATGCCTGGTGTGTTTTCATTTTCAAAATCAGGAGTACCCGAGCACTGTTGCTTATGTTGTTGGTAGACAGACCAATTGCTACTTTTAAAATTGCAGTTTTTGCAATTAAAAGCAAATTCTGTTTTTCTTCGACTTTTGTCAGCCTTGGATTTACCTAGTTTAAGATGAATGTCAAGTTGGGATTGAGGTTGTGGCACAGTTTTGAGGCCAGAGTCTTTAAGTGCAGTATCAGCAGAGAGTCCATGCACTTGGTGGAGATGTTCGTACAGATAAATCCTGGTTTTGAAGATAAGAACACAACGACTGCATTTGAATGATAGAGCAGTGTCTTGGGGAAAGGTTTTGTTTGGAATCATCTTGCTAAAAGCATGGTGCACTGAATCTGAAAAAAGTAAAGAACACAGCAAGAATTAAGTAAAAAACCAGCAGTAGGTGTTTCAATCAGTCAAAACTGTTTACTGTGTTGGTTAGCTTAAGTATATGTGCTTCTTTTTTGGACATACAACCTAGTGCAGCCAGATTCAATTAACCCAAGTGGTTTTCTGGAGAAACTGTCAGGGACAATCAGAGACTACAGCACAACATGCGCTCTGCTGAGACAGTGACTGGCAGTTCGGGCAGGACCTGTACGTTGCCCGAACTCGAGGTGCTGACCACTCTCACCTGCACATGGAACATTTTCCAACCAATCCCCAAATGCAGAAGGCTACAGTGCATCCGGATCAGAAACTCCGGCCATCAGAACAGTTTCTTACCCTCTGCAGTCGGACTTAAGAAGACTTCATGACTCATCACTGACTCCTCTATGCTACTGTCACTTTAACTGCACAGCTAAATATCTATTGTGTGTACTTTGGGCACTTGTATACAGAAGTAACTTTAAGAAATGTTGTGCATTTTCTTACACCTACAAATTGTTTGCACCTTGAGCCAAACAACAAAAAAACAGCTTACCATTGGGCATCTTGCTTTGTGTATGATCACCTCAAAAGCCTCATGGAGAAAGACCTGTAAACAAACATTTAGTGTGGAAATCATGTTTTGACAGATTATTCAATCACAATCAGATGAGAAATGTGTTCATTCACAACCTTGCACTCTGGTCAATAGCTTTTTTTCCCTTTTATTCTGGAAAGTTTGAATATTTTCTATCCTACATACAAGCACTCACTCTCTGAACTTACTTTATAATATTGACAAATGTTGATTCTGTGATGCGTCATACATTATACATTTCAAACAAATAGCATATCTATCCAAGAAGCAGGTATCAAAGGCTACGTCACCAGTAGAACAGTTGAGGAATGCACCTTTAAGATTAAGATCGTTTTCTATTATGTTGTCAAGTTAGGTGTAGGTAAGCAATATTATTAGCCAAGATTAGGAAAAGTTTGTCACGTTCTAAAATCACAATGACGCCTCGGTCTGACTGAATAACAGGAGTTTAGAACCAGACTATGGTAGACTATTCCAGTATACCTTCCGCGCCCATTCCCATCTTGTCTTGCTTGTGTAGACGTCTTCTGTGCTCTAGTATGTGCCCATTGACAACTGTGCACCAATGTTTGCTATAACACAGTCCCTTTGAGGCTCATCTACTTCCCCTGCCAGATAAAATGATAATGAGAAGTCTATAGTTACGTTGCCTTATATTCCTCGTCTAAGGTTTTAGGTATGTCTTCCGAAAGTATACCAAATGAGCAGATAGAAAGTGCAAACTGAATTGTATAGGATTCACGTTCACAGCTATGATAGCACAGCTAAAGCACTCACATTTTAGACATAGCATACTTACACATGATAAAATCCTTCCAAATAAGATTGAAACTTGATGTTTTTGTTCGTTGTTTGCAGCACAGTTACAGCCACTCACGTTTCCGCCATTCTTCCCGCGACAACGATGCTCTGTAGTGTCCGACTACCCATTTCCGGCCTAATAAAAGTGTATTAACAATTCACGTTCTCAATAAAATTACAATATTAACACTATTTGTTTACATAATTATAATTAGGTTAATTGGTGGAATGTATCTAAATCATTGTAAACACAATGTATTTCATCCCTCAACATTGCTATGTTTCCTACCGGACATATTATAGGTACGTACCATAACAAAAGAACTACTGCTGTACTATCACGGGTCCAGTGTATTGACTTAAAACTTCCAAATACCCTTTATCCGATCACGCTACGACACAAACGATTGTTTAATTTTGTGTGTGTGTGTATAAGACAGGTTGAATTAGCTATGTAACGCTATGTCTCACTAGAGTAACGTTGAGTGATCGAAATTGCTGTCACATCATGCACAACAATGCTGTGACAATGTTCTTTTGTTAATGCTTGCGTGCTTTGTTTCTTGTTTCAAAGCAAACCTATTTGTCCAAATGTGTGTCTAAGCTGTGTGGCAAAATGACTCTAGTCAGGCTAACCTTCAAAGCTGTCTCTCGGATTTATTGTGGTTCGCGTTTTCAGCCAGTGTCGTGGGGTTTTATGACAGTTTCTGAAAGAAGAATATATAACCATAGCCATAGCAGTGTTTCAAGGAGATTGCTGGACAAAGAAAATAGCTGTTTCCAGTCACCCAAGCTTTGGAGCACACAGAGGGGAAAATGTTTCAGTTTATCCGCAGCCTCTATAGTGAACTCTGCACCATCGGCTGTCCAACCATATTTGCGCCTAATGAGACTGGACAAATCGATAGGTATTCCCACCTTTTGAGCTATTTGTATTCAATATCCCGTCAATTCATTAGGACTTTGATGCATTTGTCTTCTAGGAACATGGCTGCTCTATCTCCCATGTACTTGGAGTATCGCTCTGGCTTCTGACCCAGGATGCCTTCCAAACTTGGGCATGCTCACTTTATTCGGCACAGGGGCACTGCTAATGAGAGGGGCGGGCTGTACCATCAATGATATGTGGGATAAAGATTTTGATAAGAAGGTGCAAGTTTTTTTTCCGTTTAATATGTTTGTTGAGAAAAGCCACTTTACATATTTTCAAGGGATTACAAACATTAGATTCACACAATAAATTGTTATACACAGTAAATATACATCTAGAACAACAAAGCCAGTGTTCAAGTTAGGTCTGGTCCAGCCTTGGACTTTTACAATTATTTAAATGACGATTCTTGCCGTTTGTTTTGTTGAAGGTGTCACGGACAGCAACTAGACCTATTGCCTCAGGAGAGATATCTCGGTTTCAGGCACTTGTCTTTCTGGGTGGCCAGCTTTCTCTTGCTCTTGGAGTTCTGCTGTGTCTTAACAATTACAGGTAAAACAATCCTAGTGACCCTACTCTTAAAACAATTTGGAACTTGGTAAATATCCATTGACATTTTCATCCATGTCTAACTACAGCATAGTTCTTGGTGCTGCATCTATGGGGCTTGTGGTTACCTACCCACTTATGAAAAGAATAACCTATTGGCCACAGTTGGTATTAGGTATGCTCAAAAGTATAAAAAGCATGATGGGGAAATGTGTTCTATCAAAATCAATGTTTCTTCATATTTTTGTTCTTTTTTTTAAGGACTTACCTTCAACTGGGGAGCACTGCTTGGTTGGGCGGCCATTAAAGGTGCATGTGATTGGTCAGTTTGTCTCCCACTGTATTGTTCTGGAGTGATGTGGACTCTAATCTATGACACCATATATGCTCACCAGGTAATATGGGTGCTTGTTACTCATTTTCAAGTATGTTAAAATTAATCTTTTATTCATCCCACAGTGGGGAAATTTGAGATTACATCATGAGTTACATACCATAGGAATGAGGGGCACACAAGATAAATGAACAATCACTTTATGCTAAAATAAAATACAATCTCTAACTTCAGCATAAAAAGAAGCAGTAATCTGCTAAATCTGTCAAATGCCAACACTTATTTTTTTATTTACCAGAATAATGTTATTCTTCTATAGGACAAAGAGGATGATATTAAAGTCGGGGTCAGGTCTACTGCACTGAGGTTCCAGAATCAAACAAAGCCTTGGTTGAGTGGCTTTGGCGTCGCTATGATTTCAGGGCTTGTTCTTACCGGGATTAATGCAGGACAGACACTTCCTTATTATGCTGTGCTATCGACCGTTGCTGTTCACTTGGCCCACCAGGTAACTACTATTCTAAATCTGAAAACAAAATAAATTAAAACATATACAACATATTCCTCCTTTTATAGATATATACACTTGACATCAACAAACCAGAAGACTGCTGGAAGAAGTTTGTGTCCAATAGAAACATTGGAGTCTTGCTGTTTTTGGGCATTGTAACAGGGCATTTGTGGAAATAAAACAATGATTAATATCATACTTTATTTGTGTTTATAAGGTGGAATAAAAACTTCATTAAAAAAAAATCATTTCAGCTTTCATACACACATCTCCACGGGTGAACACACCACAATTAGTCACATGTGTTATCTTGCTAACAGTAACGGAATATCTCTGCACTTTTTATGGGAAAAAAAGCTACAGTGCTGTACAAATTCATGTTAAGCAGTGAGGGTTGTTGCCTACTTGACAGACTGATGTAAGTCGCAGTAGGATGGTTGTAGAGTTGTCTAAAGTGAAAACTATTCATGTGTCTATTAAGGCAATTAAGTACCTTCATTGTAACTTTAAAAGCATTCACCCATTTTGCTACCTTGGCTTTTTTAATGGTATAGAAACAGAGAAGAAGTCCTCAGCCAACATCACCTCAATACCAGTGCCTTGTAGAACTTCTTCAGCTTGTCTCTTCAGCTCACACACATCGTCCCCCTCGCCTTCTTTTTGCAGTGCTGGGGGCTTATATCGTTGACTAAAATGATACAACACCAGTGTACGCACTTGACATTCTCTGGCCAGTGCAGCAGCCATCTTGGGAGTACTGTGTCCATGCTCCACTGCCTTCTCCTGTTGTTCATCTCCCAGTGTGGCCTCATGAACCAGAATGTCTGCCCCACAGCACAGACGCAGAGGGGCTTGTCCCAGGACAGAGCTGCAGTCCCCCAGCACACACACCTTCCTTCCCGGGATGTCCTCCTCCAGAACCTCCCCAGGGGTCAGCACACGACCACAGTCCAACGTCAGGTTCTCTCCAGACTTCAGTCTGCCATACATTGGACCTGGTTTCACGCCTGATGGACAAATACGATTAAGTATAACAGATTGTTTATTCGTCCCACAGTGGGGAAATTCCATTGTTTTATCACAAGTTATAGAACAGTAGGAATGAGGGGCACACAACACAAAATAAGATGAGTGAATATTTAGTAAAGCACAACTCTATATTGAAAAATATACAACACAATGTGGTGATCACATTATATAATACGGCAAAAGTGATAATAAAATTGTGATATGTAGTTATTTTATTAGTTTGTTGATTCAGTAAAAAAAATGTATGCAGTACAACAGCTTGCTACAGTCTAGTGGTTATGAAGTGTGTTTAAATTAACATAGGATGGTTGCTGATGCCAAAGGTTTTATTGAGGCAGGTCTCATGAAAATGTAGCCGCCAGAGTCCACTCACTGACAAAAATATTTGGTATTTAGGTCGTGAATTGGATTTCAGCTATCATTCTGGTGTGCAATCAAAAAAAACAATTGATTAAATCATGTACATGAAAACTAAAAAGGCCAATTGATTAACAACATAAGTAATTCTTCTGTACGTTATGGATCATAAACAAGAGTACCTAATTCTTTGAGAAGTTCAGTTCTGAGTCTCCCTGGTCGATCCTTCTCTTGAACACAGAAGCCAAACGACGGCACGCGGTGGAATAGCCTGAAGGCTCTCACCTCAAAGTGGCTGTCCTCAAACAAAAGGTAACTATCAGAGCCAGGGTCCAGGAGGATGTTCCGGCCCTCCTGCTCCTGAGGAAGAAGACACCCATGCTCTGCTGTATCCTAAACAACAGCACAAACAGACAAGCTTGAATAGCACTGTAAAATAGAAATATTGAGAATAACCCTTCATTGGATATAATTATTCAATTCACACACCTCCCTGCTGGACTGTCCTCCCTCAGGACTCTGATCAGATGTTGGCTCCAATTCATGGACTTAAAGAAGATGAAGAATGTTTAAGGACAAAGGACAAAGAAGTCCAGCTGGGTCTGCCCAGAATGCTATTGTTTACATGAGGCAAGAGCGAAACAAAATTCCTTTGCCAAACCTCTATGATCATCCAGTGTTATTTCACCATTTGTTGCATGCTTAGTAAATATTCATTTAAACCAGCCTGTTTCTCATTTAGTCCCATTTTGGAGGAGCCTATTTATACCTTGGCTAATGTACTTGAATCTTTGCTACTGTGTCTATATAGTGTATTGTCTAATAAAGAAGTATTGTCACCTGCATAAGGGAAGATCAGTTGTGATGCAGTCAGACCCAGAGTCACCCTGAGGAAGTGCCTGAGACCCAGGGGCCCGTAAATATCAACGCACTGAAGCCGCTTGGGCTCATGTGGCAGGTTCAGACTCACAGTGCACAGCAGACCGGGCAGCCCAAACACATGGTCCCCATGAAGGTGAGAGATGAACACCTTAGTGATCCTTCCTGCATAGACAATTAACATAAAAAGTCTTAGAACAAGATCATTTTTAAATGTATTTTTTTACATGTTTAGGTTCAAACATGTTCTTTTATATGTAGGATTGTTATGTACAAAGAAAACCAAACAGCTTTAAACAATAACATCTCCATGGCAAATTGATGAACTAAAACAAATATTTTGGTAAGCTGTAGTCAAACGACTAACATGAATACTGCACCACAGCCAGTAGAGCAGGGGGATTTGCAAACGTATGATAATCACAATTTATTCCCCCATATTGATAGAACTCAATTTTTTCTTGAAAAGCAAAAACCTTAAAAACAAACTAAACTAGAGAAGAACTAAGAATAAACTAATTTCCATTAAAAAAGAAGAAAAATATAAATGTGTACCTGGATTGAGACAACCTCCAACATTTAATTTGTTCATTCTTCCTTTTTCGAGGTTACTGAAAACGTTGTAAAAATCCGGCCATAACCACACTTTATGTGTCTCTGTCAGGCTATGCAATGTCTCTAGGGCAGAGGTCTCAAACTCAATTTGGTCAGGGGCTGAATAAAAAAACTAGTTTGAACTAGAATGAAAGGAACTAGTCCTTTGTTTTTTTCGGACAACAAAATGTGTTTATTGTTTAGATGTAATCAAAACTGGACCAAATATAAAGTTAAACACATTATTGTTTATATTTAACTACGTAACATCTAATGGTGTGTTGGTTATAACTTTAGAATAAATTAAATTTGGTTGTTTTCCGGGAAAAAAAATAATAAATGTATGCCCATAATCATTGAAAATCAGTTTAGGGGCCTCTAAAAATTTAATAAAATAACGTTATATTATGTTATTGTTCAGTTGCTCTGTATTTGCGATATTGTCAGATCAAATGACGTGATCACAAGCAAGCAGCGTGTTCCTCCTGTGAGATTTCATAACACTTTTAAGCAACTTTTGTCAAAGTTAAACTCATCATTCTATCAATGTGCAGAAGCCTGTACTTTTCCCTTGTTTTGTCTATCTGAAGGCCAAGCTACATGGCACCGTGGAAGCTGCTGATTGGAGGTCTCCATGCCTCCGCTCTGTATAATACACTTGCTTTCTGTTGTTCGTGTTGTTCGTGCTGTCTCTACCATCGACAATAAAACATGTCTTCTGTCTGAATTTAAGACACGATCCCAGACATGTCATCTTCTTCACTCCTCCTTACCTGCCCTCAACTGGCTCTTCATGAGCTGAGTCTGAGTTCCCTCTCCACAATCAAACATCCAGCTCTCTCCGTCTGTCCGCAACACCAGTGCCGAGGCCCCGCGATGAGGGGACGGGTACGCCGAGCCTGTGCCTAGGAACGTCAACTCCATGCTCATCTTTACAACAATTTATTTTAAAAGAACTTGTCTCAAATCATCAAGACACCGCCGTAGATGCCCTATGTTATTGGAAATAAGCAGGCCATTGAAGATGACGTATGTATCAAGCGACTGTCGATGACAAAATGTAAACATCCGAATACCATGACATAACAAATACATCTTCCCTAGTTTTTCCTTAACCACATTTAGCCAATCTCTCAGCTCAACTAGTCAAACAGTGGATAACAAGGATTTATGGAAAATGAAATATTTTTTCTAATAAGATGAATGGATAGAGCGTCTGATTTGTTCAATTCTTTTGTTTGCTATACTATACAAAAGTCTTTTTGTCGGAACAACGCATTGTGTATGTATGGAGGGAGAAATTAGGTACCGCAGTTTAAACATGAGAGTCTTTTATTTAAAAGCATGACTTATCTTGATATATTTTGATATGTCTTTGACAAGAAAGCAGAAGTGGGTTGGAGTGGGTTAGAACAAAATAGGAAAGCATCCGAATGTGCACGCTGTAAACAAGATCAGACTATGCAACATGATGGACAGGCTTGTGGGTATGGAACATACCCACAAGCCTGTCCATCATGTTGCATAGTCTGATCTTGTTTACACTGTTCATCCTAGCGCTAATAACGTTCGTCCAGACGGTCCAGCTGGAATTTGGATCTTTGGAAGTTTTCTGCAGTGCGTCATCCGAACGAAAAGCCGAGCCGGTGTTACGTCGAGCCGCGTTTCCCCGTCAGATACTGTTTCCCCTGCGTCTACTCGCCGCTCCGCCCCGCTCCGCGCCGCTCCGCACCTCGCACGCGGCAAATAGTGCGCGTGCTTGTTCAGCACTCGTAACCAGCGAGCCGTGCTTGCGCGGCGAGGCAACTACAGACACAGTGAAAGCACCTGAGTGAAGTTGGCCCCTACCCCACGCAAAACTCAGTGAAAAATAGCCACACTCGTTAGTGCTGGTTTGTGCAGAAAAAATATCGTTTGTGCTGTTTTGGTTTTTCAGGTATGACAACTTTATATTAATATAGCCTATATATATATATATAATATGATATGACAAATAAATAAATAAATATGTATGTATGTATGTATGTATATATATATATATATATATATATATATATATATATATATATATATATATATATATATATATATATATAATTTCACAAATATATATATATAAATACATTTATCTATCATGTATATATGTATTCCCTCAGTTTTAAACAGGGGAAACGCATCCTGGTGGCCAAATAACCCCCGTCAGATACCGTTCCCTCAGTGTTTAACAGGGGAAACGCATCCTGATGGCCAAATAACCCCCGTCAGATACCGTTCCCCCGTTTAAAACTGAGGGAACGGTATCTGACGGGGGTTATTTGGCCATCAGGATGCGTTTCCCCTGTTTAAAACTGAGGGAACGGTATTTGATGGGGGTTATTTGGCCATCAGGATGTGTTTCCCCCGTTTAACACAGGGGGAACGGTATCTGACGGGGGTTATTTGGCCATCAGGATGCGTTTCCCCCGTTTAACACAGGGGGAACGGTATCTGACGGGGGTAATTTGGCCATAAGGTCGCGTTTCCCCTGTTTAACACTGAGGGAATACATATATACATGATAGATAAATGTATTTATATATATATATTTGTGAAATTATATATATATATATATATATATATATATATATATATATATATATACATACATACATACATACATATTTATTTATTTATTTGTCATATCATATATATATATATATAGGCTATATTAATATAAAGTTGTCATACCTGAAAAACCAAAACAGCACAAACGATATTTTTTCTGCACAAACCAGCACTAACGAGTGTGGCTATTTTTCACTGAGTTTTGCGTGGGGTAGGGGCCAACTTCACTCAGGTGCTTTCACTGTGTCTGTAGTTGCCTCGCCGCGCAAGCACGGCTCGCTGGTTACGAGTGCTGAACAAGCACGCGCACTATTTGCCGCGTGCGAGGTGCGGAGCGGGGCGGAGCGGCGAGTAGACGCAGGGGAAACAGTATCTGACGGGGAAACGCGGCTCGACGTAACACCGGAAATGAAAAGAAGAATTGGATGCACCCACAGTATTGCTGAAGAACAGTCGGAGTGCAAAGCATTTTTTCATAGATAAGCATCTGAACTCCACCAAAAGACATTTATTTGAAGTAAGTGCAGTGAAAATGACGGAGGTGCGATTAAAGAAAGTAAAAAAGGAGCAGTGGGATCCCGTAAATGTGGACGGCAGGTAGGTTCTGCACATAGCTAACCCTGACCAGTACAGTCTTATTTATAAGACTCCAATCAACGATTGCTGAGTACAACAATATTTTTTTTTGGTGTATCTTATATACTATTGTGGAATTGTCTTGTTGTCTAGTCCAGCTAGAATTAGTTATTTTTGTTCTCTCGTAGTGTTTCCGATGAAGACAACCACGAATACACAGGTAAGATAAGGCACCTTCTGCCCATTCTACTTCCAAGTGTGTAAAAAAAGTTGTGTTCTATAATCAATTTATAGTTTTAACTCTTTTCAAGATTTCTTTTATTTGAGTTGTATTCATGTATTCGGTGTTTGAACGATGTAATTGAACGAAAATAATAAATAGTTTATTTGTATAATACAAAGGCAATTCAAACTAGTACGATACATTACCATTCATAATAATTGTTTGTACTATGATTACACACTTAATTGTTAATAATACAAATAAATGATATTATGATGTTAAACTTGTTCTACTTAATGTAATAAAGCACTATTATAGTGAGTACAGGCACATTTTAAATAGATATATTTTCCAGGTGCCACAGGTCTCCAGAATTCTGAGGACACCAGCTCAGACCAACTCCACATTATAAAAATTGAAGATGAGCCAGTGGAATTGTCATCCCTTCATCACAAAACCGTGACTGAAGAGACCAGAACAGACATTAGAGAAGAACCAGTTGTAGAGGTACACCCAGAGTCAAAGATGATCAAATGTCCAGTTTGTGAAAGAGGTTTTGGCAAAAAGAGGAATCTTAAAAGCCATATGAAAGTTCACACTGGAGAAAAACCGTATCACTGTTCAACTTGTGGGAAGGATTTTGCACACTTACACTTGTTTAAAGCACACAAGACGACTCATACAGACGATAAACCTTTCAAATGTTCTTTTTGTGCAATGGAGTTTGCTACAGACTATTCTCTTAAAGTGCATACAATATCACACACAGGGGAAGCACCATTCCAATGCTCTGTTTGTTCAAAGAAATATGTCACTGAATATAAACTGAAAATCCATATGAGGACACATACAGGCGAGACTCCGTTCAAATGTTCTTTTTGCACAATGGAGTTTGCTACAAACTATTTACTCAAAGTACATACAGTAACACACACAGGCGAGGCACCATTCAAATGTTCTGTGTGTTCAAAGGAGTATGTCACAGAGTATAAACTAAAAATTCATATGAGGTCACATACAGGCGAGAAACCGTTCACATGTTTGTTCTGTTCCAAGAGTTTCACATTGAATACTCTTTTAAAGAGTCATATGAGGATTCACACTGGGGAGCGACCATTCAAATGTACAGTTTGTGACAAAGATTTCATCGAAAAAGGTCAACTGAATGCACATATGAGACTTCACACTGGAGAGAGACCATTCAAATGTTCTATTTGTAACAAAAGCTATGTTGCCATGAGCACTTTAAGACAACACATGCGCATACACTGCAAAGACAAACCTTACAAATGTTCGATTTGTGCAAAGGAGTTTAATGTTCCAGGTTCTCTAAAGCGTCACTTGAGGACTCATGAGGGGGAGCCTGGCATAGAGGAGAAGATGTATTCCTGTTCCATCTGTTCTAAAAGTTACAGCGAGAGCAGTAATCTGGAGAACCACATGCGGATTCACACAGGAGAGAGGCCTTTCAAATGTTCCATTTGCAATGAGGATTTTCCACAGAAGAGTTCTCTGAAACGTCACATGACAATCCACACAGGAGAACGACCGTTCTCATGTCCTGTGTGCTTAAAGGAATTCAGATTAAAGGCAAATCTACAAGTGCACATGAGGAAAATGCACAAATCTTAAACAACTTAACTTCTTTTTTTCTTTTTAAGTATATTGAACAATACTCTTCCTGAAAAATACTCATGACCCTTTGATTTTGTTTAATTTGTAATAAGTATATATTTATATATATATTGCACTTTAATATGAGTTCAATTGAATAAATTTCCTTAGAAAGTGAATATTTGTCTTTTACTTAAATATGTAGCTGTCATACACAGATCAGTGTTGCACTATAGCGCTTCATGGTGCAGCGCTGTCCCCCACAGTTACAGGTCATGGAGGAATAATGACCAATTGTAGTTAGAAGTTAAAGGAATTCGATCAGATGCATCCCCTGTTAGGATAATTAGAGCATTGGCATATTACAGTAACGTTTTAGTATCTTTGGGTTCTTCTTCTTGAAGCCTTGCCTTAAATGATTTCCGAGAGTTAGTACTGATTTATTTATTTATTTGAACACAATGTTACAGGTTATACTAGATTTGTCTATTTACAAGTAAAAAGTCAAAGAAGGAGTAGGCAGAAGCAAAAGCTTATCATGGCCCTTTCACTTCCTTCTATCAATCAGTTGGCATGTACATGCTCACCAATATGATACTGATACTTATATACACACACACACACTGCATAATAATACATAATCCATAACACTATACAGTGTGGTCTCACAATCTATGTCTTACTTTCTATATTTTTCTTTATTTGTATATAGGCTCGTAGCACTTTGGAACAAGCTTGATTGCACCATGAAAAGAGTCACAACTTTTCTAGAAATGCATTGACTTTTCCAGGTTGTACGAGCAATTTAAGCATTGATTAGGCTCCCAAAGCCTTTACAGAATGAGCAACATTCCGAGACCACGAACAAAAGGTATTTAGGCTAGTTTCAGTACTCTGCACTGTCTGTAAAAACATTCAATTTACGATTGTTATGTCTTAAATTTTTATTAACAAATGATACATTTAGAGCATATACAAAAGAAGACCCAAGGAGTCATCAAGGTACATTGAGATCAAAAGACATTTTGAACATATTCTTATTAATCCATATGGCCTTCTTGGAGTTAAAGTTTGAAAGAATTATTATTCATATAATAATTTATAAAATATTAGTATTATTTTACGAAGACCAAAAATAAAGGTTTAGCACTGCCAAATTTTCATTTGTGTATAAAGAATTAGGCAAAAATAATGTTTAAAAAATTGTGTTCCAATATAGCTCCATATTATATTTAAATGTATATACTATATTCCCATTTTTTTGTGAGGCTCATGATTAAAAACAATCCCAAAATTGTTTAGAAAAAATACAAGTTAAAAAATAAATGTTCCTGGGTATGGAAAAAAAAGATGTTAGTACAAAAGACATAACCATTTTTCCCAATATTAAATTTGGAATTTAAAACATCTTGATATGGATAAACATTGTCTTTGAAGAAACAAAGGAAAATGTGTTAGAACAGTCCTAAAAAAGGTGCTATTACATCTCTCCCCAAGGGAGCATTCCTGGACTATGAGATAAGACATCTGAGGGACAAGGTGTTGGTGATGTGAAGATCCTTTACTATATGTATGAAAATTGTTAGATTGTACAAGTAATTTATGTTTGAACTCCCTCATTCATCAAATGCATTACTGACCATATTCCTTTATCATTCCAGCGCTTTATGTAAAAAGACTTAAAAAAAAGAAGAAAAAAAATGATATGATTGTTCCATATTAGTATGTTATGGACTGTAAATGTATGTTTATATACTGATTTGTAGAACCTGCCACAACATACTCCTGAACAGTAGGAGGCGGTAATGCTCCTCCTCAGTTGGCTTGCATCCACCGCAAAACCACATTCAGAAGAAGAGCAGAAGAAAAAGAACAGAAACAATGAAGAGGATCTGTCCCATCCGTCCCTAGCTTTCCTGAAGAACAATCAAGAGTAAAATTTAAGCCTCTATTGTTGATCGATTAGGCTCCAACAGTGATTACATTGGGCAACATGTCGGTGCCACTACTGGAAGTAAAAAAGGAGGAGTGGGATTCTGAGATCACGGACGAAAGGTATCTAGGCTATTTTCAGTACTCTGCACTGTCTGTAAAAATGCGCAATTTACGATTGTTATGTCTTATTTAACAAAGAAACAGTACATAATTTTCATTTGTATTTACGTGATTTGTTTGTTATAGCCTTTATGAAATGCCTTGTTAGCCAATAGCTAGTTAGTCTGATGTGATAGCTGTAATTAATTTCCTGCAAAATAAGTAATTACTTCTTTATTCACTCCTAGTGATTCCCCTGAAGACGACCAAGAAACTACGGGTAAGACTGTTATTTGTATATAGAAATGGAAATTACCGGTACAAATGCAACCGGGAACGCAACTTCTCTACCTAACTTAACTTTGCACAGCTTCTTGACCATCCCTTCATGAGTTCAGGGCAGGAAGAGGGCATGCCTGGTGGGCATCCAGGTAGAGGGATAAGAATTGAAACCTAACCGTGGAGTTAAATGTATTGAGCATGGTATCAACTTGATTAGTGAACAATGTCCTCCTGGGTACATTCCAACAGGTCAGGGCGCCACTCATTAATTTTTGGTGATACCAATGAAAAGAACAAGTTAAGTCACAGAAAGATCATATAGGCCACCCCTACCAAAAGCGGCAAGCAGTACAATCCAATAATTGACCAACCGCTGTCATTCTCACTGAACAACATACACAAGGGAAACAAGGACCCACCCCCTTGGCAGCTCCATGAGTGGACCTGGCTTTTACAATAGGCAAATCATTTGCAAAACAGGGCAACAGATAGCCCTTCCAGCACCACCTGAAGCTCCCAAAGGGAGTGACTTTTGGGGATCCCTGCCCCCCTTAAAACGATTCCCACAAGGATGGCTACGGGCTGTGAAACCGACAAATCCACAGTGACCCAAAGCTATTGCGGTCGAAAAGACTCCCACTGTCGAAACTGCACACCCTTCCTCTCAGAGGCCCTATATGAAGCCCAACACTGCCTGTACTGAGCAGGAATTGGGCTCTAGCTCTCGCTGCACACCAGTGACACCACATAGTAACCACCCCCCCAAACTCTAACATAATGGTAGATGGGAGCCAGCCAGGAGCCCTGAAAAGTGGCGATGACTGTAGGGGGACGGTATGTTTGAAAAGCCTGAGCACAACACGGTACTGTAACGTGGCATGCTCAAGCCAAATCTTCATTACTATTGCATATGTGACGGTTGCATGTGTTTTAAACATCCAACGCCATATTTTCACTCTAAGTGCATTAGCATGTTTAACAGACACACATTCTCATGGAAGCCAAATTGGCACCAGACCACTGACACCACTCTGACCTAGGCTCCACTCGTCGTCGACGGCCTTTTATGCATATCCTGTGCGCAGCTACATAGTTTGCCATGGATGTATCTGGCCTTGATGTAGGGGGTTATGTGTCTAGAATTTGCAAGTGGTACACATGCCAAGCAGACTCCATGCGTCTTCGTCCAGGAGGTGTCCGCGCTAGCTGCTTCAACTTGTATTGTACTGTGTGGAGCCTGTGGCCTGAGAAGCACCTCTGAAGAAGCGTCATCTCAGGTAGAGTATGCAGGTCCTTAAAAAAGAGCAGCGGTGCTGTTGCATCTGCAAAGCTCAGCATCACCAGGAGAAGTCATTTTGAACCGTCTATGTTGAAAGTTCAGTAGTTATTCTTAAAAATAAGCTCTGGAGCTTGTGTTGCTCTTCCTGAAGCAGACACTGCTGAAACACTGTTTCAAAGTTTCCCTCCTTGGCATTGGTTCAGAATTTTGACACGCTTCCTTGGTTTGACTGCTTTTAGTGGATTAGTGCTAGCTAGCCACAGTAAACGGTTAATTAATCAATATTCCTTAACAATGTTGGGTAGTGAGCAAATAGTGTTGTATAGTGTTTGATTATGCTGACTTTTGGCGACTTTGATGGCATCTGCAGGTGGAAAACGGAGATCCAAGGTTTGGGATCATTTTGATCTTCTTCCACCTAACAAGGTATTGTCTAAATTTCTTTAACTAATAAGTGTTTTTTTTATGTCTCATGGTGAATTTGTCATTACTATTAGGTGCGGTGTTTGCTGTGCACTCAAATATTGTCTTACACAAACAATACTTCATCCATGTTGAGACATGTGCGCGCCAAGCATGATGTCTGCCAGCAGCAATTGGTCCATAACGACAATGGACATTCAAGCGGTAAGCAATGCACTTAATTTAGTATTGGCTCATGACTATACAGTATGTGTAATTTATAGCCAACACATGAACACACTTATTACTTTTTCAGTGTCCAAAAAGAAGATGCTGGATGATGCAATTGTGGACATGATCATTAGAGATGGCCAACCTTTCACTGTGGTTGAGGGGGAAGGTTTTACAAACTTGATGAAAATATCGGACCCTCAATACAAACTCCCAAGTAGAGAAAGTGTCAAAGCCATGGTGGAGGAACGGTACCAGAAAAACAGAAAGACAGCTGCTGAAGATTTAAAGAAGGCTTCTGCTGTTAGCCTGACAGCAGACATGTGGACATCTAGAAATATGGATGCATACCTGGGTGTATCTTGTCATTATCTGGCAGACAGCCTGGACTTAACCACTGTACTATTAGGGGTAAGATATTTTCCAGAGACCCCCACAGCAGCTCATATTGCTGAAGCAACTTCAAATTTGATGGCTGAGTGGGAGATAAACGATAAAGTATGTGCCATGGTCACTGATGGGGCCCGTAATATTGTGGAAAGTGTTAACCAACTAAGAATTCCACATACACATTGTTTTGCACATTTGTTAAATCTTGTTGTAAAAAAATCAATATCCCAAACGCCTCAGCTAGATTCAATGCGTCGCAAAGCTTGCCAAATTGTTGCACACTTCAAATCCAGTCGCACGGCAAAGGAGTATTTGGCTGTCACTCAAGCTAACATGGGCATGCCACTGTTGGGCCTGGTTCAGGAGGTAGAGGCGAGGTGGAATAGCACCTTTGCTATGTTTCAAAGACTGCATGAGCAGAGGGAACCATTGGCTGCTGTGCTTGCATCCCTCCCTACCAACCTCACATCATTCAGTGCTGAGGAGTATGAATGTATCAGCCAGTGCTTGAAAGTATTGAAGCCATTCAACCAAGCAACTGTAGAGCTGTCTGAGGAGTCCTGGGTATCGGGGTCAAAAATGATTCCCATCACAAAAATGTTGCATCATATAATTACTGTTGAGTGTGACCAAATGAATGAAGGAGTTGGAGCTACACTTGCCAACCACCTTAAGAATAATATAAAGAAGAAATTGGGTGGATTTGAAAAGATGACAACCCTCTCTAAGGCTACAATTCTGGATCCACGTTTCAAACAAGTTGCATTTTGCAACCCATCCGACGCACAAGCAGCTGTGGAGAAGCTCTCACAAGAATGTGTCAGTTTAATTGAAACTTCAGATGAAACCCCTCCACAAGCTGCAGCAGACGCCTCAAGTGTAAATTTGTGGGCTTTACTGGACAACCATGTTGTCTCTCAATATCAACAGAAACCAGCATCTGCCAGTGCCACTGCAGAAGTCCAAAGGTTGGTATTGTAACAATGCAAATTAACTTGATTGTTAACTAAAACGTGATTAGGATATACAAATGTATTTATTTTTTGTTTGTCTTTCAAAAGGTACTTGAAGGAACAACATTTGCCCAGATGGGAGGATCCCTTAAAATACTGGGACTCACGCAAAACTCACTACCCTATACTGCACAAACTTGCAAAAAAATATTTATGTATCCCAGCATCCACTGTCCCATGTGAGAGAATTTTTACCAAAGCTGGTGAACTGGTGAGCCAAAAAAGAAGCCAACTGAAACGAACAACTGTCGAAAAACTGTTGTTTTTGAATAAAAACCTGTGATTCCAGCATTACAGTGCCTTTGTGTGGATGGTGTGCTTTGGGTAATGTGATGTGGCATTTTGTGTGTTTTGTTGCCTCACAACCTGGAATTAACATGGATTGTTTGAGGATTTGCATCAGTTACTTTACAGAACATGCCCACAACTTTGAAGATGTTGTCTTTTTTTTATTGTGAAGCAAACAACAAATAAGACAAAATAACAGAAAATGTTAATGTGCATAACTATTCACCCCCCTAAAGTCAATACTTTGTAGAGCCACCTTTTGCGGCAATCACAGCTCCAAGTCGCTTTGGATAAGTCTATGAGCTTGCCACATCTTACCACTGGGATGTTTGCCCATTCCTCCTTGCAAAACTGCTCCAACTCCTTCAAGTTGGATGGTTTGCGCTTGTGAACAGCAATCTTTAAGTCTGACCACAGATTTTCTATTGCAGTGTCTCCCAAAGTGGGGTCCGCGGCCCCCTGGTGGGCCGCGAGGGTACTGCAGGGGGGCCGCGGGAGGTCATAAAAAAAAAAAATATAATTATTTAATGTCAAATTTATGTTTTGTTTGTAATATTAAAATATTTGTGTTCATTATTTGACTTGAATAATCCACTGTAATCATTTTTGTATTACAATGTTTGTAGCAGAGGCTATTTCCCCAAAATAAAATAACCAGAAGAGCCTATTCTTAATGTTGTCTTCTTGGTTATTATTTTGGGGGGCCACGCAGACCCGTCAGATTTTTAAGGGGGCCTCGGTGTTACTGAGTTTGGGAATGGCTGTTCTATTGGATTGAGGTCTGGACTTTGACTAGGCCATTCCAACACATTTACATGTTGGACACACATTGTCCTGCTGGAAGGTGAACCTTCCTTCCTAGCCTCAAATCACACACAGAGTGGTACAGGTTTTGCTCAAGAATATCCCTGTATTTAGCGCCATCCATCTTTCCCTCAACTCTGACCAGTTTCCCAGTCCCGGCTGCTGAAAAACATCCCCACAGCATGATGCTGCCACCACCATGTTTCACTGTGGGGATGGTGTTCTTTGGGTGATGTGATGTGTTGGGTTTGCGCCAGACATAGCGTTTTCCTTGATGGCCGGAAAGTTCAATTTTAGTCTCATCAGACCAGAGCACCTTCCTCCATACATTTTGGGAGTCTCCCACATACCTTTTCGCAAACTCAAAACGTGCCATTTGGTTTTTTGCTGAAAGTAATGGCTTTCTTCTGGCCCCTCTGCCATAAAGCCCTATGGAGCATACGGCTCATTGTCGTCCTATGTACAGATACTCCAGTCTCTGCTGTGGAACTCTGCAGCTCCTCCAGGGTTACCTTAGGTCTCTGTGCTGCCTCTCTGATTAATGCCCTCCTTGCCCGGACCGTGAGTTTTGGTGCGCGGCCGTCTCTTGGCAGGTTTGCTGTTGTGCCATGTTCTTTCCATTTGGTTATGATAGATTTGATGGTGCTCCTGGGGATCATCAAAGATTTGGATATTTTTTTATAACCTAACCCTGACTTGTACTTCTCAACAACACTGTCCCTTACTTGTTTGGAGAGTTCCTTGGTCTTCATGGCAGTGTTTGGTTAGTGGTGCCTCTTGCTTAGGTGTTGCAGCCTCTGAGGCCTTTCAAAAAAGGTGTGTATATGTGCTGACAGATCATGTGACACTTAGATTGCACACAGGTGGACATCATTTCACGAATTATTTGACTTCTGTAGGTAATTGGTTGCACCAGAGCTTTTTATGGGCTTCATAACAAAGGGGGTGAATACATATGCACATGCCAATTTCCAGTTTTTTTATTTCTGAAAAAGTTATGTATATATTTTTCCTCAATTCACTTCACCAACTTAGACTAATGTTTTCTGATCCATCACATGAAATTCAGATTAAAAAAACATTGAACTAAAGGCTGTAATGTAACAAAATAGGTAAAAAGCCGTGAATACTTTTGCAAGGCACTGTATATGATGTATTTCTGCATCCTCTGTCCCATGTGAGAGATTTCTTTCTAAAGTTGGTGAACTAAAAAAGAAGCCAACTGAAACCATGAATTGTTGAAAAAACTGTTTTTGAATAAAAAAAACTTGTCATCTATGCATTGAGTTCAGTCCGTTTCTGTAAATTGTTTTCAGATGTAAGCATACTTGTTTTCAATTTAAGGATTCCATTGATCTAACATTGGAGATAATTGACATGTTACTTTTGGCCTCAATAGGATCACTCGATGTGTGCAAATAGCTAGGAAATGTGCAATCAGTTAAATTAAAAAAGATAAGGTATCTTACTAAACAAAAAAAAGGCAGATAGGCAGTAAAAAAATTTCAGTCCTGGTGCATACTACAACAGAAATGTGCGTAGATTTGCTGCAGCTGGATGACTCTAGTTATGTGAGAAGACAATGATTAAATATGCCCACTAGATGTCAGTCTTACTAGCTAACCTGAGCTAGCTTAGTCTTCGACACGTTTGAAACGAACCGTCTGGCAAGAAAGCCTCAGTATGTCATGGGGCTTCAATCGCCCATCATTAGTTTCACACTCTCAAAGTAATGGTCGAAATGAGTCGAGGCTTCGAAGAGTGTGTCGAATAATCAGTGCAGCCTCAAAGAGCTTGGTTTGATGTCCTTGAGTCTATGGTCCTGAACCACCGCACCACGTGACTGATTTGGGAAGTGGTTTGCTGGCACATAAGTCATCTCATGTTGTTGGTTTTGTATATATATATATTTTTTAAACTCACTTTGTACAAGCCTTTGCCACAAGCGAAGTGTAGTTGCTAAAGCAAGATAAAACTTGTTATTTAAAAAATAAATTAATAAATAAATTAATTTAATAAATTAAATAAATAAAAAAATTAAAGGATGAAATACATCAATGTTTAATTCTCATTTTACATTCCTTTCTAATACTGTTTCGTGGCGATCCTATCACATGTTACGAAGTAAATTTGTGTAGGTGATGGTGCAGTTATGGAAATTGGGAATTTGCACATGTCGGCCTCTGGATGGCGTAAAAGAATCATTATGAAGCATCGGTACATGAGTCCTGCACAGTCGGCTGAAAGTGTTGCTTCACGGAGCCTCATCTGAACGTCACTCTTTCATCGCTGAAATGATTAGCAAGGGAGATCCATGCGCTAAATAGAGCACATAGCCATAGAATTGTGACCAGTGCCAAATCAATCAACATGAATTGTAATAGCCTACATATTTCTGTTGGTAATGATTACACGTGATATTTTCTCGATTTGGCTTTCCAGTCATCGTTAAAATACGTTGAAGCCATCTAATAACGTGTCTATGCCACAGGCCCCTTTTTAATAGATATATTTTGTGTCATGTGTTACAGGTCTCCAGAGTTCAGAAGACACCACCTCAGACAATCTCCACATTATAAAAAGTGAAGAGGTGGAAGTGGAATTGTCATCCCTTCATCACAAAACCGTGACTGAAAAGACCAGAACAGACATTAGAGAAGAACCAGTTGTAGAGGTACACCCAGAGTCAAAGATGATCAAATGTCCAGTTTGTGAAAGAGGTTTTGGCAAAAAGAGGAATCTTAAAAGCCATATGAAAGTTCACACTGGAGAAAAACCGTATCACTGTTCAACTTGTGGGAAGGATTTTGCACACTTACACTTGTTTAAAGCACACAAGACGACTCATACAGACGATAAACCTTTCAAATGTTCTTTTTGTGCAATGGAGTTTGCTACAGACTATTCTCTTAAAGTGCATACAATATCACACACAGGGGAAGCACCATTCCAATGCTCTGTTTGTTCAAAGAAATATGTCACTGAATATAAACTGAAAATCCATATGAGGACACATACAGGCGAGACTCCGTTCAAATGTTCTTTTTGCACAATGGAGTTTGCTACAAACTATTTACTCAAAGTACATACAGTAACACACACAGGCGAGGCACCATTCAAATGTTCTGTGTGTTCAAAGGAGTATGTCACAGAGTATAAACTAAAAATTCATATGAGGTCACATACAGGCGAGAAACCGTTCACATGTTTGTTCTGTTCCAAGAGTTTCACATTGAATACTCTTTTAAAGAGTCATATGAGGATTCACACTGGGGAGCGACCATTCAAATGTACAGTTTGTGACAAAGAATTCAACAAACAAGGCCGACTAAACGCACACATGAAACTTCACACTGGAGATAGAGCATTCACATGTTCTATTTGTGGTAAAAGCTATATATTAATGAGCACTTTAAGACAACACATGCGCATACACTGCAAAGACAAACCTTATAAATGTTCAGTTTGTGCAAAGGAGTTTAATGTTCCAGGTTCTCTAAAGCGTCACTTGAGGACTCATGAGGGGGAGCCTGGCATAGAGGAGAAGATGTATTCCTGTTCTGTCTGTTCTAAAAGGTACAATGAGAGCAGTCACCTGGAGAACCACATGCGGATTCACACAGGAGAGAGGCCTTTCAAATGTTCCATTTGCAACCAGGATTTTACACAAAAGTGTACTCTAAATAGACATATGACAATCCACACAGGAGAAAAACCATTCTCATGTCCTGTGTGCTCAAAGGAATTCAGATTAAAGGCAAATCTACAGGTGCACATGGACAGGTGCACAAACATGAAACAAATTGACAATTTGACATGTTCAAAATGGTTTCAATAAATTATCATTCAAATATTAATACATTGAGATGTCAAATATATGTTCTCCTTATGTGTGTGCAAAGGGTTCCTATGGGTTGCAGCTCAGATTCATTTTATTTGCCATTTGCAGTAAAACCACATTGAAATCCATTTCCAATGTGAGCTCAAATAAGGTTGGGGGGCTGCAGTCGAGCTCCACCCTTGCTCACACTGGATAGATCCAAATTAATCATTTCTCAAATGCTGGTTGTGTCCAAAGAACAAGATTATATTTAATATTGTATTATTGATATTAAGTGTAAAAGTAGTAACTATGTTGTATATGATTGTAAATAAATATATTTAACCCACTGTGCTCTGTTCCTTTTGGTTCTACAGAGTACAGACACAAGCCACTTCCTGTGAGCCCAGTGTAGTTTTGTGTGGATCCTACATTGTGAAGCCTCAGTCTGGTTGTAAAACATGTCAGGTTGATTTATTAAATATGGGCCAATACTAAAAGGGAATATAGCAATTGGCATTTCTGAAGACTTTGAAACTCAATTAAACTTTTATTAGAGACTTGTTCCAGTTCAAAAACATCGAGGGTGGAGCTCATTTAAAGAAGGGAATAAAAGGGAAAAGGTGATCCATGAAAATGTAGTATTGTTGGACTGTTATACTGCTTTTGTGGTCTCGTGCCCTTTGAACAAGTACTTTTATTGAATATGGTTTTGGAACTTTTTTTTTTTCAAATGGTTATTCTGAGGAAAGTATTAGATCGGAATTACCAATTGTTACCAAAAGTTAGTTCAACTGTTTAGTAAAGTGACACAAAACACTTGAAACATTATTCAACAAATGTATTGAGCAGCATTTGGAGTAAGGCATTGTTATTACAGCGATAGAAGACAACACTGGTACAAAATACAACTCAACTGTATACACTGTTTTTGACATGGCTAGCACATAAGCACAACTGGGAAGTGAGTAACTTGGAGCAGAAATACAAATATTCAAACAATTTCATACAGGTATCCCTTGCACAATGGAGTGTTAAGCCATTTAAGAAACAAATGACCAGAAGTCGAGTGGCTGAAAATGTATGAACAAAGTAGGAGTGTAAAAAATATGTTGACATAAATAAAAGTGCCTGGATTGAATTGATCCGATAACTTCAGGTTTGTCTTCATTTACATACATCATTTTATTTTTTATAAATTCCAAGTGCTTTGAATAAAAATACAACTATCATTTAAAAACCTCCTGAGATTACACAATTCCTTCATCAACTCTTTTTGCAGATTAACCCTTTAAGCATCAAAGAAGTGAAACTGAATAAATTTAGAAAGTTCATTAGGTCTTCATATTTAAGTACTATCGATCTATGGAAAATCTGTTCAAGAAAAACCTCATCAAATCGTATAATGGCCTTTGAGAATGCAATGTTGGTAGGAACAGTAACGTCTTTACAGTTTTATTAAAACACCAATCCAAATTGATACTCAGAGCCTGACTTACCAATCATTTCATGCTTTCCTTAATTTTTATTTTCTTTACATACTTTAGTAGTCCCTCCTCTTTCAGGGCATCACTCTTTGATGGGTACCTAAAGGGTTAATTGTAGGCACCAAGTGTATTCCCCTTTGTATATTCTTTTAACGGAGCACAGCATTGTGCAGTTTGAAATTGGAGTGCAATATTTTTGTAACATCACTTTCCAACACCAGAGGGCGTATGTAAATGTAGGACTGAAAACTATGGTTCCCCCCTAGTTGCTCTTACTTTACTTTGAAAACAGATTGGGCGTGACCACTGATCAATGGAATGTTTGAACAATTTAACCATATTTTTAATAAGCCGAGGTCCAAAATATCAAATTTGTAGGCGTCATGGATAAGGACTTAATTATCTGGGGCTTGCAGCCACTGAGAAACCGTGTTTTTAATGTGCGACAGTTTGGCATTAAGCATGGTTTACACCTCTCAGTGAGATGGCGATTTGATGTAACTATGAACCAAGATTTGTGCACTTTTAGCAACAGGAGCATTTTATCCTACATGGAGGGTGAGGTTTGACAAAGGAAAGAGCAGGTCACATGGGAGAGTGTGGTTCACTAGAATCACTTCAGAGGAGTAAAGCTGACCCCAGGCCAGTCGTACGTGTCCGGGAGGAAGGAGTCGTACTCTGTGTTCCAGACTGTGGACCTCACAAAGCTGATTTTGTCCATCGGCTCTGGATATCGAAAAGCCATACCCTTTGCATAGACGAACTCCATCACCTGAAAAGAGTCAGCTCATTTAGTTTAGGAGGACATATCAAACAGCAACAGAGAACAGACTTTTGAAAATACAAAGAATCAGAATGTTCAAAGTATGTGATGGCCACAGAATCAGTCTTTATTTCATTACAGTAAATGCTTACAACTATATACCCTTTATTCCGGATTCATTAAAGAATGAGTGTTTCAGGTATTCATTTTATCATGAGGCATGTCTATGCTAAACATCACAATGCTGTGGTTTAGTAAAACATGCATGCTGATGTGTTTTCAGTAGTTTGAGACTCAGTTTTTTCAGTTAAGGCTTCTACTTGGTTCAACTCACTTCTGCATACAAGTCAGTGTATATACCTTAATGGCCATTTGAACGGACACCTCTCTGATATTGGAAAGTGGAGGATACAGTCTGCCTTCTTCAAGTTCTTTATCGGTCAATTGTTCGGCAAGATTCTGAAATGGAAAAAATATATATATTTTGCATGTATTGAATTTTATTATGTTTCCCAACCAATTCACAACTCAATGCACAACCAAACAGACAATAAGGAAGCCATTTATTAGACCAGCGGTTCTCAAACACTCAAACACAGGAAAGTAGTTTGCCTTCTGATTTACACTTAATCAACTACCATATCACATTTAAAAAGGTTACAAGATTTTCTATTTAGAAACAAAGATGAAGGGAGATAACAAATTAGGCGTTTGATTCATTTGTAGTTCACTGCCATATGTCTCTGCCTAAAACAGATTTGTCCTCTTTTTTCAATCACTAAACACCATCTTACCTGCTCTAGGGGGGAGGAGCAGTGTGGGGGCAGTTACTGTAGTGATGAAGACTGGTCTAGTCTATCACAGCTACTTTATGTATAGAGAGAAAAGGATGTAGACTGGACCTAAGCATAGGTGAACACAGCTGCAGAATCACATTCTACTTTTAGAGATCAGACCTTTGCAGCTTCTAAGAAAACTGTGTCGCTGATGTGTCGGACTCCACTCAGGACCACAGCCAGAGCCACACCTGCGTTAACAAGAAACAACAACTATCATTAAGAGGCAAGTCATTTGTCCACCCCAAGCCCCATTTATTTTTACATTGGAAATAGTACAAAGAAATGGCAGTAATGTGAGAAAAAAATCTCTATAATGTCCTTTTACATAATAAACATTCGGTTTCCACTGTTGTCCACTGTGGGGGCGACAGTGGCTAAGTTGGTAGAGCATTGGCCTTTGGGCCTGAAGGTCGTGGATTCGAGCCCACCATAAGACCTACTTCACGACTCTCACTGGTGACTGCTGTCGTCGTGTCCTTGGGCAAGACACTTAACCCCACTTTGCCTGAAGCCCCCGCTGAAAGCCCCCTATGGACTCCCCACCTGCAGGAGGATCAGTAAGGGGCTGGTGCTATGTGTACTGGGTGCAGCTCTGACTGCCACCCGACTGACCCAGAAATGGATTAAGAGGAAGAAAATGGATGGATGGTTTCCACTGTAGTTGTCCGACCTTCAGTTAGGGCTAAGCTATTTGTACTTTTTGGGGTGATAGCCAAATCCATGACTACTGCCTGAATTGTACTTTTTGGTGTCTTTTCATGTGTTAAATCAATAATTAAATGCACTCATAACAATAATCAATCAATTAGATTCACAATTTGGAGATGCCTGGTATAGTCAGTCAACACCTAAACAAAAACTATTTTAAAAAGTTATATGTATGCAGACTGAAGGAAAGCCTCATACCTGGGAAGATGTAAGCATTATTTCCTTGTCCAGGAGTAATGACGCGTCCGTCGCTCAGAGTAACTGGCTCAAATGGGCTTCCACTGGCAAACAGGCATCTGCCCTGTTCAGTATGAAGGTATAGGAATATATTTAAATGCAGGACTGCCAAGAAAATTGGAATTTCAGTTGTATGTTTTTGTGAGACCATCTTGCACTCATTATTGAAATTTCTTATTTACTTTATTATAAAATCACACATAAGAGGATACATGCTGAAATATCTAAATGTTTAAAACATACTGCAGACCATATGTTTACAAAGAATTGATAAACAAGATTTTTGAGTGAATCAAAAGAAAAAAGAATCCAGCCTACATCAGTAAGAGTGTATGCGTCGTGAGCCGTGCACTCTGCTTTAGCGGTTGGATTACTCAGTGCAAATATGATCGGTCGATCATTGATAGCTCCCATGGCTTTGATCACATCTGGAGTGAAAAGTCTCCCGGCTCCTGCCACACCTGAACACATGTAAGACTGTAAATATTATTTATTTTCATCCTACCACCATTTCTTTAGTAGCAAAAGTCAATAGCAACCAATAATAGCTGTGGGTTTGATTGTGTTGACAGCATCCAGAAAGCTTTGCACATTTCCAGGACTGTCGTGGATAAATCCTTCCTGATTAGCATCGGTGTCTGATCTTTCCTGAAATATAAAAATTACAATATGCATGTGTAATGGTTCTATATTTTAGTGTAAAACATGGTATTGTAAAACATATAATTTTGTACATACATTTGTATAAGCTCTGTCGTACAGGGATTAGTCAAAACAAAGGAAGTTGCTCACCCATCATCTGTACTTCCGTTAGCAAGTTTTCCCTGCTAACTGAAGTACAGATGATGGGTGAGCAACTTCCTTTGATTTCTAATATTGTACATACCTTCACTAAAAGCCCATGTTTGTCAAACATCCAGATTTTCTCCTGTGCCTCCGCTTGTGTCAGGCCATTTTCCATCATCGCCATGACAATGAGACTAGCTATTCCCAAAGCAGCCTGAGGTACAAATCCAAATATTCCTGGTTAATAATAAAGTTATTTTTTTCAATTAAAACAGGAGGTAAATCTAATCTGCCATTCACAAATAAAAACACTTTATTGTAAAAAGGGTTAGGGTTAAAAATTTGCTTTATCTTTTTATAAAACGTTCCAAACACTTAAATCACTTGCCTCGCCGGCTCCAAGGAAGAGCACCCTATGTTCAGTGATGGGTTTACCCAAAGCCCTCTGTGCAGCTAACAGACCAGCCAGTGCTACAGCTGCTGTGCCTGAACAAGTCAAAATGTACAATTATATTATTATTTTCTAATAAAAAAGTATAAACACATTTGCCATTGACTTGAAGTAAAGATAGAACTTGAAGAAAGATACAACTCCATCAAAAATGTTGATTTCATGTTAATACCTTGGATATCGTCATTGAAAGTGCAGTACTTCTCCCTGTATTTCCTCATTAAGCGGAATGCGTTGTGGTTCCCAAAGTCCTCAAACTGAATGAGTGTATCCTGTCCATACTTTTCCACCACAGCCTCCATGAACTCATCGATGAGGTCATCATAAGCCTGCGTCCGATCGCGCTTCTGATACAGGCCCATGTACAAGGGGTCTTGAAGCAGTGTCTGAAAAAGATAGAACTAAATTAAAAGCATTTTAAGGAATGTCAATCTCTAAAAGACATCTGGCCATATGTCTCCTCGTCTTATTATGATGAAACCAGTTCTTACCTGGTTGTCCGTGCCAACGTCGATGACCACAGGCAGACACTTCTCTGGCCTGATTCCTGCACAGGCCGTGTACAGGCACAGTTTTCCCACAGGAATGCCCATCCCATAAACCCCCAGGTCCCCCAGGCCCAAAATACGCTCCCCATCTGTGACCACGACTGCCTGCATGAGACAAACATGAGCATTGTTACAAAAACCCATGCGGTAGTCGCATAGAAGATCATTTTCAGATTAGCAAAAGCCCAACAAGCATAGTATTAGTATTTAAAACTAGATATTGAATTTATATAAAATGTAATAGTCCTTTTGCTTTGTCGTATACTGTATGTTACACCATAAACTATTATATATCGTTTATAGTTATAGCATCCGCTTTGTCCAAGATTGCATCTGTTGAATACCACACAGTGGTTTATTCTAGGGACAGTGGTGAAACTAGAAGAATAACGCTAGAACTTTCTAGCGTAACTTGCACCAGAAGAGTTAAATAGAAAACCTTTGCTGTATAAAAACTACTCACAGCCACTCGGGTCTCAGGCCAGTTGTCCAGTATGGACCGCACGTGTCCTTTGTCTTTAATAGAGATGAACAATCCCCTGAAGATGGGGACGGAAGTCAATAGAACGTTTTGTAAATAAAACAAGACTGAAATAGTCCACTTCATGCAGACAGAAGATCCGTTACAATAATTGGTGATCACTTTAGTTTGCACTTGAAGAGACGGATTTAAGAGTGTTCCAACTAAATGATTTTTTAAAGTCTTGTGAGATAGCAGTAACTGGCTTTCACAGACATCTTATTCTTTTAACTAATGGGAGTTACTACCCCCAACTCATTTGTGAAACCATCTACCAATAGAATGATTTTATGGCTCATGTTACCAAAATGTCTACACAATATTGTGCTGGAACTCACTTGGGCCTTCTGAATATGTGTCCATACTGCGTACAGGCCAGGCCCACGGTGGGAGTGTAGACAATCGGCATCAGCTCCTCTATGTCCTCCATCAGGACTCTGTAGAACAGACGCTCGTTTCTCTCCTGAATGCCCATCAGATAAATGTACCTAAAAAACAAACGTAATGTTTGGACCTACAGAAACTAGTTGAGGAAAACACTACAAGAAAGTGAAAGATAGCCGTATGCAGTTTTGATAATGGAATAATACAATTTTGTCCATTATCCAAAACAAAAAAGGACACATTCTTATTTCACAGTTCAAATTGTACACTTAAAATCAAGATAAATGCTCCATACCCATCTTTAAAGTCACAAAACTTCAACGTTGAAAAAAAGAGACCAATTATTTAATTATGAATCCTTTTTTTTCCTTTTCTAAACCATCGCATGTAATCTGGATTTACTTCTCTAAAGGATCTGTCATTTTCTTCAGATTTTTTTGGAAGCGCATGGCCTGGTTGTCCTGAGTCTCCACTTTCGGGGGCAGCAGGCCGTGGATCCCCAAGAGCTGACGTTCTTCAAGAGAGAAAGCCATTCCCTGGAGAAACAAGGAGAACATCAAATGTCAACAGTACAGAAGTCTCCAAAGGTAAAAAGATAAAGCGGTTAAAGTCAGATTGTTAACTATGACAAAAATCATTCTGAAAATATATTTTTCAAATGCATAATCCAAGTCATAATGGAATGATAAGCACAAAGTGATCATTATACAGTGTCTTGCGAAAGTATTCGGCCCCCTTGAACCTTTCGCCACATTTCAGGCTTCAAACAAAGATATAAAAATGTAATTTTTTGTCAAGAATCAACAAGTGGGACACAATCGTGAAGTGGAACGAAATTTATTGGATAATATAAACCTTTTTAACAAATAAAAAACTGAAAAGTGGGGCGTGCAATATTATTCGGCCCCCTTGCGCTAATACTTTGTAGCCCCACCTTTTGCTGCAACTACAGCTGCAAGTCGCTTGGGGTATGTCTCTATCCATTTTGCACATCGAGAGACTAGAATTCTTGCCCATTCTTCCTTGCAAAGCAGCTCGAGCTCAGTGAGGTTGGATGGAGAGCGTTTGTGAACAGCACTCTTCAGGTCTTTCCACAGATTCTCGATTGGATTCAGGTCTGGACTTTGACTTGGCCATTCTAACACCTGGATACGTCTATTTGTGAACCATTCCATTGTAGATTTGGCTTTATGTTTTGGATCATTGTCCTGTTGGAAGATAAATCTCCGTCCCAGTTTCAGGTCTTTTGCAGACTCCAACAGGTTTTCTTCCAGAATGGTCCTGTATTTGGCTCCATCCATCTTCCCTGTCCCTGCTGAAGAAAAGCAGGCCCAAACCATGATGCTGCCACCACCATGTTTGACAGTGGGGATGGTGTGTTCAGGGTGATGAGCTGTGTTGCTTTTACGCCAAACATATCGTTTTGCATTGTGGCCAAAAAGTTCGATTTTGATTTCATCTGACCAGAGCACCTTCTTCCACATGTTTGGTGTGTCTCCCAGGTGGCTTGTGGCAAACTTTAAACGAGACTTTTTATGGATATCTTTGAGAAATGGCTTTCTTCTTGCCACTCTTCCATAAAGGCCAGATTTGTGCAGTGCACAACTGATTGTTGTCCTATGGACAGACTCTCCCACCTCAGCTGTAGTTCTCTGCAGTTCATCCAGAGCGATCATGGGCCTCTTGGCTGCATCTCTGATCAGTCTTCTCCTTGTTTGAGATGAAAGTTTGGAGGGACGGCCGGGTCTTGGTAGATTTGCAGTGGTCTGATACTCCTTTCATTTCAATATAATTGCTTGCACAGTGCTCCTTGAGATGTTTAAAGCTTGGGAAATCTTTTTGTATCCAAATCCGGCTTTAAACTTCTCCACAAAAGTAACTCGGACCTGCCTGGTGTGTTCCTTTGTCTTCATGGTTCTCTCTGCGCTTTAAACAGAACCCTGAGACTATCAAAGAGCAGGTGCATTTATACGGAGACTTGATTACACACAGGTGCATTCTATTTATCATCATCAGTCATTTAGGACAACATTGGATCATTCAAAGATCCTCACTGAACTTCTGGAGTGAGTTTGCTGCACTGAAAGTAAAGGGGCCGAATAATATTGCATGCCCCACTTTTATTGCCCCGTTTTTTATTTGTTAAAAAAGTTTAAATTATCCAATACATTTCGTTCCACTTCACGATTGTGTCCCACTTGTTGATTCATGACAAAAAATTTAAATTGTATATCTATGTTTGAAGCCTGAAATGTGGCGAAATGTTGAAAGGTTCAAGGGGGCCGAATACTTTCGCAAGGCACTGTATGTTGTCTGGGGCTTCATTCCCCTGGAAGGGTCTCCCATGACACACTGGTCTCGGGTGACGAGTCAGACAAAGCGCAGTCCGAAGCCAACATGGACAGTACTAATAGAAGATCAGTGACGTCGCCCGGCATGGCGCAGCCCCACCCTGGAGACAGGCCTGGGGTCGGGGCTCGAACGCCTGGTGGCCGGGCCAGGCCAGGCTCAGCCCGAAAGGTCCACGTGGGCAAGCCCTCCTGTGGGCCCATCACCTGCAAAGGGGTCCATGCTGGCGTGGTGCTGAGAGGACTGGGCAGCAGTCGAAGGCGGAGACCTCGGCGACCCAGCATCTGGCTCTTGGGACGTGGAATGTCACCTCACTGGGGGGGAAGGAGCCCGAGCTCGTGGGCGCAGTGATGCGGTCGCTGTATTGGACCGTTTTGGTGAAGAGGGAGCTGAGCCGAAAGGCAAAGCTCTCGATTTACCGGTCAATCTTTGTTCCCTCCCTCAACTATGGTCATGAGCCTTGGGTAATGACCGAAAGAAGGAGATCGCAGATACAAGCGGTCGAAATGAGCTTCCTCAGCAGAGTGGCTGGGCGCTCCCTTAGAGATAGGGTGAGGAACCCAGTCACACGGGAGGAGCTCCGAGTAGAGCCGCTGCTTCTCCACGTCGAGAGGAACCAGTTGAGGTGGCTCGGGCATCTGTTCCGGATGCCTCCTGGACGCCTCCCTGGGAAGGTGTTCCGGCCACGTCCCACCGGGAGGAGACCCCGGGGAAGACCCAGGACACGCTGGAGGGACTATGTTAGGGCTGGGCAATAAAACGATAACGATATATATTGCGATAGACACGTGTTCGATATCAATAGAAAACGGGGTCAATAGAACTTTGATAGTTTCACTTCAGTCCGTTCGAAAAAACAGGAACAAAACACAGGAAGTAAAGCTGAGTCAAAAGCGCACGGCATTCTGGGGGATGTAGGCAAAGGCTTCTCGACCTATCACAGCCGACTACACACCGCAAAACTTTCTGGGAAAAGCATAAAAACAACCGCACCATGGATCATGGATCTATTATAATAGCCATGGATCTAAAGATTGTGTTTCAGTGCCGTGTCAATGGTTATGCACGTCCGTGTGAGGAACAGCATGTGCAGCGGGAGAGGCAGTGGATACAGAGACTCGATGCATTCGGCAAAAACAAGAGATTAACCTTTTCCGGAGCCGCCACGGGGACACAAGACACTCGAAAACAGCCAAAACAGGAGCTAAACCAGGATTAAACCAGGACTAAAGTGGGGGAGACTGCTTGTCAACATTTGGCTCCAGCCTCATTCCCCCGTGACTGTAAACAAGGCTGCTAACATGTGTTAGCCGACACGACAAATGTATTTATTTACGTTTTTAAAAATAAATAAAAAACAATCAATATATATTGTTATCGACCGATATGTATTACTTATATTGTGATATAGTTTTCAGCCATCGCCCAGCCCTAGACTATCTCTCAGCTGGCCTGGGAACGTCTTGGGGTCCCCCTGGATGAGCTGGAGGAAGTGTGTGTGGATAGGGAAGTCTGGGCGTCTCTGCTTAGACTGCTGCCCACGTGACCCGGCAACAGATGAAGCGGAAGAAAATGGATGGATGGATGGAAGACAAATTGAAATGGGATGAAAACAACAGGGTTAGCAGATTTAGGTTTTTGAATTGCATTGGACAATAAATTTATATTGTTTGTTTTAAAGTGTTTCATCTTTCAGCTATTGGGAGTAGTGTGAGGAGAACAGCACTGATAAACATACTCCTCTGTGTTCACGTTAATGCGAGGAGGAAACACATGGAACACATCATGTCTGCAGAACGAGGGCTGGGGACAGACTGCTGAGTCATGCTGAGAACGCATTTTTAGAAAGTTCACTTCCTTAGCTCCAACATCAGAATCAGATTATACAAACATGAGAAAAACTGGTTAGAAATCACAACTTTCCCAGTAATAATCCTCAACTGCAATAATATTTTAGTGTCCAACCGAACCTTTCATAAAAATATCCAGTCAACCTTTTCCCCTCTTCCAACAGTCACATAAATGCAGTTTTGACATTACACTGCCCAGTAGAGCTATATTTAGCAGGACAGAATGGCAGAGTTGGAGCAAGGGCATACCTGTCATGGAGGGAGCCCTCTCCTTATCGCACAAAAAGCAAAATTACCATAAAAAAAAATAAAAATAAATAAATAAAATCATCAATAATCTCAATACAGTGTAAGTGTAAGTATTCGGCCCCCTTGAACCTTTCAACATTTCGCCACATTTCAGGCTTCAAACAAAGATATAAAATTTTAATTTTTTGTCATGAATCAACAACAAGTGGGACACAATCGTGAAGTGGAACGATATTGGATAGTTTAAACTTTTTTAACAAATAAAAAACTGAAAAGTGGGGTGTGCAATATTATTCGCCCCCTTAACTTTCAGTGCAGCAAACTCACTCCAGAAGTTCAGTGAGGATCTTTGAATGATCCAATGTTGTCCTAAATGACTGATGATGATAAATAGAATGCACCTGTGTGTAATCAAGTCTCTGTATAAATGCACCTGCTCTTTGATAGTCTCAGGGTTCTGTTTAAAGCGCAGAGAGAACCATGAAGACAAAGGAACACACCAGGCAGGTCCGAGATACTGTTGTGGAGAAGTTTAAAACCAGATTTGGATACAAAAAGATTTCCCAAGCTTTAAACATCTCAAGGAGCACTGTGCAGGCAATTATATTGAAAAGGAAGGAGTATCAGACCACTGCAAATCTACCAAGACCCGGCCGTCCCTCCAAACTTTCATCTCAAACAAGGAGAAGACTGATCAGAGATGCAACCAAGAGGCCCATGATCACTCTGGATGAACTGCAGAGAACTACAGCTGAGGTGGGAGAGTCTGTCCATAGGACAACAATCAGTCGTGCACTGCACAAATCTGGCCTTTATAGAAAAGTGGCAAGAAGAAAGCCATTTCTCAAAGATATCCATAAAAAGTCTTGTTTAAAGTTTGCCACAAGCCACCTGGGAGACACACCAAACATGTGGAAGAAGGTGCTCTGGTCAGATGAAACCAAAATCGAACTTTTTGGCCACAATGCAAAACGATATGTTTGGCGTAAAAGCAACACAGCTCATCACCCTGAACACACCATCCCCACTGTCAAACATGGTGGTGGCAGCATCATGGTTTGGGCCTGCTTTTCTTCAGCAGGGACAGGGAAGATGGCTAAAATTGATGGGAAGATGGATGGAGCCAAATACAGGACCATTCTGGAAGAAAACCTGTTGGAGTCTGCAAAAGACCTGAGACTGGGACGGAGATTTATCTTCCAACAGGACAATGATCCAAAACATAAAGCCAAATCTACAATGGAATGGTTCACAAATAGACGTATCCAGGTGTTAGAATGGCCAAGTCAAAGTCCAGACCTGAATCCAATCGAGAATCTGTGGAAAGAGCTGAAGACTGCTGTTCACAAACGCTCTCCATCCAACCTCACTGAGCTCGAGCTGTTTTGCAAGGAAGAATGGGCAAGAATTCCAGTCTCTCGATGTACAAAACTGATAGAGACATACCCCAAGCGACTTGCAGCTGTAATTGCAGCAAAAGGTGGCGCTACAAAGTATTAGCGCAAGGGGGCCGAATAATATTGCACGCCCCACTTTTCAGTTTTTATTTGTTAAAAAAGTTTAAATTATCCAATCAATTTTGTTCCACTTCACGATTGTGTCCCACTTGTTGATTCTTGACAAAAAATTTAATTTTTATGTCTTTATGTTTGAAGCCCGAAATGTGACGAAATGTTGAAAGGTTCAAGGGGGCCGAATACTTTTGCAAGGCACTGTATGTACCGTTCTCTGCTGTACACAGGGTTATAAAAGGTGACCCAAGACATTAGTGGACCAAAAAGACACCATCTAAAGTATTTTTTATTCCAGATTGCAAAATGCATACAATTATTTTTACCATTGTGTATGATTTGGCCATTATAGAACAGCGCAATAGGAGCTGCTTTTTTGTCAACGTACGTTTCTTGGGATACATTTACTCAGAAAGCACAACTTACTTTGTTGGTGCGTGGGTTGAGCATGAGTGGCTTGCCCTTCTCTTTGGTGTGGGCCCATCTGACCACAGAGAGACAGGGTCTGACGGACAAACAGCTTCTGGACAGTCTGGACAACATGGTGACGTAGAGGCTAGACCAGAGACAACAAATCAGTGTTAGCAGACAAACTTTAGACATTAATTTCATTATCTGCTTTAATTCCAAAACTCATAATCATTAGTTGGGAGGGTGACAGGTAGAAATAGACAATACAAATATGATAATAATCAACTAATCAACCCATCCATCCAGCTATTATTTCCATTTCTATTAACATTTTAAGAGAAAGCAATAGGAAACACTGACAGCAGGATCATCCACAATTGTCATATGATACGCATTGAAATAAAACATACTACCATTTTCTTGCATTTGAAAAGGCCCAGTGGATCATCTTACAGCCAAAACAGTCACCATTTCCATTGTATGATAATATATTTCACCAGAAAACCAGATTCCATAACAGTCTTTGATAGCAAAGCGACTTTGCCAGCAAACCTGAAGCTTTCTCGTTCAAGTGTTTGAGTGTAATCTGGTGGTGATGTGAGAAAATCCTAATCCTAATCCTCAACAACACTGAGGAGGGCACGAAATCAGACCAGAGACAAATAAGGATTATGGGGCTTCTTTCATAATATGCATGTCCAAGCAGTCTAGTTTGAACTAGCCCCTTAGGCCTTCTGTATAATGTCCTGCGAATAGCATCATTATTGTGAGGGCTATGTCATGCATGTAACCCACTACTAGCACATAACATCAGAGGCCCTTTAATGCCCTGCAGTAGGACTGTAAACTCGCACTGCTATAGTCATTTTTAATTTATATGTACATAATATATCTTGCAACTTTTCACTTCACATTTCGTGTTTGCACACATCTTGTCTTTTGCACAACCCGAGTGATCTTATTAATGCCAGATGTGACATGTAAATTTCTTCATTGTGAGATCAATAAAGTTGATCTTATCTTATAAGGGTGCTTTGATGACTTTTCAGTCGTCATGAACATATTTACGAAGCAACAGAAAATACCCAAATAAACAATTTTCCAACAATAAATTATGTCTTACTTCCTCACTAATACATTGTGAAAAATAATTTGGAAGATTCCCACTATGAGGAAGTGCAACTGGAGCTGTAAGCAAATTATAGAAGAGAAGAGAAATCTGAGCCATTCTATTTTAGTTCCACAGTCGGACGGTCAAACGCATAATAAACATGAGGGCCCGACACAGAGTCATCAGCTGTGCTCATGTGACGAGCCACAAATGTCAGATGTAAACGGACAGAGCGCAGGTGCAGCAGACATGGACCAATGAACAGTAGCAACTTTGAGATCGGGAAATGGATAATGAGCTAATTATAAAAGCTAATAGATCATAGGCAATCATAAAAATTTGGCCAGTTTGATTATCTGACTAAATTGTTCGTATAATGTATTGGCCCCAAACAAGCTAGACTACATTTTTTTAATGAAAAAAATACAGCCAACCAGTCTTTGAGATTAAAACAAATGCCAACTCAAAATACATTTTTCTATACCTTATTGTTTAAGTTTTATGAAATCTTTGCAATTTCAATTTAATATGCAGTCAAATAGTTCAAGTTTCGGGTGACTTATGACCAATAAATTGACTAAACAAACAAAGATCAAGTGGAAGTAGGGCTGTTCCAAAATAAAATCTAAAAAAATCTCAAAGAGTCTTCATTAACACGTGCATTAAAATCAAGAGATACTGATCATGGGGCCGAAGAAATTGTCCTTTTACCTAAACTCAGTTTGAAAAATAACTGGGCCAGAGACAGACGGAAACGGCATGTGTCTTTACTGCTCTTAATTCGCTTTTCACTGTTTGCTGATATGACAATAGAGGGGGTTATTTCCCGCCTCAAATGTTATTACAATGACCTTTTATGTCCTAATTCAAATATAAATTACACTTTTTACATTTCATCATATACTCTCCGCTCCGTGATCCAAGGTCACATATCACCAGAATGATTGACAATGAGGAGGACCAATAATTCAGGTGATCCAGCCGGAAGAACAGAATCCTCTAGTACACCTTTAAGATACGCAACATTTAATATCAAAAGGGTAAAGCGTTAGGGTCTTGTCTGTGTGCAAATGTCAATAAAACTTTATTCTCTATTCAATGTTCATTTTTAATGTGTTAGAGATTGGGGAAAAAGATCCTTCAAATTACTAACCAATTAGCTGGAACAAAGATCACTAACTCAGACCTCGGCATACCATTTACAGTTAACAGTTATGCACAGTTCATGGTTCTATGGGGCCTCCAGACCCTTTCTAAAACATAAATTTGTAAATTTTTATATTTTGGCTCCATGTTTCACTCTCCTCTTGGAATATGTATGTATATATTTGTTTATCAAAACTGAAGCAGCTTTCTCAGAAAATAGCAAATGCCAAATAGAATGAAATGAGTTTGTCTCACCATATTATGACGAGATCTGCTCTAATCATTGCTGTTGCCCCGCCAGGATTATTGTACAGCTCTCAGGGAAATATTAGAAAGCAATAAGAAGGATTAGCTCAGTCAGAAATCCCTTAAATGTGGAGCCTTGCTAGCAGAAAAACTACATAAGATAAGAGCTCCTTTAATTGTCCCACAGTAGAGAAATGTCAGTGTTGCAACACACAATACAGATAACTGTAAATGGTTCTTTAGCAGAAACAACCCAAAGTAGCTTGTATAGTACAAAAAGATTCCACCATAGGAGTTTTAGGGGCAACACGTGTGGTGACACATTTGCCACTAGTCAGTGTACAGAAGCCACTGATGGGGGCAACAAGAGAGTATTTGGGGCAGTCTGGGGCCCTCCAATCAACAGAATGTTGATTTTAAACCAACAGGTCTAAATCCAATACCCGCTCAGTAAGAACATGCAGAAGCAGATGTCCCATTTTCAGTTTCAAACAAGGAACACGTGATCATTTCTTTTAACTTGCTTTTACTTTTCATCATTGCATTATTATTTCATATGCATTTTTACTAATGTAAAATGGTCCTTATTGTACTGTTATTTAATTTTGCATTATCATTTCCACAAGACTGGTGGTAAAAAAAGAAGAAAAAAAAGAGAATTTGCATTTGAATGGCCATACAGGGAATATTGTAATGATATATGTAGTTAATGTAGAGGTGTACATTTCTATTTTATTTTGGGAATATCGAATTGAAAATATGAAAATGAAAATGCAATATGCAACAAGGGGATTACTGGCCTGACTAAGGTTACACACCTATATATGTGTCTTAAAGTTATAGAGATGATGTTTATGAGGATCAAAGTTCACATTATAATAAGGCTATCATTTCATCACAATTCAAAATGTAAGATGCAAGTGCCATCACCACTATAAAAGGTTAACAATATGTTTGAACCCCAGAATAAAACACAAGGTTGAATATAGAAAAGGCTCCATCAATTATATAATATTAGGACTAAACTAAGCAATGACAGAATAAAAACACAACTACATGAAGGAATTTACAAGAATACAATAAGCAACCAACGTAGACAGCGTCAGAATCTTTTACAAAATATCTTGAACATAAAAAGAATAACAAATGCCATGGTTTTTGAGATATTCTCGGAGTAAAAAGCAGTTCAATTAACTTCACCCAGGATCGCCACATCTGATCACTCGCATGCTGTCATTCATTACAGCTAGCATTGCCATTAACTCAACACTAGCATCACATTTTAAGCTCACGTTTACGCACCAGCTTTGGGGGTGTTGAAATTCAGTGAAATGGCGGTGATATTGTGCCCTTAGTAAATCATATTCCTTGAGAGAAGCAAGAAGAGACGAGAGTGAAAGGAAGTGGTGTTTTTGCTCGCCTCCTGCAGCTGCGGAGAGAGTGACGGAGATGAGACGCAGACAGGACGTGAAGAAGCAGCGCGGACCAATCACAGCCCGGGATTCCCTCACGCACGATACCGTAAACTTTCACACGGCGCCAAAAAGTCGTAATAACTGTATTAAACACCTCTTTCAAAAGAACGAAGTAATAATTGTCCTATAAATAAGTATAAAACACCCATCTCGTTGGTATGTACGTTTATTTTTTCATTCATAAATATAGATATTGTTACGTCCTGGCTCGAGGTAATGAATGAGACAGTTGTTGCTTTATTACAAGATGGTTACTGTCGGCCGTAACCATGCCAATACAGCTCCACAACTTAACAGAACAGCAGCCGGTTCCCAGTCCCGAGTAAAGAGAGCGTTATATCAAAACAGTCTTCCCTATCCCAGTAGGCCCGCCCCCCCCATGCTGTGGGCGGCACAGTGGCTGAGTGGATAGCACTCATGCCTCTCAGCAAGAAGGTCCTGGGTTCGAATCCCGGTTGGACCAGGGCCTTTCTGAGTGGAGTTTGCATGTTCTCCCCGTGTCTGCGTAGGTTTCCTCCGGGTGCTCCGGTTTCCCCTACCACTAAAAATATGTACAATAGTTCTGGCATGTGCCTCCTATATTGCCTGGCCTGCCAGACACTCCTCCTTTCTGTTCAAAAGAATATATGTCTTTGAAAAAGCATATCGTTTGGCAGGCCAGGCAACCTCCTATACTGGCACCCCTGCTCCCAAAAAATAACAATTGTAAACCGCTTTGAGACTCTGATGTGCAGTGAAAAGGCGGTATATAAATAAAGATTACTTACTTACTAAAGATTACTTACTTACTCAAAACCAATCCTGTAAGTGCGCTAAACAGTGAAATAACATGCATTAACAGCATTAACATAAACATAAATGCAGGGTCGCTACAATATAAAATACTTAAATTTCAAATAGATTAATGTATCTACACAACACATCTATAAATGTATAAATCAAATGCAAAGACAAATAATATAGAATCGAAACAAATGCAAAACATTATTTACAAATAATATTTAGACAAATAATATTATCAAAGCAAACCAATATATATATAATATGTATGATAAACTATAACAACATTTTTTGCCTGCAAACATAAGAGAACACAAAGCTCATATATCAAATATTTGTTAGGCAACAATAACTACCTGGATACTTTCAGTTTTGGGGAACAATTAAGAAGCCACGCTGTATATAAACCACACAATTTATTAAAAGATTGACCAATTGTATTATATTTCAACAAAACAGCAAACTATTCAATAAATGTATAGGCTATATTTGCTGAAAAGTTAAGACATTCTTGCATGTTCGTACAAAACCACGTAGCTGGAATAAATCCCCCACAAAGAGACATTTAAAACTACACTTTGAAATAACAGTATAGGATCATGCTGAAATTACATTCAACAAACTGGAAGCATCCAAGGTGTAGAGGCACATTTTCAGAAATTGCTCATAGACGCACTGTAAATGGTTTGGACTCAAAGCCACTTCATACCTGCATTTTATTGCTGCTTTTTTGTGGATAAATTACAAGTAAAACTACATTAAACTTTATCATTTGCATGAATAAAGTAAATACAGTATGTTGTATGAATTATTAGCCTTATTATATCCGTCTGTCTTAGCAGATCCCCTTCTCATTTTTGGTATCCTCAAGGTTTCTTATAGTTTTCCCACTGGCTTGTCTTAAGTTGTTCCTACTGACGCAGGAGGGTCTAAGGACAGTGATTATCTGGGACCTATGAAACGTGTTTACATTTATGGACATTGGTCATCTGCCTCCAATGAACAGATGGCTCCAAGGTGTTTGTTATTACTACATATCGTTTGTTCGAGCTATTTGATTCTCTGATGTCAAATCAACAACCTTGTAAAGCACCCCGAGATTAATTCTGTTGTGATTTATGGTTATACATAAAAAACATTTAAATTGAATTTAAATACCAGGAAAAGGCCATTGTTTTTTTGTTGCTACAAAAAGCACATTTGTGCTTCTTGTATTTTTTGCATCGATACAATCAGAGAATCTGTGGAATGGTTATCTTGTTCTAAATGGCTAAATCCATAAAACTGTTGTTACAGTAATTTATGTTATACAGTATGTATGGCAGTTTCTGATTGGACTTGTCAGAAATAAATAACTGAATAGATTTCAGCCATTTCAGAAGATAATTTTGAAAAGACGAGTCAACAAATAACAAAAGTAGAATGATAATGCAATGATAATAATAATAATAATAATGATAATAATAATAAAATCATTATGATTATGACATTATGACATTATGACAAAAGATGAAATATACTGTATTCACAATGCGGTCTTATGCTACATCTTAAATAAATAGGTAAATGGTGGGTCATCAAGCTACTGAGTGCATGTAAATTGTACATGAATTGTACTTGAATTATTAAAGCAATAGTTATAATTTTTACAGCATTGTGCACAAAACAACTCCCTTCAAATGCATAAAATCACACTGATATGTATGAAATACAGAGGAAAGACACATCACTATCAACAGCCATCAGGTAACTGTATATGATAAAGTACAGCTTTTGTACAGCTTTACAATGGTCCACAAGTTCTTTCAGCATCTGTGCGTCATTGACAAGAATATTATACTTTCAGTGAAAAACACCAAGATATTGTTGGAAGACGTCTTTTTTCAATGCAGTTGGTTTGTCAGCGTTTTGAAAGCAAGCTACAGTTAAGCCTTTTTGATTTCCAACCTTTTTGTTAGTCATCTCGGTACTTGTGGGGATATAGATACATACATTCCCAATGAAATAAACCTGAACTGGTTTAAATGTGATCGATAGCATTTATCAGACTGATACAGTATATCCCTCATACTGTACTTACATTATCCATCATTTGTCTCTTTCTACTACTGATTTAGTATTTATAAAAAATGAAAGAGATAATCCAGATGTAGGTATACTTGCTGTGAAACATATACTGTATGTTTTCAACAAACTTTGAAAAAGACCGTTCCTCCTACGATTGTGGAGTGGGCGGTGGAGGTGTCCGATGTTCTGGAAATCTTGGCACTTTTTGGCTTATTCCCATTTGTTTGGTGTCCTCCTTCCATCCTGCTTCTTTCCTTCCTTCAGCTTTACCCTTTGTGTTTCGGCATAACTTCAGTGCTTTGGAGATAAAGACATCTAGGTTAAACAGGTGCTCTTTTTGCTTACCAGGCAACGACTCTAAGGATCCATTGTTTTGTGACATGGAAGAAGTAGATGAGTTTTGGGAAGACTTTCGGAGTGGGAAAAGGCGCGGCGAGTTGGGACGTGAGGCGGGTGAGCGAGGGAGGATTATGCAAGTTGGGGACGAGGGGACCAGAGAAGGAAGCGAGTTGAAAGAGGATGCATTAGGTGGAATTGGACTCGGTGAACATAGTTCATAGTCTGGTGAAGGCGGCTGGATGACTTCTGTGTAGCTGAAGACCGGAGCTTGCTGGTCTGTTGGAGAAATGGGTAAAGGAGGAGAGGAAGTGTAGCAACTCGGTGACTGTTGTTCCAACAAGGAATTAGGAGAAGGCGAGTGGAGGCGTGACTGCGTGCTCTCAACCCAACGTGAAATCTCCTGGAACAAATCCCCACTTTCCTGCTCCTCCTCCTCAGTCTTTTCATCAGTCTCCATTTCAATATCCTCCACACTTCTATCTACTGGTTCTGCTGGGACGTTCAAGCTGGTGTTGCGTTTCCAGTGGGACAGATCCAGGATGAGTTTGGGTTCAGAGTAGTGCTGTGGCTTCCCTTCTCTCCAGGCAATTTTGTCCAGGTATGACGGCGAGCCCACTTTGTAGTCACAGGAGCGTCCACAGTCCAGCTCTCCAAGCACAAAGGCCCGGTCTACAGAAGAGTGCGAGTGCTCTAGGAAGCGTTCAGCCGAGCTGCTGTGGGAGTATTTCCGGGGATCCACCTGTGTATAATAAACATGGGGTAAGACAATAATGGTGTCTGTGCAATTAGATCATAACAATACAATATTCAAGCAAGGCTTTACCTGTGCCTCCTCCAGTAGGGTAGCAGAGTTAGCTCTTGGGTCTCGCTGCACCTCCTCTTCCTCTGTAGTGTCTCCCAAGTCAGCGGTCATCACACTTGGGGGCATACAGCGACACCTGCCCCCCGAGTGCTGCCAGCACAGGTCTGTGGAAAGACTGCTCCCAAACCTGCACATAGGAGAAATAAACCTTCTGTCAGCACAGGGCTGCAATAAGAACAACTGACTAAATTAGACAAATGTCTTTGATGAATTTCTTCTGAGGTTGAGGCTATCTTGCATTCTGTACCTTTGAACGGCTACAGCTGTGATGACTAGATTGCATAAGGATTGACTGAATTATTAATCAAGTGGACCGACCTGTCCCAATGTGTGGTGCTGGTGCTGTGGCTCAGACAAGCCTCACTCAGCAGACTGTCCTCCAGCTCGTCCTCTATCCTGAAGGGCTGAGAGGACACAGGCTCATCCTCAGGACAGGCGTAAGGAGACAGGAATGCATGGGACAATGCTGCTTCCGCCGTCAGCCGATCAATAGGATTAAACGTCAAAATACGACCCAGAAAGTCCACAGCTTGAGAGAAAAATACGTTGGTTTAGATTTTTGGAAATAAAGTAGGAAGATTAATGGTAATGATTAATTTAATATTTGGTTGTGTGATACATTGTTGAACAATGCAAAAACAACAAGTCCAAGGGAGATCTATGACAGGTAGAGATGAAGTTGCTGAGGAGAAGGAGGGTTGCAATTGTTGAAAGGGGGAGATAGAAATAATGATTAGGAAGGAGAAGCTGGAAAATACACGTAGTATCATCATTTCACTCACCGCAGATGCACAAATCATCATTATTGCATTACATTTAGGTCACATTGGACACAACATTGACTTTGAAAGAAAAACTTTTAACTACAGTAAAGTGTCCGTCACTCACCCAGAGAATCCACATCCGACAGCAGCTTTGAGAAAGGCTTTTTCACTCTCCAACCATCGCTGACATATGAGGGCATCACCTATAGTGTCAAGTTCAACCCTTCTATTAGTAACACAGTAGTGATCATCCTGAAATACTCTTTTCAAATGCAAAAATAGCGCAGAAGATATATATATATATTTATCTTTTACATACCACTAGCTTTTATTTGTTGTGTTTGTCTGAATATTTTTTGATTGATATAGTATCAATTCCTATCTAAGAGTTATGACAACCTATGCTCTTGCTCTTGTCGGCAGTACACACCCAGTGACATATTTGAGCGTTTGTTTTCCTCAGACAGAAAACGTGAGTCACATGAGTTCCACACCTGCAGCAGTTCCTGTCTGTCCTCCTCCCTGAGCACAGGAACAGTGTCCAGGATCAGCTGCATCTGCTCCAGCTCATGGGCCCCTGGGACACAAAGAGGCAACAGAGAGGGTAGCGCATTCGAGCATGCATCCATTAGTTTCTTCTACTATACATGTAGCATAGTTATAATCTTAATTGATTGACTGCGGAACCTTCCGCAGTCAACCATTGGTTTTGTATTTCTTTATTCCGTCATTTTTTTTGACACGTTTCACAGCTTTCACATTTTCAACAATTTCCACAAGTTATACATCAAAACGTTCCACATGTTTGGGAGATTATTGCTATTACTTTTGGGACTTCAGCGATTTCCGGTTTTTCCGCAATCGGACAAAAATCTGCATTGAGAATTCTGCAATGCATTTTAATAGGCCCATGCATTTTAATAGGACTTCAGCTCTTTCAGACATTTCTACAGTTTCAATGATTCAACAGTTTCAAGGATTCAACAGTTTCAAGGATTTCAGCAGTTTCAAGATTTCAAGAGTTTCAAGGACTTCAACAGTTTCAAGGACTTCAGCAGTTTCAAGGACTTCAGCAGTTTCAAGGACTTCAGCAGTTTCAAGGACTTCAGTGTAATCATGCAACCTAATAGGGATTTTTCCATGTAAACCAGTATAATGCAACTTAATAGGGATTTTTCCATGTAAACCAGTATAATGCAACTTAATAGGGTTTTTCATGTAAACCAGTATAATGCAACTTAATAGGGTTTTTTTTCATGTAAACCAGTATAATGCAACTTAATGGGGATTTTTCCATGTAAACCAGTATAATGCAACTTAATAGGGGTTTTTACATGTAAACCAGTATAATGCAACTTAATAGGGTTTTTTCCATGTAAACCAGTATAATGCAACTTAATAGGGTTTTTTCCATGTAAACCAGTACAATGCAACTTAATAGGGATTTTTCCATGTAAACCAGTATAATGCAACTTAATGGGGATTTTTCCATGTAAACCAGTATAATGCAACTTAATGGGGATTTTTCCATGTAAACCAGTATTATGCAACTTAATAGGGATTTTTCCATGTAAACCAGTATAATGCAACTTAATAGGGATTTTTCCATGTAAACCAGTATAATGCAACTTAATGGGGATTTTTCCATGTAAACCAGTATTATGCAACTTAATAGGGATTTTTCCATGTAAACCAGTATAATGCAACTTAATAGGGTTTTTTTCATGTAAACCAGTATAATGCAACTTAATAGGGTTTTTACATGTAAACCAGTATAATGGAACTTAATAGGGGTTTTTACATGTAAACCAGTATAATGGAACTTAATAGGGGTTTTTACATGTAAACCAGTATAATGCAACTTAATAAGGATTTTTACATGTAAACCACTATAATGTAACCTAATAGGGGTTTTTACATGTAAACCAGTATAAAGCAACTTAATAGGGATTTGTACATGTAAACCAGTATAATGCAACCTAATAGGGATTTTTCCATGTAAACCAGTATAATGCAACTTAATAGGGATTTTTCCATGTAAACCAGTATAATGCAACTTAATAGGGATTTTTCCATGTAAACCAGTATAATGCAACTTAATAGGGATTTTTCCATGTAAACCAGTATAATGCAACTTAATAGGGATTTTTCCATGTAAACCAGTATAATGCAACTTAATAGGGATTTTTCCATGTAAACCAGTATAATGCAACTTAATGGGGATTTTTCCATGTAAACCAGTATAATGCAACTTAATAGGGGTTTTTACATGTAAACCAGTATAATGCAACTTAATAGGGTTTTTTCCATGTAAACCAGTATAATGCAACTTAATAGGGTTTTTTCCATGTAAACCAGTACAATGCAACTTAATAGGGATTTTTCCATGTAAACCAGTATAATGCAACTTAATGGGGATTTTTCCATGTAAACCAGTATAATGCAACTTAATGGGGATTTTTCCATGTAAACCAGTATTATGCAACTTAATAGGGATTTTTTTTCATGTAAACCAGTATAATGCAACTTAATGGGGATTTTTCCATGTAAACCAGTATAATGGAACTTAATAGGGGTTTTTACATGTTAAACCAGTATAATGGAACTTAATAGGGGTTTTTACATGTAAACCAGTATAATGCAACTTAATAAGGATTTTTACATGTAAACCACTATAATGTAACATGTAAACCAGTATAATGCAACTTATTAGGGTTTTTTTCATGTAAACCAGTATAATGCAACTTAATAGGGATTTTTCCATGTAAACCAGTATAATGCAACTTAATAGGGATTTTTCCATGTAAACCAGTATAATGCAACTTAATAGGGTTTTTTCATGTAAACCAGTATAATGCAACTTAATAGGGATTTTTCCATGTAAAAACCAGTATAATGCAACTTAATAGGGATTTTTCCATGTAAACCAGTATAATGCAACTTAATAGGGATTTTTCCATGTAAACCAGTATAATGCAACTTAATAGGGTTTTTTTTCATGTAAACCAGTATAATGCAACTTAATAGGGATTTTTCCATGTAAACCAGTATAATGCAACTTAATAGGGGTTTTTACATGTAAACCAGTATAATGCAACTTAATAGGGTTTTTTTTTTCATGTAAACCAGTATAATGCAACTTAATAGGGATTTTTCCATGTAAACCAGTATAATGCAACTTAATAGGGTTTTTTCCATGTAAACCAGTATAATGCAACTTAATAGGGATTTTTCCATGTAAACCAGTATAATGCAACTTAATAGGGGTTTTTCCATGTAAACCAGTATAATGCAACTTAATAGGGTTTTTTTTTCCATGTAAACCAGTATAATGCAACTTAATAGGGATTTTTCCATGTAAACCAGTATAATGCAACTTAATGGGGATTTTTCCATGTAAACCAGTATAATGCAACTTAAGCGCGGGGATTTTTCCATGTAAACCCAGTATTATGCAACTTAATAGGGATTTTTTTTTCATGTTAACCAGTATAATGCAACTTAATAGGGTTTTTTTCATGTAAACCAGTATAATGCAACTTAATAGGGTTTTTTCATGTATAATGCAACCTAATAGGTTGCATTATACCACCAGAACAAGACCCAAACGAAGACTCAGACCACCACCAGATAATGACCACAGACCAGGTTTCCTTAGTTACAGGACCAAATTGTTTCAGCGGTGAGGGGATTTTTCAGTTTCAAGGACACTTTCAATACATTCAGTAGTTTCAAGGATTTCAGCTGTTTAAGAATTTAACCAGTTTCAAGGATATCAGGAGGTTCAAGGATTTCAGGAGTTTCCACACTTTCAACAGTTTCCAGGTTTAAAAAAGTTTCAAGGATTTCAGGAGTTTCAATGTTTCAACAGTTTCAAGGATTTCAGGAGTTTAAAGGTTTCAACAATTTCAAGGACTTCAGGAGTTTCAAATATCTATCAAGTATTTTAACAGTTTCAAGGCTTTTTAAAGGATTTCAAGGATTTTTTTTAGCAGATTTCCACATTAGATCTGTTCCGCAGTCAATCGCAATGGCTTCAGCCATTGCAAGTTTCTAGTTGTTGTTATTGTTGTTGTTGTTATTGATTGACTGCGGAACCTTCCGCAGTCAACCATTGGTTTTGTATTTCTTTATTCCGTCATTTTTTTTGACACGTTTCACAGCTTTCACATTTTCAACAATTTCCACAAGTTATACATCAAAACGTTCCACATGTTTGGGAGATTATTGCTATTACTTTTGGGACTTCAGCGATTTCCGGTTTTTCCGCAATCGGACAAAAATCTGCATTGAGAATTCTGCAATGCATTTTAATAGGCCCATGCATTTTAATAGGACTTCAGCTCTTTCAGACATTTCTACAGTTTCAATGATTCAACAGTTTCAAGGATTCAACAGTTTCAAGGATTTCAGCAGTTTCAAGATTTCAAGAGTTTCAAGGACTTCAACAGTTTCAAGGACTTCAGCAGTTTCAAGGACTTCAGCAGTTTTCAAGGACTTCAGCAGTTTCAAGGACTTCAGTGTAATCATGCAACCTAATAGGGATTTTTCCCATGTAAACCAGTATAATGCAACTTAATAGGGATTTTTCCATGTAAACCAGTATAATGCAACTTAATAGGGTTTTTTCATGTAAACCAGTATAATGCAACTTAATAGGGTTTTTTTTCATGTAAACCAGTATAATGCAACTTAATGGGGATTTTTCCATGTAAACCAGTATAATGCAACTTAATAGGGGTTTTTACATGTAAACCAGTATAATGCAACTTAATAGGGTTTTTTCCATGTAAACCAGTATAATGCAACTTAATAGGGTTTTTTCCATGTAAACCAGTATAATGCAACTTAATAGGGTTTTTTCCATGTAAACCAGTACAATGCAACTTAATAGGGATTTTTCCATGTAAACCAGTATAATGCAACTTAATAGGGTTTTTTACATGTAAACCAGTATAATGCAACTTAATGGGGATTTTTCCATGTAAACCAGTATTATGCAACTTAATAGGGATTTTTCCATGTAAACCAGTATAATGCAACTTAATAGGGTTTTTTCATGTAAACCAGTATAATGCAACTTAATAGGGTTTTTTTTCATGTAAACCAGTATAATGCAACTTAATGGGATTTTTCCATGTAAACCAGTATAATGCAACTTAATAGGGGTTTTTACATGTAAACCAGTATAATGCAACTTAATAGGGTTTTTTCCATGTAAACCAGTATAATGCAACTTAATAGGGTTTTTTCCATGTAAACCAGTATAATGCAACTTAATAGGGTTTTTTCCATGTAAACCAGTACAATGCAACTTAATAGGGATTTTTCCATGTAAACCAGTATAATGCAACTTAATAGGGTTTTTTACATGTAAACCAGTATAATGCAACTTAATGGGGATTTTTCCATGTAAACCAGTATTATGCAACTTAATAGGGATTTTTCCATGTAAACCAGTATAATGCAACTTAATAGGGATTTTTCCTTGTAAACCAGTATAATGCAACTTAATAGGGTTTTTTTTCATGTAAACCAGTATAATGCAACTTAATGGGGATTTTTCCATGTAAACCAGTATTATGCAACTTAATAGGGATTTTTTCCATGTAAACCAGTATAATGCAACTTAATAGGGGTTTTTACATGTAAACCAGTATAATGGAACTTAATAGGGGTTTTTACATGTAAACCAGTATAATACTTAATAAGGATTTTTACATGTAAACCACTATAATGTAACCTAATGGGGTTTTTACATGTAAACCAGTATAAAGCAACTTAATAGGGATTTGTACATGTAAACCAGTATAATGCAACTAATAGGGATTTTTCCATGTAAACCAGTATAATGCAACTTAATAGAGATTTTCCATGTAAACCAGTATAATGCAACTTAATAGGGATTTTTCCATGTAAACCAGTATAATGCAACCTAATAGGGATTTTTCCATGTAAACCAGTATAATGCAACCTAATAGGGATTTTTCCATGTAAACCAGTATAATGCAACCTAATAGGTTGCATTATACCACCAGACCAAGACCCAAACGAAGACTCAGACCACCACCAGATAATGACCACAGACCAGGTTTCCTTAGTTACAGGAACCAAATTGTTTCAGCGGTGAGGGGATTTTTCAGTTTCAAGGACACTTTCAATACATTCAGTAGTTTCAAGGATTTCAACTGTTTAAGAATTTAACCAGTTTCAAGGATATCAGGAGGTTCAAGGATTTCAGGAGTTTCCACACTTTCAACAGTTTCCAGGTTTAAAAAAAGTTTCAAGGATTTCAGGAGTTTCAATGTTTCAACAGTTTCAAGGATTTCAGGAGTTTAAAGGTTTCAACAATTTCAAGGACTTCAGGAGTTTCAAATATCTATCAAGTATTTTAACAGTTTCAAGGCCTTTTAAAGGATTTCAAGGATTTTTTTTAGCAGATTTCCACATTAGATCTGTTCCGCAGTCAATCGCAATGGCTTCAGCCATTGCAAGTTTCTAGTGATTTTTTGTTGTTGTAATTGCCTTGTCACACATATGTGTATTATCATTGACAAAGCATACACATGAGCAGCTATTTTCTGCATAAAACTCGGAGCGCAGAAACCACCACCAGAGGACACTAGTGCAATCTTCTCTTTCCGTAAAGCAGACGGCTACAATGGATGGAACATGTTTGGCTTCTTCAAATTATTGATGTTTTATGAGTTAATCAGTGGGGGGCTTTAGTTTATTTCATTTTATTTTTATTTGTAGATAGATATACAAACAAACATTTTTTGAGCAAATTGCAAATCTAAATGGAGAAAAAGTATTATTCTTTTTTATTCAGGAGGAAAAAAATAATTGTGAACCTAAAGCAATGGTGCAAAACCAGTAACACATGGGTGGTTCTGTGTCCCTTGGTAAAGAGGGATCTGGGGGCCGGTTCAGCCTGTCAGGCATTTCTCTTCTTCTGCCACCCTTAAACTCTGTCAGCATTTATATTCCACTCAGGCAAACAACTCAAGGAGAAAAAAAAAATGTGATGGGCCTGTGGAACAGACCACCTAATAGGCTGTTTTTCATCCATACCAACATATCAACTTTGCCTGCACTGGGTTTGTCATGAATACAATATCTAAGTTCTATTTTTTTTTTTTATGATGTCCAATGTGCTAATCTATTTAAATATTATGTTGTATTATTAGCCATTCAAAAACGTTGAATGTATTGTGAAAGAATGGTAGCATAAGGAGTTATAGGCGGAACTCCTTATGCTACCAGGGAGGGAGGAGTTTTAAATATTTTTGTTTTGAAATTAAAAATGACAATTGTAAAGTTACCAGAAGTTCCTGATTTTAGCGTGGATGGATCTAAAAACAGTTGTCTTTGCTTGGCTTTTTATTCATAAAAGCTTTAAATTCACCTGCAAATAGCATTTTTCCGGTGAGCATCTCTGCCAGAATACAGCCGGCTGCCCACATGTCAATGGCCTTGGTGTAGTTATTGGGCGAAAGCAGCAGGTGGGGAGAGCAGTACCACTTAGTGACCAGGCCCTCAGAGAGATAGCCCTGAAAAAACACAATTTGCACAATGGAAAAATGATTGACACTGGCTGTTCATTCAATTGTGTCTTTGGTCAAGACACTTCACCGACTTTACTTCCACCTCATACTGTGAATGTGGCTTCATAATACTGTTGTTTCTTTGTTTACTTATTAAATGTATTTACTTTTCTATAATGATATAACAATGAGCGACCTAGAATAGCATTGAAGTCGCCATCTTATTCATACAACAACAAAAATAGCATATATTCATAAAATATGTACAAAAAAATAAGCATTTAGGATTAGGATGGGGGTGGTAAGTTAAAGATGTGTGTGGACAGGGAAGTAAGTCTGGCTGTCTCTGCTTAGACTGCTGCGCCACGACCCGGCAATGGATAAATCAGAAGAAAATGGATAGATGGCTGGATGGACGCTAAAGATGCAGTCAGTGATTTTTTCCAGGCGCATTTTTTTAAAATATTGTGGGAAAATGTCCCTAAACCCTAAAAGTAGTCACATTATTGTGTGTTTTCAAATAGTAATGGAATTGACCAGATGCCTGTAGTCTCCGAAAATTAATAACAAATATTTAGGAGCGGACCGATAAAAACAAACCTCCTTCACCCCCTTCCTGTTTGTGCACACCTGAGTTATCGGATTCTTTTCTAAAACCTTAAACGACTGAACAGAGTGACAAACGGGTGTTTGTCACCCACTCTCCCTGTTGTGACAAAGAAAAGAAAATGTTGGATGTTTGGTTTGGTGGAGAGGCGAGGGGAGGGGGGAGTGGTTTCAAGTTGGTACTACGGCTAAGCTAACGAAATCGCTTACTGCGCCTTTAAAGATGATTAATTCTAAATAGCTTGGCTTCACATTGAAATATATGAGAGCTTGACCCGTTTAACCTGATGAAAGATGGTGGAAAAATAAATTAATGAGATAATCTACATAACGTTTATACCTTTATAATTCATGGATTGGCTGTACAAACTTGTCATTTCAGTCATTATTGAACGACATTCGACTTCACACTGATGCAGGTAAAGTCACAGTTTTGGTCATGTTAGATCTTAGTGCCGCGTTCGACACTGTCGACCATGAGATCCTCATGCAGAGACTGGAGGATTGGGTTGGTGTCACTGGCACAGCCCTAGACTGGTTTAGGTCTTACCTGGAGGATAGGAAGTACTTTGTGGAGATTGGAGACTGCGTCTCAGATCATGTGGCCCTGACCTGTGGAGTACCACAGGGGTCGATCCTGGGACCTCTCCTATTTAATCTCTACATGCTGCCGTTAGGTCAGTTAATACAAAGAAACAAAGTGTCCTACCACAATTACGCTGACGACACTCAGATCTATGTCTCACTGACTGCAGGAGAACATGGACCACTGGATTTGCTCCTTCACTGTATCCAACAGATCAGTGACTGGATGCAAAATAATTTCCTCCAGCTAAATGCAGACAAAACCGAAATCATTGTCTTTGGTCCCCAGAAACAAAGAGAGGGCGTCATTTGTCAACTTCAGTCTCTCTCCCTACTTCCTTCAGACAAGGTCAGAAATTTGGGGGTAATACTGGACTCAGACCTAAATTTCAATAGCCACATAAAATCAATAACATCAACAGCTTTTTACCATCTGAAGAACATTGCCAAAGTTAGAAATATAGTGTCCAGGGCAGACTTGGAGATTCTTGTCCATGCATTTGTCTCCAGCAGGCTAGACTACTGCAATGGCCTGCTTACAGGTCTGTCCAAACAGACCTGTAAGCAGCTGCAGTACATCCAAAATGCAGCAGCTAGAGTCCTGACAGGAACCAGGAAGTATGACCATATTAGTCCGGTCCTCAGGTCTCTGCACTGGCTTCCTGTGGCTCAGAGAATAGATTTTAAAACAGCTCTGCTTGTGTACAAGTCTCTCCATGGCCTTGCACCAAAATACATTAGTGACATGTTGGTGTCATATGAACCGGCTCGGACTCTGAGGAGCGCAGGGACTGGCCTCCTGCTGGTGCCCAGAGTGAAAACCAAACATGGGGAGGCTGCGTTTCAGATCCATGCAGCTAAGATCTGGAACAATCTCCCTGAAAATGTGAGGGAGGCGTCTACTCTGTCAATGTTCAAATCCAGGTTAAAGACTGTTCTGTTTGCCTGTGCATACAACTGAAGGATTTTATCTCCATTTCTAATGCACTGTTGTCATTTATTTATTTATTTTTTTTAATTTCTTGTGTAATTTTGAAAGTTTTAATGGTTTTATTCTTTTGTGTGATTTTAATGTTTTAATTGTGTTTTAATCTTTTGTGTGATTTTAATGTTTTAATTGTGTTTTAATCTTTTGTGTGATTTTAATGTTTTAATTGTGATTCTGGTGTTTGTTTTATGTGATGATTTGTGATGTGGACTGTGAAGCGCTTTGTGTTGCCCTGTGTATGAAAGGCGCTCTACAAATAAACTTTGATTGATTGATTGATAATCTACATAACGTTTATACCTTTATAATTCATGGATTGGCTGTACAAACTTGTCATTTCAGTCATTATTGATGCAGGCAGTGAAGATGTTGAACTTGTGTCTGTTTGTAGGTTATGGTTAGACCTGACATGTCCAACATAAATATGATTCTGATCTTTTAGTGTTTCATAAACCTGACAAGTCCCTCATTTATTCAGAGTCAGGACAGCGCATTTCCAAACGAGATCAGAGCTGGAAGAAGACTTTTTTATGTTTTCATCAATTCAACATTCTGCACTCTGGCCAGCATTATATGAAAGCTTCCCTGTGCTAAGGCAGTGAAGCAGAATGGTGGAAAAACATCCCTTTGTTTTTGATGCTATGCAACACATTCTGTCATTAGGTCTTTGAATATTTTCACTGTGTTCTATGTGCAGGTAACACAGGCTTTGACATACACATTTGTAGAGTTCGGCATATTTTCAGATCTATAGCACCATATACAGCAAACGGAAAGCTCTAAAGTTTACATCTTATCAGTGACATAAGCAAGAATCCCCGCTGGGGCCTGAGAATGAGGGTGAGAAAAGTGTGAATTGTGTTGGGTCGTGCAAAAGCCATGACTCAAAAGATTTTCGTCACTTTGAGTGCACACACTGCATCAAACCCAAAATGATCCCCTATGTGCAGAGGTATAAAGTTACAGAGGCATATTGAGTTTCCAGAGGATGTATTTTATTACTTGCTTAGGGCCTCTGCCTTCCACAGAGGGTAGCGAAAGGAAATGGAACAGATAACCCAGAAATTGTGCTTGCAATTTACACAATTAAATTATCAAGTGCAGGAAAAGTGTCTCTATCTATCTACAGTATCTCTATCTATCTATCTGTCTATCTGTCCATCTGTCTGGCTGTCTATCTGTCTGTCTGTCTATCTGTCTGTCCATCCGACAGGCAGTCAGCCTGTCTGTCTATCTATCTGCCCTTTTGCCTATTGTTCCTATAGAAAGACAGGGAGCAGGAGATCCCAGCATGCAGTGCGCACATCAGCCTAAAGAAGAAAGACAATCTGTGCAATAACTTAGATGCAGACTGTTACAATGCAATATCAACAAAAAAGGTCATTAAATATTTGATTTATCAAAGATGATATATAATAAAATGGGGCGACAGTAGCTCAGTTGTTAGAGCATCAGCCTTTGGGCCGGAAGGTTGTGGGTTCAAGCTCACCAAGACCTCATGACACCCACTAATGACTGGAACTCCCATTCTGTTACATTGTTTTTGTGAAATTTACCACAGTAAAAAGGGAATTCTCCAAACTGAACAAACCCTGTCAATCAGATGAGCCTTTCAGACAACAGTTTTTTTCCTATTTATATTGACCAAAATTATTGTAATTATTTTGGGGAGGTTTTTTAAAGTTATTGTTACCGTGAACAGTTTTAGACACGCCCAAAGTTGTGTATTCCATCTTCAAAGTGATTGTCAGTGAAGAGTGAGAGGAACACAAATACTGGAAAGACCTGCCCATTCCCCCCTAATTTCTGATTGGACTAAACTACGTAAAGATCGGACTGACAGAGGAGCCCTCTCTCAATTTGGTCTTACTCAGGGGTCTCCAACCAGCCCTTTCCAATTAGCTCACCAAAGTAGCTCTGTGTGGGAAAAAATTGGAGATCCCTGGTCTAATTACTCTCCTCAGCAAATCTAACTTGTTGTGGTTATGTTAAGGGTATAGACAATTGTTTATTTACATTATAGTACTTGGCCAAGTGGTCAGTATATGTTTTAAGTTAATGAATAATCATAATTGCATTGTAGTATCGATTCAATGTATGCAATGCAGTGTAGCAGACCAAGTATTTGCTTTGTCCTTTCATGGAGACCTCCAATCAGCAGCTGCCACAGTGCCATGTAGCTTGGCCTTCAGATAGACACAAAACAAGGGAAAAGTACTGGCTTCTGCACATTGATAGAATGATGAGTTTAACTTTAACAAAAGTTGCTTAAAAGTGTTATGAAATCTCACAGCACATTGACAGCTGTAGCCAACCGTGCAGAGTGAAACGTGTATAAATAAACAGTGGGAGCGCAAAAGAGAAAGAGAATGTGTAAACAGGTGAAAGGCACTCAGGAGGTGCCAGGGGACAGAGGAGGAGCAGTTTTGCAGCCACCGGTGACGTCAAAGAAGGAGAGTTTTGGAGAGGAGTACACAAACGCTGTATTTACAAAGCACTAGTCTTGATTGAGCAAGACTCATGTAAACATGCGCACCTGACATTTGAAGACCCAGGACATGTTGGAGGGTCTCTGTCTCTCTGCTGCCTCAGCATTCTCACAGATAGATGTGGATGGATAGGAAAGTCTGGGTATCTCTGCTCAGACTATACTGCCCTGTCACCCAGCATTGCATAAAGCAGAAGAAAATGGGATGGGTTTCTAATCTGGAGAAGGGCCTATTTCATTCAGTCTTTACATATTGTTACATATTGTTTGAAAAGTGAAATATGTTTACATTGCCTTCAACCAGTGTCCGATTTAAGAATGTGAGACTTCATACTAAAAAGGCTGCATCAAATATTTGCATGAAGGAGGAAGCTTGGACATCTCTTTGCTCTCAGCGTCAGTATCCGCAATATCATCTGCCTGTAAACAGACAGGAGCAGTGCAGGGGAGAGAAGAGGGTCTGCTGAGGACACTGTGAATGTGAATCCAGGCTCAAAGTCAATGTTGTGTCCAATGTGACCTAAATGTAATGCAATAATGATGATTTGTGCAACTGGAGTGCACTGGCTTGAGAGATAAAGCTCTACCAAGTAACTTACCATCTAAAACGTTGGTTGGTTTACGTATTACAACACAAAAAAAACGTACATCCTACTTTGAGCAGAGATCACAGTAGAACCTATTGTAAGTAGTGCTCACAGGGCTCAAGTGTTCTCGAAATATATTGTTATATATCCATCCATCCATCCATTTTCTTCCCCTTAATCCATTTCTGGGTCAGGGGGGGTGGCCGTCAAAGCTGCACCCAGTTCACAGAGCACTAGCCGCTCACTGATCCTGCAGGTGGTGGTAGAGTAAACGCTGACATCTGCTTTTGTGTCACTTCTAAATGGTCCACAATCTGACTTACACACATGGTGCTCCAGCAGCAACACCACCACCACCACCACTGTTGCACTAATATACTGGACTGACAGGTTCAGCCGGGGCTTCATAAAAGTAATGCAATGCAGTATTTATATATACAGTATATAGGCCCACTTTTAAGTGAACATAAAACATTGCCATTATACAGCTAATATTGTATATATATATATATATATATATATATATATATATATATATATATATATATATATAAATATGTGTGTGTGTGTGCATAAATACCTCTTCAGAAAAACCTTTTATGTTCTTTTCTCACATTTCTCTCTGCTTGTTTCATAGCTCAACATTTTCACCTTTTTTCTGATTTGTTCTGGCCCCCTCCTGAGCCTCGCCTGTCTCAGTGTCCAGCTGATCCCAGTCTGAGCACAGATCGTCTTTCACCTGCGCTTTTCACAGCAGCGCACGCACGCGCGCGCGCCCACACACACGACCGCACACACACACACGCACGCACGCACACACGCACACAGACACACACACAAGCACATCTTCACACATACGCATGCACGCACCACGATGACTATACTCCATGTGGTCAAATGCACAATGACGGTGCACTGATAAATACCTATTCTATCTAGTTGTATTGAATTACAAAATGCATACAGTAATTACACCTGGACAAAATTGCAATGTTCACGAGGACTAAATCTCAGAGGATCTGGATGGAGGAGCTGTACAGTGCTGTATAAACTGGTCACTAAACAATTTGGAGTTTGTTTGTGCTTGTGTGAATTGTGTGGATTCTGTCTGGAGTCAGCACTGTTTCGCAGACACAGATCATGAGGGTAAGAAAAAAACTGCATGTATTAATGTATGGACTGAATTATTAAAACAGTATGATTATTACTGTTATCTTGGTTTTTGTTTGAAACCTGGGCTGCTGTGCTGAAAGGGATGGGGCGGCAGGGGGTTTTGTGAGTGCCCATGGTGTTGAGTTTTGACCATTTCAGACATGGGGGCCGCTCTCGTTCACAAACAAGACCACGTTGACACTCAAGTTTGTTATGATGATGTTATGAAATGACCATAATATTTGCCGAGCCCTCCTCAAAGGCCCCTGCCAGCTAAACCCGAACTGGACTGATCAACTTAAATTTAACTCACTGGAACAGCCTTTAACTCAATCTTAAACGCCAGGGACATACAGCAATATAAATAAAATCAATTAAAAATATTGCTCTTTATTGTCCCTGTAGGGAAATTTGTCCTCTGCATTTGACCCATCCTCATGCCACTTATGTCAGGAGCAGTGCAGCCATAGTACAGTGCCCAGGAACCCATCTCCAGATGTTGATGCTCGGCTTGGTCAAGACTACCAGAGCAGGAAGATTTTTTAGCTATTGTGCATATTTTTAGTTGGAGGGGAAACCGGAGCACCCGGAGGACACCTACTCAGACACAGGGAGAACATGCAAACTCCACCCAGAAAGGCCCTGTTCTGAATGAGATTTGAACCCAAGACCTTCTTGCTGAGAGGCGAGAGTGCTTTTCACTCAGCCACCATGCCGCCCAAAAAACAAACACAAAATTTAGCACAGCCCGTAATACAGCTGCACTAAAGCAGAGGAGCCATATTTAACACAGGACACAGGACAGTGGCACAGAACAGGAGGTTCTTGTGAAAAGCTCGGGTCAGAAACATCAGGGATGCAGAGGTGTAATCAGAGAGTTATAAAGAGGCTCTTCTGAAATTACAGTTCCAAGAGCCTATTCTAGTCTGTGCAGTCAGATAGGCTTGCATTGCATAGCAGGGAATGTATATTTATTATAAAAACACATTTGTCTATCCAGTATCAAGCACACTCTGTTCCTTTTACTGAATAGATTTTAGATTACATTTTTGGATAGATTTGGTTCATCCACCCCTTTTTCAAACCATGTACTTGTTATTTGTCTATTATATTTATACGTGAAGTTGTGTGTTGTGCAGGTTTGAAATAGTTAATCTTTAAAAAAATCTTTTCTGAAAAACAAATGTGTGATGAAATTATCTTGAAATCTGATATGGTAAAAACAGTCCTGTGTCACATGACTTTTATCATTGCAATATCTAACTTATTTGTCTGCTTCTGATTACGTTTTCATAATCCCACATTTCTTTAAAAAAACTGCATCTGCTGAAACTTGATGAAGCGTACCTTGTGGCAGTAATGTGGGTCCACGATCCTTGCTAGACCAAAGTCTCCGATCTTGAGCAGCAGTTGCTCAGTGTTGATGAAGATGTTGGCAGGTTTCAGGTCTCGGTGCAGAACGTTTGCAGAGTGGATGAACTTTAGGCCTCTCAGCAGCTGGTAGAACAGCAGAGTCGCATGACCTGGTCAACCACAGCAAACATGCAATAAGACAGTGACAACCTTAACCCAATGAATTATACAGTTTTCCATATTCTCTTTGTTACGGGCCAGGCCCTTAGTGTCCAGGAGAGGGTGCTGTATGTGTTGGCCTGCCTTCTCTGCCGCCTCCTCCTCTGTGCAGGTACACCCCTGCACCATGCCATGCCTCCTCATCACTGGACCTTCTTCAGCTGGGAGCTGAGAGCGGCTCACTCTCTCCGGCCTTGCTGTCTTGTTTGTTCCTCCCCTGGTGCTCTTCCTTTGTTTGCACATTTGAGCTTGGTTTTTGTTTTACGCACCACATTCACTGCACACCACACACAGGCTTCCATTACACCCCCACACCTGCACCACACTACTGATTAACACATGCTCACATCCCATACTGTGGTTTTTGTTCATGTTATCCGTTTTTTGTTATTATTAAATATACTTTGTGCACTTTTTACCCCCGTCTCGTCTCCCTATTTGTTGTGGACCTGAGCCGGCCGTAACAAGTTGGGGGCTCGTCCGGGATTGGAACCCGGGACCTCTCGCACCCGAAGCGAGAATCATACCCCTAGACCACCATATACGGTGTTGAAAAGATTGTCTGAGCTGAACTACACTGTTTCTACTCCTGAGAGACGGTCGAAAACGCAATTGTGTCACGTTAATTTGTTGAAGCCATACATTGCCTGTGACAGGACGGAGTTTCTTGGGGGACGTGGCCAGTGTTTGTTTGTTTCCACCCCTCCTCCACAGTCAGTTTTACAGCTAAATGAGGAGGAGCTACCAGACCCGGATGACGCAGTGGTGACTGGTCGTCTTAAAAATACAGAGTTTTTGGAAAACCTGGAAGAGTCTCTTTTACATTTAGAGTGCTCTGAGCGGTTACAACTAGTACAAGTCATAGAGGGTTTTAGGTGCTTGTTCCGTGATGCACCTTCGCGAACGGATGTGTTAAAGCATGACATCGATGTTGAGGATGCTAAACCCATTAGGCAGCGTTTCTACCGTGTACATCCTGAGAAGCAAAGTTTGCTGGATAGGGAGGTGCAGAGTATGTTGGATAATGATATTGCTTCCCCTTCTGATTCTAGCTGGGCTTCTCCCTGTCTGTTGGTGCCAAAGGCTGATAAAACGCCACGGTTTTGTAGTGACTTCCGGAAGGTCAATGCTGTGACTAGGCCTGACTCCTTTCCGCTGCCTCGTATGGAGGACTGCGTGGACCAGGTGGGGGGGGGCGAGCTTCGTTACTAAACTAGACTTGCTAAAAGGGTATCGGCAAGTTCCACTGACCAGGAGGGCAAGGCAGATCTCCTTTTTTATTACACCAAATGGCTTGTATTCATATAACGTTATGCCTTTTGGCCTCAGGAATGCGCCTGCAACATTCCAGCGCTTGATGAACTTGGTGGTTCGGGGTCTGGAGGGTTGTGCGGTTTACCTGGATGACCTGGTTATATACGCTAATGGCTGGGAAGACCATCTCTGTCGTCTGAAGGCTGTATTTGAACGGCTGGCCCATGCCAAGCTGACGGTGAACCTGGCTAAGTGCGAGTTTGCCAAGGCAACAGTTGTGTACTTGGGTCGTGTGGTGGGCCAGGGCAGTGTCAGACCTGTGCGCGTTAAAGTTCGTGCAATTGATGATTTTCCGACACCTACTACAAAGAAAGAGCTGATGAGGTTCTTGGGTATGGTGGGGTACTATCGTTGTTTTTGTGAGAATTTCTCGTCTGTCGTGGCTCCCTTGACAGACCTGTTAAGGGGTTCTGTGAAGTTTATTTGGTCGGAGCAGGGTCAGCGGGCTTTTGAGAAGGTTAAAGCCCTCGTGTCAAGTGCGCCAGTGCTAGCTGCGCCCAGGTGGGATCGGCAGTTTCAGCTTGAAGTTGACGCTAGCCTTGTCGGAGCAGGAGCGGTTTTGTTGCAGGCAGACGAGATGGGAATCAGGAGACCAGTCTGTTTTTTTTCTAGAAAGTTCAACAGACACCAGGTGCACTACTCTGTGATCGAGAAGGAGACGTTGGCCCTCGTGTGGGCCTTGCTGTTCTTTGAGGTCTATGTGGGTTCTGGACCCCTAACTGTGTTTACAGATCACAACCCGCTGACCTTCCTGAGCAGTCTGCAGTCACCAAACCAGAGGTTGATGCGCTGGGCGCTGCTCCTCCAGTCATACAGCCTGGACATTCAACACATCCGGGGCCGGGACAACATGGTGGCAGACGCGCTCTCGCGTGCCCATTAGGTGTGACAACAGGGATGCTTCAGCCCACCGTGCAAGAGACACTGGGACGGCACGGTGGAGAGCCCAGGTCCCGGGGCCGACTGTGTTCTGGAGGTACATTGCTTCACGCCACGTCTACAGTTAACGTTTCTCCCAAAATTTGGGTTGCACAGTTACTCGATGGATGGACCGTCCTGTGAGCTACCAAGAGTACGTTTTTAGTTTACTCTGGGGCTTGTGAAGGGCCCGGTTGGGACCCTTTCTTGTAGGGAGGGGGTGTTACGGGCCAGGCCCTTAGTGTCCAGGAGAGGGTGCTGTATGTGTTGGCCTGCCTTCTGCCGCCTCCTCCTCTGTGCAGGTACACCCCTGCACCATGCCACGCCTCCTCATCACTGGACCTTCTTCAGCTGGGAGCTGAGAGCGGCTCACTCTCTCCGACCTTGCTGTCTTGTTTGGTCCTCCCCTGGTGCTCTTCCTTTGTTTGCACATTTGAGCTTGGTTTTTGTTTTACGCACCACATTCACTGCACACCACACACAGGCTTCCATTACACCCCCACACCTGCACCACACTACTGATTAACACATGCTCACATCCCATACTGTGGTTTTTGTTCATGTTATCCGTTTTTTGTTATTATTAAATATACTTTGTGCACTTTTTACCCCCGTCTGGTCTCCCTATTTGTTGTGGCCCTGAGCCGGCCGTAACATCTTCATTAAAAAAAAAAAGGAAGAAATCCTAAAAAAACAGAACTTTCTTTCAGTGAGAGGAATTGTGTCAGTGACAAAATTATGTTTCCACCTGTGCCACCCCCTAAAAATAAATATATTTCGGATTTGACAAACCTTTTTCACTATAATAATATTCAATTAAATATAAAAAGGAAATAAAACATAAACATGTGCAGTATATATTTCTGTATAATTATTAGGGCTATTGATTACTGTAATTTGATTTCATGTACTACAATTTAAATTTAAATTAAAATATATGTAACAAATTGGCTGGAGACTTCAGTAGGTTCGACATTATTCAGGGATAGGCCAAACTTTCAGGTCACTTGTTTAATCTTTATTTTTTAAGAATTGAATTGTGATTCTATGCTTATGTTGACTGCAGCCCATGATAAGGTTTTGAATTCTAAATAATTGTCCCTTGGGGCTGGTCTTGGAGTGGCCCTTTAAACAGTGCAACAAATCACAGACATCCTGAGACATCCTGCCCACCTGTGGGTAGAGGCCCCTGGTCCAGGAGCCGGGCCAGGTCGGTCTCCATACACTCCTGGATGATGTAAATGGCGCTGAGCTGCCGGGGGTCCTGGGGCAGGGGGCGTCCGTGTGGAGCCAGGACCTCGTGCACTCTCACCACATTCTCATGGTGCAGCCTCCGTGTTATCTTCACCTCCCTCAGAGCATGTTTCAACGACACAGCATCGCGCATCAGCAGCTTCTTTATGGCTACTTTCTGGCCGGTCCTCTGGTCATGTGCCGACAGGACCAGGCCGGTGACCCCAGAGCCCAGTGGACAGAGGTCAGTGAAGTTACAGCTGAGATCGAATCCATGCAGGAATAAGGGGCTGTCTTGTCTTGCCATATCGGGAAAATGTTAATTGTTTGGAATACAACAAGGAATCAAAGCTGTATCCAGGGACTTTGAATATCAGATAAAGCAGATAGATAAAAAAAATAAAGTCCAATTGGAGATAGATTTCAATAATAAGAGACCCAGAATTATTTACAAGCAAACATTGCAAATCTACTTTCTAATATTAGATAAGAAAAGATACTCCTTTAGTGTCTACCATAGGAGAATATAAATCTAAATAAAAAAACAGAAGCGATGTTGTTCTGCAGATTCTTCCTAATATTTGTATCCATAATCATCCTTGTATCATCCCGTATTTGGTTGGCAGGGCTGTCTGTCCCATGATGCTTGGTTCTATAAGGTCAGGAGAGGAAAGGGGGGTGAGGTCAGGTTAATTGAATTTCTTGATTGGCTCCTCCTCTTCTTCCATGGTACCACTGCACTCAGTCAGACGAAAAGGTTCATAATGGCCGAAAGCTTGAATGAACAGTTTATGCGAGAGCGTGTGCCCATAATATGTGTTAAATCCGGTCGTAATCTGCAGCCCGGTGCCTTCTGGTGAGTGCGGAGCTTTTAGCATCAGGGGAAGGATGACAACTGTGATTGGCTGTGCTTCTCAAAACATCTGCTCCCGCTGCTACAGCTGCTGAGGAGAGAGGAGACAAAAGTGCAGCAGAAATGTCAAATGTGTTTCATGAAAGGTGGATCAATACAGTTATTCCTGTACTGTATCGATGCAGTCCCCTATAATGTAAGAAATATATTACAAATGAAAACAATATACTAGCTAAACCCAATTATGGATTAGGAGTAAAGTCAGACAAGAAAAGGAGCAATATGTTCCCTACACCAGTTCGAAGTAGAATAAATTGGCACTCACCATATTATAGAGATGTAATAGACCCTTTCTCAATTGGAGAGCTACTTTTATGCAACCGAAGAGGCAGAGAGCTACTCCCTTTTGTGGTCGAATAAATGTCTATATCATAACTACCACAAAACATGGAGAACACAGATGTAAAATACACCATAATACTGTATAACCTACATTTATTCTTAAAATACATAAGCAATGACCGGAAATATAATCATTCAGAATAATGTGTTAATCTTTAAGTCCTTTGGGGAGCTACCTGAAAGAGGCTGGCGAGCTACTGGTTGGAGAGCCAATTGTTATAGACTTTTCTGAGGTCTGTATGACCTACCTCTTTTTGGGGAATCTCTCAATCTCACTCTGCCAATCAGCTCTCAACTCAAAGTGTCAAATATGGACTCAAAGGGCCGTTTCTTACAAGTTTTCAAACGATAACACCTTTAAAAACAAACATGCAATATTGTAATCCCAATTTTGCCATAAAAATGTGTAACACCGCATTGCAATTTTATCTCCAGGCAGGTACAGGGCGTCTTTGTTCTGACGGTTAGATTTCTAAAAATTGCTATCATATTTTTAAACTTAATACAATATGGTGATAGACATTTTTTTATAAGAAAAGTGTTTTGTTGCAGAATACCTCCAAAAGAAAAAAATACAGCTTAAATCGTTTATTATTTGTCTACTATTTAACCAGATCTCCATTACATAACATGAAACGACTATGTTCTAGAGTGAGATTCTGCCTAATGGGGATAATCACGTCGTCTGATCTGCTAAGCTGGTGTCCTCACAATGAGCATGCTTCAATGTTGTATACTGTATATACAATGATTTTTATGAATGAAGTTGAGGGAAAAGCATATGGAAAAAGTTATTACAGTATTGACCTCTGTCTCTGGAATCCCGGGACACAAGAACGCAAACAACCCACAAATCAATAAGAGAAAATTCTTCACTGTCGGGCGCCCGGGGGGAGATAGGATGTTTTCTACCCCCCTGATCTTTCTTCATTCCTTCTCCACAGACAATGTAATAAACTTGACTTTATCTGCAGCCTCAGTATTCAGTCTGGATACAGAGTTTAGCAGAGGACTGAGAGGAGGACTGAGGAGGAGGAAGAGCAGTAGTGGTGGGAGGTGCTGCAGGGGTAACTTTATAAATAATGCATAACAGCTGAATATAGCGTTTTGGTGTTCTTCTCTATACACTCTTTTTTGCATAGAAATGAACAAGTGTGCATATCATGAGCATTTAAAACGTTATGTTATGTTTTGTCAATGAGAAATCAGAAAGTCAAGGCAATTTTTGTCATTTATTAGCTATACCTAAAACAGCTATACTAACCAGAACGATGTGATTGATTGGCAATGTTCATAATAATGTTGATGATTACTGGAGTTTTTATAAACAGCCCCAGAGTGGTTTTAAGGTTGTAGGACACGGTTGGGTTTACCAGATTTTAACTGTAGCCTATTATCAGAATTTAATTTCAATAGGCTCAAGTAATCAAACATAATGCTTTTGTTTAAAGTGCAACACATAAACGCAGCGAATGATTGAAATAATTGAATCGTATTAGCTAATCTAGTTTATAAGATATTGGCTATAATTATTTATCCCGAAAACGCTTCGCCCTTTCTCCCAAACTGGCACAGCGCTATAGTGTCTTTGTGTGTTCGCCAACTCAACGCCCCGCTCTGACAGAACAAAAACATGAAGCTGAAGTGATTCTACGAGCTCCAAAGATTCAAACATAGAGTTGTCGATCCCGAAGTGTTCACCAATCCACACAAAAAAAAAAAAAAACAAGTGAGGCAAAGATGCGCAAAGATAACGTCAAGCTTATATACTCACCGGAGCTTCGTGCGCGCCCGTCTCGGATCCTGACATAGAGAGAGATGGAAGATGGAAGCGATAAGAAGAAAGACCCGAGACCCAAGAAGCTCCTGTCTCTTGTAATTCGAGGGAGTACGGACTCAGCACGGGAGCGATCTGCGGAGACGAGCCGGAGGAGAGGGGACGGCTGCTTGTTGCGGGCGGAGCGCAGTGGGAGGAGAGGAGGGAGCGCCTGGATGTGGTGCACTCTCCCCAGCATCAGCAGCAGCAGTGGTGGAGGCTGTAAGACCTGACACATAAACATACTGCAGTAGTCACGCTCGCACCCCCCCGCCCATTCACTTTGAAAAGCTCCATCTCGCTCAATGGGAACTTGCAAGGACAGCCAGTCTAAATTATACACGCTGTTTCACAAATACATATAGGATAAACAAAGTAGCATGGCGCATTTAGAGCATCAGCCAAAAACAAAGGGTCTTGGGATAAGATTAAAATGGAGAGATCCAGTGTGGAAATGTCAGTGTTGCATCACAAGTTACAAGCTGATTGGCATAATAAGAAAGAATAAAAATGACGTCTTTCATACATTATTTGAAGAGCAAAAACACAATATCAAGGGAACATGGAGAGTGATTAATAATGTTCTTGGAAGGAGAGAAAATATGGCTGCTATCCAAACCTATACCCCATTCATGACAACTCCAGACTCGAAACTGCAGAACTGAATTATTGTAGATGGATTTAACCATTATTTTGTCAACATATAGGTAATAACTCGGCAAATAATATTGTACATAAACAGAAATCACATTTGATCTTAATCCTACAAATGAAACAGAGATTGTGAAAGTGGTGAACAAATTTAAATAAAAAATGTAGATTCCTCAGACATAGTCATAAATCTAATCGAATGAAAATAGCAAGGATCTTTCCAATGCAGAAACAAGGGGATGTCCAATTATTAACTGAAATTAATTAATTGAACTGTAGTTTTCGAAATGTGTACATCTTCAATACCTTTCTAGAACAATGCTATCTCCTAAATGACCATATGCTTTTAGAAATAAACGCTCCACCTCAACATTCAGTTACAGAATAGTAGGAATGAAAGGCACACAACACAAGATAAATATAGCCCAACCCCATACTTGATAAAGCTACTGAATTGGAATCTCCACTTGCACCTGTGACTCCATGATTGTTGTTCGAGGCTGCAGGATGAGACCACTCTTTGTAGGTCGGATGGTTTGAAAGCTCTGGAACAGGGTTGATCTGCACCTTTACAAGTTGGTTAATAAAAGAAGGGGGCTGTGACTGTAAGGGGTTTAAAAACAATTATAGACAAAAACACAATGTAAAGATAAACATCAAACAGATGTAGCAGAAAATGAGATTATATAAAGTAACATAATAATACAATGCTTTCCTCTATAGCTTCTGCAGTTAAAATGGCATCAATTTCTCATATTAATTCATTTTACATCACATTTCACGTCAACAGTAATGTGTGTGCTGCACAGAGATCTTTACTGTCAAAATAATTTATTGGAATTTTCACTCAAATCCTCTCAAAAGCAACACATTTCAAAAGTAATAACATTCCAAACATATAATTTTCAGCATATAAGTTCAGCTGATTATGTCTATGTAAATTAACCAAAAAATCACATCACAATAAAATACCACAGCTGGTTTTAATACCTTTACAAGTCAGTTACCACAATGGGGATGAGCAGCCTTGCTGCGGTAACCCCTAGTGCTACCAACCGGTAGTTTCTAGTTATAGGAGAGTCTAATATATAAATTAAAACATAAAGTAAAACCATTCGTATTACATGGGTGCCCCCTCATAGGCTCCCATGCTTTATACTCAATGGGTACCTCCATCATGTGCCTCTCTTGGCTTTTTATGACGCTTCACATGGCATCATTAATTCACACATACATGGAGTCAATAAACTGCCACTGTAGCCACAGCTGCCCTGGGGCACACTTACAGAAGTGAGGCAACCAGTATGTGCCATCGGCCTCTCCAACCAATCATTCACGCACACACTAGACTCATTCTAGGCGATGGATGAAGTGTCTTGGGACACAACGGCACGTGCCGCACTTGACAGCCACAGCCACCCCACCATGGCACCTGGCGTGGCCTGCCCAGCTTAGCAGCTGAGGTCTGAGAGGGTCAAAACCAGGTGGCATCATGCAATTATTAAAGACCTCATCCATTCAATTTGGGTTGTCCCATCCACAGTTTTTCATGTTGAGAAACCGCCACTTTACTCATCGAGCACAAACGCTCAGCCCAAAATCAGTTTTCTATTAGCGAGCGTCCTCTTGTGGATAGCAGGAGTAGTGCAATTTATAGACAAAGCTGCGAGGCAGAACCATGGATCTATAATAATAACCAATCCCTTTGATACGATAGTTTATGTGATTTATATGATTTATATAAAAAGAGAACTTCCGAAGTTTTATTTGGATGATTCTTTCTGACCATTTGACACAAACTATGCATTTTTGCCACTTCTGATTCTGAACACGTTGTAGACTCAAAAGCGCTGTTTGTAAAGATGCCGTAGGAGGCAGTGTTGAGCTGATCTCGTCTCTCAAAACAGAGTCTGTGGTTGAACACCTTTTATTTCCATATTAGGCCTGAGATCTATGCCTATTACATCTATTAGAACAAAGGTCATCTAACTACTGGTCAGGAACTTCAGAATAAAATATCACTCCGCATATTGAAGATCAAAGAAAAACTGGTAAATAAAGAAACCAGATGTATAAACTAATCTAAACTAAAATATGATAACAGTTGATTAATACAGGACAGCCAACTTCTCTAAAAACAGTTAGAGAAGTTGGACTAACAAAAAGTTATTCATAGTGATAACAGTCATTTGCATAAAAATAACTGTTTTAAAAAGCATCATACAAGTAGTATATAAAACTACTGCATGACTTTGTTCAAAGGGAGTCGTGTCTGTGTAGATACTTGTGTATATGGTGCAAAAACGTGTTCATGAAATGTTTTAGGGATTTGCTTCATTTTAATTTAGGGCTAGGCAAACAAAAAGGGTCAAACTTAAACCTAACCCTTTCGATAGTTGATTTTTGGTTTTTAAATCTTGTCTGCATGGGAATGTTCTTGGTGTTGACTAATGACCCCCCAAAAAACAACGTAAATTATCATGTGATATGTTGACGTGTCACAATTATCAGAATTCAGTTCACTCTACATTTGTAGTTAATGCAGTAAGAGAGGTTTCAGAAGTATAAGATAGTAGATTATTAATGAACCATAAAGGACTGGTTATCCTAACACATAGTTTTAAGTCAAGGAGGCCCATTCCTTATCAGCGGTGAGCCAGGAGGCAAACGTATCCACCTCATTCAAAACTCTGAGATGATAAAACTGGAATTTAGGAGTAAAAGCCGATAATAAAGTGAATCCTTTTCATATCAAGTGTGTTTTATATCAAGTTTTTATTGTCCTGGACTTATGGACCCAGGATGTTGTTTAAATATTGTTACAGAAGAAAGTGGGTGATTAAAATAAGAACTAACTAAAATAGAACTAATATGTCAACAGTTTAGGGAAGCCAGGATACTGTGTCAAAGCATTTCTGCTACTTTAACTCCTGAAGGATTAATACTTAGCATTTGTTGTTAAAAAAAGCAGTGAATGTCAGTTGTACAGTGTTCTTATCGGACAGTTACGCAAGTCCAAGTTGTTTTGTGATAAGCACGCGCATGAGGGAAGCATGTGTTCGTACACTTGTGCGTCAAAAACACAAATACAGACATTATTTCTTCATTTTATTACAACTGACCATATGTTTTGAATGCATTACCAAGCATATATATATATATAAAGGTTGTAAGATATCTAATTCTTCATTGGTAATCAAAGAAAAATAAAACTTTAGATGACAATAATATTGAAAGAAAAAATGTATCAAGTGCAGAAAATATAAGGCATCATACTTCTTGGGATTCTCTGAAGGCAACAACAACAGTGCAGTATTGTGTGTAACATGTTCATAAGAGCCATGTTGTAAGATACTCTGATAGAATTACACATATCCTGAAATTGTATTTCCATGAGCTTGAATTACATGAAGAGGAAGTCTGTCCTTTAGCCATACATAGCCTCATATCCATTTCTCCTGTTATTGGATCTGCAGGTGATCACACAAACACTCAGCATTCCAAAGAACTGCAACGACAAACAAACAATGATCATTTATTGCTCAAACTATGTTCATGTTAGAAGTCTTGTCGTGGATACTGAGCTTGGACCAAGTACTAAGTCTGGCCAATACCTGATTGAAGCAGGCTAACCAGCCTACATTGTAATCTGCTCAAATCAATATTGAAAAAAAAACATGATGTGAGAACACAATCTTAGTTTTTAATGCTCTAAACGGTGATAGAATTAATCGTTGTTAAGTTAGAACAGACAAAAAAGGGATGAAACAAGTCATTCCTTTTATATCTAAATAAAAACAGACAATATTTAATGTAAGTAAAACTTGGCATTTCAGCCAAAACATAGTCTTTTTTATTTGTTTTTATTTTACTGTTGTTGCAAAATGGAGTTAAAAGGGTTTGCTCTGCAATGTCACATTGGCATAAATACAAACACTGTGGTTCTGAATCTTATTATGGAGAGTTTTGAAAAGGGAGAAATGGATGGTGACCATATGTTGTGGTCAGAATCAGCAGAATTACCTTGATGATGGCAAATCCCAGGATGACCAGCATGGCATAACTCAAGGACTCATGGAGGAAGTTTGTGAGTTTCACCTGGCAGCCCTGAAAGTGGAGTAGAGCACATACATTTCACATCATCAGCATTCACACAGCTGTTACACCTGTACAAACTTAAGGCAAACCCTTTCTGTGCTTTCTTTGTTTTTAGAGGTTTTTACTTGTTGTGGTTTATGTCACTATAGATGACCAGGGACCTCCATTATAAAAAAACATGCATAGAAAACTTCCATAAATGTCACTTCTCATTTTTCATAGCAAAGATCACAAACTTATGAAGACCAGTTGAGGTTTGCACAAACAGGCACTGGGTTCTAGACATTAATCCATTTGTTTATGCCCCAAATACACATAACAGAGTGGCTCCCAGCTGAATTGTATCTAGTCAACCCACAATATAGTTTAGAGATGTTCTGGTATCATCATGAATCCACAAACCTGGGTGTTGAGCAGGTCTGGCTGATCCAGTCTCCCTGTGCACGAGGAGGTGTTGAGCTTACAGCAGGACAGAGGAACCGTGCTGTTTCTGGAGAACCAGGTGGTGTTGGTCCAACTGGTGTAATTCTGCACACCACAGCACTGCAGCTGCTCAGGCACAAGGCAGACACACAAGTGAAATTAAAACATCATTACTATCATGTGTACACGCCATTTACACACATTTGAGACTTCTTATTCAACAGGACAGGTCAGAACTATTTTGTGGAAAAGTGTGTGTTTTACATCATCTAATAAGAAAAATATGTTTAAAAAATGTAAACGCTACAGGGTTAGATTGAATATTTGCTTTACTTAGTATTTGGTATTACTTTAGGTCACTCAGGTCCATGTTTCATTCATTCATCACACCTAAAAGGAGGAACTGGCAATAATCAGCCACGTAACTTCTTCCTCCCTCTACAGTACAAAAAAAAAGCAAAATATTCCAACTATTGGTAAGAAAGTGTTGATTATTATTGAAGCCAATATATTTATTTACAATTTTTTTATCTATATTTTCTATAGAGCTGGACAATTTTAAATCTATGTATTTTTGAACCAATACTAATATTTCCCAATAAGACACTGAGGATAAGGTTAACAATAGAATGTATCACTACGCAATATTCATTATTTGTATATAATATATAACTGCAATTTTTATCTAATTCTCTTCAATTTTTATTGCCAGAAACAAGAAATCACGATGTTATTTCCTCACTCCATCAATATACAGACAATTGTAAAGATCCCATACCTGAGTCTGAAGGTAATCCACTGTCTTAGAGTCCGCATTCTCTCCATCGTACTTTGAAAAAATCTCAGCCATGCTATTGTTCAGATTTGGGTTTATCTATAAAATAAAAGAACATTAGACATCCGTAGTACATATGTAGAAGAATAAGAACACACAAGAACAATCTTACATTTTACTCATACTCAGTCCAAACTATTCTAAGTGATTCACAACATGCCCCGTGTTGTCCTGTGATTTAATAAGTCAGAATTTAGTTACAATTCCTCAGGATTTACAGAAGAATAATAAAATTTTAGCCACATAAAACGTGTCAGACTTTTACATTTGCCCCGGATTACGTTTGTTTTGATGATTTGGTCACATTTGAGATCATGAGAGGACACCCAGACCATAATCTGTTTAACTTGATCTGAGAAACGATCTGACATTATGAAAAATGCTTCCTCCATGAGCGCCTTACAAAACAACAAGCGTCCCAGATACTGATGACAAGGAGTTTTTTCTCTAAAGCATTTATAGTTGTTCATATCAGAACTTTAAGACTTATTTTTCTGACAACTTTTTACTTTTACTCCTAAACCAAATACCTGAACTTGTACATTTTAAGATGACAAGTTTCTTTATATGTTGTGTCGCCATCTGCAAACAGGTTTGATGTGATTAGCCGCGCCTCTAAGTGAATCAATTTGTTGCGATTGGCCGCGCTTCAAAGTTCAGTCCACTTGCCAAAGTTCTGCATGTTTTTTTCATTGTCATATTCTGTGCCAGTGTGAAACATTTCTACAACAGTATAATATTGTTTAAAGATGCAGTAAGCGATTTCGTTAGCTTAGCCGTAGCACCAACCCAAAACCACTCCCCCCTCCCCTCGCCTCTTCACCAAACCAAACATCCAGCATTTTCTTTACTTTGTCACAACAGGGAGAGCGGGAGGCAAACGTGAAATTGGCCTTTTCTGTTCAGCCCTTTTAAGTTTTAGAAAATCCAATAACTCAGTTGCGTGCACTTGCGAGAAACAGGAAGAGGATGAAGGGGGTAAACGCATTCCATTGGTTTATTTTTATAGGTCCGCTCCGAAATGTTTGTTATTAATTTTTGGAGACAATAGGCATGAATTCCATTACTATTTGAAAACACATAATAACATGACTACTTTTAGGGTTTAGGGACGTTGAGGTTATGAAATTCAATGTTGCACCTCTTGTTTGAAAATAATTATTCTATAATGTACTGTATAATCTTGGTGCTTTCTCACTTTTATAAAACACTTTGAGTTGCCTATGTATGTATTCTGCTGTAAAAGTAAACTTCATAAACTATACATTTAAATTGTACTTCTCAAACCTAACCCTTTGCATCTTGAACTCACAAATGTATAATCTATAAACTGATCTCACTTGGAGCAGCCAAACTGTTTACATCATCACATCCACACATCCCATAATTATCACAGCTCACAAGATACAGTGGAGAATCAGGATGCACTCACCATACCACGGAAGATAAAGGTGCATACTAACGCTGCCACTTCAGCTGCAAAGATCACCATGATGATCAGGAAGAACTGAAAGAAAAACACATGTGTGCATTTGTCATAAAGGGTAAAGCTGTAAAGCTCTCAACATTCAGGAATATAGCATCTATTACCATTGCCTATTGGAGGGGAAAAGATATAGCTAATGTAGCAATATGTAAGATTTTCATGTCCCAAATATGTCAAAAGGCATGAATAAATCCTGCTCTTTTCGAATACTTCTTTAACTGATAACAGTGGTTCAGCCGAGATTTGAATTTCAAAATTAGTTTTACTGCTTGTAAATCTTGTTCTTGTTTTCATTTCGATTGTCCCGCCCTCTACCGTTTAACCAATCAGAAAGTCCGGGATCTGGGTTGCCAGAACTCACCAAGCAAATCTGACTGGTAAAGTAGCATGTGGTCGCAGTACGAAAAAAAGGTGATTCTCAAATCATTACTGACAAAACAAGGAATAAAACAAGGATTTCTATCGGGCCTTTGTGAAAAAGGTGTTGGTTATAGATTTTTTGTTGAAAAAACTCTTGTCTATCTATTCAGATATTATGGTCCCAGCTGGATTTGTCTGCATATCTGGCAACCTGAGTCAGGGAGAGTGGGAGAGGTTGCAGTACCACTTTTGGCCAGATTTTTAACATACTGCTCCTTTAAAGAAGCACTATGTTAAAGTGAGGTCACCAAGAAAACTCTCAAAAATAAACACATGTTTATTTTACAGTCTAATATGACCACATATTCTCGGGAGGTCTGGGTGTCTCTTAGACTAATCCACCTGCAACCCGGAAACGGATGAAGAGGAAGAAATGGATGGATGACCACATACCTACACTCTGTATGTGAATGCATCTTTTTATATTTATTTAGCTGAGTTTTTAAACATAAAATCAACAAAATCAAACCATATGATAAACTTTTGAAATGAGAGGATTTGTATCATGTTATACATAGGGTTGTGCAATAAATCAACCTTTTGGAAAAAAAAAAGTAAGTGTCAAAAACTTGAAATCGAGGTCAGGAGAATGTGTGAGTTTCTGGCCTCTGCTTCTCGGGGGTCTCTAGTTTAGCTGAGAAAAGGCACAACCTTATTGTTGAGTTGACAGCGTCTGTACAATACTTTAATGATCGTTTGGGCTGGAAATCAAAAATATACCGGTTTATGAAATTCAAACTGTTTTTTCATAAACAGTTCGGTGACTTCTGTTCAAATAGAGTGAAAATCGTAAATGTCCAAAGCGAGCAATAACCTCAAGAATTTACGTTTCCATAAATCAAGAACAATTTTATACTATTCATTGGTCAATAATTGTGAATATTCCTTAAATTGTGGCAACACTGTTCTGTTATTGTAGCTATTTTTAGACGTTTCAACACATGGACTCAGCTGTAATAAAAAACAAATATACATAAATATGAAAATCGTCTATACTCACGCAACTGAGGCCCAATTTGGATTCCCGGATTGTGGAGCAGCATCCCACAAGACCAAAGATCAACATGAAGACACTGATGCCGATGATGATGGTCGCAGAGATGAGGATGGAGCGGTCCTGGATGAAACTGTCAAAGTTGTTGTACGTTTTGACAATACTTGCTCCAACGTAGGCCATAAATGCTCCTGCAGCCTGGAAAAGTACAAAAGATACACTGACTAGAATCCAATTTACTTCTATAATTTATACAAGACGTGTCCATTGTTGCTACTGAGATAATTGAAAGCAAGGATTTTGGTACTACAGGCTTAAATGCAATGAGACAAAGTGAATGTTTTTGTACCTGTATTTCATCCATTTTTTTTAACAAAATGTCTAAATGATCAGTTTGTCCCAACCAGGGTGTTACAGGGGGTACTTGAAATGAATCACAAAACTTGCAAAGATTGACTAGGAAGTTTACATGGGCTATAAAGACATATTACACATTATTGTAAAGCTGATTCTCTCAAGAAAACAGCCACGTCATTCATTTTATTCAAAAAATGTAACCCAGGACACAATCATGGGGAAGTAAGGGAATAACAGACTGTTCTTACTTTTGGTACAGTTATGGAAAGAAATATATTCAAAATCCAAACATAACGTTGTGTGATAGGATACATATTCTGTCAGCAAACGAAACTATTTTATCTGGAACAAACACGGCGCTCATATCATTATTTGTATGTAAATGTTATCGCTGCTCTTAACTGTGAGCTACAGAGGACAGATTCCTGGACTATTGACTATTAACCTCACAGACCTCATTCTTACTCTTTTAATCAAGAATTGATCTTAGAATGTTCTCAAAGTTGTTACTGCCTCATTCTTAGTGCTGTCACATGCCCTGCTCTGTCTGGCTTTGTTGTTGTGAGTTCATTGTGGGAAGGTGACATAACCAGTGTTTTTGAACAAGCTAAAATGCAGTTTGGTAGGATTTTTATGTGTTATGTTCCTCTGGTAGATGTTGTGCAATTTTTATAATAATGCCAGATAATAATACTTTTAATGATAAGTTGTACTCGTATTTTCTTTGTGTGAAGAGTGGAGCATTTTCTTTTTGGCTGATGTAATGTCCTACAACACTATTAAAAATATCTGTACAAAGACGTGCAACCAGGACAAGGCAACAGTGAAGAAGATAACATAAGATAAGAATTAATCATGAGGTGTTTTTGAGTTGAAAGTCCCATAAGGCCCCTTTATGAGACTTACATTATTTGTTAATTACATATAACATTAAGTTAGTATTAAATGTATTGATAGTATCAATAGTATTTGTGATCTATAATTTAGTAAACCCTTTAGTTTAACCCTAACCCTTTTATTTTAGGGAAGTACACAAGATGCGTCATTGGGCGTTTATACAACAATGACATTATCACGATACAGAAACAGTAGGACTCGACTGACATAATCAATGATTGCTTTTTCATTAAGTTTCACTATATTAAAAGATTCTTCAAATACATTTTTCACATCAGCTCCTATAGGCTGTGTAAAGTCCTTTGTGCTGATTCTTGGGAATATGATCAGATTGTGTAGCGATTAAGGGGTGTTTGGTGGAAATGGGTGGAGACTGGATCCTAGAGGGTCGCGTGACTGTGGAGTGATTCGAGAAAAAAAAAAGTCATGAGGCTGGAGCACTACAAACAGGTGCCCTCGGATTAGCAGGGTCACATACTGACTCAATGGACAGAAAATCAAACTATTTCAGCCACTCCAGTTTATGACAAGACTTTCAAGGGAAGTGCAATATATATATTTATTACACATATTATATATTTTGGATTATTTTCATGAACAAAAGTGATCACAAATAGCAAATAGTATTTTTCAACTGCCTGAAGAGGTGTGAAGATGTTCTGAGCAGGAAACAGGAAATCAACTAATTTTGGAGCAGTACAGAACCAGTTTATCAGCAGATATTCACTACTAGCATGGTCCTAAATATGATGAGGTAAATAAAAATATATTGTATTTCACATGATCTCTAGGCTCTTGATTCTTGATTGCACCATAAAACATAAATGTCCCTTTCTGATAAATTGCCTACAATAAGACAATATAAGAAATACAGCATTAAAAATGATGGCAAAATTATCCTGATCTTTCTTCAAACGTCAATGATACAGCAAAAGACGATTCATTCACCTTAGTCCTATGCTCTGTTCTATTGACATACATTTATTAAAAAGTTTACATTTTAAACTGGGTAGGCACTACAGGAGCGTAGACCTTCGCCAAGAGGCACAGTTCTAATCCTTAGAATTGTCCTGGTTCCAGATGATGATCCGGATCGCCTCCAGAATCTAAACATTTATTCCTTGTCCTATTTCGGAAGTTTCCGGATTTTTTTTTTTAATTCTGGTAATTTGAGTTACTAACCTAACTAAATTAAAAAGTAACATACTAAAAATCAAACTAACACAACAGATAAACCCTGATAATTACTCTACCTTCTTGGCAGAGGGGACTAAGATGTGGTCCCTAAATAAAACTTGTATGAATATAATTGGTATTCTAGGTAACCACCAGGTGTTTGTTTTTCTAAGCACAGGGTTAACTCTCTCTTTCTAATGCTATTACCCATGAGGCAGAAGCTGCATACACACTGCAGGCTCCTGAATGAATGGATGATGACATATTTATGACAAGAAATCCCAGAGAAGCTAAGTCCAGGAAGAGCAGAGCAGTCTGATAATCAAGTGGAAAGTTCAATGGATAAACAAAAATAATGTTTTATTGGTGTAGACAGGAAATTATGCAGAAATCCATATTTTGACCCTATGAGACTCTCAACTCTAGACTTTAGGTTAATCATTATAGACGTAGGCTTGTTTTATCAGACTGACATTTGGCTGAACTATTAGAAGGCCTGAGCTCAAACGTCATTCCAAGGAATTCATTTCTCATACACCCTTAGCTTTTCAACTATTACAAAAAGTCATTTAAGGTAAAAAGAGCGAACATTTCTAAATTGTTGTCTAAAGCATTGAGCTTACCCAGAATATCAAGCTGAGGAAGAGGAGCACGGTCTTGGAGGTGATAATTCCACAATCCATGTTGGAAGCAGCCGTGGGGCTACAGAAGAGGCAGTGGAGTCGTGCGGCTGCTTTTTTATTCTGTCCCTCAAAGCCTGACTGTGTTTCTCCGAGTGCTGGTCACAAGTTCTCTGCGTCCGTCAGTCTGTGGTGATCACAGAGTCACATGCTCCGCTTACGGAAGAATGAAAAGCAGCGATGTGACAAAGCAGGTCCGGAGCCTGGGGCCCCTCCTCCCCCGGCGCACTGCGCGCTCTTGCAGCACTGACCTTTAGCGCGTGTTATGCACATGGTAAAGTCTCAACACGTATCTACACGTACATAGACGTCGGAACTAGGGGTGCGGGGGGTGCGGCCGCACCCCCTCCGCGTGTGCCGGGAGCGAGAAGTTATCACTATCCTGCGTTCCTTGCAGCCCAAAACCCGCTCCATGCTGTCGGAGAAGCTTATGAAGCTCTGTCTGGCTAATATCTGTCGCAGCCTCTGAGCGCTCTTTCTCAGCCTTGCGCAGATTAAAGACCTGGCTACACCAGTGACGTGCGGTGGGGGATCAATCATGTGTTCATATGATTATACATCATATAAACCAACAGGACCTACAGGAACAGGAGCGGCTTATACACAATTTGTTTGGCTACAGCAGAATATGATTTAATGTCTGCATTGTTTTCTCATACAAAACGCAAACGTTTGTAAAAAGTACAAAGTGTGTTATGGGCCTTACCTTAGGTATTAATGAACAGCACAGACCACTTCAGTTAGGACCAGTTTCATGTTTAAGTCCAGATAATAGTTTGGGCACAGACATGTAATCCTCCATTTGGAAATAAGTTCAATGAGTTTTAAAAAGTAAAAAAAACGGGTGTCTCCTCCGTAAACTCCGAGTTTTGCTGCAGCCGACTCCCGGGTAAATCCAATTTCTAAATTCAACCTTACCCTTCACCTCCTTTTCTTATGATTCATATCATCATTGGAAGCAAAACATTACTCTAAGTGCATTTTAAATTATCTTAAAATGTATTATAGGTATGTTAGCCAAACCTGTAGCTGCCCTTAGCAGAAGAAGAACAAGAAAGGAGCTTTCTGATGGAATTGGATGCAGCCAAAGTTTGGGCTCACAAGCGCCCCCTTGAGGCTTTCCTCACTTACAAGCTGTGGTTGAGCGCGATTAAGACCCATATTTGCTTCAAAAACACAATTTATGAGCCATCCTCTTAAATGTAAACATGTTGATTGTAAATTAAATATTTTTGAACTTTTTAAACTGTGATAAACAGGGAAAACAGTTTGATAGCACCTCACAGGACTCTCCCTGTGAACTGTTGCTTTTTACGTCTCCCAAGAGAGGCTCGCCTCACAGCACCGCTCTGTCAAATCTGCGATTTCAAGGTATAAATAAATGAAATAAGGCACAGCACAAATCACTTGATAAAGTGACCAAACATTATTGTATCCATTTTATTACTTTTCTTTCTATGATCTTAGGTGAGGGCCTTGCCTGCCTCATCTGACCGCACGTCACTGGGCTACACAACACTGAAGCCGCCGGAGAGACTGACGCATGAATGCGTATTGAAAAAAAAAAAGTTCAGTTTGATAAGTGACTTGCTTGATATATATTGTTTATTTTGTTTTTCTTAACAATTAAGATGGTATGTTATTATCCAGTGTAATCCAAGTATGAGTCTCTCCCTCGACTCTCCCAACAAAAACCCGCCCCCCCTCTCAGAAAATAGTTCCGACGTCCATGTACACGTATTTAAACAAATAATCAATAATACAATAGGGTATGGAATAATTTGCTTAAATTCATCTTCCCTTCAGGCACATAAAATCCATTAAAAACATGAACAACAACAACAATGGAACAACAAAAGTAGAGACAAATAGAATATAGAATATTTACACAGTTCTGCATAGACACTTTTTCCAATGTATTGTAAAATGTAAGTCACCCTGCCATGATCAGATATTTTCATCCATCCAATACATGCACAGGCTGCCTGATGTGGTGTTTCACGGAGACGTTGCGACCAAAGAGTTGGTATGGGTTTGGCCTTATGGGGGGTGCAAAGGGGTCTGTGTATATTTCGTTCAATGGTTATTTATAAGTAAAATCGAAAGTGAAATATCAAAAAAATGCTTGAATTTTAATTTTTCATTTTGATGAGGAAAAGGAAAAACGAAAAATTGCCTTGATATTTGATTTTTGTTTCGATGCAGAAAAGGAAAAAACCAAATATTGAACAATGGTGATTAAATCCAATCCGTGTAAATCACGGATTCCCTTGTTATTCGTTTTTTCAATGTTGGTCATATTTAGAGAATCAAAAGAACGAATGATACACGGATTCATATGACACACTGTTCAATGTCTTAACACAGAAGTAGATTTTCAGCAGACTGGTAGATTTGATTAGCTTTCAGATTGGTTTCTGGCATATTTTCAGAGAGGACAAATACATTTTAAATTCGTTTTTAAAACATGTTATGTTTGGCAGGTTCTTTTTCCATTTGCTTTTATGGATATGATATTTACCAATTATTAAAACAATATTAGAGCTGCTGACTTTATTTTCCAGCAGTTCCTGGCACCTGCTCACGCAGCAAATAACTGCCGAAATAGATGACCACAGACATAAAACAATCCTGTTGTGGATAAATTCACACAATTACAAAACACTGAAATGAGCATTTTGCTGTACAGTGTGTATTGTTGTGTACATTTCCCACATATGCACACAAAGCAGCCATCACGTTTTCTTTCAACAAGCTGCTTTGTGTGCATGGAAATGTAAAAAAATTAACAATTCAGGGCATCAAGATCAGACTCAAAGTAATGCCATCCTAATCCTATAGAGGGCACACTAACACAAGTTACAATATGTTGCCAAAATGCTCATTTCAGAAAATGTAAAGGATGTAATTGAACCAAAATGAACATTTATTCCAGAGTCATTTTATTCACAGATTGTTTTATGTCTGTGGTCATCTATTTCGGCAGTTATTTGCTGCGTGAGCAGGTGCCAGGAACTGCTGGAAAATAAAGTCAGCAGCTCTAATATTGTTTTAATAATTGGTAAATATCATATCCATAAAAGCAAATGGAAAAAGAACCTGCCAAACATAACATGTTTTAAAAACGAATTTAAAATGTATTTGTCCTCTCTGAAAATATGCCAGAAACCAATCTGAAAGCTAATCAAATCTACCAGTCTGCTGAAAATCTACTTCTGTGTTAAGACATTGAACAGTGTGTCATATGAATCCGTGTATCATTCGTTCTTTTGATTCTCTAAATATGACCAACATTGAAAAAACGAATAACAAGGGAATCCGTGATTTACACGGATTGGATTTAATCACCATTGTTCAATATTTGTTTTTTTCCTTTTCTGCATCGAAACAAAAAATCAAATATCAAGGCAATTTTTAGTTTTTCCTTTTCCTCATCAAAATGAAAAATTAAAATTCAAGCATTTTTTTGATATTTCACTTTCGATTTTACTTATAAATAACCATTGAACGAAATATACACAGACCCCTTTGCACCCCCCATAAGGCCAAACCCATACCAACTCTTTGGTCGCAACGTCTCCGTGAACACCACATCAGGCAGCCTGTGCATGTATTGGATGGATGAAAATATCTGATCATGGCAGGGTGACTTACATTTTACAATACATTGGAAAAAGTGTCTATGCAGAACTGTGTAAATATTCTATATTCTATTTGTCTCTACTTTTGTTGTTCCATTGTTGTTGTTGTTCATGTTTTTAATGGATTTTATGTGCCTGAAGGGAAGATGAATTTAAGCAAATTATTCCATACCCTATTGTATTATTTTATTTGTTTAAATACGTGTACATGGACGTCGGAACTATTTTCTGAGAGGGGGGGCGGGTTTTTGTTGGGAGAGTCGAGGGAGAGACTCATACTTGGATTACACTGGATAATAACATACCATCTTAATTGTTAAGAAAAACAAAATAAACAATATATATCAAGCAAGTCACTTATCAAACTGAACTTTTTTTTTTTCAATACGCATTCATGCGTCAGTCTCTCCGCGGCTTCAGTTGTACTGTGTAGCCCAGTGACGTGCGGTCAGATGAGGCAGGCAAGGCCCTCACCTAAGATCATAGAAAGAAAAGTAATAAAATGGATACAATAATGTTTGGTCACTTTATCAAGTGATTTGTGCTGTGCCTTATTTCATTTATTTATACCTTGAAATCGCAGATTTGACAGAGCGGTGCTGTGAGGCGAGCCTCTCTTGGGAGACGTAAAAAGCAACAGCTCACAGGGAGAGTCCTGTGAGGTGCTATCAAACTGTTTTCTCTGTTTATCACAGTTTAAAAAGTTCAAAAATATTTAATTTACAATCAACATGTTTACATTTAGAGGATGGCTCATAAATTGTGTTTTTTGAAGCAAATATGGGTCTTAATCGCGCTCAACCACAGCTTGTAAGTGAGGAAAGCCTCAAGGGGGCGCTTGTGAGCCCAAACTTTGGCTGCATCCAATTCCATCAGAAAGCTCCTTTCTTGTTCTTCTTCTGCTAAGGGCAGCTACAGGTTTGGCTAACATACCTATAATACATTTTAAGATAATTTAAAATGCACTTAGAGTAATGTTTTGCTTCCAATGATGATATGAATCATAAGAAAAGGAGGTGAAGGGTAAGGTTGAATTTAGAAATTGGATTTACCCGGGAGTCGGCTGCAGCAAAACTCGGAGTTTACGGAGGAGACACCCGTTTTTTTTACTTTTTTAAAACTCATTGAACTTATTTCCAAATGGAGGATTACATGTCTGTGCTCAAACTATTATCTGGACTTAAACATGAAAACTGGTCCTAACTGAAGTGGTCTGTGCTGTTCATTAATACCTAAGGTAAGGCCCATAACACACTTTGTACTTTTTACAAACGTTTGCGTTTTGTATGAGAAAACAATGCAGACATTAAATCATATTCTGCTGTAGCCAAACAAATTGTGTATAAGCCGCTCCTGTTCCTGTTAGGTCCTGTTGGTTTATATGATGTATACATCATATGAACACATGATTGATCCCCCACCGCACGTCACTGGTGTAGCCAGGTCTCTAATCTGCGCAAGGCTGAGAAAGAGCGCTCAGAGGCTGCGACAGATATTAGCCAGACAGAGCTTCATAAGCTTCTCCGACAGCATGGAGCGGGTTTTGGGCTGCAAGGAACGCAGGATAGTGATAACTTCTCGCTCCCGGCACACGCGGAGGGGGGGCGGCCGCACCCCCCGCACCCCTAGTTCCGACGTCTATGTACGTGTAGATACGTGTTGAGACTTTACCATGTGCATAACACGCGCTAAAGGTCAGTGCTGCAAGAGCGCGCAGTGCGCCGGGGGAGGAGGGGCCCCAGGCTCCGGACCTGCTTTGTCACATCGCTGCTTTCATTCTTCTGTAAGCGGAGCATGTGACTCTGTGATCACCACAGACTGACGGACGCAGAGAACTTGTGACCAGCACTCGGAGAAACACAGTCAGGCTTTGACGGACAGAATAAAAAAGCAGCCGCACGACTCCACTGCCTCTTCTGTAGCCCCACTGCTGCTTCCAACATGGATTGTGGAATTATCACCTCCAAGACCGTGCTCCTCTTCCTCAGCTTGATATTCTGGGTAAGCTCAATGCTTTAGACAACAATTTAGAAATGTTCGCTCTTTTTACCTTAATGACTTTTGGTAATAGTTGAAAAGCTAAGGGTGTATGAGAAATGAATTCCTTGGAATGACGTAGACTGTTTGAGCTCAGGCCTTCTAATAGTTCAGCCAAATGTCAGTCTGATAAAACAAGCCTACGTCTATAATGATTAACCTAAAGTCTAGAGTTGAGAGTCTCATAGGGTCAAAATATGGATTTCTGCATAATTTCCTGTCTACACCAACAAAACATTATTTTTGTTTATCCATTGAACTTTCCACTTGATTATCAGACTGCTCTTCCTGACTTAGCTTCTCTGGGATTTCTTGTCATAAATATGTCATCATCCATTCATTCAGGAGCCTGCAGTGTGTATGCAGCTTCTGCCTCATGGGTAATAGCATTAGAAAGAGAGAGTTAACCCTGTGCTTAGAAAAACAAACATGGTGGTTACCTAGAATACCAATTATATTCATACAAGTTTTATTTAGGGACCACATCTTAGTCCCCTCTGCCAAGAAGGTAGAGTAATTATCAGGGTTTATCTGTTGTGTTAGTTTGATTTTTAGTATGTTACTTTTTAATTTAGTTAGGTTAGTAACTCAAATTACCAGAATTAAAAAAAAAAATCCGGAAACTTCCGAAATAGGACAAGGAATAAATGTTTAGATTCTGGAGGCGATCCGGATCATCATCTGGAACCAGGACAATTCTAAGGATTAGAACTGTGCCTCTTGGCGAAGGTCTACGCTCCTGTAGTGCCTACCCAGTTTAAAATGTAAACTTTTTAATAAATGTATGTCAATAGAACAGAGCATAGGACTAAGGTGAATGAATCGTCTTTTGCTGTATCATTGACGTTTGAAGAAAGATCAGGATAATTTTGCCATCATTTTTAATGCTGTATTTCTTATATTGTCTTATTGTAGGCAGTTTATCAGAAAGGGACATTTATGTTTTATGGTGCAATCAAGAATCAAGAGCCTAGAGATCATGTGAAATACAATATATTTTTATTTACCTCATCATATTTAGGACCATGCTAGTAGTGAATATCTGCTGATAAACTGGTTCTGTACTGCTCCAAAATTAGTTGATTTCCTGTTTCCTGCTCAGAACATCTTCACACCTCTTCAGGCAGTTGAAAAATACTATTTGCTATTTGCGATCACTTTTGTTCATGAAAATAATTCAAAATATATAATATGTGTAATAATATATACCCCGTGGGGCCAGGCCCCCACTCGTCCAATGGAGTGGGCCCCCCCTGGACCATCCTGTCGGCCCCCACGTTCCGGACCTAACCCCCGGGACGTGGCGCAGCACCTGAGGAGACAGGAGGTGGAAGCGCCGCCCACAGCAGCGCACCGTCGCATGCAAGGAGAGCGGGGAACCTGGTGCCCCCCCCCTGCCTGTTCAGATAGGAGACCACTGTGGTGTTTCTGAGCGCACCATCACGTGTCTCCCTGCAGCTGAGGAGCAAAGTGCAGCCAGGACCCTGTGCACGCCTCCATCTCACAGCAGGTTGAGGTGACGGGCTGAGTCCGAACACAGCCTCCTACAGAGCTCTGGCCGAGGACCCCGCCCCATCCTTCGAGTGACGCGTCCGTGAACGACCTCCACGTGAACACGGCGCAGGCCCAGAGTCACTCAGTCCCGCAATAGACCCGGAGTGGAGCCAGAACCTGATGTCCGATGCTGCCACTTTGGGGAACCCAGATCAAGCCTCCCCCCGTCCCGGGAGGTGAAGCCTGAGGCTGAGAACCACCTCTGAAAATTCCTCATGTGGAGAAGGCCTAGCTGGCACCACCAGCATGAGCCTGGCCGCCATCAGTATCCAGCAGGGACCTGCGGCCGCCGAGCGGGGACTCTGGGGCCCGCCAGAGCCCATCCCTGGTCAACGGGTAATGTTTCATGCCGTTCGGTCCACGGACCTTGCAGCACAATGTCCACAGAGGCTAGCTCAGGTCCAGATAAATCAATGCACTGAAAAAGGCTGGCTGCAGCTTGCTTTTCACCCTGTTTACTGACAAGCCAGACGCCTGTATGTGGAGCAGACCTGCCAGTGGCAGTGACTCACGGCCAATCTCCCTGGATTGGCCAGAATTAACCAGTCGCTCATGTAGTTTAAAATTCATACCCCGGCGCGCTGAGCGGCTCCAGTGCTGCCTCAACGCACAGGAAAAAGTGCGAGGCGAGCGAGTGCGTTGCCGAAGGGGAGACGGCAGTACTCGTAATTCCTCCTCCCACTGCAAGCGCAGGAAACCGCCTGTTTCCGCACTATCGGCACACGTGGAAGTAAGCGCCTTCAGGTCTATGGAGGACATCCAATCTCCCGCCTAAACAAACTCAAAGGAGCAGCTTTGTGGACAGCACCCGAAACTGCCGTTGGAAATGCACTCGGATTCAAATCGCGCAGATCCAAAATGGGACGCACCCCGCCTGACTTCTTTGCACTAAGAAAGTAAGGGGAGTACAGCCCCCTGGTGGGCGTCCTGCGGTCTACTCCACGTGCTAGCGCCTCGACATCAGCAGGAGGATACCTCCGCTTGTGTGCTTCACAGAATGACACGTCCCCGACCCGAGAGCGTGCTGCCCGTACGCCTCAGAATGGTGGTGGCTTCCGGGAGAATTGCAGTGCTTAAGCCCCTGCGCAATGTTTTTCCTCCAGCCATAGAACTGTCCAGCAAACCTGCTCCTCCAGATGCTGTAGAAGTCTGTGAGGGGCGGAACGGGCTGGAACACGAGACGTCACGGCCCACCCGCCCCTCATCCTGGTGTTCCTAGCAGGAGGGGGGGGGAACGAAAGGCCGGGGCCCCCTGCGTCACAGCCGTGAGCGCCGGGGCGGCAACATGTGTCCTGCAGGCCCGACTCATAAGGTACGGGACTGCTCCATCCCAACGTTCCACGTGACTACTCGGGCTGCTGTGCCCCCCCTGGCTCTTGCCTCATGAGGGGGGGGCGAGCCCCTGGAGTGGGAGACCCCCGTGATAGCCTAGTAGCTCAAAGAGATGCTAACACGCGCTTCGCCGAAGCACACACATCACTACTCACCAGTTCCCTCCGCCCTACGCACACTCTTGGAGGGCATAGCAGGAACCAGAGAACCGAGCTCGTAGCTCGCGTAGCGCACTGCAAACCCAGCTCGGGGGGCGGGCAGCCTAGCGAAGCAACGGTATGTGCTCGAGAAGTAACACAATCAGAATTCACAAGATTATTTGACATGTTACAACCCCCAAATGAAGACTCAGACAGCGGTAATGAATGAAAATGCCGGTCGGAGCCATTTTTATTGAAAAAATTCTCTCCACCCTCCTCCTCTGCCAGAGGAGGTCGGCGGTGGTGCTTGGTCCCGCGAAGCGCTCCCGTGGGCCTGTTTGGACCCGGGGGGCCTCAGTCGAGGGGGGACGATAGGCCACAGAGCGTGGATATGGGTCAGGGCGCCTTCCCCCGGCGAACGCTCCTGCCACCTGTCCCCGGCTCCGTGCTGGTGGGCGGGCCTCGCGCCTTGGCCTAGGTGCTGGGCTAGGCGAGCCGAGTCCTTGGCTGGCGGTCTCCCAGTTAGCCACCAGGGTCCTGCATCTCCGGACCGAAGAAGGACGATCTGGGAGATAGGCCAGGTCCAGCCCCAAGCCAAAGGTGCCTGGCCCCGACTTGAGCTGCTTGCCATGGTGCAGCCGACATCGACAGCTAGCGCTGGCACATGCGCAGGATCGCCGGTTGTGTTCTGGAATGGTCCGCGCCTGCGATACAGGTGTCTTCCACTGAGCGCTCTGGCCAGCAAGAGAAGCGACCTACCAGGGCCCCCGTGATGAAGGCCATGTTATTTGCCACATGCACGACCTGTGCCGCATTGGAGTAACAGCTGTCCAGCATAGCCAAAGACGCCTGTCCCCTCGAGGAAGGAGAGGTCCTGTGCCGGCCACACGGATGCGGAGGGCTGCCGGCCATGCGGACCGAATCCTCGATGTTCTCGGACCCCCGCCAGTCCAGACCAGTCCCCTGCACGCTGCAAATACATGCCGTAGCCCAAAGCGGGCCTCTTGGCCGCTAGGGCTTTGGCCACTCACTGGTCGCGTAATGGACGATCGGGTCCCATCGGCCGGTCACAACGTGGCTGTATCCTCCGCCTCCGGGGGGGGGGGGGCGGGTGGGGGGGGGGGGGGGGGGGGGGGGGGGGGGGGGGGGGGGGGGGGGGGTGGGGGGTGGGGGGGGGGGGGGGGGGGGGGGGGGGGGTGGGGGGGGAGGGGGGTGGGGGGGGGGGTGGGGGGGGGGGGGGGGGGGGGGGGGGGGGGGGGGGGGGGGGGGGGGGGGGGGGGGGGGGGGGGGGGGGGATATTTATTATTATTATTTTGGGGGGGGGGGGGGGGGGTGGGGGGGGGGGGGGGGGGGGGGGGGGGGGAGGGGGGGGGGGGGGGGGGTTGGGGGGGGGGGGGGGGGGGGGGGGGGGGGGGGGGGGGGGGTGGGAGAGTGGTGGCGGAACCAAGGAATCCTTCCGCCCCTCTGGTCGGCTTTCAGCGGTGGTGGCAGGGGGCCATCCATGATGGCCATCGCGGCGGAGGAATAGAGCCCAAGCGCCGATGTGGTCCAGTGGGAAGCGGTTCGGCTCCGGGTTCGGACACCTCCCTCCCGTCCTGCGTGAGAGGGAGCCGACCTCTCCGAAAACGCTCCGTCCTCACTAACAGTCAAACCCACCTCCGCGGAGCACGGGTGGAAGGTCGAGTGTGGGGCCCAGTCATCTCTGACGCCTCCTCTCCTGAGAGGAAAGTCCGACCGGGGAAAATCTGCAGAAAGCGGCGAGGTACGCAACGCGCTGCGTGCGGCGTCTCCGGTGTTTAAATACTCCCGGGGGAGAAGCGAGACAACGAGGTGCAGGTGGCGCTCAACGCCGCAATGGGCCCGGGCCCAGGCACTTGAAGCAGCTGGAGTGCTGGTCCCATCGGCGCGCTGGAGCCTGACCTCGCACACGTCGAGCAACGTCGACGTCCGACGCCGGAGGGCGAAGGGGAAACTTCCGGACGAGCATCAGAAGACATCTTTCTCTCTGGAACGAAGTGAAGGTACTAGGTAGATCTTAATCGGCGTCCAGAGTGAAAGAGGGGGTCGGCCCATGTGGCAGGGGCCGTTATAGAGGAGGGTGGCTGGTTGATTGGAGCAAATTATTTTGATTTCTCGGGCGCGTGACCTGGGGGTCACGAGTGATAACCCACTAGCGAAGTCCCTAATGGACGTTGCACCATGACGTAGAATCCTGAATGAATGGAGAAAAGCCGGCTCTCTTCAACTTCTATTTGAGAGCAGCGAACCGTAGAACAAAGTTTTCCCCAAAGTACTTGGATGGGAGACCCGCCTGGGAAAGACCAGGAGCTGTAAGCATATTTTGCCCCTGAGCCTCAGGGCCTGGGGGCCGAGCCAACAACAAGCGCGAGTTGTTGTTCGTGTAGTTGAGTTGAGTTGAGTGCAAAGCTTGCAGCTTGTGTTACCCGTCTCTCAACCACTCATTCATTTTTCATCCGGTAGCATATTCAAACAAAATAAGAAGTTGTTTAGTAGGTGTTTGTTTCCCCCCACTGCTTAGCAAAGAAATGGGTGATATTTCTTTAGAATGTTTTGAGTGTGTCCATTTAATTTTGAATAAAATGGAAATAACAATAATAACAACCACGTAATTTTGTTTTTTTCTGATTATTTCTTTTGAAAACGGAATAACTATATAGAAAGGGTGGTACACAATTCCCTGGTCTTGTCAGGAAAAATACATCTACTCTAACTCTTCACTTTGCCCTGCCAAAGTAATTCTCTCCTTTCCCCTCCCTGTACAAGACTCAAGGGGATGGAGAACGCAGATGTTGCACAGCAGTCTCCTTTTTTAATGGGACCGGGATAGGGAAAGTTGTGGGCGTGTAAATAAAATGGAGCTATCCTGGCGTCTATATTGGTGCTTAATTTGTAAATAGTTACTACAATTATACCTGTCTGTCATAAATGTTATAAATATTCTACTATTATTAAATATATACTTAATAATTGATTATAACTAATTATTATAATTTCATCTTGTAAAGTCTGCATCTACAGTTCTGTATTAGTCCCAGCTCTCAGCCGTCACAGTCACAAGTGCTCATCTCATCCCAACAAAAACACGATTACAGAAGATCTCACTCAACAACAACAACTGCGGAGGCGGCCCAGCTCGGCGCTCACTTCTTCCACAGTCAAAGTGATGCGCCCCTGTGGACTGTGAACTGCTGAGAGCAGACAATCCAGAACGTAGATGCAGACTTTACAATGAAAATTAATAAATATAGATATAATCAATATTAAGTATATATTTTACATAAAAATGTTGAATTTTATAAACTTTATGAACAGACAGGTATAAATAGTAACTATAAACAAATAGCACTCAATAGACAGCAGATTGCTCATCATTTACTTAACACGCCACCGTTTCCCGTCTCCCGTCATAAAAAGGAGACTGCTGGAACATCTGCGTCACCACATGCCCCTGGTCCTTGTACAGGGAGAATACTTTGGCAGGGCAGTAGATGTATTTTCCTGACACGACCAGGGAATTGTGTACACATTTCTATATAGTTATTCCGTTTCAAAAGAAAATCAAAAAAAACAAATTATCTGGTTGGTTATATTGTATTTCCATTTCCTAAATTAAATTGGAAAATCAAAACATTCTAAATGAAATATTCACCCATTTCTTTGCTATGCCGTGGAAACAACTCTGACTAAAACACTTCCATTATTTTGTTTGATATGCTACCGGAAATGATGAGTGGTGAGAGACTGAAACAACTGCAAGCGGCACGCAACTCAACTCACTACACGACAACAACTCGCGCTTTTGTTAGCTCAGCCCCCAGGCCCGACTCCAGGGGCAAAATGGCTTACAGCACCCTGGTATTTCCAGGCGGTCTCCCATCCAAGTACTATGGGGAAAACTTTGTGTGCCTGCTCTCAAATAGAGAGAGGCCGGCTTTCTCCATTCATTCTGGTTTCTACGTCTTGGTGCTACGTCCCTTAGGACTTCGCTAGTGGGATATCACTCGGGACCCCCCCACAGGTTCACGCCCAGAAGAAAATCATAATAAATTGCTCCAAAATCACCAGCCACACCTCCTCTATAAAGGCACCTGCACAAGGGCCGCACACCCCCATCTTTCACTCTGGCGGCCGATTAGATCTACCAGTACTTACTTCGTTTCCAGAGAAAGAGATGTCTTCTGATGCGCGTCCAGTTCCCCTTCGCCCCTCGGACGGCGTCGGACGTCGGGGAGTCGTTGCCTCGACGTGCGAGTCAGGCTCCAGCGCATGGACCAGCACTCAGCTGCTTCATGTGCCTGGGCCCGGGCCATGCGGCGTTGAGCGCCACCTGCACTCGTGTCCCTCGCCCTCCCCAGGGAGGAGAGCGAACTGCAGGCGTGCGTACATCGCCGCTGCAGGTCCCCGTCCGACTCCTCTCAGGACGAGGGAGTCTGAGACTGACCTGGGCCCCACTCCGACCTTTCCACCCGTGCCCCCGGAGTGGGGTGACTGTGAGACGGAGAGTTTCGGAGGTCGGCTCCCTCCTCACCTGGACGAGGTGGTGTCGAACCCGGAGCCAACCGCTTCCCACTGGACCACATGCCTGGGCTTCTACTCCTCCAGCGGCGGCCATCATGGATTCCCCCCTGCCACCGCAGCCGACGCCAGAGGGCGGAGGACTTCACCTCTGGTTACGCCACTCACTCGAGGGAGGGAGGAGGATACCGCCCACGTTGTGCCCTGCCGATGGACCCATCGTCCATTACGCGACACGTGGATGGGCCAAAGCCCCTAGCGGCCAAGAGCCCGCTTTGGCTACGGCATGTATGGCAATGCGTGCAGGACTGGTCCTGGACCGGCGGGGTCCCGGACATCGAGGATTCGGTCCGCATGGCCCTGCAGCCCTCCCCGCATCCCGTGTGGCCCGGCACCAGACCTCTCTCCTTCCCCTCCGAGCGGGACAGGACGTCTTTGGCTATGGCTGGACAGATGGTTACGCCAATGCGGCACAGTCCGTCGCGGTGCAAATATCATGCCTTCATCACGGGGGCCCTGGATAGGTCGCCTCTTCTGGCCAGGCGCTCAGTGGAGACACCTTATCGCAGGCGAGGACCACTTCAGCGGGGGGGGGGGGGGGGGGGTGGGGGGGGAGGGGGGGGGCGATCCTGCGCATGTGCAGGCGCTAGCTGTCGAAGGTGATTGGAGCAGCCGCCCGACCTTTTGGCTGGGCAAGACCCTATCTCCCACAGTCCGGATATACAGGACTCAGGGCAGACTGGAGACCCCAACAAATCGCTAGTGTTACAGCACCTAGCGCCACGAGGCCCTCCGACCCAAGCCGGGGGACTAGAGGCAGGGATACCCCCACGTAACACAGAACAGTCCACCCCTAGTCCATGGGTCCGTAGTCCCAGGACGCCTCTCCCAAGAGCTCCTGACGTGGACTACCTGACCGACCAAAAACACTCATATAGCCGCCGAATACCGCACCTGTAGGACGCCTCTCCCAAGAGCTCCTGAACCAGAGGCGGAAAGTCAACCGAAGGCCCCCTCAGAGGAGGGACCTAACGGTCTAACTCAGTCCCGCTGCTACTCAGCACGGAATGGGCCACCGACCGGTCCGACACATCCAAAAAATAAGACCGGACGAAAGAAGAGGACGACGCCCAAGAAGCCGCACGGCAGACGTCCTCGACCAACGCCCCCCTGAGAAGGGCCGTAGAGGCCGCCATCCCACGCGTGGAATGCGACCTTAAGCCCACCGGGGGGGCCAGACCCTGCGTCTGATACGCCCGCCGCACAGCCGTGGCGACCCAGTGCGCCAGCCGCTGAGCCGACAGCGGGGCGCCCCTGTTCTTGGGGCCCAGACACACAAACAGCTGACCACCCAACCTGAATGACGACGTCATGGCCAGGTAATGCCTCAGCATTCTGACAGGACACAGAAGGTGCCGCCAAGCTCCTCCTCGGGGGAGGCATGCGGTGGCGGATAGAAAGCCCTAAATCCTGATGGGGGACTCTCGACCTAAAGGCCGACGTGATGACCTTGGGAGAGAAAAGGCCGGGATTGGGCCACAATTCCACCATGCCGTCGCCCTCTCCAAAGGACAGGCAAGACGCATGGACAGAGAGCGCACACAAGTCGCCCGCCCTCTTAGCAGACGCCAACGCCAGCAAGAGGGCAGTCTTAAACTGCAGCGACACACTCGGGACTCGCCTCCCGCCGCCGTTCAAAAGGCGGACCCGACAGCCCCCTAAGACCACCCTGAGGTCCCAAACCGGGGGCGTTCTCTGGAGCGGGGGCCTCCTCCTGCGCGCGCCCCCCGCAGAAAACGATTTAACCAACGGATGAGAGCGGGCTGTGAACCCCCCGAATCCGGTCGTGACCCGAGGTAATGGCTGCCGCGAACACCGCCAAGGTGGCGACAGCCCTCCCTTTGTCAAAAAGCTCCAGTAGGAATCCCAGGACCCCCTCCAGCGGGCAACGCCTGGGATCCCAGGAACGGGAACCGCACCAGTCGCTGAAGAGCCTCCACCTCGTGGCGTAGGCCCTCACAGTGGACGGCGCCCTCCGCCCCCTGAATGGTCTCCACCACCGCAGGGGGAAGACCCAGGTCTACGATGGTTCCGCCTCTCAGCCTCCAAACCCAGAGCCTGCGGCCGATTATCGGCGGTGAAAACAGGGCTCCCACCCCCTGGACTAGAGCCCCCGGCTCGTCCGGAGGGCCCAGGGCTCCATCACAACCGCCATGCCCCTCAGGAAGGGGAACCACCGGGCATGCGGACTGTCCGGAGCCACCAGGATCACCGACCTCCTCTCCTGTTCGATCCTCCGCAGCAGGACCGGCAGGAGACGCACATGGTGGGAAAGCGTACAGCAGGCCCTCTGGCCAGGGGTAATGAGCCAGAGCGTCCACCGCCTAAGGGCGGCTCGTCCGCGGCCCTTAAGGCGAACCAGGACGGGCACTGTGCGTTTTCTGCACTGGCGAAAAGGTCGACCACTGGACGGCCCGAACCTCCGCCAGATCTCTCCGCAGCTACCCGTGGGGCCAGGCCCCACTCGTCCTGGAGTGGGCCCCCCCTGGGACATCCTGTCGGCCCCCACGTTCCGGACCCCCGGGACGTGGCGCGCCCTGAGAGACAGGAGGTGAAGCGCCGCCCACAGCAGCGTCACCGTCGCCATGCGATGGAGAGCGGGGGGACCTGGTGCCCCCCTGCCTGTTCAGATAGGAGACCACTGTGGTGTTGTCTGAGCGCACCATCACGTGTCTCCCCTGCAGCTGAGGAGCAAAGTGCAGCAGTACCCTGTGCACTGCCTCCATCTCCAGCAGGTTGATGTGACGGGCTGAGTCCGACCAGCAGCCTCCCTACAGAGCTCTGGCCGAGGACCCCGCCCCATCCTTCGAGTGACGCGTCCGTGAACACCTCCACGTGAGACACGGCGCAGGCCAGAGCCACTCCGTCCCGCAATAGACCCGGAGTGAGCCAGAACCTGATGTCCGATGCTGCCACGTGGGGAACCCAGATCAGCCTCCCCCCGTCCCGGGAGGGGTGAAGCCTGAGGCGTGAGAACCACCTCTGAAAATTCCTCATGTGGAGAAGGCCTAGCCGCACCACAGCATGAGCTGCCGCCATCAATTCCCAGCAGGGACCTGAGGCGCCGAGCGGGGACTCTTGGGCCCGCCAGAGCCTCCCTGGTCAGACGGGTAATGTTCATCCGTCTGTCCACGGACAATGCAGCACGGAATGTCACAGAGTCTAGCTGCAGGTCGAGATAAATCATGCACTGAGCTGGCTGCAGCTTGCTTTTCTCCCTGTTTACCACAAAGCCCAGACGCTGTATGTGGGACAGGACCCAGTGCGTGTGACTCACGGCCACTTCCCTGGATGAGGCCAGAATTAACCAGTCGTCTATGTAGGTTTAAAATTCTTACCCCTGCGCGTCTGAGCGGCTCCAGTGCTGCCTCCACGCACTTGGAAAAAGTGCGAGGCGCGAGTGCGTAGCCGAAGGGGAGACGGCAGTACTCGTAATTCCTCTCTCCCACTGCGAAGCGCAGAAACCTCCTGTGTTCCGGCACTATCGGCACGTGGAAGTAAGCGTCTGTCAGGTCTATGGAGGACATCCAATCTCCCTGCCTGACACACTCGAGGAGCTGCTTTGTGGACAGCATCCAAAACTGCCGTTTGGAAATGCACTCGTTCAAAACGCGCAGATCCAAAATGGGACGCACCCCGCCTGACTTCTTTGGCACTAAGAAGTAAGGGGAGTACAGCCCCCTGGTGGCGTCCTGCGGGTCTACCTCCACTGCTGCGCCTCGACTCAGCAGGGAGGAGACCTCCGCTTGTAGTGCTTCCAATGATCCCCGTACCTGAGAGCGTGCTGCCCGTACGCCTCGGAATGGTGGTGGCTTCCGGGAGAATTGCAGTGCGTAACCCCTGCGCAATGTTTTCTCCAGCCATAGATCTGTCAGCAAACCTTGCTCCCTCCAGATGCTGTAGAAGTCTGTGAGGGGCGGAACGGGAGCTGGAACACGAGACGTCACGGCCCCGCCCTCTCCTGGTGTTCCTAGCAGGGAGGGGGGGTGGACGAAAGGGCCGGGGGGCCCCCTGCGTCACACCGTGAGCGCCGGGGGCGGTCACATGTCCTGCAGGCCCGACGTCATAAGTACGGGACTGCTCATCCCACGTGACTCGGCTGCTGTGCCCCCCCCTGGCTCTTGCCTCATGGAGGGGGGGGCGAGCCCCTGGAGTGGGAGACCCCGTGTTAGCCTAGTAGCTCAAGAGATGCTAACACGCGTTCGGCCGAAGCACACACATCACTACTCACCAGATCCCTCCGCCTGACCACTCTCTTGGAGGGCATAGCATGAACCAGAGAACCGGAGCTCGTAGCTCGCGTAGCGCACTGCAAACCCTGCTCTGGGGGCGGCAGGCCTAGCGAAGCAACGTTATGTGCTCGAGAAGTAACACAATCAGAATTCACAAGATTATTTGACATGTTACATACCCCCAAATGAGACTCAGACAGCGAGTAATGATGAAATGCCGGTCGGTCTTTATTGAAAAAATTCTTCCCACCCCGACCTCCTCTGCCATAGGGAGGTCGGCGGTGGGTGCGTTGGTCCCGCGAGCCTCCCGTGGGCCTGTTTGGACCCGGGGGCCTCGTCGAGGGGGGACGATAGGCCACAGAGCGTGGATATGGGTCAGGGCGCCTCCCGGGCGAACGCTCCCTGCCTCTGTCCCGGCTCCGTGCTGGTGGGCGGGCCTCGCGCCTTGGCGCTAGGTGCTGGGCTAGGCTAGCCGAGTCCTTGGCTGCGGTCTCCAGTCTAGCCACCAGGGTCTGCATCTCCGGACCGAAGAGGGACGTCTGGGAGATAGGCAGGTCCAGCCCAAGCCAAAGGTGCCTGGCCCCGACTTGAGCTGCTGCCATGGAGCAGCCGCCATCGACAGCTAGCGCCTGGCACATGCGCAGGATCGCCGCTGAAGTGGTCCTCGCCTGCGATAAGGTGTCTCCACTGAGCGCCTGGCCAGAAGAGAGCGACCTATCCAGGGCCCCCGTGATGAAGGCCATGTTATTTGCCACAGCGACGACCTGTGCCGCATTGGCGTAACATCTGTCCAGCATAGCCAAAGACGTCCTGTCCCGCTCGGAGGGAAGGAGAGGTCTGGTGCCGGGCCACACGGATGCGGAGGGCTGCAGGGCCATGCGGACCGAATCCTCGATGTCCGGGACCCCGCCGGTCCAGGACCAGTCCTGCACGCTGCAATACATGCCGTAGCCCAAAGCGGGCCTCTTGGCCGCTAGGGGCTTTGGCCACTCACGTGTCGCGTAATGGACGATCGGGTCCATCGGCGGGCACAACGTGGGCTGTATCCTCCTCCTCCCTCGAGTGGTGGCGTAACCAGAGGTGAAGTCCTCCGCCCTCTGGGTCGGCTGCGGTGGCAGGGGGGCATCCATGATGGCCGCCGCGGAGGAGTAGAGCCCAGGCATGTGGTCCAGTGGGAAGCGGTTCGGCTCCGGGTTCGACACCACCTCGTCCAGCGTGAGGAGGGAGCCGACCTCCGAAACCTCTCCGTCCTCACAGTCACCCCACTCCGCGGGCACGGGTGGAAGGTCGAGTGGGGCCCAGTCAGTCTCAGACTCCTCGTCCTGAGAGGAGTCCGGACGGGGCACTGCAGCGGCGAGGTACGCACGCCTGCGTTCGCTCTCCTCCCTGGGGAGAGCGAGACACGAGGTGCAGGTGGCGCTCAACGCCGCATGGCCCGGGCCCAGGCACATGAAGCAGCTGGAGTGCTGGTCCATGCGCTGGAGCCTGACTCGACACGTCGAGCAACGACGACGTCCGACGCCGGAGGGCGAAGGGGAACTCGGACGAGCATCAGAAGACATCTTTCTCTGGAACGAAGTAAGTACTGGTAGATCTCAATCGGCGCCAGAGTGAAAGAGGGGGTGCGGCCTTGTGCAGGGGCCTTTATAGAGGAGGGTGGCTGGTGATTGGAGCAAATTATTTTGATTTCTCTGGCGCGTGACCTGGGGGTCACGAGTGATATCCCACTAGCGAAGTCCTAAGGGACGTAGCACCATGACGTAGAATCCAGAATGAATGGAGAAAGCCGGCTCTCTCTATTTGAGAGCAGCGCACACAAAGTTTTCCCCATAGTACTTGGATGGGAGACTGCCTGGGAATACCAGGTGCTGTAATCATTTTGTCCCTGGAGCTCGGGCCTGGGGGCGAGCTCAACAACAGCGCGAGTTGTTGTCGTGTAGTTGAGTTGAGTTGAGTGCAGCTTGCAGTTGTTTCCGTCTCTCACCACTCATCATTTCCGGTAGCATATCAAACAAAATAATGGAAGTTGTTTTAGTAGTGTTTGTTTCCACTGCATAGCAAAGAAATGGGTGAATATTTCATTTAGAATGTTTTGATTTTCCAATTTAATTTAGAAAATGGAAATACAATAAAACAACCACGTAATTTGTTTTTCTGATTTTCTTTTGAAACGGAATAACTATATAGAAATGTGTACACAATTCCCTGGTCTTGTCAGGAAAATACATCTACTGCCCTGCCAAAGTATTCTCCCTGTACAAGGACCAGGGGATGGAGACGCAGATGTTCCAGCAGTCTCCTTTTTATGACCGGGAGAGGGAAAGGTGGCGTGTAAATAAATGAGCTATCTGCTGTCTATTGGTGCTATTGTATATAGTTACTATATTATACCTGTCTGTTCATAAATGTTTATAAATATTCAAATTATTATGTAAATATATACTTAATATTGATTATATCTAATTATATAATTTCATTTGTAAAGTCTGCATCTACAGTTCTGTATAGTCAGCTCTCAGCAGTCACAGTCACAGGGCTCATCACACAAATACTAGTTTAAGAAGATAAAGATAGCATGTTGTTGTTTTTCTTCTAAGTGTATTTCTTAAATTTGTAAATATCTCTTTTTTCATCTGTTCACAATAAATATATAATAATGTCATACATTATTGAAGTCTTTCTTTTTATTGATCATATTTCAGGGCAAACAGTAGTATTTGACAAAACAATCTGTATAGAAAATAGAGTTTCAGTTCAGTGCCAATCAACGATATGCCCACTATACGCGGCTGGCCCCCGCGGCCCGACCTTGCCTAGCTTCCGAGATCGGGCATTCTCAAGGTGGTATGGCCGTAAGCACGGGGGTATGGAGCAGCGTGCCTCCTGACCCTGCTGCTGCGGTCCTCTCCTCCCCCAGAATGAGCGCTCAGGCCTGGGTCTGAGCGGGAGCAAAGCCCTCCCCGGTGATAGCCCAGAACCGGAGGAGTGCGTGGGTGAAAACCCCGTGTCTCTAGGTCCCCTGGTTCGTTTTTGACAAGCCCTGGAAGCCGAGGTTCTCCTCCCCCAAAATGAGTGCTCTTGGGCGGATGGTAGACGCGCGGTCCCCCGGTGGTTTCCAAGGGCCATAACTTTCTGGTCCTTTATCCCCCGCGCGTCAAATTCACACCGCGGGTACCCCGGGACCAGGGGAGTCCCACCCCCGCGTCTGTAGCCCCCCTTCCGCGAGGTCTCTTCTCTCTTCCGGTGTCGCAAATAATAATACAACGAAATAATAGTAATGCCATAATTCTTTTGAGAATTTTAAACAACTAGAGCCAAAACAAACACATTGATATTGAAGCATAAAGGATTTGATTTTCCAATTTGATTTAGAAAAGGAAAATACCAATAAACGAATGGAAAATGTGTTTTTCTGATTTTGTTTTGAAACGGAATAACTAATGATCGAAGGGTACACGGATTTCCCTTGTTATTCGTTTTTTCAATGTTGGTTTTATTTAGAAAATCAAAAGAACGAATGATACACGGATTCAATCGACACACTGTTCAATGTCTTAACACAGAAGTAGATTTTCAGCAGACTGGTAGATTTGATTAGCTTTCAGATTGGTTTCTATACATATTTTCAGAGAGGACAAATACATTTTAAATTCGTTTTTAAAACATGTTATGTTTGGCAGGTTCTTTTTCCATTTGCTTTTATGGATATGATATTTACCAATTATTAAAACAATATTAGAGCTGCTGACTTTATTTTCCAGCAGTTCCTGGCACCTGCTCACGCAGCAAATAACTGCCGAAATAGATGACCACAGACATAAAACAATCTGTGAATAAAATGACTCTGGAATAAATGTTCATTTTGGTTCAATTACATCCTTTACATTTTCTGAAATGAGCATTTTGGCAACATATTGTAACTTGTGTTAGTGTGCCCTCTATAGGATTAGGATGGCATTACTTTGAGTCTGACCTTGATGCCCTGAATTGTTAAATTTTTTTTACCAACACTCGTCTTGTTGAAAGAAAACGTGATGGCTGCTTTGTGTGCATATGTGGGAAATGTACACAACAATACTGTACAGCATGTGTTTTGTTGTGTGAATTGTCCACAAAGTTTCTCTTCCTCATGTCATTCGAAGGCTGGCCCCACATCTAAAGTTATTGTATTATCATTTTCATTATATAAGGTGAAGTGGAAGTAAACCAGGTGATACACGTGAAATATAGATTGATAAGGAAGAATAAGGATAAGGAAGATAATAAAATATAATTCAATTCAACTTTATTACAGACTCTAGGTCCAATTTAAAACATAAAGAAAATAACGACTCGTGAATAATAATTTTGAGTACAAAGATTACTCGTCAGTATTAGTGCTAGAATGCAAATAATAACAAAAAAATAAATAATTTCATGCATTTGGTATAGTGGTTTTAAAAGCAATTATTATTTTTCTCCAGCCATATTTCCACTGTTTTTGTTAAAAGTAAATAAATAAATAAATAAAAACAAATACACTAATATTCACAATAGTTAGTTTTTTGAGACGAAATGGTGACAAAGCCCAGACAGACAAACTTATCTTTTCTTTACACAGACTTCTGGGTGTTGATAAGAAATCCGCTGACCACACACGTTTCAACAATTCACTATCTGCCATGTGTATCTTATATGAAATACTAATTTTAGTGTATCATCTGTAATCAAAACTAAATGTACATTGCATTTTTGCGCAAATACAAACATTACAAATATTCAAAACATTTCTCACGTTATGACACTTTTTGAGGTGGATTTTGAAACAGCTGTGTTTCTTTGACCAACTTAAGATTTACATATTTTGTGTATAATACTACATTGAAAGGAAATTACAGGTTCAGACTGTCAACCAGATCACAAGTAAACACCATACATGATTTAAACTCTGTACCCAAGTAAGTTTATGAACATACAATTGTAAAAAGTTCAAACTATGTGCATGTCATCAAGACTAACAGCGCACAAAATAGATCAAAACATTCATATATTTCATCAGAACCTCTCACAAATTGGATGACAAGACAGTAAAGGAGTTTGGCTTCCTAATGGTGTACTTACCTGCTGTAGTTTCCATTCTTCACTCAGCATTTGTACAGAAAAATGCTGCTGGAGAAAACACAAAGAGCACAAGTTTTTAGGCGCCAGATGATTAGGCACGTGAGAGGTGGAGTTGACTCTTCACGGTTCTCACGCTGGCTTGATAAACTCTGGGGCCTTGTCACTCAAGTCAGACATTACTTTGAACGTCCCTCTGCTCCAGCACCATGTCCGCTCCAGATGCAGCAGCACCCCCTGCCCCGGCTCCAAAAGTGGTCAAGAAGAGGGGTCCCACGGTCTCTGCCCTGATACTAAAGGCTGTGGTGGCGGCCAATGCAACCGGTGGACTGTCACTGACCGCTGTCAAGAAGGTCCTAAAGGATGGAGGCTATGATGTCAAGAAGAACAACGCCAGGATTCTTCTGGCAGTGAAGCGCTTAGTGGACAAGAAAAAGCTGGCGAAAGTCAAAGGGTCCTTAAAGGTCAACCCCAAGCCTAAGAAGGTGGCAAAAAAGAAGCCAGCAGCCAAGAAAGCAAAGAAACCTGCGGTAAAGAAGTCACCTAAGAAGAAAGCAAAGAGTCCAAAGAAGCCAAAGAAGGCAAAGAGTCCAAAGAAGCCAAAGAAGCCCAAGAGTCCAAAGAAGCCCAAAGTCAAGAAGCCCAAGGCTCCCAAGAAACCCAAGGCTCCCAAGGCTCCCAAGGCTCCTGCCAAGAAGTAAATAACTTCAAATAACAAACTATTTCATTTGTGATGGCGCTTAAAGACTGCATCCATTCAACTTGAATATACAGTATCTGTTCTAGTTCTTGTCCACACTCCATGACTTTCTGTCGTCACTTGCTGAAAAAAAATAATGTAATAAATGTATCTTGAAAATGTTGTATTTTCTCTGTGACTCTCTCTGTGAATATTCTATATAAATAAATATGACATACTTGTTTGTTTTGAAATTACATATTAAACCAAAGTACAGTGAACTACGCTGGAACAATTTTATGCATAATGTAAAAATTCAAACATCATAAATGTCTGAATGGATTCAACTCTGCATTTGTCACCATTTCTGCCATTCACTCAGTATGCACATTGCTATTAAAGTTAATGAGATCTATGGGATGTACATTAAGTGAAAAGCAGGAAGCATAAAATGTAACAAAGCAACAACATAGAGAAACACGCTTTGTGCTTTTGTTGCGTTATTTTAACCAATATCATTTCTATTAGCTCATGGTCAATATTGTCACAATATTTACATTTCTTCAGAATGTATATGACGTTCTAAAGCAAGTTTAATTTCACAATGTCAAGTCACAAAGAGCTAAACCAATTACTAAATATCTTTGCAACTTGTAAAATAATTGTTGTTTCCACAAACAAGCATGTGTTGCACTTGACAGTATATCTGCAGCTGCAGGAGGCGAGGCGAGTTAAGATTTCCCTTTATCTCTAACAGAAACTAAAAACATCTGTAAAACACATGGAGACTGTGCACATCCAGTTATGATCAAATATTGGCCCCAAATAAGCCCCCCAAAGTCAGAGGATATTATGTGAAAACCAGCAAATTATTGACTTACAATAAAACAGTAAAATATATTCATGCATTTTTCAAAACAGTTAGAATTAAATTATTGTCAGTCAATATGTCAGATAGACACTGTATGCGTGACAGTAACCTTTGTGTCAAAGTCACATGTCATTAGCTGAGCTGTGCAGGGCTTGGTTGGTTGCTCTCGAGGTGCAGATTGGCAGCCCTGCTCTAGAGACTTGTGGAGTTTGCAACAAGAATCACTGCCCTGTGACGAGCCATTTCCTTTTTATTTGAGCAAACATTATAAGCACCCATCCATCCATTTTCTTCCCCTTAGACCATTTCTGGGTCGATGGGTGGCAGTCAGAGCTGCACCCACTTAGCACCAGCCCCTCACTGATCCTCCTGCAGGTGGTTAGTCCACAGGAGCTGAGATCTTTCAGCGGGGGCTTCAGGCAAAGTCGGATTAAGGGTCTTGCCCGAAGTCACAACAACAGCAGACATCAGTTGTAGTCTTGAAGTAGGTCTTGTGGTGGACTCGAACCCACAACCTTCAGGCTCAAAGGCTCTACCACTGTCGCCCCATCATAAGCACCTAAAACAACTAAAAAGTAAGGTGTGTATTTATTTATAAATGCATATTGTCTCTAAACAAATAAATAACTCAAGCCAGGCCTAGTCCTGTATTTGAAAGAAACGCAACTTAAGTGATCTATTTATAGATTATCAATGAAATGAAAGTAAGTGAAAGGTACTTTCCAAATTAAATCCGCTGCATTAAAACCAGGAAACAACCAAGCAACAATAAAGCAACAAAAGTCGTCCGCCTCCGATGTCAGACCACTGAGGACGGGTTCTACCTCATCCCGGACGAGGTGTTTGTGATCCCCCAAAAGGAGACTCGTGTGGAGACAACAACAGAGATCATCAGCTCTTGGATGGAGCAAAAGAGTGTCACCTCTCGTTCTATAAACGTAGAAGGGAGCTTTATTCCTTTGTTGAATGGAAAATTTTCTGCAGAAAACCAAAGGATGAAAATAAAACAGGTCGAACACTCAGCTCTAACAGCAAGAGTACAGGTATTTAACACACACACACACACACACACACACACACACACACACACACACACACGCACACACGCACACACACACAGACGTTTCTTTTTTAAACACACCCTGTATCTGTTTAAACTTCTTGTATCCTAAATTTGTGATTTCTCCCAAAAGGTGCGCAACTTCCTCTACACTGTGAAGGCATATCCAGACTTCACACTTGACTCACGGTTTGTTCAGCAAGCCAAAGACATCGCAGATGCCATTGAAAACAACCAGACCAAGAATGCAGATTATCTGTCGGAGAAGATGGTGGTGGACTACGGAACCCACGTGATCACCAGTGTTGATGCGGGAGCCTCTTTAGTGAAGGAGGACTTCCTCAGCTCCAAGTATATTACAGATAATCAACTGGTAAAATCCGAGGTAGAAATAGCTGCTGATATTCACTTTTTTAATTTAGTAAAGTTTGACGAGTTGAAGTTTCAAATTGGTGTGAAGTCTATTGATCAGAACTCATCTATTGAAAATTACCAGTCAAACACAAAAGACAGTGACATTGAAAGTCATGGAGGTGTGCCTTTTTATTCTGGAATCACTCTGCAGAAGTGGCAGGAAAGTACAAAAAACAACCTGGTGGCTATTGACCGCTCTGGAGTCCCCCTACACCATCTTATCGACCACAACACACTGCCTGATCTGCCTCAGCCCACAGTGAAAAAGGTGTCAGAATCTGTTGAAAAGGCCATACAGCGTTATTATGAGGTCAACACTCGCCCAGGCTGTGTAGATGTCAACTCAGAGAATTTCAACTTTCAGGCGAACGTAGATGATTCATCGTGTGAAGGGCCAGCGACCAACCTCAGCTTTGGAGGTGTCTATCAAAAGTGTACTCAGTTGAGTCCAGATGCAGGACCATTATGTGACAAACTGACCCAAAAGAACCCAGACACTGGTGACTTCTCCTGCCGTTCTCCTTACACACCCACTTTACTGAGATCTGAAGTGAGACAGGAAGAATATACTCTTAATGAATGCCACGACAAGCAGATACCATGTGGTTTTTTTTATATGTCGTACTGTAACGAACATAATTGTGAAACCCGTCACTACAACCGTTCCGCTGAGATTCAAACTTACTGGTGCTCAAGGACTGGAAAAGCCCCGGCTGACTCTGGATATCTCTTTGGAGGTCTCTCTACCAAAGATTGTCCTTCAAGCTTTGTTGCAGTCACATTTCTATCAGATGGAATTGTGTTGTGTCTCAGCGATGACTATGAAAGGAACTCCAGATTTGCTGTGCCTTTTGGAGGCTTCTTCAGCTGTGAATCAACCAACCCCCTGGCAAACAATCAAAGCCGCTGTCCTCCTAAGTTTAGCCAACATGTGGCTGCTGTCAGTGATGACTGTGAGATCCGTTACTGTGTCCAGTCAAAGTCTTTTACTGAAAGGGACCTGCAACCTGTTATTCTGCCGCCGTTTACAAAATCTTCACTTCACAAAAAGATGGACTCTGAAAATACTGAGCTGACCAATTGGGGAAAGACAGTGGTAGTTTTTGGGGTGCTGGCTCTGGTGACATTGATGGTTGTGGTGGCAGCAAGCTTTTTCAAGAAAGGAAATTACAGGAGGTTCCAATAGTTTAGGTTTGAGAAGAGTTGTGAGGAGAATAGCAAAAATCAAAGAATCACACATAATCTGTAACATAGTAAATAACGAACCCCTGACAAAGGCGAGCGTCCAGATGAGGTGGTAGTTGTTGGTGGTATTGGTGAAAAGAGAATGTGTAAAATGATTAACCTAATCTGTTGAGTCATTTATTTGAGTGAATCTGTATTTACATGTGCAATAAATTACGCTGCTGAGGTTGGGAAATAATGGCATCGAGGATTGCAAAAATGAGAATAACAATGATACATTTTTCCTTGGCTGTATTTTGTGCTTCAAATGCCATATCTTCCAAACAACATTTGCAAAAGCTATTGAATTATATCATTACTACATACATTACAATACACATATTTTCTATTAACTTTTTTTTATTTATTCTTTTTATTGATAAACGTTAGTAAACATAGAAACAAACATAACTGCACACAGGTCCAGGGCAGAAATAAAAAAACCCATAAGATGTTCTATTTGTTTTGATTCTAATTAAGTAATTGGCATTAATAAATTGTGTATAATCTGCTTCATGTATTGGGTGTTGATGGAAATGGAAATAAACAATAAAAGACGGAAGAGAAGACTTTTTGGTACTTTTGCATTTCTAAAAAAATAAAAATAAAAATGGTGCTGGGGACTTTCCGAAGACATCTGCTCACGTGATTTACAATAACTAGATACGGCTCAGGAAAGGGAACAATGAATTAAGTGGTTGAGCAGGTTCTTACTTTATAAATAACTGTGTAAACCACTACCAGAGAAACTCATCAGTCCTAAAACCAACGAGTCCGAGTTATTTCTGAGTCTTTAGGAATGAGTTTGAGTCGAGTCTTGAATGTTGAGGGGACTCTGCAAATGTCTAAAAAGAAAGATAATCACGAGTCCCCATCTCTGCATTGTGAACTATAATTTAGTAACTTTTCAACATTCGTGCATACAGACATTTATTTCATTCGTTTACAGGTATTCATCCTTTCACTTGAGTGCTCCATACATTCCTATTCTTGTACTGCAACCTTGGAGCACTAATGTTTCCACACTTTGGGCAGAATATATTTTCTTTAATGTTATTGATATGAGGCCTTTGAGATAACACACGTGTTGTTGTTGATTTAGGCTCCACCTTGTTTCAAAGGTGGTTCCCAGAACATGAACAGACATGAACAACAATTGTTTGCCTGATATATTCACTGGTGTGCACGAGTATATTTACATACACTACACTATGTTTGTGGGACAACCAATTTATTTAAATTGGCCAAAAGAGAATTTTACTTTGTTTCGATATTTGTCATAACAGTACCATTTAAAAAGTTTTGGCAGGTGAACTTTAAATCATGATGTAAACTTTTATGTCAAGGAATAATATAAACGGTACATTCTAGACAGGAAAAATGACATATATCATACTGTGCTAATGCAGCAGAAGAAACTATACAAAAGAAGACTGTGCGCTTTTGTACTGTG